TGCTCCTACATCGGATCGCAAAGAGTATGTACATGTACAGATACATCAAATCAAATAGTTGTCATTAGTGGGACGCGTTGTAGAGGTAATATATTTTTTGTAAAATATTTCTATGTTAAAGTTAATCTTTAATATCATCAGACGTGGACGAATGTCGCCTCGGAAGCCATAACTGTGATCAATACTGCTTTAATACTGTTGGGTCTTTTACTTGTGGTTGTAGGCAAGGTTTCGAATTGAGCACTGATCTAAGAACTTGTGACGGTAAAGAGATAAACCTTTGCTTCTTATATATAGAGACATGCAATTAAATCTCTCAATCTCCGTTTACAGATGTAAATGAATGCGAAAAATCGGCCTCAGCCTGTGATCAAGGGAGAACTTGCGTTAATACTTATGGTTCTTATTTCTGTTTTGGTTTGTATTCTGTCTTGGCCATTTTTATTAGTATTAAGTATTTTATTCACTAATTTTTACTTATATCATAATCGTATTTAGGTGGTGGGATTGCTCAAGGACCACCAGTTGCTGCAAGTCAGAAAGGAAAAAATCCGAATCAAAATGGAATGCCTGTTGAGAATGGAAGTGGAAACACAATTACAATTGTCTGTCTTTCTGTCGTAACTGCGTTACTTCTATGTGGGGTGATTGCGATTGGAGTTCGAAAATTCATCCTAAGACGTCGTAATTTGGGAGATGTCGAAACGGATAGCAGCTCGTCTGCTTTTTAAGATAAATAGGATTTTTTTTGTTTTCTCTTTCACCTCTTTATCAGTGCAATATTATTTGGATTCATAAACGATCATTTGTAAATAGCCCGTGCACACATATCGCAGTTTAATCACTAGGGCTGATGGACTGCAATGCTAAAAGAGTGCATGAGAATGGAAATATATGACGATAGTTTTAAAAAAAATTTACAAATAATTAATAGTCGGTAATAGAGAACCCTCATTGCATTCGTATGTAGCCTATGAATGGTGTGTTGAGAAAGATGAAATTTGGTTTTTTAAAATAAATATTATATTCATTTACGATCATAACAAAATCTTACTGGCGTAGTTATTTCTTTATATATTGTAATATAGTTATTGCCTATTTCTATTGAACCTTCAGTAGTTTAAACTTTTCTAAATGAATACTTCATACAGAACTATTGAATAGGTTTCTTTTAAATGATTTAATGATCGGTTGTTAACCGGTTAGTATTCTTTGAACGTCAAACCGACAATGCCATGAATGAATCTAAAGAACATCGCGTAAAGAAACCAAGAAAACCGAACGTTTTAGGGTAAATAATTTCATAGAAATATTTAAAGTAATATTCTTATGGTGGTAAAACTTCAGAAGTAGAGGATGTCAAATATATGGACTAAGGCGCCGATTTTCGTTCAGAACCTATGAAATCCTCACTATAATCTTAAGAAAGCAGACTGACTATGCCATTAATTTAGGCGTAGATGTTTCAGTTCGAGATGTTGTTTTAAATTTGTGGACACGTTTACTTTCTCTCAGCGGAATTGCCTTTACTGAAGATATCAGACTAGCGTTCAGATTACAAGACCGCTACGGCATTCCATATCAGTGGGGTACGGAAGCAGGAAAGAAATTAACTCGCGTTGTGAGCGAGACAAAAGGTCAAAGAAGAACGCGAGCCAAAATAAATGATACTTTCCTCAATTTATCTACAATATCTGGTATAATAGCTGTAGCCTGTTGCAAAGTTCATCCCATTCTAAATTTTGGAACAATTCATTACTGGTTTCAGAATGATCTCATTCCATATTCGAAACCATTCCTTTATTTTCCTAAAGACTTCCTTTTGCATTGGAATGATTTTGCAATTTTTGTGGAAAGGAAGACATTACCTTTGAGAGAATTTAGCGATAGAGTCTTATTCGTTCGAAAATATCTTCTAGAGGAAACTATAATAATAAGTTACGATCCTGATCTGGTACAGCAAAAAGTATCTTACTATATTCTATTGTTAAAACTTCCTCGTGACTTTTTCGGTATTGTTCACTATTTTCAGAAGAATATCAATCAGAATCTATTATGTGAAGGAGGAGATTGTGCTGCCATGAGTCTTATAATATTTTCTCTTTTTATATTATTCAATTCAGACTTTAAGACTAGAAAAAAATTGAAATGTTTTGAAACAGACATGCAAGATTTAGAAAATGAAGAAATCGAATTATTCGACTATGAAAAATGGAAAGTGTGGTTGGAAGTGTCGAATAATAAAAATCAGTTACAGAAAACTAATTTGCATGACCTTATTGAGTTTAAGAACGAAAAATCTACTGAAAAACGCTATAGAAACACTAAATGTGCTAAAAATAGAAAGTATCGCCTTGGCATACTAAAGAATCTTCGTTTATTAGCAGTCAAAAATAGGAATCGTCAACTCAAAAGGTCATATACTGCCTGGCCGGATTTCGAAAATCAAAGCGTAAGGCCTTTCTTGAAAGAACAACTTCTACCTAAAAGCAAAGGATATGATGATAATGAAATGAACTTTGATACTTGGGAACGTATTTCATGTCAAAGAATTGCTATAAATGAAAATTCTTTAGATATATGCAGGCTTATTGAATCTGTTTGCATCTTTACTCGTAATAGTCATTTAAAAAAGTTTGTTTTTGAAAATGTATGCAAAATTAGCGCTAAGTATTCAACCAAAAATTTTTCCTACCCTAAAAAACAAGGTAGACCGATGCAGTTCAAATAAATTTAAAAACACTAGATGTCGTTTGAGTTGGGTCACGTGATTGTCAAAGAAAATGGCGGCAGGTTGTTGCGGAGTAAAAAAACAGAAACTGAACGAGTCTCTGCCAACAGCCTGCTGTAGTAAATTTAACGACGGTAAAATGCAGGACGATCATTCCAAGTTGATTATCCGTCCAGAAATGTGTTATTATTGTTTTGATGTTCTCGAATGTCATCTATTCAAACATTCGCAAGCATATAACCCTAATTTTACAAACGAAGCTTTGTGAGTAATCTATAGCTTTTGAAGTATTCTATTTTCATCAAATTATATGAATCAGCCCACTCTTCGTTACATGGAAGATAGATGAAGGAAGATTGCGAGGATGTATCGGTACCTTTTCGGAAATGAATTTGCATCACGGACTAAAGGAATACGCTGTCACAAGGTAAATTTATAAAAAAAAAAATAATCATAGAATGTGTTAACTATAAAATTTATCTGGTAGTGCCATTAGAGACTCACGTTTTGATCCGATAACTGCCGATGATTTACACCGTCTTTCAGTTTCTGTATCTTTGCTCACAAACTTTGAAGAAGCTAATAATTATTTGGATTGGAAGGTATTTTTTCAGCTGTATTATCCTAGAAATATGACTTATAACGATATTAAGCCGCCATTTTGATACTAAACGTTTAATATCCATCATTGAGTAAATAGCTTTTTTAAGGTTTCGCTAAGATAGTCAGACCTCTCACCTACTTTACAGTTGACTGCTTATTAGGTTCTTCGTCTTAATTATGCACTCTATATTAAAAGTAATATTTACCAAACGTTAAATAATTTTTTCTTGTAAATACAAACAACGCCTATATAAATACCAGTGAGTACACAAAGCTGCAGAAAGTAGTAAATGACTAGCACAATCATCCAAGACGTTGATTTATCATTTCAATAGTTTGAAACTATTTTAGAAACCATCTTAGAGAACTATTTCTATTCGCAGGTAGGAGAACATGGAATTCGCATCGAATTTACTAGTGAAAGAGGGCACAAGAAAACTGCTACGTACCTGCCAGAGGTAGCCAGCGAACAGAGATGGGACCGCGTTCAAACCGTTGATTCTCTTTTAAGAAAGGGTGGTTTTAAAGGTCCAATTACCTCAGAAATAAGATCCTCTATTCGTCTAACTCGCTATAAAAGCGAAAAATTATCAGCATCATACAAAGAGTTCGTTGAATGGAAACGTTCCATCAATATGGAGAAAAAATCGAATGGAATTGTAACAAATGGTTATTCACGAAGTTGACGTAAAAAGCGGCTGAGGGAATATTGTGTGTTCTGCGCGTTTCTTGTCTGTTGTGTGTTTGTGTTTTTGAGGTTTGGTGACTATGTTGCTTTGTTCGTTTCGTAATTACGCCTTGCTCTTTCCCTACTTTTCAGAAAACAGCTACGTTAAGACCATCAAATTAGGTATTGCTGTAGGGACCAATGACATTTAAAAAAAAAGAAAAAAACACAACCTTCTTTGCATATTAAAACTACTTTTGTCTTCTATACCAATCGTGTTTCAAGTTTTATATAGCTGAAATGTGTTTATGTATTTACTATGCAAAACGAACAAAAATATGTGACAGTTGTGTGTATTTGACATCAGGTTGACAGTACTGAAACTGTGCCTTCTAAGCCTAGTTTTTGATAGGACTGGTAATTTAAAAAAATTCTTTCCCCTCAGCCGCAAAACATTACAATGTCAAATTAAGTAAAACAAGGAGAAATTGAATTCTTTGATCTCGCTCCCTGCTATTTTTTGTTCTGAATAGCTTAAACTAACAGCGGTCAATTATGGAACGAACTCTTTTCTATGGCTAAAACTGTGTATATCGTTTGAAATTCTATAACGTCACTGTTGTGCTTTAATGCATACAAATTTTATCACTCAGAGAAAATTTTTAAATGTTATAGAAATTCATAAAAAAATCTAGTTGCAAGATTTATATTATTTATATATACATATATGTATAGATATATAGATTTACATCTCTAATAGTATATTAAGTTTTGATGTGTGTTCAATTTTGTCCAATAAACGTGCAGTATGTTATTGTACAAATTGCTTTCTCTTTGCCATTTTCAGTTTCTCCCTAGGCCTACGGTTAAGGTTTACTTCAATTCATTTTTTCGTATTTAGTAAACATGAAAAGAATTTATGAGAAAAGGATAATAAAATTCATAACAAAATTAGGCATCAAGAGATTAACACGATGTTTTGTACGAAAACAACTAGCTTAAATAAAAGATGGCGGCCCTTACTTGGAGAAACACCGTTTATCTGAAATTGCAAGAAAGAAACAACAGCGAGAGGGAGCAATATAGGACTGTCATCGAATCACGTAAATATAATTAATTTATTTGTGAATTTTTACTTAAACTTCCAAAATAAATATGAGTATTAGATTCTGACAATTTGAATATTAGATTGCAAGTTATATGATATAACTGAAAACCTGAAAAAGAAAACAGCAACATTGACTGATGACATAAACAGATTACGACAGGAAAATCTAGAACTCCAACGAAATGTCATTGAAGGGTACAAATTATTTTAGTAATTAAGTACCAATGAAATATGTTCATATTTTTAATTTAATTATCAGTGGAGGAAGAAGTGACAAACAGTTAGAACAAAAGCTGCTGAAAGCCCATGAAGAACTTAAAGATTTATATAAAAAAAGAGGAGAAGTAAGTTACACTGCTGTTATATATTAAAAAAGTAAAATTTATTTATTTCAAAGAATGCCCAAGCCTTAATTGATTTGAAAGAAGAATTACAGATTAAAGAAAAGGATATATTGTCCAAGGATCTTAGGTCTATATGCTTTTAATTATGTTGTTGTTAGGAAAAATTAATGATTATCCTTATAGAATAAGTGAATTGGAATCACGATTAAACGCAGTAAAATTAGCAAACGAACATTTAGAAAGTGATATTGCTGAAAAAGAAACTACCAACACTGTAAGTAAAAATTATTTATAAAGTTTTTATATGACTCTAATAAAAATTTTGTAGATACTTAAAGATGAGCTGATGGGACTTCAAATGGCATATACTAAGGCCGAAGAGAAGATTATGAAATTGGATAAAGAGAATAAAACTTTAATTGATAGGTGGATGAATCTTAAAGTAAATTTAGATTTTTTTTTTAATTAATTAATGGGCAATTAATAAATAAGATTATTTAATTTTAGAAAGAGGCTGCTGAGGATCTCAACAAGGAGAATGAAATGTTTAGGAAAAGAAAACAAGAGAAATTAAAAAAAGATATACAAGATGCTATTAGTAATCCTGTAGAAATAAAAGAGGGATCTATTCATGCGTAAGTATAAACGTTATACTTGAGTACTAAAGAAGAAAGTGTCCTTTTCAATCTTTTTCATTTTTATCCTCGTCATTCTATCAACTTTCGTAGATTTAGTATTTTTTTTTCTAGTTCTACAGCTACTGAGCACGATTGTTTGCCCTTTTCGATCGAGCGACGGGTAGATACATCTATTCCAAAAGAATGCAGAGATATTAGAAAAGATTCTAATTGTCTTTTATCTTGAAAAGAAAAATACTACTACTAAATAATAAAATTCTTAAGCTAAAATAATATTTGTTCTACCGCTTATATAGTTTTTCTTTTTATGTTTCCTTTAATATTATTCCTGAATGTTCTATTTATCTATTTAATATTTGTTGGTAAAGGATACGTTTTAAATTTTTATTACAAAGTGGTGTTTGAATGTTTCTTTTATTTTTTTTTATTTTTTTTGATAACAGCCCATCAGGACTATTTGCAGGTGCTCTTTCCAGAATACCGTCGAGGGCAATAGCAAAATTTGTAAGAATGATTTATCTTTTAACTGCTAATGTATTTTATTCATTTCTTTTTCATTTTATTTTATATAGGATGCACACGACTCTGAAGTATTTGGGCTTAAATGGGCGCCCAGTGGAAAGTATTTTGCCACTGTAGGAGGTGACAAACAAGTGAAAACTTGGGAAAAAATTGGAAGTATGATAAAATCATTATAGAATCTTTTTTGACATTCAATTAAATATATATAAATCAATAGGTTCAATTGAGAAAAAAGCACTTTTTACTCCTTGTTTCAATAGATCTGTAACAAGCGTTGATTTTGACGAAGACGTATGTTGAAATATTAGTTTTAACTAATTAAAATTAAATAAGTATATTGCTAATGCAGGAGAAATGTTTAATTGCATCATCAAATGATTGCTCAACTCAAATATGGGATCTAAGTACTCGGCAATTACGGGTGAATAATAAATTTTTTTTACCTAATGTTCTTAAAGTTTTAATCATAACCCAACTGGATTTCTTCAATTTTAAATAGGTTAGATTAACAGGGCACGAAAATAAAGTGCACTCTTCAAAATTTGTTTCTGGTCATGGTATAAATAAAGTAGTTTCTGGTAGTCAGGATAAAACTATTAGATTATGGGATGTTGCTAATAAATTATGTAATTATTTATTGAGTATCTCCTATATAACGCTGTTTAACATAAAAAACTAATATTAATATAGGTTCAAGAACTTTTTGTCCGGGTTCAACTTGCTTTGATTTAGTTGCATACGGTGAGAATATAATTAGTGGTCATTTCGATGGAAAAATTAGAATTTGGGATAGCCAAGCTCAAGATTCCATGACTAATATTCCCCTTGAAAGTAGGATTACGTCATTAGACTTATCTAGCGGTAATGAGCGACTCTTTAAAATATGATAAGTAAAAAATATGTTATTAATTTATTTTTGGATAATTACAGATAAGACTAAGCTTCTGACTTGCTCTAGAGATCATTGTCTAAAAATTACTGATTTTAGACAGAATCGTGTTATAATCACTCTTCAGTAAGTCTTTGCCTATATTATTTGTTTTTTCTCTCTCTTTATGATTGTTCTGCTACATTTCATTTTCTTTTTTAACAGTGATGATAATTTTCGAATTTCAAATGATTGCTCTCGAGCAGTTTTTAGTCCTGACGAAAAGTATGTTTTGGCTGGCTCAAACAATGGTCAAATTATCATATGGAATATTGCAAAGCAGAGCGTTGAATACCGATCAGAAAAGGAGCATAAGTAATTATCTTTTAATGAATTTTTATTTTCTAACTTATTAGCATACACTATATTATATACTTACACAACTATTTTATGTAACTAGGGGAGCTATACAAGCGTGTTCGTGGAATCCAAACGGTGATGGAATAATAAGTTGTGATTTGAAGAGAGGTTGCATTCTCTGGGGCGATTTTTAAAGAAATATATTTACACGAATGAAAAAAGAACATTACAAAGACTTTAATATCGATAAAATCATGACTTTAAACCAAGAATATTAAAAAAAAAAGGAAATCAAATAAAAATGACTAAAATATCTCAAAATGTTTTATATGTTCTAAAATGACAAACTGTACAATCTTTTTTATTTGCCAAACCTAAATTATCCAATAAAGAAAGATAATTGTTTGTTTTTATTATGATTTTAAGAGATAAAGAGAAAACTATTCAAAATGAGTTATAAGGGAATACAATACAATAATAATATAAATCTTATAATAGTTTTCCCATTTTATTATCGTCATTAAACATCCGATGTTCCTTTTTCTGACCGACTCGACGAAGTTATAGATGATTGTTTATTTCTGCTATAGAGTTCTTGCCATTTTATTATTCGTAATCTTTTATCATGCCTTCGCTCTTTCATTTCTTGTTGAATTTGATCATTTCGAATATCAGTTATTGCTTTAATTACATTATCAAGTTTGGATTCTTTACTATCTTCATCTAAATTTGCTAGGCAAAGAGCTCTATCTGTTGGGAAAAATTCCAGATTTTCCGATTCCAACTGCAAAAAAATTATTTATGCCGTAAAATGACGAAATAACTTTTGTGCATATTTTAATATTAACCATTCTAACAACGTATAAATCAATTGCCGAGTAATCATTTTCCGCAGTTTCATCAAGATATATAAAGTAGTTAACGTAGGACCACATGTTGTGCTCAAAATGAACATGATGGTAAAAACCCTGTACCAATTTAATTTACATAACAGTATATTCTATTATTTAATAAACAAAGTAATTTTGTTCAAACCGTTTTAGTATGTTCAAAATCATAGCTTGGCCTACTGCAAATAAAACAGTTACTTTTCATATCTTTTTCGGCCGTCCACTGTTCAATAGAAAATGAAATGAAAATGTATCAGTTAAAAATATTAACGTATCGATTACCTTTAGATCTCTCAATTCTGAGAATGTATCTACTATGATACCAAAGATAACGTTTAGGAAGATTGTTGTTATCAGAATGAACAGCACTGCTTGTAGGATTGTTATGTATAAGAAATTTGAAAATGTCTTATGACTGTCTTTTGGGGCGAATTTCTAGATGAAGAAGATGATGAAGAAGAATACAAAAAGTTAGATATTATATTATAGATGATTATTTTTAATTTAATATTTAACCTCGTCGTAATTACCAATAAGACCATATCTTAATACAGTGTAAGAACATTTGGCTAATGTATCGCAATAGACCTCTTCTTCTATGTCAAAAGCCTCTCGGAAGAAGGCAAATACGGCGAGAGCGAATAAATACATGGTCACCAAACCTAGAATTGCAACCCACACGAGTGATTTTCCATTCATTGTTACTGCTCTTATAATTCCCAAAAGAAGTTGATTTCCTTGAACAATCAATAGAAGATGGACAGCAAAAAAGTAACCATAATAATAAGTCCCCAGAGCTGAACAAGCTGCAAATATTATATATAAAAGAGTCTGACCGCTTATCATCTTAACAATTATTCTTGATCCTTTTGACGTATCTTCCTTCTTTTGATTCTCGTTTTCGCTAAAATAATTTATTAAATACATTAATTTGCATGAATTTGCCCTTTTTCCTTATCAAAACTAAACATACCTATACTTAACGGAGAGAAATGAAATTTTTGGCCAAGACGGATGTTTAAGGATAAAATAGGTCAAAAACCAACACAACGTAAGGAAATTATGCATAATTGCCAATGTATAGAAGATAATGTCGTACATATTCTTATCGATAATCTTTATTCTCGGTTTTGGACTTGAAAACATAAGTAATACAAAGAAGGAAATAGTTAAACATTATAAAAATGAGAAATTATGACATACTCACTTTGCAAAGGTATAAGTAATTGGTGGAGTAGCATTTGTTGCAGTTGTATACGATTCCGTGGTGAAATAGTCAATAGTTGAAGAAAATGTACCGTTAGAGTTGTTGAAAATATTATTAACCTCCTTTGCTATTAGAATATCTTCGGTTGTTGGGATAGTGGTTCCGCCTCTTGTTGTTATTACCGGATTGGTATTCGTTGAGACGCTATACGAAACCGAACTTTGAAATTCGGTTGTTGGTATTGTTGTTAGGTTTGGAACAACAGGTATTGATTCTGTACTCCGTTCTGGAGCTTCCCATGATATTAACATTATAATATTCAATGTTAAACTAACAAGTATGATCAAATATTGCCAAAAGGGTCTATTAAAAGATTATCAATTAGGATAGAAAAGAAAGGACCTAATAATTAAGATTATATAGGAAATACATACGATATTTTGGCAACAAATTTCAGGAATTTATTATTCAGTAGTTTCTTTTGATAAGAAATATCAGCTAAGATATCCTTTGTCCAAGAGATTAAATCTCTTAATTTGCCGCTTGGACTTGATCTATCAATATTCCATTTAATATCTTCTTTCAAATCTTCTCTAAGTAGACCCATGTTTTTTACTCTAAAATGTACTTTTTGTATATGATCGTCTTTAATAATTTCAACACTTTGACAACTTCCTTTATACACTTCGAGAATGGCTTTCTCCTGTTCATCAATGTTTAATCGACTTTCGGATGATGTATCGATATCAAAAAATCTCGCTAATACTAAAGTGAATAAGAATGAACATTCCTTTAAACTGTCATCTATTTCAGGATCTCTCTTTAGATTCTTTACGGGTGTAATATTATCACCAACAAGTTCAAGGTAATTGGGTTTCTCTTGGACCCTAAGCATATGACTTTGACAGATTACCCTTTTGATAGCATGGAGATCTATTCTATCAGAGATATCCTAAAAAGATGGAATAAAATGGGATTACTTTAACAAAAGAATCCTAAAAAATATTTACCATTGATAAAACGAACGCCTCTGGTGAACTTTCTTCAGTTAATGCTGTAATTAAACTCGCTATTTCCTGTCTTAGTCGTATAACATCCAATGGATTGCAATTTTTAAATACAGACATTCTTAATATATAATTGGTAAAGTCTATAACTTTGTTATTTAGAATAACGGCTCTGTTTGGCTGATATCCTTGGCACATTTCCCTTAAACAGGTTATTAATTGAGTTACCAATTTTATTGTTTGATCGTTAATTCGACTATAAACAATTCCAAGGAATTGGGCTACTTCGGCTACAATATTAATCGAAGTTATATTGTCTGGTTGTTCGCATAAGTATGACTAAAATTGAATGATAATGGAATTATTCAATCTCTAAGATAAAAGAAAATTTAAAGTGTCTCTTTACTTGTAAAGGTATATACTGTCCATCACACATTCCAGCTAGAACTCTTAGGACTAATGCAATCGTGCCATCTTCTTTAAATTTGCTTAAATTATTAGGAGTTTGATTTAGGCTTGCAGCAGGTACATAAAATCCGCCTTCTTCAGTATCGATCTAAGGTTATTGAGATGGAGGAATGAACGGTAGAACTAAATAAAGAAAGATTATTTACCTCCTTTATCTCTTTTTTGTAGCCTTTTAGAACATGATCAGCTAGTACTGATCTTGTAAAGCTAATTAAAGGCAGAGAATTTTTACGAAGAGCCATTTTAACAAGATGCTTCTCAATTGTTTTTCTTTCTTCCTATTTATTCACAATTTGTCTCTAATAATATATTTTAAATCTCATTTAAAGAAATTATTTTACCATTTCTTCTTCCTTTGTTAAAACTTTCTTCCTTTCAACAGTTTTCAATTTCTTTTCCCTTTCGGCAAGTTGCTTTTCCATTGCTCGTCTAAAATTGGTTTAAATGAGGACAATTCTAGAATACGTAGATGATATTTAATAATTTTTTTACCTTTCCTTAATAACTGTACTTCCAAATGATAGATAATTCCTTAGAACAAAGAAAATTGGTTCTTCCTTTGTGCTCTCAAAATACTTTAATATTTCGTCCTATGAAAAAATATAATTGAGAAAATTTTATCTCTATCTCTAAAGATAAAAGAGAACAGGATTACTTGAACTTCTTTCGGTGCATTAAAAAGAAGGACATCTATCAAAGCTAAAACTTCTTTACGAATTTGATCACTTTGTCTGCTAAGTAGACAAATTAGGCAGGGAACAATTCCAAATTGGCAAAAAACCAATTGAATACTGCGAATCTTATCTAAATTTCTTAAAATAGTAACGAATATATAAATAAGTAAATTTATAGATGATTAGAAATTTTAATAGTTTTTTTTACTCTCTAAACTCTTCTTTTCTTTCTCCCCAATTTCCTGTCAATAAAAGTATTTCATTATAAACTATTGCCCTCAGAATTTGAAGGCATCTTTTATCTAAAACTTCTATTTCTTTTGGAGCGATAGTAATGTATTTCTTTCCAGTAATTCTAATGGTAATTTTAAGGTAAACTTGAAAGAAATTAACTTAATAAACAATCATCTAACTTTAGATATTCTATTAATTTCTGAGCTTGAGCATATTGGACAAATGCTCCTTTTTTCGAGCCATGTTTTCGAAATAGCATAACATGTTCTTGAAATTCCGAGCCTAACGGTAAATACATTACCAAATCGGGATGATTGTAAGCTAAAAGAATAATAATTATTACTTTATAACGAATAAGATTAATGTTAACCTTCCACTCTATTTAATCCCAATTGATCTTGTACAGTATTCCTTCCCTCTTAATATTTTCAATGAATAAAAAAACATAACAATCAATTAAGAACAATCGAAAAAAAAACTATAAATCAATGCTTTTCTTACCAACGAAAACCATTAAATTATTAGTAAACTTTAATAGCATCTCATTAAATTTCTCTTCGTCAGAATTACAATTAGAAAGAACCTTTTAAAAGTAGAAGTATAAATAACACCAATTAAACATTTGTTTTTTTGTATATCTTACGTAATTTTTAGCTTGGTATTGAAGAAATTTCATTTTCAAGATAAAATCTTCTCTTTTAAAAAACTTTTCACCATACTTTAGTTAAAAATAAATGTAGATATTTACAGTATGTAATTAAATTGATAATCTATAAGAGTTTTACCGTTGGATCATGCCCAGTTTTAACTAGAAGGATTTGTAAGAATGTACAATAATCCAACAGATGGGATACTTTCTTTGCTTCGTTCATAATAACACCATATAGAGTTTGAAAACTTTCTGTCAGTTTTCTTATTACTCTTTGTTCAATTGGTAATGCTGTCTTTGCTTTATAAAATTTGGATATAAAGGATTGTAACAGTTCAAAGCCACCATTAAATAAATAGTTAAAAACATCGCTAGGGCCTTGTTCTGAATTATATATCTCACTGACGGCTTCTGAATTTGGAGGCGATAAATGTCTTTTAATAGGAGTTGAACTATACAATTATAAGGATATAAATGATTAATAAATATGATATTTCTTAATAATTAAAACACAGTTACCTAGAAAACTCTGATTCTGTAAAAATAGATAGGTCTAAATTATCAATTAACCTATTGATAATAGTTAAAATAGCCATAATATGCTTCCAAAACTTTTCATTATGCGTCAATTCGTCAGCTCCACTTTCGACGGCAGAACTAAATATTACATACATATTCCGTTATAGTTTATATTAAAAAGAAAGCTAATTTCATTACCGTGCCGTTTTAATATAGGTATATGTTAAATATCTAGCAAATGGTCCTTTTTTGCAGAGGTGAATATATCGATGATTTAAGATGTCTATAAGTTCTGATAGAGGTAAAAGTGTCTGGCAAAGCGATTCAATATATCGGTTCTCGCCCTTTTGAATAGATTAATGAAGGCAAAAAGATCGTATTAACAAATTAATATATATATAATCATATACCTCAGCACACTCGGAAAGTAATTGAATCAAATTGAGAAAGTAAACTTGATGATCGTTGTAATTCTTATCAAGTAGACATTGTAATCTATTATAGTATATATATATATATATATATATATATATATATTTACATAAATTATTCTAATAGGAGAAATAATGTAATAGATATTAAATATTTACCTCTTCTTTGCTTTCCATTCCATTGTATAAGCGACTTTTTGGTAATTCTCCATTAAAACTTGCGCTACAATTAATTTATTTCTCGATACAACTATTCCACTCATCTCATCTTTCACTAGATTAGATAATAATAAGAGAAATTCTGGTGCCCTTTCTTGATTATTGGCAGTCATCTTTATAATCTTTGAAATTTGATTTGGAGTTATTCTTAAACAGTGGAGCAAATTGTTCTTAAAAACTTCGCTTATCAATAGAGCAAGTTCGGAACCGTTGTATGAACACTTTAGAATATCTTCTAACTTAGCAAATACATAACTCTGAACGTATTCATTACGATTCGTCATATATCTTAAACATGTCAATGCAGCTCGAATAGTCATAGTAGCAAGATTATGTTGAATCTAAATTAAAAAGTGTTCAAAACTTTATATCTTATAATCAAAACTTTTCTAATTACTTCAAAGCTTTTGTCAACTTCTTGAGTAATGATATTCTTAACATCAGTTAGAACTCCGTTATTTACAAGAATATTTTGTCCAATTTTAAAAGGTACGTGTTCGTTATCAACTTCATGGCATATTCTTTGTAAAGAAAATAGAAATGAAAAAGCAGAGGAGAAGTTTAGATATCATTGCTTACTCTTTGTATCTAAGTAATATTTTAACTATTTCTTTGGAATTTTCTTCATTCAATTGAGATTGGAAGAGATGCTTAAGCCTTAGAACGCTTACTAAAACTTCTCTATGAAGAGTAGTAGAATGTACTGAACAGAGAACAAGTGACCTTGATGTTGTATCGAATAGATTAAATTTGGATGAATAAAATCTATTCAATACTGAAAGTGATTTAATTAAAAGATCGTCTGCTTCGTATTTTGTTAAATCCTGTTTATAATTAAACAATGAATCAATTATCAATTCACTTTTTTAAGTTCTTACTAAAAGAATTTTTGGTAATTTTGACTCTAAGAAGTTATTTTGTTTGTCAATTTTACGTATTACATCAGAAGCTGCTTTTCTCAAATAAGATTTCTCCCTGTTTTTAAATAATAAAAGTTATCTTTCTAAAATAGAAAGTTTCCCTGTCTTTTTTAAATACCAAAATTGATTAGCATCAAAACTATTTTCCAATAAAGGTTTTAGTTTGTGCCGATGAGCTCCATTTTTTATTTTATTCTCAGTATCTTTGAATAAAGCGATTAGGAACTGAAAAATGAATTGCTCGATAGTAATGTACAAAAAAGAAGAGGATTCTTTTCTATTTTTACCTTGACCTTTCCATTAAATTGGCTAGTTAGTAAAAGTTCCAATAATTCGAGGCCTCTATATGAAAGAAATTGTGATTGGAACTACTTTAAAGTTATATTAATCAACTTACTGTATTTTTGCAGAAACAATAGCGTCAGTCTCTTTACATTTTTCATATCTCTTGTATAATTGATATTCGTATACCACACCTCTTGTATATCTACTGTAATCTGGAATTAAGGACATAAAAGTGATGTTATCTCTTTCAAAAATAAGTGTAAAGTTTATATTTACAATTTCTATTATCCGGCGCAAAAGGTTTGTCACAGAAGCCTGAGACAATACTTAAAACTGGTTCCATAAGCTCATTAATATCTTCATTCGAACCCATAAAACCGTACATTATTAGGTAAGTTACCAGCCTTAAAACTTTTTCTATAAGTAGACTTCGTCCACATTGATTTGCAGTGAGATAATAATAATGCTTAAAAAATTGTCTTATCCAAACATGTAATGAGGGAAAATCACTATCCATATCTTTTGCTACCTTCGATGAATCGATATAAGCGGAATCCATATGAACTTCATCATACACAAAATTATTCGATTCTAAAAGAATCATATTATCATTCCCTCCTAAATCCACAAATAGATCTGTAAGTGATTTTCTTGTATAAAATCATTAAATTACGTTAAAATTTTAATTATGATAACCTATTAATAAATCGCAAATAATTGCCCTTAGTGCATCCGGTATTATCTCTGATTTTAAACCAACAAATGCAGTTTCCCACGTAAACAGCCCTTTAGTCTTTGTAACTATATTTATAGTATAGGAATTTATTCCCTGAAAGTAAAGTAATTAGAGATTTTCTGATAAGAAATAAGAAGGGCATATTACGTAGCAAAGCTCTTTGTAAAGCTTTAATTGCTGTTGTAGAAACGAGTACTTTCTTTCGTCGTATTCATTGCTGCTCTTCTGTAATTTGGAGGAAAAATTACGCATTAAGAGCTATTACAGCGTTAGTTATATAATTACAAAAAGAAATTTGTGAAGAGCTATCCAAGTTTTACTATCATCAACAGAAACGTATAAGAAATCTGTATATGGTTCATTAATATCTTGGGATGTGGATAGGTGGAACATAGATGATTTATGAACAACAAACAATTGCTCAGCAATTAAATTTTGATTTTTTGTCATAGCAATTTCATTACAAACAGATAAAGTTCCTAATAACTCCAACATTCGATGATTCTGCAACAACATAAAAACAAGAGAATAAGCTTCCTATAATATATTTATCTTTGTACTCTATTTTATACCTTGTCTTTATGCAATAGGGCTATAAAATGGATTATTCTTTCTTTATCAATTCTATCAATGATTTTCCTATTGTCCCGAAACAAATTGATCAAAACAAGACAAGCCGTTTCACTTATTTCACCCTTTGTTTATAAAAGTTGAATAAACTCAAAAGTTAATAATATAACTATTAAATATATATAGTAGTATACCTCAAGTGATAAATGTTCAGTGAAAATATCAATATATCTTGCGCAATATATTGAATTTTTCTTGCTTTTACCTTCCGTATAGACTCGAAGAACATTATAGATTTGAACAAAAATGGCCAAAAGGTGTTTAGCATCTTTCATACCCTCGTATGGAAATTTTAAAATCTTTACAAGTAAATCGAGCAATTTGGTGTTACGCAATAATTTTTGTCGATTTTTTGATGGTTGTCCATCAACGATTAAAAAATTTTCAAGTTCCGTTAAAGCTTCACATAAAAATTTTTGATCTTTCATTTTCCATACCGCATGTTTTCTTCTCTGTTCAGCAATATCTCGAAAGAAAGGTATTAAACCAGCCACGTAATTGAAATTTTGAATATCTTTATCCTGTATATCTTGAATAACAAAGGCATCTGGATATAAGGCTAAATCCGTTGCTGTTGCCTATATCATATAAATTTTAAGCATTTAAATTTGATGTGGAAAAGAAGATTAGAAATTAAGGATATAATCACCCGAATTAAATCAGCATTATCCCAACTTAAAGATGCTAGACTAACGCCTTCAGTTTTAATTGTTTGCCTTTCATAAAAGTCACCTTAAAAAAAGTTTCGTTTGCCTTTAAAAAAACAACTTCAAAAAGAATAGAATTGCTTAACGACACCTGTTTGTCCGTGCAACCAAAAACCAGTAACAACATGCTCTATTCGTATAGTATCAGTTTTTTCAATCTCTTCAGTATAGCAAGTCTACTTTGACAAAGGAAAAATTGTACGATTTACATATTGACGATTACAATCTAGAATATACCTCTCCTAAATTATGAAAGACAAAAATTGTACGCGAATCATTCGAGTTATCCGTCAACGATGCTTTTTTTTCTTCCGAAACCATCAGATATTTACGAGTACTTGAATGTCTTAATCGAATTTGTTCTTCCCATTTAAGTCCTTCACCGCTTACTGTACAATTAACATTTTCAATTTGCCAATAAACTATTCCAGATATCGGTGGATAAAGTGTTCTATAATCCAATTGATCCATTGAACGAACTCTAAAATGAACTATCAAAAATAGCAATTAGCATTATTACAGCAATTTCTTAGACTATATATTACCATCCTCCCCTTCAGATTCACCAAAGACTCCTTCAGCGCATAGATAAGCTTCCAAATCTTTATGATAGAATCTTACAATATCCCCACCCTTTACAATAGCAAATAGTTATGAAAAATGTTAAATAAATGTAACTTTATTTTTTTACATACTCGAAGATATTTTTCATTTTTTTCGCTAGGCCTAAAATGAAGCTTTATGCTAAAATAAGTATAATCTACTCCCAAGTTTACTTCAGACCTATAAAAACGACGTAAATAGATAATATAAATTAATGATATAATAATGAAATAAGTACCCTCTTGTAAAATTATCGATGTTATGTAAATAGCTAACGTGTAAATAGGAACCATACATCTTAACACTTTCAAATAGTATTTCATCCTTAAATTCAACCTTTTAATTAAAAGAAGAAATTAGATAGAAAAGCTAGAGTTAATTCTGTAGTATATTTCAACAATTCTTTTATTACTTTATCTCCTTCAGTCTTTACTTTACATCTAGGTAATATACGAAATTGAGCAGTTTTAGCATTATAATCTTCCAATGTGACAAGCATTCTATTCTTTTCAATAGTACTATTATCCGTTTTACTAACATGAATAAATTTCGACGAGAAAGCATGGCGAAGCTATAAAAGAATATAATTATTAATTATTCTATCTAATAATCTTATTAAAAAACTTAATAAACCTGAACAATTTCACCATATTTAATCAATTTTCCTTTAACTCTTTGTTGATCAAGTAAATTATCTTTAGTTTCCGCATTTGCTCCGATCTGTTTATTTTTTATTGTTTAAGAAAAAAACAATGTAAATGCATGTACAGTATATAAAGAAATGAAATAATAAGTACTCTTGCACTTGCCAATACTTTATCTGTCTCTCCTTCCGCTTTAAGCTTTCGATACTTTTTGTTAAATTTATATCGATTTGGAGTGAATAACTGAAAGGTGATGGCTATTTCGATTTTTGAAAAAAAAAAGATAACTATTTGTATAGTGTTATTGTAAAAACAAGTAGGGCAATATAATTCACCTTGAATATTATCAAGTCCTTGAGGGCAATCCTTTTCTTGATTATGATAGGTGAATAGGCCACTTCCATTTGTTCTGTAGATAGTTTATTTTCGTAATAGTCTAATTGAGTATTACAACTTAAAAAGCTACCTAGTTCTATCGCTATATACATATCCATTTGTTTGGTCACAGTACAGGCATACGTAATCTCCAAAAGCCATGTAAATATCTGAAGATTTTGTCTGAAAATGGTTGTTTTAAATAGCCACAAAAACAAACAAACAAACAAACGATTTAATAAATTAGATTATAAGAGTGAAATATTAAGAAACCTCTTCCTCCTCAAATCCATATAAATTAAACACTTCGGTCATGTTGTTTAGCTAAATCAATAAAATTGTTTCTTGATATAAATAAGAAGTCTAGTTTTCTTGAATTTTCTGACTGGATTCAACAAAATTCTTGTCTAAAAACTTTCAATAAGGAATATATAGGGGGGAGGGGGGAATGCCTTTAAATTCCAACAATTGTAGAAAGGAGAATGGAATAGTATAAAATTGAAATTGATAGAAAAAGCCAGCTTTCATAAACAAGTCTGTATATTGTAAAATATTTCTTTCTCCCCACTTCCCTCCCCCTCGTTCCTTTCTTTTACCTCAAAAACAAATTTAGGCCACCGTTTTTACAAAGATAATAATGTATGTTTTTAACAGATCTATACGTATTACGATAGCTTTACACATATACAATAATATCTTTAACAAAGAGTACAATATTAGTACTATATTGACATATTGCTTACATCCTCCCGTTGCAGAATTAATCAAAAATATTCTTATCAATTTATGCGATTCCAAAAATAAGTAGCTGTAATAGGTTTTTAATCATTTTAACTTATGGATATTATTCTAGTGTGACTACATATATCAATTTATCTTTTCTTCTTTTCTGTCTTCTCTTCAATTCAATAAAATAAAGAATATTGGATACGTAGATCCTACGCTAAAGTAAAGACATCAACTCTATCTATATATGGAAAAAATGTTTAAATATATGTATTCTATATATAATTTATGAAAAAAAAATTGTATATTTTTGTTAAAGATTTTATTAACTAATTATATTTATAGGGGGATATTTTTTTTTTGAAACTATATGTCTGTTATTCGGCTGTCGTTTCTTCTTCTGCTTCTTTTTCTCCCTCTGGTTCGGCCTCTCCTGTAGTAGCCGCTGCTCCAGCTTCTTCTTCGACTTCGGCTGAAGGTTGACCTTCGCCTTCTGCGGTCGGTTGTTCTCCGTTTTCACCATCAACAGGAGGTGCCGCTGTTTAATATAAAATACAATTAAACTAGAGTAATTTGTTTGAATTATCAGATAAAATAATTATTCCATAGCCATTTTAATTATTGAAAGCCTATTGTTCCTAGCTTATTTTACTTTGATAACTTTCCTCTAAACCTCTCTTTTATTATTTTTATTATTACCAAACTTACATTCAAGTTTCAGAGAAAGAAATCCAGTTGATTGGCTGCGTGTTGCGTGAAAATATGGAATGAAATTGTAATAATGATAATAATTCAATCATCTCGTTAGTATCATTTTCTACTGCAAAGCAGCCTTAGCTTTTTTTTCTTTTTTTTTTGCAGTGCATACTATGAAGGATACAGTGACTGACTGATAAAATAGTAGCAGACGGGACAATATGGGCATGCTATTACAAAATGGATCATATTTAAATCAGCCATATTATAGGACTATATTGTAACTTTTACCTAATTTATAACTTAATAAAAAAAACAATTAAGTAAAAGTTAAAATATAAGAAGAATAAATGTAGGTGTAGAAGCAAAAATAGATAGCTTTTTTTTTGTTTTTTTAAAAAAAAAACTTAATCCCTTAAATTGTTCGCAAAATGAAAAGTCTCAGCAGGAAAACGAATCTTTTTTTTTTTTTTGCTTAAAGCAAACAACAACAATATCACTCACCACAATTATAACAGACACATGCTTCACAATTTTATTTTTTACATGTTATCTGTTCAACATCAAATATAATAGTTTTTTAATATATGTATACTGTATATACTTGTATATACATATATAGAATATTCTATAAAGGATGAGGGAGAAGATAGAACATTTTTCTTTTGTTTATTTATATATATATATATACTTATATATATATATATATATATAGGTTTAATTAAACTTTTGAACTATACATCAATTACTATTGCAATATTCAACATCTCTTTTGAGAAGTTTTATATAGATTTGTCTTTTTATATTTTGTCTTAATTAAAAGATATAAAAGATATATAGTCATTAATTGATTGGTCTTTTTTTATATATAGATTAAAATTTTATAATTACTAACCTCCCTCCTCTGTTTCTCCTTCGACTGGAGCTTCTGCTAAGGGAGAGCCTGCATCATCTTTCTTTTCTTCCAATTGCTGAATTTCATCTTCTAGATCATCGTCATCGGCTGTAAGAACTTGAGTTATACCAACAGCTTTCCATATCGATTTTGTTGCTGCTCCTTCCTCCTCTTCTACTCCTCCTTGTCCTTGTTCTGGAGCCTATTTTTTTAACATAAACTTTTTAGCATCATTCTAGTAGAACATGAGAACAAAATTACGTTAATTTACCTCTACAACAATGTATTCACCGTGCTGTTGGCAACCTAAATCAAAGACATATTTTCCTTTTCCTTTGGGCTTTTGAGATGCAAAGAAATGATACTTAGACAGAGCGAAAACAATCATTTGCTCTCTTACCTTATCTTCGACGTATGGTCCAACGTATTTATGATTTAAGTGAATAAGTTCACCTTGGCCTTCGCGTTTTCCCTCTTTCCAGGTACCGACATATTTGGAACCGGTTTTTGCGAAAACATAACAACCTTGACCATGTCTAAGATGATTTTGCCATTCTCCGTCAAAGGTGTCCCCATTAACATAAAAATATTTTCCGAAACCGCATCTTTGATCATCTGCCCAGCTACCTTCATACTTAGAACCATCCGGATAAATGAACATTCCTTGACCATGTTTCTTCCCCTTATTCCATTCTCCTATATATCGTGCTCCATTTTTGAATCTAAAAGAATGATAATTTTATTAACTGTACTGTTAAATTTCTGTTATCACTTTAAATCTCTAAAGATTCACATGGTAACTAAAGACTCTCGAGGTTAAAATGTTTAGTTTTTTCAGCCTACAAACAAAAATGATATTTGATTCAAAAGATTAACCTGTATGTTCCTTGACCATGCCTTTTATTATTTTCATACATTCCCTCGTATGTATCACCATTCGAGAGGGTTGCTTTACCTCGGCCGTGCCTCTCTTCTTTATCATTTCTCTCGCCCTCGTATGTCTAAATTTCGAATTTTACCTCTTTAGAAAAATATTTACAATGGTTTATTTGCGAAAATTTACCCCCAAGTTAGCTCCTTGTTCATCTTCATATTCTGATCCGTCTTCAGACATTTTCAATTATTTTAAATCAACGAATTAATAAATATAATATTTTAAACCTGTCTATGCTATGTCGTTGCTAAGCGACTTAGAGAAATTTACCAGTTGTCAGTTGCCAACGGTATATTTTACATTTTGAAAATTCGCGCCACAAATACAAAAAGATTCTTTTGAATAAAGTTTTCCTATTAATCAATATTAAACATGTTTAGAGTCGTACTTGATCTTCCTGAAAAAGAGAGAATAACACGATAAATATATTTATATTGATATGAGTTATTTAATTATTGAGAGCTGCAATGCTTTTATACCTTTCGCGGAGCAATTCAGGCAAAAAATAATAATTACCATAGTTGCTTTCCAGTGGATTCTTTGATGATAGCAGATTATAGTATGAATTAACTGAATGGAAAATATTGAAGTGTTATGGAATATGGAATATGAAATATTGATCAAATAGAGAGATACAATAGTCAAAATAATATCTTTTAGACACTTAATATCTTAAATTCTTGTTTAAATTAGTTTTAAGACTCCTGAATGGCTGATTAAAGCTAATCCAGTATTATTTACAGTCTTGCAGTTACAGTATGAAATATCTACTTAAAAAACTGTTATTCATTCAAATAGTAGACTATAAACACAACAATTTTAGTATTTACTAACGTGTCTTACTCAAAATCCAAAAGATTTTCATAATTTGCCTTTCTATTTTCATCCAAATTTTCGACAGCTTAGCACAAACGTTTAAGTAAACTTTAAGCCGATAAGAGCTAGATTAAAGAACGTATACGTAGCCGTCTAAACTTGCCCAAGTTCACACTGAGTTTTCTTCCTCTATTTTTTTTTTTAAAAAAAAAAGTATAAAATTTTTATTTGAGTGCAAAATTTCTTTTATTGTTTTATAGTAAAAAGATAAATATATATATATATAAGTTTCTATAGCAAATAAATTCTACTTTGGCCGACAGCACAAAAAAGGTGTAAAAAAAAACAAAACAAAGGTAAAAAGGATAAACTCTTGATTATCAACACGCCAAAAAATTGATTTTCATTGAGCAGTCAGCTTTTTTCAACATTCTTTATATATCTTCACTTCAGAATCCGATGGCATGCAGAGATAAGACTTTGGCTTTAAATTGTTTATAATTAATTAATTAATTAATCAATCTAATTAATTTAATTAAAAAACTTTTCCTACTTTATTAAAAGAATATTTATCGCCTTTTAAACTTGATAGTTCATTTTTCAATGAATAAATCTGATCTTGTAATCTTTGCTTATCATTTTGCCAATGTGAGGATTCTTGTAAAATTTGCTTTTCCATGTTCGAACGAAAATCATCGTGAAATTTTTGAGCTACAATCTCATTTTGATGTTGATTTATCATTGGAGGCTGATAGGGTAATTGAGACTTTTCCAGTTGCCTAGGTGATTTTGATAATGTCTGTTGTAATTTATTTATTTGATCAACGTGTTCGGCAATTAATCTTTCTTTTAAAGCATCGAGAGCAATCATCTGTAAAAAGTGAAGTTTTATAAAAACTGCAAAGAATGTTCAACTCTAACCTTATCCTTATGGAATGATTCTCTTATCTTGTCGATTTCACCGCCTCTCTTCCTTTCGTATTGTATAACTAATTGTTTTACATTCTTTAAATCGGATTTAATTGCATTATAAGAACGTTTTAATTCCACCATTATACTACGTAAATAGCTGAGAGATGATCCAAAGCTGTTCTTTCTATTTTGTGATCCATTTTCATTAACAGGGATTTGAATAGCAAAGTTTTCAATAATTTTTCTGCATTCATCATGCATTTGAGACGTGATATGCTTTTCGAATCTATCGTATTTTCCTATAGCTTCCCTCTCCCTTAAGAGAGCGTCATTTCTCTCCCGTCTGAGATTGGATAGCTGAATTTCGACATTTTGTAGGAGACGCTGCTGCTTATCGCAGTCCAGTAAAGTCTGATTTTCAGCGCAATTTTTTATTTGATTAACTTCTTTATGCTTTTTAACTGTTAATTCGTGACGAAGTTCGGCTAAAGCGGACTGTTTTGAGTAGATAGTGTCGTCTAATAGGCTTTGTAGCTTGTCTAACTCTTGATGAAGACGTTCAATTTCGTCGCTTTGACGCTCGGTTATTGCTCTCTCTCTATGGAGTTCATCTTTGGTTGTGTTAAGAGCCATATTCAATTCCGAACGAAGGTTATTAATATCGATTTCATGGCTTCGTTTCTTTTCCAATTTCCATTGTTTAAATTCATTAATTACGTTTAAACGACACTCTTCCTCCTTTAGTTCCATTCTATTTTGCAATTCATTTATTAAATCATTCGATTCGTCCAATTTTCCTTTTAGCATTTGATTTTGTTCAATTTTAGCCTCAATTTGAGATTGTAAAAGAGAAACTGTCTGCTTATGAGCTTCTTGCGTTTGTTGAAATTGGTCATTAAGAGCCGTAAAACTCTTTTGTCTCTCTTCCTCTAACAAATCCCTTTCTGCCTTCATAATCCTTTGACTTTCGCTTAGAGATTCATTTAATGCTTTTTGCGCATCTTCAGCTAAAACAGCCAACTTTCTATCATTACAATTTGCATCCTTTTCCAATTCTCTTAATTTTAATTTTAAGCGTTCATTCTCTCTACACTGTTCGGCAAGTTCGGATTTAGTTTTAGCTTGTTCATCGATTATCTCGCTTAATTGACGTCTAACTTGATTAGTCTCTGCTTCGGCCATCATCTTTATATCAGATATTTGCGAGTGAAGATTCTCTTTAAAATCATTAGTTTGTACCGATTTCTTAGTCATAATATCTAAATTCGATTCCTCAAGCTTTCTATATTTTAATTGAAGATTATAATATTTCTTTTGAATACTATTGAAATCTTTGCTAATTTCTTCGTACTTCTTTTCGGATCTAGATAATTGATGATTTAAATCATCGTTCATACTCTTCCATTTCCTTTTCTCGTCTAAAGTTTCATTACTTAAATTATTTAATTGCTTCTTAAACTCATCCTTCTCGCAAGCAACCGAATCCAATTGGTCATTTAAAGATTTCTCGAGGGCACAGAATTTTGTCATCCATGATTTTCTTTCACTTTCGACAGCTTCTTCAATAGATTTATTGATTCTCGTATTCTCCACCTTAACATCGTCAATTTCTCTTCTACTTTCCAGAATTTGTCTACTAAGTGCCTCGTATTCTTTAATTGTCGCATCTCTTTTAAATTCCGCCAATAGTTGTTCAGCTTTTACCTTTTCTAACAGATTACGACATTGTTTAAGCTCCATTTGGGTCTTACGTAAAATTTTTTTGTAATTTGTTAAGTCTCCGTGGAGTAAGGACACATCTGTACTATTTATCGTATCCGCACTTATAGTTGATACCTTAGAACTAATGGAATTCTCCCTTTTCGAAGATCTTCTAATCGTAGGTTTAGTGCGGCTAGGCATTATAGGCTTACCGTACTTTTCCAAAACTGAATCTCTTTTATTAGAACCATTTAAAGGTCGGCATTCGTTTTCCACAATTGTTTGAAAGCACTTTTCGAAATCCTCTGTTTTAATTGAATCCGTTTCCAATCGATTTTCATCGTCAACATCCCGATCCCGTGGGGTGTACATCTCGAATTTACATTCATTGTCCGTTGTAACTTCCGAATAAAAACTAGGAGCAGCGTAAGACTCATAGTCCCTAAATTCCGACAAATCAGTACCCTCGGAACAATCCATTTAGCAATGTCTATATTTAATAAAGGCCGGATTCTATATGCACAAACTATTTCTTCAATCACTTCGCCATCATGAACACGTTCGAACGCGTCAATTATCGATTATATTATTTCTTTTTGGCTGTTTCTTTTTTTGTAATGTAGCAAAAAACAGGCACCTTCTTGGCGCCACTATCGATTTACAATAGTTACTAAGCACCCAAAGACCCAAAACATTTAAGGATTATTATTCTCTTAAAATATCTCCAAATAGCCCTATAGGCTATTTATACAATAAATTGTCTCTTTTGGTTATATACTGTTCTTGTAAAAATACAAATATTACTTTAAGATTGTCATTGAAACACTATTAATACTATAATAAAACAATTGATTAACAATGACATTCAAATAAGTTCTTTTCAATCCCATAAACTTTTCTTTTCGCTCTCTCTCTCTAACACGTATACACACACATACTGTATTCATATATATATATATATACAGCCCCATTGACCAGAACCGATTATACGACACCTGTGTATAGTAGTATCACGTGATCAGTTGGCGGGAAAAATACACTTTAACAATGTATTCATCCTTAACGAGATAGTAATTAATAAAGCTTTTAAAATGGACATATATAATCATCTACAACCAGATAGGAATCTGAAGTATTTCTTTAGCTAAGTGAGCGAATGAGAGTTTCTTTTAATAGAAGTGGATGAAGAGGAAAAAGGGGAAAATAAATCATTTAAACTACTTTGTTCCTTGAAAAGAAAACCTATTTACTATTTGGTATTATCTCCTCGATATTTTATAGCCTTAAAATGATGATATATATATATTGTATGTAAAATAGGATAACTATGGTATTATATAACAAAAAAAAGGATAAAGAAAAATTTGATAATATTTACTTAAAAGAATAAAAGGCCAATGAAAAAAAATATTCAAAGTAATCAATTAAATAAAAGACATTTGATATGTTTTAAATAGTTTGTTGTTTTTCTCTTTTCTCTCTCTCTCTCTATCTATCTATCTATCTATCTATCTATCTAGCTCATTCTCTCTTTTTTAACATGAAAGAAATGGTACACATAGGACTATTTTTAGTTTGTTTTCTTTACTTAATTATTTATAGGAATTCTAGGAATTTATTTTTTTTTTTTAATACGATTGACCGGTTTCGTCCCATTATTAGAACATGACCCACAGATGGCTTCCTTTTTTATTATTAAGTGGCTCCCCCTTAAGTTCAAACAGAAAAAGGCGGATTAGATATTAAAAAAAAGAGTCATTTATATCTGTTTATTATTTATTGCATAAACATATAGTATATAGGATTGAAATATTTATATAAATAAATAAGAAAAGGCTAGGAAAAATGATTGTTATGGAGAAAAATAATTATTTATTATTAATTCCGTGTCAAAAATCTATTATATTCCTCCTTTTTTCGTGAAAAGAAAATGTCGATATAAAACAGCTTTTTAAGCTTAATAGCTTTATAGAATAATGTGTTAGAAAGGTCGTAAAAAAAGGAAAGTGAAATGAAATTTGCAGAGAATGAAAAGAAAATGTTAAGAAAGAAATACTTACTCTTAACTTAGTGTAAACTTTCTAAATGGAAGGAAAATAGGATAATTATCGGTTTTGCATAAACTTTTACTATTGAATTATAACGATAACGAATAACGAGTTATTAATGAAACAATGTAAAAAAACATTGAAAGGAGTCAGTTATTTTTGTAGGATAATTGATCTTTTATGATTGAAGAATAATAAGAAATAGATAGACATTTCCTTCTTCTCCTTCTTCTTCTTCTTCCTATACTCTTTTTGTTAGACAAAATGAAAAGAAATGTAATTAAAATGCTAGTTTTCTTTTAACTAGAGGAAGTATTCATCCTCGGGGCGTTGCGCTTTTATATAAAAGAATGTACATAATCCTCGATCTTCCTCAACAGTCGATATCCTTTGCGATGATTCTATTAAGAAATAAATACAAAACAAACATTGCTACCCTACAGAACAATCTTTAGATACACCACTCCATTTGCTTATGTTTGCTAAACCCTTCTCATATAATTGAAGCCTAATAAAACATTATGTGTTCAATTACTCTTAGTAATCAGTCAAATAGCGAACGGAAATGGCTAAATGGGATGCTGGGATTGAAATTGTATGTTGAGATCGAATTTAGTGAAGGGGAAAGCGTTTTCCTTTTTTTTTACACACGCGATGGACTCATCTGAAATTTGTCATATCGATAAGTGTTTACTTGACGTGACCCTTGTTTATAGAGAATATTGACGTTTATGATGAGTGAGCATAATAGAACATGTCATATGGTTCGGTGACGTTTTACGACGTTTACTGTGCTTCAATTTTTATAACAACGAGAAATTAGCATACTTTATAAATATATGCACATCCCTTCTTCTTTTTCTTTTTTGTCTCTCTATCCGTCCCTGGCGCTCTCTCTCTCTCTCTCTCTCTCTCTCTCTCTCTCTTGCATTACATTTTATTTTATTATAAATTTTCAAAAGCACCTGCCTCTTTCCCCCCTTCCGGAATTTTTAACTACAAGTGCTTGTACTTGAAACTACAAGGCTTTTCTTTTGTCTTACTTTGTTAAACATTTAAAAAAATTCAATATTCATTTTAAAAAATGAAAAAGATAATAAATTCGCTCTTTTTTCTCTTTCTAAAGAAAAGTCTGTTTTTAGCGGACCAACTGTCATTTTTACTTATTAAATTCAGATTTACGGTCAGTGGATACGAAAAGGCGGGTCGGAAGGAGGTCATAATGAGACTTTTTATTAAATCGATGAGTTATAATTATAACCACAATATATGTGATTAACGCCTAAATATAAGTTTACGACTTAATATATTGTGCAAGTTTATATAGGTGTGCAGTCAACTTATTCTTTATGAAAGAAAAAGGAGAATCGAATTTAGGTGAAAAATAGGCATTCCGTTCCATACGAAAACGTCTTTAATAAAGTTTATTATGTTATTCTTAACGATTTTCTTGAATTCGTTAAACATTCTCATATGACAAAACAGCTTTGGGCGCTGTCAATCAGCGGACCACCCACTACCGATACTATTAAAACATTTAACATCTTCTTAATGGCAATTTCAATGTCACTGTCGCTGTATTATTTTAACCAATTTCAACTTATTTTGCTTGGCTTGCTGTGTGACGAGTGTATGACGTGATGCTCCTTTTTATTTTCGTGACGTCATGTTGACGAAGAGAATTAGTATGGTTAAATTGGAATTTTGAAAGGAATTTCGGCCCATTTCTTTTTACCCCGCCCATCGAGCCGGCTAGGCCTAATTTGGCACACGCAAGATTCCCGAATTTGGCGGGTAAAGTGATAAATTCTTTAGGAAATGTCCAATGAAAAAAATGCCCTAAGGGCTTGAAATTTAAGGAGACATCATACTCCTTTTTACAGTCGTAACTACCGGGGGAAATAGGGAATCGTTTAAACAGCTCAATACAAAGTCGACTGACCACAACTGACCATGGGAAGATTTAAATTGACACTGCGCTGACATCTTTGTGACGTTCAATTAGAGCATTAAACGGCTACCGCCGATATTCTAGAAGAGAGCATTTCTAATGTAAATCTAAACATAATAATGAGAATAAGACTAGATATAATTTTTAATTCGTTTATTTATTCGTACGCATGTAATTGAAAGCCGAAGAGAACATAGAGCTTTTGTCTGCGATCATGGATGGTAAATAAATGAAAAAGATGTGAATTCACTTAACCCCCTTTCATCCGCCGCCATTTAAACAGGCTTGTAAAGAGATTTGTGTATATTTAGATATTTGTAAAGAATATTTGTCAATGAATTGTTCATCTCCTTATTATCGGATTTTTAACAATATATAAATATATTTTCCTTATCTATATACATATATGTTTACAAGTACAAAATATACATTTATGGAATTTTTCTGTATATCATTATATGAATAAATTAAGTTTATTCTTATTAACTTTTAACATAGTTTCATAATTACAGAATATATTTAAATATGTATTTATAAATATATATATATATATATATATAGATATATATATATATATACATGTATGTATACTATATATATATATATATATATACTTCCGCATGTATACACATATAATTCTTGTTTTAATAAATATAGACTCATAAACATGCATACATGAAGAAAATTCTTAATTCTCTCTCTTTTTAGTAAGAACGTAAGTCTATACGCTTAAACTTTTTATTGCAAAATGGAAAAAAAAAACGAATAATTGCAGAACAAAACGCTAAATTGTTATTCAACTTATTCAACTTGTACAGTATCCCAATCTTCTTCTGATTCTTCGTCGTCATTTTTCATCTTTTCAAAATCATCTTCATCTCTTAGATCGTCGTCCATTTTTATTGAATCACTTGAATTATTATTCCCAGACTTATTTCCAGCTTCTTCGGCTTTCATTCTCTTATATTTCGTACGCCTATTCTGGAACCATACTTTTACCTGTAAAAGCAATGTTCATAAAAGTATTAATAAGTTTTTCTATAAAAAAAAAATTTCTTTTTTAAAAGTATTTCCGCTTTTCCTAATGATAATCGCAGAGGGGCGAAGGATGAGGAAAGGGGGGAGGTGAAAATCAATGAGAGTATCTACGAAATCTATAAATATACTTGGTAATTATCCTAAAACACGCTCCGGCAACGTAAACAGAATAATAGAAGAGAAAATATGAGAAAATGTTGCTAAATCAAATATTATTTCGGTGAAAATGAGGTGAACGCGATAGAAATTGGCTACAATAAAACACAGGCACGTTCTTTTTGTGAAAAAAGTCACGCTCTCCAAATATAACATAAAGCCATCAATGTAATAACTTTCAATATGAATCGTTCGTGTGTAATGAATGTAGATTTATGCATAGCAAATTAATCCTATTCCATTTCCTGTAGGGTAGACGTTGAAAGGAGTACGCGGTGGTCAGGCGTTTTCAACTCGTTTACTAATTTCTAGTTGATTAAACATTAATGTCTTTTTCATCAATTTCGGGTTATGACTCTGAACTCTACGTTTGACCTCTCTGCGAGAGTTTGTCATATTTTAAAAAGGAAACTAACAAATTAATTAAACAAGAAATGGGCTTTTAGTGTGTGATTTATGATTTATACAGCTGTTGATTTTTTCGACACCCCCTACTTCGATACGTCCCACACTTCCTATATCTCTTTGTAAATATACTGTATATAGATATTGTACAATATCCTTTTCAAAAGAAGTTTTTTTTTGTATAATATATATTTTCAACAGATTTTCCGACTTTACAAGTCAATATATCGTTAACTTACTTATAAATTTTCTGACAGGTGTCAATCACTACGCTTATTTATATTTATTATTTAAAAAAGGACTTTTAGAAGATTATCAAGATTCCTCTATCAAATCTTGGTAATTCCCTTATTCAAAATTTGTTATCTTTTTTCCATGACATCGCGTACATCACAAGTATAAATTTACATTGAGATTAATTTTTTTATTGATTTGTTGTTCAAATTCCTTTTAACTATTTAGTTCTGTTGTTATTGACCTAGTTAGAATTTTATATCTTGTCTCCGCCTACTTTAGTTTACATAGATAACATATTTCTTCTGCGAATGGAGCAAATTACATTAACGTGGAAAAAAATCATTATGTAATTTTTTACTTGTTAGGGGCGTCTCGTTTCGGGTCGACCTGTCCGCTCAATGTAAAATAAACCCTCACCACCCACTGAGCTCGTGTACACAAAACAATCTGTTACCAAAGTGCGTAACCCAATACATAAGCGATTATGATACGATAACAAGACATAATTTTGTATGATTGATACGGCTTTAAAGGCTTATTATGTTCTCTGTAGTTTTTTTTGATTTTCCCTTATTTACAACGTGTTAAAGATACTATTTCAATCGGCCTGTCCAAGTTTATTTCAGGTGCCATTAATTTAAATACAATTGATACGTTGGTTTTTATATATTATGTTATTATTAATTTTAAAAAGTGCCTACTAAACCAATAAATGCCTCGTTTAAGGGAAATCCATTTAAGAATTAATGGAAAGAGTGTCATGATAAATTTGCATACTAGCAGGCCTCACCCCCAGCAGAGATGCCACAAACAACAATGACCATTGACAATGAGAGAGCGCTAAGCAATTATTCTTTATTGAAGTCATTATATTAATGACGCCACAATTTCGAGCTATTTAACTATTTTGCCAGTAAAAACTGGGGTATGTAATGAGCAATTTGTTTCCAAGTAGTAAGCCCCTCACACGTCAAATCAATAGAATATGCGACCTAATTAAATTTGTGCGACCAACTGACCTGTGTTTCTGTTAAATTTAGACTGGCGGCTAGTTCTTTTCGTTCCTGTCCAACAACGTAGTGGTTCTTTTCGAAAGCGTGTTCCAGCTGCATTAAATGCGAAGGACTAAAGGCCGTACGTATTCTTTTTGGCTTTCGGAAAGGTTGTAGTAAGAAGCTAAGATCAGGAGCTAAAGAAAATGAAAAAAAAATATAAAGTATAAAAGAATGAAATGAAATGAAAAGTGTCAGCGGACTGACTGAGTGAAAGAAATCAGTCAATATCGATTAACGGGCAATTATATCAGTAACAGACTAATATTGGAAAATGAAAAGAACACAAACTGAACGCGTTCGTTTCCTAAGCTTTCATGTTGCAAAGAGTAATATCCGTTATTAAGCTCTCATACAAATTTCCTTATTTAGTTTAAACGCATGTTATGCTCAATAAGCAGTTCGAACAGCGTTTTAATTTGCGTTCTGTATATATTGATATGCGGTTTGATCTCTCCAAATGAGTATTTAGATTAAGTAATATATGTTTACCTAGTCTATGAGCAGCTGCAGCGGCGTGAAAAGATGGAGAATATCTAAGTCCACCTCCCGCCAACCAAGGATAGGACGGTAGAACGCCAGGATGTTGAACGAAATCAGCTCTATTCTGATTCTGGAACATGAGAAATCTTTGAAGGCTGTCGTTTTGACTAGGATTCAATCCCATAGCTAATCCCGGAGCAAAGGCTGGTCGAAATACATTATTAGGATTTTCAGGTCTATTTAATCTGAGACCAGGTAGTGCCGATGATGGTAAGGAAGTTGGTGGATGAGGTGAAGGGGTTGATGACGTGGAACTTTTCTTGTCCTCCTCGCATTCTCTTTCTGACTCTTTACCTATCAAAGAATCAATTGAAAATCCGGATTTTCTTTTCGGTAAGCCACTAATCTTCATCATATTCGTGCTAATGAAATTCTAATCCGAAAGAAAACTTTAACAAATTTCTTGCAGCAACTCGTAGATGTTACATAGGAAAGCTCGTCAAACGGACTGAAATAGATCAGCTCTAAGACTCATTATCATTCATTATTGACCGCTTTATGAATGCACATTTCACGCAGGCATTTCTAGAGAGCTGATTGGCTGGTAGGCGTGGCTATACAAATAACTTTTGCGCGTAAAGTCCAATATACACTTTTACGCCAGTTAGTTCGATCTGCCTTATATTTAGACTCCTATAAACGAACCAATCAACGTTCGTTCCGCCCTGAAAGACAGTTATTGCTCCTATAAACTTTTGAATTGCTCTTTTAACGCGATTTTGCTTTTGTCCTATTAATTTCTATTTTGTAATGATAAAAAGCGTTGGAAGTGAATGCATGAGAAAAGAATTTTAATAGGTGCTACTATGAGAATCACTGTAACAATATACAAAACTACGAATGAGTTGAATACTTGATATTCACTTATACTTTATTATGTGTATCGAGTGCTTAACATATAAACTTTGTATATAATAGTTGATAAAAGAGGAGGAAACCACAAAATTTCGCAACGTTTATATTCAACATACTGCAAATATGTTAATCGTTTTTTATAGAATGTTTAACTAACTTGGTTCTCTTGACGAGCAACAAACGAACTTATATAGATAAACATCTTACACTGACACTTCAATAGCGAAGTGGTGCTTGGTTCAATCTTCAGACACTTGGTTGATATACGTATCATTTAGATTGAAATCATTACGCATTATAGTATGTATGATAAATGATCTTTGGAGTGTTTAGAAAGGGAGAAGAGAAGAAAAAGAAAAATACTAGTTTACGTTTGTACTGCCCTTTACCACTTGAACGCATCTGCTCTTTTGCCAGTTGGATAAAAAATATGAAAAATCTAGATTATATATAATTTAAAACTCTATTTATTATGTGTATTAATGCATACAAAACAGGTAACAAAGAGGATAAATCATTGATCATTGATAAGAATCTGAAATAAAAATTGCATTAAACGGCTAAATTGTAGAAAATAATATGGTCCCGAAACCCTTGAGAAAATAAGAAAGGGTAAGCAGGTTACAATTTGCTTGAAATCAGCAAATAACAGAGCGCCTTTTGTCGTTACGTCATAGATCAGAATTTGTTTGACACGGGGAATAAAAAGTAATTTCGATTTAGCGTGTACGTTGCAATCACCACCTGCCTTGCAGAGGATGTAATATCAATAATATGCGCATTTAAGTCGGGAATATATATTATTGTATTATAGGCTTAGTAAAGAAATTCCTTTTACAAGGCTATGATAAATAGAACTTGTCCACGGGGGATGTTTTTGTAAGAAGCAATACAATAGGAACGTTCTGATAGCTTGGCCTGACGCGCACCAGATAGCACCATCATTATTACTTTTATTGTCATTTAATGATAAATATCACCATGACACTGGTCTAATACTCGAAAAAAATGTGTTTCTTTTCTCGGTTAATTACTCGGTAAATAAGGAGGATGATTAGTATCTAACTATGAATGGGAAGGGGAGTATGGATAGGATGTTAATTTCATTTTATAGGTGTATGCGCCTTCATATAAACGTGATCGGGTATGCTGCTTATTGACACACGTGTTTGTATTTTGGGGACATTCATTTCTCACCCCTTTTATGTATGTCACGTGTAAGTAATAAAGAGTTTATTGTTGAACAATTTTACATATATAACACGAGTCAAAAATATATGGGCATATTGCTTTGTCGTTTGACAGCCTGGCAAACAGGTTGTCAGCAAACACGTTAAAACAATATACAAATAACGCAAAGAGTTAGTATCTTGACAAACTTCAATGGAACGCCATGTGTCAGGTAAAAACTGGATACGATCTTTTGATCTTTTTTATTAAGTGTTAATGGCGGATGGGTTGGATTACTTGGCGAGTGTGTTAAGTCGATAAAATTCAAAAAATTCTAACATATAAATGATTATTTGAATATGTTTATTATCTTTATCATTATCTGTAAATAGACAGAAGAATGAAGGTAAATTTAGAAGATAATAAAATACGGAATCCGATCGAGCCGCATTATCGGCGGAAAAACAACATTACACAGCCGATTCGCAAGGAATTACACACCTCGAGCTTTTGTGAACAATAATTGAGCGAGTGAATGTTTGTGAAAGAGCTTAACCAGAATAGAAGGGTAATTTTAACGTCTAAGCTGTTCATATTTAGAAATAAGTGGATGGTCACGTTTGCCGAATTAAATAAGAGAGTTTATTGTTAAGTGCGACATCTGTGTAAATATATATTCCTGTATTGTTTGCTACTTTTCGATATCTAAGAAGCTATATAGAATTGTTAATTGACTTATTTCCTTCTTAATAAATTTTAAATACAACTCCTTATGCTTTTATTTATCTTCCATTATATTTGAATATTCATAAAAATTAATTTATTTCCTACAAATGTTCATTTATTCAATTTTATTTTCAATTTTTATGTTTAAATTTCTATTGAATAAATATTTAATTAAAACAAAATCACTGTAAAAATTATCAATTTTTTTTAAAAAAAAAAAACTAGATGATGAAAAAAAAATTGCAATCGGTTAACAACTGTTTGATATATGAGCGTTAAGTGTCAAGGTTGGTAAAAGGTTATATAGAACGCCCTCTAGACGCTTGAGCAGTGATGTGAATATTGTGATAATGTATTGAGTCTGATTTATTATTGTGCATGATTACGGAGGTTGTTAAAAATGTCAGATGAGTGAAGTATGAGTATATTTGACATTAATAACCTGTATATTTAAGGTCAAATAACGTTAAAGAAGCTCTTCATTTTTCTTAATATATCAAGACGAAAATAGAGACGAAGAGCCGTAAAAAATTGAAACTAATTAAATTATCGTTTAGAAAAAAGAAGCAGTTAACATTCCTTTCTAAACGTTTTACCATTACGTAACCTATTTATTTAAGGTAAAATGGGAAGAAAGCTTTCTTTCATTTGTCAAAATTATCTAAAAGTACTTAAAAAACAACCTTTTCCGCGGAATGAACAACTTTAAAAAGAAAAGAAAAAAAAAACTTTGATAACATATGTTTTCATAGGAGGCGCGCCTTATCACACGAAAGAGCGGTGTCGCCATCTTTAGTAATTAGATATCAATTCGTCTGATACAAATAAATTTGCCCCATTCCATTTGATAGTTTACGCCCATTTCCTTTCATATTTTAAATCCAACAAAGACGTCTTAGACATATTTCCTTTTTCGTTATTTTTAATTATAAACATTAGTTCTACATATTTCAAGATCAAATACGATATGTTTAAATTCTTTATTATTCTGCACTTAGCTAATGAACAGGGTTCTCTTTTTCTCTTTCTATCAGTCTATCTATCTGTCTGTGTAACTTGTCTCTCGCTCTTGCCCTTCTCCCATTGCTCTATTTCGCTTTACCTCTCTCTCTCTCTCCTTTATTAGCAAATCAGTTCGTTGTTTATCTATATTTTTTTTTTATATAGCAAGCAAATGATTATGTTTAATCGCCTTTCACCGCAGTTATTTTAAGCTGTTTATCTACACAGGAAAGTAACGGCTTTTCTAAATTTACCATAATTAATTAATGAATGAATTGATAAGGGTAATTTATTAAGCAAAAAAAAAAAATAATCAAACAATCTTAAACGTTACGTTACTTTTGCAAAAGAAAAGAGTTAAATTATTATTATCCTTTAACGCAATCGTTAACGATCACTTTGGAAAATATAATATTTAATGCATTTTTCCGTCAATACGCTTATTCTCGTATTTATTTGGGCTTTCCAATGCTAACAAGTTTTATAGATTTTAATTTTTCACAAATAAAAAGCTAATTGATACAATTCGTTGATAGTTTTGTTTAAAAAAAGAATTATTCTAGTTCACGCCTAGGCCTATATAGCAAAGTAGTTAACGACAGGTGTTAAAAATATATGAACTTGTTAACAAAAAACAAAAAATAATTAAAATAATGGTAGCAAATTTATTATTATTGTTTGTTAGAAAGCGAATGGATGGAAACGGTTAGAAAGTAATAGTAATTATTATGGAATACGACGATTCTGACGATGATTCAGTTCAAGATTATGAATATAAGTATGTTAGAAGGAGAGGAAAGAATTTCTGTACTTGTTGGCCGGAAAGGAATTTTTCTTTTCAGAGAATGAATATTGACTCTTATTTTTACCTGCAAACAAATCAACCTCTCGATAAACCAAGTGATAATTTAGATGAAGTGCTTAGTCAAGGTAATTTAGATTTTTCATCTCTTGTTTATCTTCCTTCATTCCTTTGCCCATTTATCTTATTTCGAAATAGCAATATTATAGATACGTAACAGTTGACCAACAAACAGAAATAAATATGATAAAATTTCTTGAATACGTAGTTGTTATCTCTAATTGATTATAGAGAAGTAATCTTAATAGATTTTTTCTTCCTTAATCAAAGCTTATTCAATTATAAAATAACAACTTAAAAAACTATGTAAAGAGGAATGCAACTATCAAGTATATTGATACTAAATAATTGAAAACATGATTAAATTACAATTTATATGTACAGAATGAATTTACTTTTATACTTATAGCTTACGTATATTCAATACGATTTATAATCAAGAAAATAGATATTTTGGAGAGTATGCATAAATTGTATTCTAAGAGCAAATAAGGCAATTGTTAAAGGGATAGTTGTGGAAGTAAAATGAAAAAAAAGAATTCAATTTTCTCATTTCTAACAATCATTCGACGAATATTTAATATAATTGTCAATTGTATTTTAATGCCAACTATACTCTATTTACATATATAATAAATAGACTTTATTAAATTAATTCATAAAAAAAATGGGCAATTGTTTACTTTAATACACTTTAAATTATTGTATAAAGTATATTCTATTTACATAGGTATAATGCATATAACAATCTTTATTTATTGGACCAATTTAATTAATCTAGTATATATATTTCTAATTTTATAGTTGAAACTATTTCGGAAAGAGATGATAAAGATAGTTTGTTGTACGAGGAGGATGAAGATGGTGGACGTTGTGGAAATGGTTGTTGGGGCGATGAGGACGATTCATTGGAAACTGATTATCTCCTAGGAGAAATATTTAGATATCAATACGGTCCTTTCTCTGCGCTAGCTCCTTCAATGATACCGAGAAATATGACTTCAAAGTTCAATAATAATGTTGATAAATTTAATTTATAATTCAATATAGAATTAGGTGAATTTAATATTTACTTTTAATTTCATTTCTAGCACGAATACGATATTTTAAATTTAAACTACGACGAATTCGGCAATAAAATCGAAGGTTACCTTCTACTATTCCTTTTGAATAAATAACGAAATCCAATAATTAATCAATTATATCATTTACTTTAAATAGATAGCTATTATAAACATTCGAATAAATTGTTAAATAGTACAACACTTAGAGATGTACAACAACGTAAACAATGGATTGGTTTTCTAAAATTATTACAAAAGGAATCTGAGCTTCATTCGTGGAGGATGGTTAGAAATCGTCTACCAAAAACTAAAGAATTATACGATATGGTTATCAAAGGCATACCCCATTCTATAAGACCTAAAATTTGGATTAGACTGACAGGTGCATTAAGTAAAAAATCAAAACTAGTAACATCTTATACGGATATGGTTAAAGCGAGCTCTATTGATCAACTACAATCTTCAAAACAGATAGAGAAGGTAATATGTTGTATCTTTATTTGTTCGCTATACAAGATTTACTAATAAATAACCTTGTTCAAAATAGGATTTATTGAGAACAATGCCAAATTCTGCTTGTTTTTGCAGTAAAAATAGCATTGGAATTCCGAAATTAAGGCGTTTGCTAAGAGCAATTGCGTGGCTCTACCCTGATATTGGTTATTGCCAGGGTACAGGAATGGTAATCTTATAGTATAATATACAGCGATGTTGACTAGATTATATCAATTCTGTATAATTCGTACGATAGATAGCTGCCTCGATGCTGTTAATTCTAGAGGAGGAAGATGCTTTTTGGATGGTATGTTCAATTATAGAGGATCTTCAACCGACTTCGTATTACTCGAATTCACTCTTAGGAGCTCAAGTATAAACAATTACTTGTATTATTTAACAAAAGTTTTTCTCTAAAGATTAGCCTCTTCTCTGTTAATTTTATTATTATTTTTCTATGATTAGGCAGATCAAAGGGTCTTAGCACAATGTATTAAGATTTATCTACCGGAAGTTGATAAATTATTACAGGAATACGATTTAGGTAAGGAAAAATATATCAAATTAATAAAAAGTATATAATTAGAATCTTTTAAAAAAATTACAATAGATGCTTCCGTAATATTTCTTCATTGGTTCTTAACGGCATTTGCTAGTGTTGTAAATATAAAAGTACTCGTTAGAATATGGGATATCTTCTTTTTCGACGGTTCTATATTTTTATTTAGAATTACCTTAGCAATACTAACATTAAAGGTAAAAATTGTAACTTTTAAGTACGTCGGATGTAATTAATCGTTAATTATAAATATTCTTTTTTTCTATATTTCCTTAGGAAAAGGAACTACTCAGTTGTAATAATGCTAATGATTTTGTTTTGACTTTATCCGAAGCGCCAACTTGCATTGATGATATTGAATATTTAATTCAAATTTCAACTGGATTTTCGAGTTCTCTTACGGAAAATCTTATTGAAACTTATAGGAGGAAATATCTCGCTTCATTACTAACTTCGAAATGTCCAAATAGTCAGCTAGATTCAACGAAAGAACGATCGGGACAGGTTATTTATTAAAAGAAAATAATATATAAATAATTTAAATATCCTATTTAGAATCTGGCTAAGAGATTTTCGTGGGGTTCTTGGCCGGCTATATCAAATGTTTTAAGGGTTACCAACGAAGATGACGAAACGCTTGAATCAAAAAATATTAGACAAACTAATATTATAGTTAATCTAAGAGAAGCTATACTGCAAATTGGCAAACATTTCCAGTCTCTTGATACTGAAAATATTAAATTGGTTTAAACTACATTTTTAATATTGTTAATAATATTAAATTTATCACTAACGAAATTATATCTACTTTTATAGAATTTAATGGTCGATTATACGATGAACAGTCATGCTAAAGATCTTGAAAATTACGCATCAGTAGATAAACACCATAGACGCCGGGCGAAGGCTTTAATTGATTTTGAAAATCATAATGAAGATGAATTAACATTTCATAAAAATGATATTATCACAGTAATAGAAAAAGCAATACTTATTGCCTTTTTTTTAAATCTCTTCAATATTAGTAGATGCAATAATCCTCTCATTGCTTTTAAATAGATTATTTCGAAGTGGGATGAACATATTTGGATTGCTGAATTGAACGGTGTCCGAGGGTGGATACCCGCTCAATTCGTTGAACTACTGGATGAGAGGAGTAAGAGTTACTCGTGTGCAGGAGATGATTCCGTTTCGGAAGCTATTACTGATTTGGTAAAAGGAGTGTTTGTATTAAATTAACGTTTCCTATTAACGCTATAGCTTTTTCTTTATTCAGATTATACCCATCTATTAAAGCTGTATTTGACTATGGCCTTAAAACATCGATGCTTTATCAGGCGCATCCATGGTACTTTATAGAAGAGGTAACATTATTATTCTAAGTACTAGACTAGATTTTCCACCTATAATATATTATTAAAGGCGACATTAGAAGAAGCTGACAAGCACTTAAAAAGTGTACATTCTCGTCTTGTTTTATGTAAAACTTATAAGTTAGACGAGGACAGCAAAGTATTAACTCCTGAAGAATTACTATACAAAGCTGTTCGAAGTATTAATACTACACATAGTTCAGATCGATCTTTGTTGGACAAAAAGTTCTGTAGCTTAATTTATTATGGACTTAAGTGAGTATATTAGCATATTTTTTTATCTAAACTTTTTACTAATAAGGTATGTTTTTCGTCTCAGCGAACAAATCCTTCATTTATGGCTTGAGAATTTATGTTCTTCAACTAAAATTGTAAATAAGTATTATCATCCATGGTCTTTCATTATGAGCCCTGGCTGGGTGCAGATAAAATGCGAACTAAGGTTCAAATTTGTGTATATTTTGTCAAACACTTGATTCTTTGTTTTAAAAAAACAGAGTTTTAGCAAGATTACCATTTTCTTTATCAAAAAATAGTCATTTTTCAAAGAGGAAATGTTTAAGGAAGCATATGAAAGAGATAAAAGCTGCTGTTTGCGATATGTTGATAAAACGTCATCTGTTTAGTTGGGATATGTGAAAACAAAAATACATAGAAATAAAAGAAACAAAGAAAATGTTTTCTATTTATAGACCTCCCCCCTCCGCTCATCACAAAAAAAGCAATTCCAACTAAATATATTCGATTGTTTTATCTTTCAATAAATAAATAAGAAAAATATTGAATATCTAGTTGCCTGTTCTTTTTTTAAAGAAAAAACATTAATAGAGCATCCTGTTCATTATTTCTATCTAAAGTATCTAAAGATAGTTTAGAACTACTTAATGAATTAGTATACAGTATATATTTAGTTTCTAAAGATTTTCCCATTGTATTATATTACTAAAAATGGAAAGGAAAACATGTTACTAATTAATGAATAATGATTTATATATATATATATATATATATATATATATATATATATATACCCGTATATTACAACAAAAATGTACAATTAAATGCAATACAATTGATTAGATGCTAGATGTTCGTTTTTAAACGTAGAGTATTTTCCTAGAATTAATTTTTAATCCTATTTATAGGATGTGCTCTTATGAAAAAGACTATTTCAACATCTTTAAATGGTAACAATTATTTAAATAACAACATTTTTCATTAATTGAATACGATAGCATCTTGCATTGTAATCTTTTTAAGAATATTAATATTGGTTACATTTGGATGAAGACAATAGGATGAGATTATTGAATTTTATTGTTCTTCTAACCTCACTGTAATAAGTTAAATTACATCATTTCGTTCGAAGAGTTTCTTTATCAAACGGGAAAGAGAAATATAGTGCCTATCTCTGTCAATAAAGATAATTAGAAGTTGATATATAATAAAAGGAAAATTTTGAACATGTCCTATTTTTTCAATCATTGATCTATATGTAAATAGGCCATAATTTGATTATAATGTAATGATAGTGACTCATTGTGTTCTGTATTACAGAAGACTATGTTTGATAGTGCAATCTAATACTAGCTAATATTTATACATAGATACTATTGCGTGAACCTATTAATATCTCGCTTTAAAATCATTTCGTATTAATTATAAGAGTACAAAGCATTTGCATATGCTAATGAATTGATTATTTGGTATTATCGCTTATCTTTGAACTGATTTCTAGTCTAATGATATAGCATCATGAAACAGTATTCACCTCAAAGAAATACTAAAAAAAATATATTATATCTATATAACATATAAATATATGAATTAAATTATCATGGCCTAAAGTACACCTATACACAAAGATTAGATAAAAGAACATTATCACCGTTAAAAGATGTTGAACTTATATCTATAGATTCTTTCAGGTCGCTAATTAGACTTCAGCTAGTGCTAGTGAATAGGAGCTTTAACTTTATAATCAGAATCATGGGTGGATCATCAGGAAAACTGAGTTGGCCAAGTGTAGCTTTACCAGAAGACCATACGGTTATAGTTACAGGCGGAAATAGCGGTAAAATTATCATTTTTATCTAAATTTTACGTTAAACTTTGTGTAAGGACTAGTTACTTTAACTTTGCAAATTATTTTTTCCTATTAAAATAGGACTGGGCTTTGAAACTGCAAAACATTTAGCATTAATGGGAGCAAGAGTTATTATAGCTTGTAGATCAGAAATTCGAGCTAGAGCTGTAAGTTATTTGAACAAAAGTATTTTATAGTCAGGAAATTCGATAAAAATGAAATTTTCATCTTTTCCTTAGGCTATAATGAGAATAAAAGCGGATCACATGGAATTTAACGAATTAAGTGAAGAAGAACGATTATGGGATTATCCTTTAATCAGTGAACCAAGAGTAGAGTTCATGTACTTGGATTTATCATCTCTAGAATCTGTTCAGAGATTCATACAAGAATTTAAGATGACCGGCTACTCGGTAATTATACACAAAGCCTTATCGCGCCTAGAGCAGTAATCATTTTATTATATTTGTTTCTTTCATAATTTATCAACTATAGCTTAATACCCTTATCTGTAACGCTGGAGTTGTCATGGTTCCGTTTGAGAAAACAGTCGATGGCTACGAAAAACATTTTCAGGTCAACTACCTGTCTCATTTTTATTTAACACTTGAGATGTTGCCACTTCTCGAAAAAGCAGACGATGCTAGAATTGTCCTTGTTTCAAGTAAATTACACGAATCGGGAAATTTCAGTTTTAAAACTCTACAAGGAAAGACTAAATACGATAGATCGGCTGCATACGCAAACTCCAAATTATATATGGTAGTATTTCTTCTCTCTCTTTCAATCCGATAAGATACACTAATTTTTTTCTTATCTATATTTAAAATTAGGTTATGCTCATGTTTTCATTGAAGAGACGTTTGGCAGGTAAAAAAATTAATGTATTTTGTGCCGATCCAGGATTAGTTCACACTAATGCATCAAAAAATTTCCGAGACGACAAAACGTTAATGACAAAATATAAGGTAATCTTTTATATAATTCAGTTATAATTACAGTTGATTAACTCTTTTTTTCGGTAGATGGCTAAAGCCTTTGGTATGCTACAAACCGATATTACTGTTGGCGCTGCAACCATAATTAATGCAGCAATTAACCCTCACCTGGAAGAGATGAATGCAACGTACTTTAGGGACTGCATTCCTGTCACGCCTGCTATTTCGTCCAGGTAAAGATAAAATATTTCTTCTAACTACATTATTACGCAATCGATTCATTTTCACATATGTTTAATAGAAACCAAAAGCTTCAAGAAGTCCTTTGGACATATAGCTTAAAATGTCTACTTGGAGAAAATCAGTCGAAAGAGAAAGTGTTAAATGATGAATCCATCCAGACTTTAAGAACAATATTCCATGACGTTACTATGGAAGATATTTATCCTTCAAAATAGAAACAATAATTTTATAGACTATCCTAAATGACTTACCAATAGTACTAAAAATATATTAGGCCTATGTCTATAGAGTATTGTTAATTTACTTAGGCTTTCATTAGAAAACACTGAAAAAAAAACCGAGTAAAAGGTACTTAATGTATGTATAAAGATAGTATAATAGATGTGTTTATTTTCAATGTCAACAGAATTTATATAAATATATATATATATATATATATATATATCTTTATATATATTTAAATCTATAATATATATAAATTTATATGTATTCGGTCTATTAGAAACATTTGTATACGTACGTATCAAAACCAGTTTATATAGAAAAAACGAAAGGTTCACTTTTATTTTGAACTATGTTAATATCATGAAAATAAATGAATATGGATGGCATATTTTTCTTGTGAATGGAATGATTTACTCTACTTTCTATTCGTAATAAATAATAATAATAATCTGGCATGTCTAGCTGTCATTCTCTGTATCATTCGGCTTTCGGCTAGCAAGCGCTTCTAACGAAGGAAACCGGTAAACTTACCTAACGAAGTTTAAAAAATAAATTACTTTTTCATTTTTGTCTTAAAGATTAATAGTAGAATTTTAAATTGGAGCTTTTTAAACAATTTATGGCAGAAGATAATTTAGGTATATATCAGACCGATTTCCTATTATTTAGTCTATTTTATTATTTTAATGAGCGATAATATGCAGACTATTCTTCGGAACATTCTAAAGTTCATTTTACGGAGGATTCAGGGAGCAAGACGCATGAACCTGAGATACGCGTACAATGTTTAGAAGATCACGCAGATATTCACTTAGGATGGTTGCAGGTTAGGATTAACCAATTAGGAAAATACCTTGTATAATAATATAGGGACTTGGATACCTGATATTTGTTTACAGATGAAACACATTTACCGTGTTAACTTCGATATTGACACGGATCTCTGCGAAGATATTGACTCAGATCCATTAGAGAACCTACATGCGAAAGTTATCAGTGTTAAATGGAAAGATGGTAAACATTCCGTAGAATTGGATTTGGAGCCTCATAAAGAAAAATTGATCAAAGAGAAGTTAACTCTCTACGAGAGAAAGGCAAAGTCAGCTAAAAAATTCGAACTTATACTTCATGCCCGGGTTTTGGGAGTTGGAAAAGGTACACCATCGCTGAAGAAAGGTATCAAGATCATAAAATCAATGCGTGATGAAGAGTCCGATCAAAGCGATTGGCAAGGTTTTTAACATGCTATATATTTATACATATTTAATTATTGGATATTTTGCTGTTGATTAAATACTCAAAAACATTCTTTCAAGTTCTCGTCTGTTTTGTTTTTTCTCAATAGTTCCTTGTTGCCTATCAGCTATCCGCTTTTTACGTTCCGTTTCCGGTATACTTATGTGACGCTTTAAGCTTTCGCGTAGGCCTATAAGCGTCATTCTTTTCGAGGTTGGTTCGCGTACCAGACTACCCTGAGTATTTATCTCCGGCAATGATATTCCGTAACTTATCGGATTAGACGACGTCTCTCGCGATACCATACCTTTCTTTCTCTTTTTCTCCACTACGCTCCTGTGTCCTATTTGTATAGGCGAGGGAAGGCGTCCTTGTCTTTCCATTGAGTCCGCCAGTTTACGGTAATCTTGAACAGTCCTCAATAAACGTAAAGATTGTCGGTCATTCCTAGATCTCATATCAGCGCTAAGCAATCGCCATGACATAAAGCTTTCCTCTTGTTTTTGCAATAGTTTGTGATAATCCGACATCCAAATGGATCGCGGAGTTAAATTGAGTTCTGTGTCTTGCCTGCGCATATTTTTTATGCTTTATGCTCGGCTAACGCTCTACGCAAAACATATTAATCCGGTATTCAAAAATGAACAATATATCTAAAGATTATTATTTAGTAATATAAACCAAATGTCGTCTACAGTAGCAAAAAAACACTAAAAAATGGTCAATACTTTGTAACCCAGGCGCCTTTTTTATTTAGTAACCGATTAAGGACTTTCTGTTTAAATATTTGAGCTCGTAGCTTGTTTCGCTTTGCTTCCGCTCTTCTCCTCTCTTCTAATTGCTTTTCGGTAATTTCTGGGAGTGTTTTATACAATTTTGCCGATCTCTCTCTAGCTTCCTTCAATGACACACATCTCTTTCTTGGTCTAAATAAACGATCAAATCTCGGATCAAAGCAAGCATCTCTTTTTCTATCGCTCTCGGCAGGTTCCCAAAATAGTTCACCCCTTTCACCAGCTCTAACAGTTTCGATTCGTCTCTCTTCGGCTCTAAGCCTTACACATTTTCTCCTTTCTTCAATATTTGAAATAGTTCGGCGTTTCTGGCGTTCGAACGCATCTTGGAGCGTTCCTTTTTGGTCAATTTTTAAGCTACGCCTTAGCTTGTTTAATAAGTCAACATCCTCGAAATTATTCAAATTTGACTTTTTGCTTTCGGAAAGAGTTTTTCTCTTTGAGTATTTAGGGCTTTCAGTAGCTATGAACCAAGCTTGAGACGTATTTCGTTTGAAAGTTGCTGGCTGATCAATTGTCCATGCCGTTGATGGCCTATGTCTTGTTGAATGATTCGATTTTGTGGAATAATTTACTTTTGGCTTTGAACTAGAGGTAACTTTTTCCGGGACGGATATAAATGGTCTTTCATTTGACGTTGACGTTGAATACTTCCATATAGAGTCGATTGATGATGGATGATTATTAGTGAAATTCTCCTTGTTTTCATCTCTTTTGTTTTTTGTTCTCACAGGAGACGTTTGCACAGATTTTTCCATAACAGTTTGCACGGCTTTTTCGTTCAACGAAATTGGAGATGGTACATTTACTCCTACGTCTCTTTTTCCCTTAGACGAAGGAACTTTCTTGGCTGTCGGAGATGAATTCTTTCTTGTTGACTTTTTCGAATAATCTACTTGCTTTAATCGGAGAGTGGTTGGAGCTGGAACAGCAGGTCTACGAACAGCTGCGGCTGGTCTCTTAGTCATTGTTTTGGTCGGTGGGTGTCTGGATGGAATGCGTTCATAACTTTCTTTATATTTAGTCTTCTTTTCACTCAGATCAGAGTCTTCTACCATTGTAGAGCTATCAGTTGTTCTTAAAGCACTGTCGGTTGAGACAGTAGTTGATTCATCTTTTTCAATAGCTTCAGCTGCCAGCTTCTCTAATTTGGAAATCTTTTCTTTACGTTTTTGTTCCATATATCTACCTCTTAAAAGCTTCTCTTTTTGGCGACGAATTTTAGAGTGTAATTTTAATAATTTAGGATCATCCGGAAGATTTTTCTGTCTATCAGATGAATGAGTAACTGAGCTTTCTAAAGTTGAATCTTCTGGTATACTAGTAAGTGTGGAGCCTGAATCTTGGCTTGTTGTTCCATTGCAATATATATCCAATCGTCGCTTAGAGTTACGACCAGCAGGGTTTAGGATAATTTCGACATCACTTCGTTCACTTTGTTCGCTACTTTCACTATGTCTTTCTGCTCCTACGTCAGATCTCCTTGATGGTTCCATTTGTCTGAGGAGATCTTGCTCATCGAGCGATAGAGTTGTACTCTGATAATTACTTTTATTTACATTTTTCTCTTCGCTCATCTTAATTGGATCTCGCTCATTCAATTCCTCAGGCTTAGAATAGGTAAAATGTTTGTTGTTAAATTCTAAAGCTGATCTACTCTGATTTAACAACCGTAAGAGGCGTTCGGTTGTTGGAGAATACACTTCTTCATCTTCTCCTCTAATTAATATATCATCAACTTTATTACTAGCATCGAGAGCTGTTGCAACTGCTCTTCTTGCCCTTTGAGTAGTTTCAGAGTCAGGTCTACTAGAAACCGAACGTTGAAAATTTATATTTGAAGGTAAATCACGATATTGATGCCATGATGATTCAGATGTAGGTCTGAAAGATGTTAAAATAATTACTCTCTTTTATACAAAAATATACTATATATATATAATAATAACGTTTTCTTATCTATTTCTCCAAAACTTTTCCGTTCTTTAGGTACGGACCAAGTTCTGTCATCTGATGTAAAATCTTGGCTTGTCGTAGCATACAGTCGACTAAATGTAGGGGTGTCTGTTTTATCGTCATTATGTAAGGACTGATAACTTCTAGCTGCTATTCTTTCAATCTCTTCATCTTTCGCTTTACTTTCGTCTGGTAAAGCACTACTCAGCTCATCTTCTACTATTGACAGATTTTCGTTCGCATTATTTTCGTTTGTATTGGATTCAAAGTGTCCATTTAACCACTTCTCCGTATCTTTAATAGACCGATTTAAGTCATCATTAGCATCTGACTGTTCAAAAATGGTTCCTAATTGCTCTTCGGTCTGAGCTTGAGGTTTAGAGTAGATACCTTCAGACGGTGCAGGATCTCTTCTTGTTCCATATGCCCAATGAGGGAGAGATGGCGGTCTAAAGTCGTCGCTTCCCGGATGAGTAGATTCAATCGTTGTATCACTAGGCGCTTTAGCGGTATCGCTGTGGAAAGAGAAACTCATGAAAATGATTAAATAACGGGCAGCGACAAGGTAGACGAAAGAGCGGGCAACTTAAAATAAGGCTATTTATTCACAATAGGATTATTAACAATACGAATAAATTATTTAAGGAATGTTTACCTTTTTATCGATCGAGCGGAGGGTCTATCTTGGTGTTCACTGTGCGGACTCCTAGCTGATATTTGACGGGAAGGAGAGCTACTCGGGCTGTAAAAATAACTTTCTTAAACCATCAGTCATTATGGTTATAGCTTAGTGCATACCTAGGGCTTAAAGTATGTTCCGAAAGCGTATCACCTTTCCTTTCTCCATCTTCCACTCTTTTGTGTCTTAAATTATCAGCTTCCAAATCCAGTTTTAATGACAATTCATTTTCTTTCATTTCCAATTCTCTTCGTTTCTTTTCTGCGTATTCTCTTTCTTTTTCTCGCGCAATTAAAATTGCAGAACTACTTGCTGACTTTTCATAAGATGAATTTGAGTGTTTATCAGATTTTTCCGATCTAAAACTATTTGAGCAATTAGACTTCTTTTCGAATGAATCTCTCTCTTCTAACGTAGAATCTTCCTCTATTTGTCTTTCTATTTCTAACTTTTTTCGATATGCTTCATCCCTCTCTCTGTCTAAGGTTTCTTGTAAATTTCTCATTTCAATAGCATCTTTTTCTTTCTGCTTTCTTAACATTTCTTCTTGTTCTCTCAACTGTCTTTCGCGCTCTGTCAAAAACCTAACCCTCTCTGAGAGTAGTGTAGGATCACTGAAAGCATGGCTCAAGTTATACTCTCTGGAAGGGGAGTAAACTTCGGAGCTCTTAGAGTTTCGCATAGGACTCTCGTATCGCATTCTGTCAAGTTGACGAGTTAGTACCGAGTGAGCAGTTCCGAATGCAGAAAAAGGTTCTCGTGATAGAGGCGTCAAATGTATAGAAGATAATTCTGAAGGTGGTGGTGATTTTCTGGTACTTCGTTCAACTATTTCAGCCTCTTGCAAATATCCGTAAGCTTGCCTTGGAGGAGACTCTTTCTTTATCAAGTCGCTCAAAGTTTCTGATACAGAAGTTTGATTTAAATAGTTTGAAGAGAAACTATCGCTATATCTAGGGGATTGGAAAGCTGCTAAGCCATTTTCAATATCATGCAAATCTTTTTCAAGAGAGCTATAACGACTGTTTCGAAGTTGGTTCGGTGACGTTGGAAGTGTTGTCCTAGTTGTATTAGAGGAGCCCATGGGTACAGATACAGAATAACTAGAATCTGTTGATTTATTACCAAATTTGCGTAATATTCTTTTTACATCTTCGCTAACAATCTCATCTGAAATAGATGTTCGATCAGAATCTGAATCCAGCATTGTTGAATTTTTCAGCTGATTTGGAAGATCCTTGTAAGATGTACTTGTTTCACTCCGGTTTGTTGCATGCATTGGAGAAGAAAGTTGGCTGCTGTTATTGCTTATATTCGAGACTGAAATGAACAAATCATCTGTATAACGAGTTCTTGGTGGTGTCTTTTCAGACGACATGTCTTCATATTGTAGACCAGAATCATTTAAAACAGTTCCACTTTTGGAACTTTCCGAAGACTGTTTCTTCTCAGAATTTGTGCTACACAAACCAGAATCAGCCTTATATTGCGCATCATTTGTCACACGCGAAAGTGGTAAATCATTCATGCCATCAAAATTAATTAGATCTGGTTCATCCTTTGTTGAAAAATATGATGAAGGATTTTTCTTTTCATAATTCTCAAAATTTTTCTCTTTCTGGTACGAGTACTGGGATCTCTCTTGGGGTGGTATATAATCTACATGTGAGGCAAATGGAGAAGATCCAGCTCCCGAGAGTCGTTCAAAGGCAGAAGAATCGGAGGTTTTTATTTTCCAAGCGTTTTCCATCTCTCCTGTATTAGATTTATCGTCAGTGTCTCTTTCAAAAGGAGTAGATCTCCTTGATGTAGATGACGAAGATGTTGTTACAACAAAGCCTACAAAAGTTGAAAGGCTAAATTTATTTTCAACATAAAAAAATGCTAACCTGTTTCTACACGAATATCTTCAGCGGCCGTTTTAAGAGCATCAATAGATAGATCTTGAGCAGCTTTTTGAATTTCTTAGATGTGAAATAAAATAAATTCAAAAATAATCATCTAACAATTAGTGAAAAACTAACCATCTCTTTGGTACTTTGAACTAGTTTGAGCAATGCCCTGCAGATAATGAGAAAGTTTTGAATTTGTTTAATACTTTAAACATTGAGAACAATTACCAAATCTTCGCTTGGTAACTCATATTCATTTTTTGACGTCATTATATTTTCTTTTGATTTGTTTGTGAAGCAATCCTGAAAGATCAAAATAATTTAGTTAACCCGCAAAATATATTCGACAAGCCAAAACATGTCTCAAGTTAATAAATCTGCACAACTATAAAATCAAAAATATTTTAATATTAAGAATGACATCTTAAAATGCGAACATCTTTGGAATCCATCTTTCAAAGTTTCTTATAGTCGAATATGTTGTTAATATAGACCTTTCCCAGTATTTATGTTTGAAATCTGTGCTCAGCCATGTTTGTTTCGAGCGAAAAATATTATTCGTGTTTACCGGTTTATTTTACAGTGACCGGTTCGTTTCGACGGGAACCGATGAACGTTATTCGGAAACGGAAATGTTAAGTTATCATCCATCTCGTGAAATAGACAGTGATAGTACTTCATAAAATATGTCAGAAAACGGCCCAGGAAAAATAAGAAGAGACAAGGCCAGGACAATAGGAAAGCCTTACTCTTCTGAAAAGGTACTAAATAATCAGTTAAAAATTTATCAATAATTCGACATTAGTTACGCGCACATGTTGATCCGCCATTTTTTCTGCTTTATTTTAAATCTTAATTGAAATTTCGTCGTTCATCCAATGGTTTAACTATGACTTGTATATGCAGTGTTAATCTAATTTAGAAAATAACTTCCAGGTTTTCTATATTTTTTGTATATTGGATGTTTAAGCTTAGTTATAGATCATCATTGATGAATTGTATACTACACATAGAAACGTCCTTTTATATTTTACATTCGCAGTGAAACCAAATAATTTAATGCATATTCCAGAGTCTAATTGGAAGGGTGAAAGATCGTGTAAAAAACATGTTCTCTTCGAGTATATGGGGACAAGGTCAGGATATTTTAAAACCATCGTTCCTTGGCGCTCTCAATACTAATTCACAAGGATCTAGCGATTCTGTAGAGAGAAAGTCCGATGACCACATTGTTATCAGTGATTCCATTCCGACTGCTTCGGAGATATCTCTGCCATTAAAATCTAATAATGTACTATCAATGGCATCAGTTTCCTCTCAAGCTCAGAATATTGCAGCAACGCCAATTTTTCCTCGAGGTAAATATAACAAATCCACTCTTTTTGATTGCAGATTTAAATAATGAAATATTTCAGAAGCTGTTTCGGTATTTCCAAGAAAGCTGAATTCTATCTCACCTCTGGATAATTTGCGAGCAGTTGATAACAACAAGAGAAGCTTCGATCCACAATCGACGCTTCAATTGACGAAACCTCAGCTTAACTCGTCATTGTTCTCTGAAGTAAGATAGCTAAATTTATCGTCCTCCTGAAAATAAACAAGAATTTTTACAGGGTGCAGGAAAGCAAGCTGATTTGGCTCCAAAGTCACCTTTTTATCCCGGAAATACAACGTTTGGAGGTGCAAGCTCCGTTATCGGTTCGTATTATCCTGCACCATATTCGGTAAGTTATAAGATAAGTCTTTTTAGTCTAGACTAAATAAAATTATTTATAATAGAAAACTCCTATTCGGCGGAAAGTACAAGCGAAGCATATGTCATCTGTTGCAAAGAATAACTCGAAAAGCTTAGTTACAAGTTCGACTGCAAAAAGAATATTAGAGACACTGGAAAATATGTCCAGCCCGGTGACTGTAAGTTTTATGCTCTATAATATCTATCATTATTGGATTTGTTATACTTTCTACACAGAATGCTAAGAAAATCCCCGTATACAATGACCCTGGTAGCTTGACTTTCACGGTTTGTAATAATTTAATTCATTTGAACACTCAAAAACTTGTACAAAAAATATTCTTTTAGCCGGCTGCCTACAGTCGCAGAGCCAGATCAAGATACAGTTTAGATGTAAGGCCTAATTTCGATAATATATTTGATAAAATATTCCAATAATGATTGATTTTAACAGAACGGTCCGCCTGTATCAAGTAGAATTTCATCCAAGTTAAATACGACAACTGATGGCACGTTATCCATTGATAATTTGAGTGATAAACCTATGACATCGAATAAAGTTTTATCCTCTGAACATACAACATTGACAACAAAGCCCTTTTCTATGGATGAGTCTGCTTTAAAAAATATTGATAAAACGGAAACAGTATGTATTAGAAATTAGCAACCATTCTTTGTTGTACTCTAAAGTCTTTACTTTTTTGAAGATTGTTCAAGAGCCACCCTCAAATAGCCTCAAGATGAAAACAAAAATATCCGCACACGCTCATTATTCTGCTAAACCTGCAGATAGCAATCCAGACTATAGCTTATCAACTGCAGTTACATTGGATATTAAAGCATTACCAAAATTTGATTTTAAGAATTCAACTGCTCCTTTATCCGAAGCTGAACAGCAGCCCAAAAGGAAACAAGACGAAAGCTCGGGTAATGATACAGACAGTAAAAAACCAAAAATCTTACCTGAAGTTTGTGAACAAAAACCGGTACCTTCATTTGAGTCTATATTTAAAGACTGTCAAAAAACAACTGTTGTTAAGAAACCATTACCTACTCCTGAACCAAGTGCAACAAAGGATAATACAAAGTTTTCTTTTGCTCCTGGAGTAAAACCATCAAATTCTTTAACTAATGCTGTTGATGTGTCTCTGAAAGAAGTAGGTGATTTCCAGTTTAATCGTGGAATAAGTCCGATTAGAGCATCACTAAGCTCCAGTCTTCGGATCCGTTCGGTTACGAAAAGAAAAAGTGATGACGCAAATGAAAAAAGCACACACAGCAGTGACAATTTATCAAATTCATCTAACATTAAATCTCCTTATATAACATCGATTGAATATATTGTATCTGAGGTAAGGAATTAATCTTATTGACTTTCAATTTTGTTAATTACACGTTTTTTCAAAGGTACCCTCAAAACCCGTAAGTTCTCCGTCTGTTTTACCTTCCAAAAAGAGTGAAAGTACCTTAGAGTCACACCAGTCGCTCTCAGTTCCAACAGGCAAAACACAAACTAGCTCTATTAATTTTGGCTCCAAAGAATCATCTAACACTGAAAAAAGCTCACTGAATAAGGATACCGAAACTTCCTGCAATACCTCTATATTTTCGAAAGACAGTAATGCATCTAGTACAGAACCTGTTCCTCTGTCAGCTTTATTTAAGAAGAAAGAGAACACTTGGAACTGCTCTGTTTGTATGGTGAATAATCAGGATGATTTGTTGAATTGTGCGTCATGTAGTGAACCTAAACCAGGAACAAGCAAGGAATCGTCTGGTTTTAATCCAAACACATCCATTAAATTTTCTTCCTTTTTACAATCTGATGATAAAAAAGTATCTAAAACAGACGAAAAAACACCCTCAGTGGTCGTTAATCAAGCTGGGGGTTTCAAAATAGCCCCATTCAAACCCGAAGAAAAGAAAGAGAAGTCTGTAGAAGAGAGAAGTGAAGAAACATCTAAAGAGAAGCCAACAGAAGAAAAACCTTCAAATACCCCCGCTGCAGACACCTCTTTAGCAACCTTATTTAAAAAAACTGACGTTTGGAGGTGTCCCAGTTGTGACATTGAAAATAAAAATGACGTTACAAGCTGTGTTTGTTGTGGTGATTCTAAGCCGGGATCTAAAAATACTGACTCGAATTTGAAGAGTGATTCAGGGTTAAAATTTTCATTTCTTGAATCATCAAATAAGACTGATAACTCAAATACACCCGCTAAATCTGCTTCTACACTGGTATTGAACGAAACTGGTGGTTTTAAATTTTCCGCTTCATTGCCATCTACTGAATCCTCATCATTGGAAACAAGCAAAAAACCAGAGGCTCCTGGTAAGTTTTGTCTCAAACCTTGTTTATGAATAAAGTTTGCATAATGATATTTTATCTAGCATCAAATGCCATCTCAACTGCGTTTGGTGAATCATCGGCAAAGAAATCTTCAAGCCCATTTGTTTTTGGTCAAACATCGACAGCCACTGCAACACCACCGACCTTTGTATTTGGTCAACAATCAACTAAGCCATCAGAGTCGTCTGGTATAGCCTTCGGCCAACCAATCACTTCTGTGTCAACATCAGCTTTTGGTCAGCCCTCATCCGCTACTACTTCCTCTTCTGTACCGTTTCTACAATCACCAATTTCAGCTGCAAGTTCCTCAACCTTTCAGTTTAATGTTGGTGGTTTGAAATCAACTAGTAGTTCCAGTAAGTTCAAAAGAATGACAATAAAGAATTCTACATATGATTTTACTAACAGGCCCAGCCTTAGCTACAATTTCAGCTACGTCCTCAGCTCCAAAGGTTACTTCAACTTTTTCTTTTGGAAAACCTCCAGCAGCCTCAACAAGTGAGTCCGAAATAAGTGGAGGAAAAAAAGTCGATTTATTTCAATTCACAGGTTCTGGAGATTCGTCAACTAAAAGTACATGTAAGTTGCAGTCTTTCTAAAATAAGCGTTGACTAATCTGAATTCCTGTAGCTGGATTTACATTTGGAAAGAGCCCAGCACCTGTAAATAGCTCAAGTACAACAAAGAGCGAGCCTTTTCAATTTAACACATTACCAACAAGTTCGCTGTCTTCAGGCCCATCATTTACTCCTCCCACCTTTGGTACTCCCAAAGCAGGAGGATTTGAAGCCCCAAAATCAACAACTGCAAGCGGTAAAAGTTAATTTACTTCAGAGTTTATAATTTTTAAATGCCAACATTGATAGTTTCAGCATCTGCTCCATTTACATTTGGACAAACAACATCATTTGGTTCTGATTCAAATAAATTTGGAGGTTTTAATAAAGGTAAAAAGAATTATAAAAATTTGCTCAACACTAATTCAATATTTGTCAGGAGCCACCACTTCGGCGTCATCGAACAGTTTTACATTCGGCTCACCAGCGACTTCCGCCTCAACATTTGGCGGTAGTAATAATCCACCTGCGAATCAGTTTAACTTTGGCGCGCAACAACCTTTAAATCAAAATAATGGAGGGGCAGGAGTTTTCCAATTTTCAGCTGTAAGTGCAACCTTAAGTTAAGTAAATTGTAAGACATTTTATTTTACTATTAGCAAACAAACAACGTTAATGGAGTGCAACAACCGTCGGCACCTAGCAACAATCAAGGTTTCAACTTCCAAGCAGCCCCTTCTACCCCGAGTTTTAACTTTGGACAACAAGCTCCTCAAAATACATCAAACTTTCAATTTTCGTAAGTTTAAAAGTAACTACACTGAACTTTAATCTTATAAATATATTTTTTACAGTGGCAACGCCCCGCCATCAAATAATAATATGAATAATTTACCTTCGACACTGAATCCGTTTAGTGCAAGTCCCTCAGTTGGTGGAAAACGACAAATTAAGAAAGCAACGAGAAAATTACCGAGAAAATAAGCTTTGGTATATTGAAGTTATACTTGTATCTAATGAATATGCTCTCCCTCATCTCTATTGTTTGGTGAGCAGTCTCAAAGTTTCAATGATTATGATTATGTAAATTTTATGTACACTAATTGACTGAATCAACTGACTTCGATTTATATCTCAATCACTGCAACTTTGAGTCTACGTATATATATAGCTACTAGCAAGTGCAACCAACGTTTAAAATATGTTATCATTTGACTATTACTATAAAAAAAAGCATGTGACTGGAATACTTAACAAGAGTTCATAAAAAAAATATGGTGCGTTCCAGACAGATGCTTCGGCCAACTTATGCATTTCGGTCCTGTGTGCATTTCTACGTTTTTAGCCAATGAAAGTAGGTTTTTTGTACACTTTTTTGTAAATAGAAACGTTTTACTTGTGAAAAATTAATGTACTGTGAAAAAAACTGTGATGAACATGCAGCCAGGACCCGATAATATAAAATATCATGCAATACATTGTGTCAGTAAAGAAGTTTAGGAAGACTTTTTTGACCTTAAGATTCTTATTAAAATTTTTTAAACTAAAAATTAAACAGAGTATTTGAAAATAATAATAACCAGCGCAACACTTGAACAGTTAATTAATGTGTTACAAAATAAAAATGTATTGTTTTCCTTCACAGGCATTCCATCTAAACTTTCACACAATTACAATCAGGATATGATTTTAAAAAATAAAAAAACTCATTTCAGTATCGCGCGTCATATACGTAACGTCATAAGGCAAAAAAATCACACGTACACAGAAAAAGAATTGTCTACGGAGAAGATTTAAATTGTCCGACGTGAAAATAAACTTGATTAGATCCCCGTCCTTCTTATGCGTCTCCAATTTACGTATAAAGTGACACGGCAGAAAAAATGATAAGCATGTATACATATCATATACGTTCTTAATAATTATATACACCTAATAGATAATAAATGTATGAAGAAACGGCGGAAAATGTTGATGAGTTATGACGCGTCCAAAAATCGCCGTCCATTCGTTTATCGAGCGACTGTAAATGAAAAAAAAATTCATTGTAAAAGATTGTTTTCTTATGCGTAATTAAAAAAAGACCTTGACATATAAAAATTTGCTAAACTTTTTTCATTTTGTTACTATATGTATAATTCATAACCTCAACGTAATGATCTAGTAAGACATCTAATACTCTAAAATTCTTACCCGGTGTTCCCACGGCCTGACTACTGGCGTTGGCTGCTGCCTGTGCTGCTTTCTGCTTGAGCATCGTCCAGTCGAATGTGTAATCGTACTGGTGATTCAGTGTGCGGAAAAGAATTCTAAACAGCTGCCGTAGATACATATAATCAGGGGCCTCCTCAAATCTCAAACCCCTGCAGTAGTTTAGGTACATGGCGAATTCTGCTGGAAATCCTTTGCACAAAACCTCAACAGGCGTTGACATTTTCTTTTCGCTGATTTTCTCGTACTTTTGCTTCTTTGTTCCGGCTTTAAGGCCTTGCCACGGAAGAGATCCGCGATTGAAATACATCAATACGTAACCTAATGATTCCATATCATCACGTCGGGATTGTTCGATGCCTAGATGGGCATTTATAGACGCGTATCTCGCTGTTCCAGTCAGATTTTTGTCTTCCCTATAAGGAATGTGTTGCCTGGTACGACTATCCCGATATTTTTTCGCCAGACCGAAGTCGATAAGAAACACTTTATTACAGTGTCGTCCTATTCCCATTAGGAAGTTATCCGGTTTGATGTCTCGGTGAATAAAATTTTTATTGTGCACGTATTCAATACGGCCTATCATCTATCGGTGAAAACAAAACGCTTTAATCAATACCTCTTCTAACGCTTCGATTTAATTCATTACCTGATCGGCTAACATCAAAACCGTTTTCATAGTAAATCGTCTGGAGCAGAAATTGAATAGGTCTTCTAAACTAGGACCTAATAAATCCATAACCAATACGTTATAATCCCTTTCTTGCCCATACCATCTGTTTAACAATAGCAAATTTTTAAAATTTAACCACGCCCTTTCATACAGAGAAAAACGCTTCTACAATTATTTACGCAAGGGAAATAAAAGATAAGCTCGGCGCCGCTCTATATTCGGAAATTAAAATCAATAAATGAACAATTGTGAAATTTACAAAACTCGACAAATTATAGTATTGTAATAATCTAAATAGAAAAATTACTAATATCTAAACTTAACTACCCCACCCATAACAGATCAATTCAGACACGCAACAATTAAACTGAAGAAAAAAGTAGGCGATAAATTCAATCGAGCTCTTACTATTACAACGCAAACAGTAACCAGTCTACGTTGTTGGGTAGAATAACCAGAACAGTAATAATATAATCGCTTGTTTATTTGCCAATGAATGAATTTTTTTAGGCATGAAGCGCCTGTACCGAAGTCTTGAATTCAGTGCAAAATATCAAAATCAAAATTACATCACTTTTTATCTCTAATCCTAATCTGCTTATTGGAAAGGAACCATGAATCATTCGACTAAGTGGATTCTCATCTTAAAGAAAGTGAAAGTATGAAGCCCAACTGTGCTATAGATTCATTCAAGAAAAACAGCTGCTACGCGGGTAGCAAAAAGCAACGTAACGTTAAATATATGAAATACGCAAAAAAAAAGTGATAACATAAAAAGGAAAAAATACGAACCTGATGTGCGGAATCCCAACTCCTCCTTGTAAAATTTTATACAACTTACTTTCGTAGAGTAGTTGAGGATGCCTGGCTTTGTGCGATTCCAATTTGACCGCCACTTCCTGTTCAGTGAGAGAGAACAAAGGCTTGTCACAAACAATGTTTATGGAGGTTCGAAATTATTTAGGCCAAATTACTCATTCTAACTCACGATTATGTTAAAAACGCATATTAAAAAAATATAAAATAAAACATACCTCGCCATTTGTAATATTTATAGCTAAATAAATATCTCCAAACGATCCACTACCAATTTTCCGTACTAGTCTGTACTTTCCCCCAACACAAAACTCTGATTTCGGATTACCGCTAGCACTAGCCATCATAAAAATTAGATATGGGCAGAGGTTTCAGCCCAACTTTGGCAAAGAAAAAAACGCTCTCAACAAAGAATTCTTGAAATGTTCAAATTTGTCAGTTCGACATCTTGTCTCGTCGTCAAATATGGCGCATGCGCATGCGCAGAAAGACGTTGCATCGAAAGAGGCATTTAGAGCCATCTGTCTTTCAAAAGTCAACCCTTTGTATTTTTTTTTTGAAATAAAGAAAAGCCGTTTTAAGGAGAAATAACTTTAAAATATTTTTTCAGTAGGTTCCAAATAATACTCAATTAGACTATCAACTATTTTTTTATTATCTCGTTGCTAAGTTCAAATCTCTTAAAAATTCAAAGTGGAATTAGAAACCTGATTAAAACTTCCTGTTTATGCAAAAGCAGACGATAAGGTCGTATAGTATGTAATGAATCATAAAACTTAAAGCGAGTGAATTACGAAATCTTCTTGCGCTCATCTGTAATAATACATTCGATAATTATTTCTCAGTATTTTACAATTAAGATTGGGTAATTGTAACGTTCAGTTGCACGGATAATGAGTTCTCTAAAACCTTCCAAAGTGCGAAGGGAAGATGCCGATCCAGATCCATTTATGATAAAAATCAGCCGCAAAAATGGGGAAGTCAACCGAATGAAAATTAGTTCTTTACGTAAGAAATTATTTGATAACCACCTAAGTCCCGATGGTGTTGATAAAGTTCTACAAAGACGTCTGAAGAATTACTATAAACGACAGTTGTATGCCGAATCTCAACGTCAGCTATCTCAACCAACGTTGGATTACATTGTTGTTATAGATTTTGAAGCAACTACAGAAGAAACCAAAGGAAACGATTATCCTCACGAAATAATAGAGTTTCCGATTGTCTTAATTGATGTGAAAAGTGCTACTGTTGCTGGTGAATTTCATGAATATGTAAAACCGGTCTTAAATCCGAAATTATCCAAATTCTGTAGGACTTTGACTGGAATAAGTCAAAAAAGAATCGACGTTGCTGATGAATTTCCTCAAGTATTTTCCAGAGCAGTAAAATTTTTAGAGGAACGTGTATTTGGAACAAGATGGGCAATATTAACGGACGGTAATTAGTTTTGTTTACTAATAAGCTTTATATTAATTGTATCTATGTGACAAAACTATATTTTTTTAAAATTTTTACAGGTCCATGGGACATGTCAAGGTTCCTATACAAACAGTGTTCGATATCACGTCTTCCATTTCCAAAATGGGCCAGAAAATGGATTAATGTACGAAAAGTTCATGCTAACTATTATGCTGTTGGAAAGCCCAAAAAAATAATTTTAATGCTGGAAGATCTAGGAAAGGAATTTGATGGTAGTTTGCATTCTGGAATAGATGATACTAGAAATATAGCAAGAATAGCCTTAAGTCTTCTAGAAGACGGATGCGATATCGTAACAAATGAGAAACTCCTGGAACCTATAGAATACGATGGACATTGTATAGGAGCCGATTTCAGAAGACAACTCTCCGACGATTTTCAAAGACCTAAAGAAACCAACAGCAAGAATACTATGGAAATTGATCACGATACATTATCGAGTTTACATTCCCAAATACAAGGATTAGAAATATCAAAGGATAAAAAGAGAGTAAGAAGAAAAGAAGTTGCACCTGAGAACAATGACGATGACGAAGACACTGAAAGTTTGTTGAGATATTTCAGTTTACAAACTTAAAGGTGACAGTTTGAACTGTGCTATTTGATTTGATCATGTCAACTTGGAGTATTTACTAGAAACTTTCGTACATTTAAAAATTAACCATGTTGTAGTTTCTAACAATCGAGCTAAAGATTTATCGATGAAATACAGGTTTCATACATGACTTTTGAGAGTATTTCGTTAAAAGAGTATAAAGGGGCGCTTTTAACTTTAGCACACCAGCGCCATCTGTAACTTTGTGCGAACCAAATATTCTATGCGGTGCTAGTGAGACGCCATATTAGTTTGGCGGCGATTGATCCATAACGGATTTTTTGCAAAGACAATGTTTCAAAGCATTGCAAGAATAATTCCTAAGTTTCTCAGAAGTGAAGGAAATAACGATAAAGATAAGCAGGGGAAATATTGCAGAGTTTGGTTGCTGGACGACACAGAAGTTAGATTTAATGTTAAGGTATTTCCCTTTCTTTGAAATTTACCGCCGCGCATAAGACGCTACTCTGTGAGAAAAGTTTTCGTGACTGTATAATTTGATTGCCCGTGGGAAATTTTCAATCTTTGTTAAATATGAATGTTTAAAACTCTCCGATTATGTATGTTTGTAACTTATTCACTTGTATACGATCATAAATTTAAAAATCGTTAATTAAAAATTTTATGTTTGTGTTTTTTTTTGTATTTCTAGCCAAATCATAAAGGCCAATCCGTACTATCTAAAGTTTTCAAACACCTTAATCTAGTCGAAAAGGAATATTTTGGTTTGAGATTCATTGACAATACAAATCAAGCCGTAAGTATTGTAATTACCTACGTGAAAATCTAGATAAGCTTGCTTTTCAATTCAATGCAACAGTTATTATAACCTTTTGACCTATCTTTATTACAGCAATGGCTAGATACATCCCGTGGCCTAGGTTCCCAATTCAAAGGTAGATATAAAATCAATTCCTCTGTGTTTTGTAGCAGACAAAGAAGGAATTTAAGAGTGTAGCTCAATTTAAAAGTCCAATTTGCCAAGGATACTTAAACTCCCACTAGATCAAAAGAAGCAATTGTAATTTTAAAAAAAAGAGCCCTATTCAAACAAATGCCTCTCTGGCTCGCTTTAACAAATAATTGTGTTTAACATGTTACTCTGGATAGTAAAAAAAAAAGGAAAAAATAACAATAATATTTGATTATTTTACAGGACCACCGCCCTATACTTTTTATTTTGGTGTAAAATTCTACGCGGTTGATCCGTGTAAATTAAAGCAGGAAATAACGAGGTAAGAGCAGTACGAAATTTAATTGAATTTCCTTTATTTGCAACTGCTGCATTAATTACTTTCAATATCAAATTAATTGATAAAGTATAACAATTTAAATTAACAGATATCAATTCTTCTTACAAGTTAAAAAGGATATTTTCCAAGGTCGTCTACCTGTTACTTTTGAAATGGCTGCAGAATGTTCAGCATTAGCTGTGCAATGTTTGTTTATTTTAATGATTTATTGGTACATAGATTTTTATAAAATTGATTTTCGACAGCTGAATTAGGAGATTTCGATCCTGCACGACATACTCAAGGATACGTTTCCGAATTTCGCTTCGTGCCAAATCAAACTGAACAATTAGAAGCCAGAATAGCCTATTTGCATAAATTTTTAGTGTAAGCTTATCGAATATTATTCCAAAATACGATAAATTATAAATAATTTATACAATTACTTTTCAGTGGTAAAATACCAGAGGTTGCAGAATGTAAGTTTCTGGATAAAGTTAAATGGTTAGAAATGTATGGCGTTGACATGCATCATGTTATAGTAAGCTTTACTAATTTGTAAGAATATGATATATATCTTTATAATATTTACCATTGTATAGGGCGACAACAAAGTCGATTATCTGTTGGGCTTAACACCCACTGGCATAGTGGTTTATAAAAATAAACAGAAAGTGGGAAATTACTACTGGTTCGTTTTTTATCTAAGAAATATAAATAAATACTGAAGATTGCTTGTTTTTTTCAGGCCCAGAATATCTAAAATATCGCACAGGAATACAAAATTTATTCTCAAAGTTCGAGATAAGAATGTAAGTACCACTTATATTTTTTTAAATTTATATATCAATAAACTATATATTTATTTTATTGATAGAATGATGAAAATACTCAAACTTACGATTTAAACACAAAATCAGCATGTAAATATTTATATCGATGCAGCGTAGATCACCATGCTTTCTTCAGGTACCGTCTATTATACTGTTATATAAATATATCCCATACAATTTCAATTAAATTCATTAAAATGCTTTAGGCTGACAAGACGAGTGGACTTAGTGAATTCAACAAAAGCATCGAATTCAAAAAGATCCAGGTATACTTCAGTTTCTCTTTTTTGGAAGAAACTTTTTCGTTATAATTGAATTCCTTTTTTTTAATATTATTTTCATTTCATCAAATAGTCGCCGAGACAATAATGATCCTCAAAAAGATAGATCACCGTCCCTTACCAGAACAGAACCCAATTTTGTGAGAACCCCAAGTAAACGACATCGAAGGCGTCGTTCCGATGGTGCTATGACAGATTGTTAGTTTAATTGTCAAATAATTGTTTTTTTTTATCATTATTTCTTTGCTTTAACAGTTTTAACAAGCTCAGCCCCCAATATAAATGAAATGTCACGTTCGTTAAAAAACTCAGGTCCATCTGCCGGAAGAATGTAAGTAAGATAATTCGCCGAACGAATTGTATTTAAATGTTTTATCTGTAAATCAGGGCTAACGGTCAAGCCGGTGATGTAATGTACCTTTCTGATTTGCCTGATTCACCTCGTTCTGGACGAAGTATGAAAAGTGCTAGGTCGTGGTCGGAAGCAACACAGCGACGGTTTGTTAATTATTTGTAACTGTTACTAACCATCTTTCCTTTATTAATTCTGTTTGGACTAATAACCTTTTGTAACCAAAAACATGCTTAAATTAACAGTATTGCTGGAGCTTGGCCCATGAGAAAGGATAGGTAAACTTTGCTTTTGTTATGATTGTATAGGTTAAACTCTTATTCAAGCACGCTTTTAAGGACATACCACATTTGTACTGTGCTAGCAAAGTGTATAGAAAATAAAAATATACTTTTTTCATTTACAGATCATTACAGTCAATACAATCTGAACCAGCCGGAGCACAGCGAAATCGTAGAAATCGACAAAGAAGTAGGTCTCCCGGTAGGAAACCACCTGAAGAACTGGCACAGCACTTTCGGTAAGTTTATTGAAAATTTAATTATAAAAGTGGTTTCATGAGTCTACTTAAAAAAAACCTTTTTTTTATCAGTTATGTTGAAATGGATACTGATGTGGCTAATCTTACCGAAGAACAAAAGCAAAAAATGATGGATATACCATATATTGAAGTAAAGTAAGTTAAAAAAAAAAATATATGTAAAGCTTGTAGTAGAATAATGAAAAAAACGAAAAAGAAAACTCAATGCAAGCTTATCCGCTATAAAAAGCGATTATGAAACTTTGAGTAATAGCAGTACTGGACTATCTTTTTTTATGCTGAAGATAATTACACATTTTCATGTTTCTGCCATAAATTACTCCTGATTCATCTGTTTTGGGGATAAAATAAAATTTACCTGAAATTCCTATATTTATTACAGAACAACCCGACCTGCTCCAAGAGTTAATAACCGAACACGTCAACGTTATCGATCGCCTATGAGAAGTGAACGACGAGAATGGTAATTGGATTTTTTTTTATTTATTTTAATCGAAAAATCTTAAATTTTCTATTTCTAAATTTAGCGACAGAGAATCAGTAAAATCGGGAGGGCGTCTCTACCCGCCGACAGTCGTCCATAACAATATACCCGTTGAACCGCCGCCACCATATTCCCCACCCCATTCAGATCAAAGGTACAGCTGTCCACCCGCCTATTTCCCGCCAATACCACCCCCACCGATAATGGCCAGGTACTTGAATTAATCATCCAACAACCTTACATCCTGTAAATTATAATTTATTTAATTTGCTTTCATAGACCCGAACTGGAAGGTGCTATACATCCTCAACCTCGTTTACCTCGAGATTTTAGCAATCGACCTCATTCAAGGATCCCTAAATCGACAGGTTACGCTGAACAGGTAAGCCATATACAAATGTTGTTTTTGTAAACTTTCGCGATCAATTCTCGTAAATACTTTCGCTTTTATAAAGTTATTAAGAAAAACATATCATAATTTTGTAATTATACATGTAAAAAAAGAACAAAACATACTATAAATATATTTTCGTACGTTCTATACTTTATACAGTTTTTAGGTATGTACGGTGTGAAACATTTCCAACATTCGCGTTGGTTTTTTTTTTGTTGACACTAACGAGCTAAACGGAATGGATTTTTTTCACTCACAGTTTTTCTTTGTTCTTGTTTTTAAGTGTTATTATTATAATTATTATATATAGGGCTAAATGATCAATTTCAATAACTATTTAATTCTTTATCCCGCATATAGGTATCATCTAATTATCAAGCTCGCCACTCGAGATCTCGACAAAGAACAACAACGCCTCTGTCCAGATCGACCCGTAGTTCCCTCACAACACAAATATAGCACGAAACTACTTTTTTTTTCGCAATATTTAATGTCCCTTAGTTCGTTCAGTCTATACTGTATACTTTTTGACGACAGTTTTTTATTACGTACAAAAGAAAACAATGCTATTAGTTGAATTTTTCATACTTGTTCTTGAATGATCGATTCTGTTTGTATTATGGCACTTTTACAAGGCATTGGACTGCGCTTTTTAACCCTCATAACTTCGGGTTTACTGACATTCGTTACGTCACTTTCTAAGCCATCTACAACCGGAAGTAACCCCTTGAACTCATCTTTTACAAACCAAACACCATTAGCTAACGGAAGTATTGAGAGAAATAAATCTGCTGCCGCGCAAAAACCGCTAACATTCGAAGTGTTTATAAGTGACTGATGGGCAATAACCATATCCGGTTGTACATAAGTTGACCACCATCCGTTACAAAAATAATAATCAACTTTTGTTGGCGGTTTTATGACCCTGAATCGCTCGGGTACGCATTTAGTGACAGCATACATCAATAAAATGACTATAAGCAGTGAAAGACTAAGAAGGCAGTTGGCTGTAAAGAACCAATGGCTGTGAATTTTTCTGTAAGCGGTTGTAATTAATAATGGCCAGAAGATGACTCCCATATCGTAAGCTAGACTTATTATCCTTACCGCCTTTTCGTCCATCTGAACATAACGACCAATCCACGTGTTAACTTTGTGATAAGCAGTTGCTATTAATACAGCATTGCCGGTAAATGACAACCATATTGAAAGTCTAGAATATTGTAGAATTATAGGCAATACAGAGAAAGTCATTCCCAAGATATTGGAAGTAATTAAACGACGCGGTAGATTGTTTTCAGTAAGTGTAAAGGAGAATAACAATCTTGTTAAACCGTACAATCCATAAACAGTTGATAGTAGATAAAGACTATCGGATAAATCCCAACCTTTCTCACCAACTAAATAGGGAACTATAAGGCACGTATGGCCGATTTCCTTACCACACAGGAAAAACACGAAAGCCGTTGAAAGGACTTTTAACGTTTTTCCGTGTATTGTATTATCAGCAAGTGAAATGCTTTTAAACTTTGGTTTATCTAGTAATTTAGAGAACTTTTTAGATCCAATGAAATATAGTAAAGTACCGATTATAACGACACAGATTATATAGACGCTAACCATGCCATGAGTGACTGAAATAGCCGAAATGTATCTATATTCCATTATAGTCTCATTTGTACCATTAATTTCTGTTGTAGATGTGGTAGTTACGACAATTGTCTTTGGTTCGACTGGCTTACTTGCCTTATTAACAACCCATGCACTTTCTCCCAAAAGGGGACGAATTAGTTGAATACCAACTGCGGCACTTATACAGTATAGAATCTGTATTAATTGTAAATAACGAAAAGAAAATTCTCTCCATAAGTGAATGTGGAATGCTAAACAAATAGAACTTGCCATACTCAATGCACTTCCCTGGAAGAAAATGATTAAAACAGCATGGTTTATATTGGATAGCTGAGGAAGTAAAATGGTACAAATTGCTAAAACCAGGAGAGCAGTAACAAATATTTTTTCATTTAACTTTGTATTTCCAATCTGTAGATATTTATTTATAACATAACCTCCGAAAAAAGCTCCTATGGCCCTTAAAATCAGTAAATACGGAATGTCATCCCTTGTTGTATGAAATAATTTTTCAAACTCCATCAAAGAGCATAATAACAGAATATTACACAACGATAATCCAATTACCGACGACCATAGTAAGAACATATATTTAAAACGCCATAATTTTAGATTAAACACTCTCCAATTTCTGCCTTTCGCAGTTTTTAAGTCGTCCTTTTTTGTTTGCAAACAGGATTCAATTTCTAATTGTTTATCACAATTTGAAACGTGAACTTGGTCAATAACCTGTGGGATACTATCATCGTTTTCAGTCAATCGGAAACCAGTAGATTTCGTAACATTATCAGCAGTCATGTTTTTATTTAATTCAACTTTTAGTTTGTTTATTAATTTTTTAAAAATTTGAGTTGTTTGTTTGTTAAGAATATACTGTAAATACTAATTTGTATATATATATATATATATATATATATATATATATATATATATACTCTATATACTATAGAAAGTAGAAAATTTTATAAGAGGTATCTTACAAGAGATGGAATGAAATATAGTAACATAATTGTCTTAAATCTAACTCCACGACAACGCAGAGCATCAGAAGTGTTGTAGGAACAATGTTGAAAAGACGAATAGAAATTTCCTTTAATCTCGCATATTAAATGTAGACTCTTCTCTCCGCACTGTTTCTTAATGTCTTCAAAGCATTCAGTTAGATTATAAAAATGCATTTTTGTGAATCTATGTTAGAAAGATGGAAATATATAACTTTTATTTAACAAAAAGTGCATATTTGATTAAACTTACGGGCAATTTGCTTCTTTGTAGGTTGATATTGTACGTTTTCTTCTCTTTCCAATATCCTTGTTTAATTGCTTAGTCAGATCATAACCAACCTTCATTAACAATTTATTCCAGCATCCGACAACGGCATCTTTTCCTCCATCCTCGCATATACTACTAGCTGTAGATGAGAGTTTTATAGGTTCTTGTTTTGCTTTTGGACGAGGTTCTCTACTTTTTGTTTTAATAAGTGATTATAGGGCTATTTCTAGCCTCTATTTTCTTTTAGGAGAAAGGGTCGAAAAGATAGTGGTAAGATGATATAATAGGGAAAGTTTTACTTACCGTAACATGCAATCGAGTAAATGAGGATAGACGGAACTGTCACCGAAACAACATTCATTGTGTTCTAATTACGCAAACATAGACGTCTGCGCAGAGATTTAGCGAAAGGGAAATGTCGCGAGTTGGCGTCACTATGGAAACGCTACGCATTAATTATGTCTTACAGCTTTATTAGGAAAAAATTTCATAACTTTTTTTAAGCAACTAGATCCATATTTAAATATTTATATAGCTTTATATATAAGTATATACTTTATATATTTTCTGCTTCCTTTAAATGATAGTTGATGGAGATATTTCTGATGAATAACCGGAACTCAAAGAAGAATATTGACTAGGTGAGGTAACGTTCCGGAAAAATTTCTCCGTTTGCCGCCGTTCACTATCAGCAATAACGGGCAGTGTCAAATAATTCGGAGGCATAATTAACTTATCGGAGGGTACAACTTTTTCAAGACTATAGGCCCACTTTTCAAAAATATAACTGTCTCTCTCACAATCAATTTCTAATTCACGTCCATATTGTAATTGGAAGACAAAGGTAGCAGGGTTGCCGTGAGGTCCCAAATTCAAAAAGCATGTTAGTAGATCCTCATTGAACTTGATGGAACCTTTAAAACGATATTTCCTATCGTCCGGCCTACTTGCGAATATTAAAGCATTATGGAATAGGAACACAGTTCTATAAGTTTTATGAACAACATCGGGCTGTTTTGAATTCGTTTCTTTCTGGTGGATTTTGAATAGACGAGGTTTAATCAAGCATTTACTGAATAGAAGAATATCCCTGACTTCCCCAATATTTTCACGTCTTTTCGAGAAAGGCAACGACACTTTTTTCGTTACTTCTACGACATCGTTCACGCAATCCGAATCATTTATTAGGCTTACTTCGTCGGATAGAGTCCTAACAGCCAATTTCATAGCTTCAAACTCTTCGCTATCCTTTGGCATGTTATTCAATATACGCTGTAGATGGCGACACTTCTTAACATTTATTTTTTATACAAATCAGAGAATAATTAATAATTATACTAAAGGAACAAACTAAATTTTTTATAGCAAATTACGAATGCCACCTAGTGCATAGATTTCAAATTGTACTTAAACTAACCTCAAAATTCGTTACATATTGACCAAATCGAGAAAAGGGCGAACATAAATAGGCGCTCAAGCTCTTTAATTTACCACCTTTAAGAAAGAATGAAAAGATTTAGATATTTATCGAGTATCTAGTAGGGATTAGTAAATTATTAATGGCCTACAAAAGAAAGCAATTTGTCCTTACCAGACATAACAAATTCCATTTGAGTTGGACCATAGCGATTTCGGCAAAAATCAGTAAAAAACTCATGATCTTCCATTTTTTCAATAAGTTCTCGATTTTTAACGTAATTTCTACAATAACGTTGATAAATACCAAAGTTCGAAGCCTAAAAATAGTATAGAAAACACACAATATAAGAAAAGAAATTTTTGGGCGTCTCCATTAAAATAATAAATTTATATATCAAAATATATTAATAAAACGAACTAACGATATTATAAAGGTGAAACGCGAGATTACTCAAATTCAAGCTATTTTCTTCAAAGACTTTTAGAACTTTGCTAAATTATAAAAGAAAGAACAAATAAGAAGATATAACATATATATATATAATATTTATGTGTCATTAATTAAATAAAGCAATACTAACGTTTCATGAAATTCCAATAATTCTTCCCAATTTGAGAATATATTATACTTATTGTTAATTAACTCTTTCGGTACAGATCTTAGTTGAGTTTGTATATTTTCTATATAACGTTTTTTAACTGTTTGTAACTCGGCAACGTATTTCTTTTCTGATTCTATTAATTCGGTAATAGATTTTTGTAATGTTGTTAATTTATTACCAAATTCATCGAATTCTTTCAAATGTAATTCTCTTGGTATTAATTCTATTGTTGAAGGTAAAAGATTCCTTATTTTATCTTTCTTATCCCTTTTCCTTTTCCCGTCGTTCGAATGTCTATTAACTTTCCATTCGGCTTCGATTTTTGCGTGATTAATTAGATTGCCAATATCCATTTTAACTTGCCCTAATTCAGCGTAATATTTCCTCAAGATCTTTTTAAAATCTTCTAATTTACTGATTAGACCCGAATCAACCGTTAAATCGTTAGATTCCAACACTTTAGAATGTTCTTGGCAGAATTTATCTCGACGGCCAATCAGTGATTCGACATCTTGCAGGATGCGGCATAATCCTTTGGTATCCTTCGTTAATAGTTCTGGTACTGTTTTTAAGAAGGCTGCAAATGATTTTTCTAATGGTTCTGCACTGGCAAGGCATAATTTAACCTGTACAGTCTGCTCGTATCGTTTTGAATAAGTTGAATGCTGAGCAATGACTCGAGACCTTAGTTCTTGTAAATTTTCGTGTTTAGTCGATTTTTCCTCCAGTTTTTTCGATTCATTTTCGCAGTGTTCAATTTGACTGATGCACTCCTAAACAAATTATAAAAATAGATAAATATGTTATATATATATATAAAGTAAGCGTGTATAAGAGCCGAATAAGGGAGAGAGAGAAAGAGAAATCATAAAAAAAGACGAAAATTTTACATCGATCAACAACTCTTCGAAAAATTACATTATTTATCGCAGAAACAATTCGTTATGGCGACGGCAATAAACAAAAGTTTACTTTCTACTCTATCATAAACTGAGTAACAGTAATTTTCTACGGGGGCGTTACTATGCAACGTAAAACGTATCGACGGGGCGTCTTTTTTAAAATTAATTATAGTACAAACGTTAAATTATAATAGGCTTCTTTTTTTTGAATAGATTTTGTCCTATGAATAGTCTAGTTTGAATTTGTATATAAAATTCTTTGGGGCAGCTGTTACCCTGTACAACCATTGAAAGAATTGGATTGGTTTGGTTCTAAAAAAATGAATATATATTTTTATTATTCTAGTATATAATAATAACAAAGAGAAAAAACTACGCATATATACATATTCTAATATATATATATATACTGTATATATATATATATATATATATGTTCCTCTTTTTATGATGTGTCATAAATATTAATAATATAATAGAAAAAGGTTAACTATTGAAATTTAAAGGTATTTTTCAATCCCCTAAATACTCACCAATGAAATACTAGGTCTTAAAGCTTTTAATCCTTCGTTTTCCGTAGGCCTTTCTTCACTTGATTTTACATTGAATAAAGAGCTTCGTCTAACTAACGAAGGCCTAATTGGACAATGAATTTTTTCGACTTTATTTTCCGTCGAAGGAGTTAATTTACAAATATCTTCCAAAGGACCATCGAACTCTTTTGGAAGAACCAAAGGTTTCGGTCTCTTTCTAATATCCTCTTTTCTCCAATTATCAACAGGTTTTGAGGGTAAAATATTATCTAATATATTGGCAACTTTAATGAAAGAAGTCGAATATCGTTTATGATTTGCATTCTTCATTTAAGTCAATTTATTTGCGCGGTTAATCAGTATATATACACAGTCCGTAATTTTGTATATATAAGTATATATACATAAATACATTATACTGATATAGACATGTATATGTATATATACATTTGAATAAAAACGTCTAATCCAAAGGCGTCTCTATCCAATAAATCGTTGCTGCTACTACGATATAAAATGAAAAAATATTCGCGCCGCTTTTAGAAATCTATAATTATGCACACCCGCATTCTCCATCGTTCGATAGCCCTATTATCACTCGGTAAAAGAGAATTTTATAACTATAGTAGTTTAGTTAAAAAATAAGAACAAAACCTTTAATTAATTACTTAAAATAGTATTATAGATTTAATGAAAGGCCATAAAATTTGGACGATTGTGTACCTTTTAAATTAACCTATCATTTATATAAATATATATATATATATATATATATATATATATGAACTCTTTTTCGTTTAGTACTTGTACCAGTAGAAGGGATTTTTTTCATGGTAGATCGATATGAAATCAATAATTTTCGGATTAAAAGTATCCGACAAGATGTTCGTATAAAAAAGATATAACTTAATCTTTTGTATAAATTTAAAATGCTCCTCTTTAGACGGTAAAATGAAGAGAACTATTATTTTCTTGTTCTTTTATTTTACCTTATATTTATCCTTTATCGAATTATATTCTTCTTCAATATTTAGGTCATCGACTTGCAATTGTTCAAAGTCTTTAATCAGAACGACCACCTGTATAGTAAAAAGAGAGAAAAAAAACAGCAAACGATTAGGCCTATTTAGCAGCAATTTGTAGGCTGGAAAAAAAGAATTAGGTTTTAAAATAAAGCGCCATCTAATGCGTAAAGTGATAAATAAAGTTTCTTTTTTTTTTTTTATTAGAAATGTTGACTAACTTGTTCGTATAGAATTATCCATTTCTGACGTTGTAAATTGTTTTGCAAGCTTTTGCGATTTGTGTCGCAAATATTCAGGAATTGTTTGTTATCTTCTCGTATTTTTGCATTATAACTGAAAGAGAAACAAAAAATGTACAATGATATAAAATACTAATTAATATTAATAGTTGTTGCGATGAAAGAAGAAGAAGAAGAAGAAGAAAGGCTACCTGTCTATATGATTAGAGATAATCGATAAATATGGTGGATTATCTTTACTTTTTTGTATATTTTTAACAAAATTAATTGAATTTCCATCCAATTTTTCATATTTCATTTTAATTCTTTCAATAAACTGTTCAAAATCATTTAAACCTTTTTCAATAAAATCAGGATTTATAAGATTCAACCATTTTAGAACGAATTGTTGATAATTTTTAATTTCCTCTTCAATTTCCGAAATTTCTAATCGAATTTTATTCATAAACTGAATATTTTGAATACTTTTAACAATTTTATCAATAAAACGTTTATTATTAATTATTTTTTTTAATTATTTACCTTTAAACAATCAATCCAAATGTAGAAATCATATTTTATATTTCCTTTATACTCAATAGTTAAGTTTTCTTTACAAATGAACTTTTGTAATTGATCCGTATTGTCAAGTTTATGTATATTAATAGCATTTGATCTTTCTAAATTTGAATTTGATAACTTTTGAAAGAATCCTATAGGTTTTATAATAAGAACCATATTGATTAATTCTGAATTTGTAATCTGAATTTATAGATAGATATATAGTTAAATAGACAAATAAAATATATAAACATTATGGTTAACAATTTAAACCTACAATAGATTCTTTAATAAATTCCCTAACATGCGCCCATTTTGAATTTCTTCGGTCTAATACAATAGTAAATGTTTCAACATTGCAATTCTCAAAAGAGTATCTACGAGAAATGAATGACGATTGAAACAAAAAATAGAATCTAATATACATATTTATAAAATAACAATGATTTTATAACTTACTTTAAAGTTGTTGTCATAAATTTTAACAAGTATTTAAATTCATTACGATTGATTATTTGCTTATTATCGGGGATAACAAGTATAGGTAAGCCATTTTTTGAAATACCACCGTATAGATAAGCGTACTTATTTGTCTTTAATTTTCTAAGGAAATCTCCATACTCCATCTCATTAATGGGACTTTTAACAGTTGCCATTTTATTCTATTATCCAATTAAGAAATCATGTGACTATTAAAAAAAATATCGTAATTTATTGACAATGGACTGATAAGAGAAATTATTAGAAGAGTTTATATAAGAGATAAATGTATAAAAAGATACAAAATACAGAAATATATTTATATATTCATACCTTTTCTTCTTAACGCCATTTTATTTTCATAATAGTTAACTTCCTGTGAATATTAACAATTTTTCACATAATATAATTTAAACAAGCATATGTTAAATCTATAATAATCTGGAAATTTTTGCACGTAAACAGTTTTTTTTCTCTCTTTTTCTAAAGTTGTTATTGATTTATAGCATCAGCTGACTTTTTTTTTTTGTTATTTAGTAAAAGATAAAAATCATTATTTTATAAAGATAAATATATATTACTATTTACTCATCTTTTTCTGTTTTTATAGTTATGTTTTATGTATTATATGTATGTATTTATGTGTGTATATATGCTTTACGGCGAGTAGGTAGAGCTGTGGGGTCGGGTGAGGGGGAAATACACCAAGAATGGTGTTGATTTTTTTTATTTATATAAAAAAAAACAACAACAACAACCCTAGAATAAAAAATGTAGTTTTTTTTCAAAATTGTACTCTTTAACTAGTCGATATAGTTATATTATTTCTTTTTAATAATTAAATAGTTATAATAATTAATAATTACTTTTAGAACATGTAAAGTTTTAATAAAAATCATTCAAACCTTCTTATTTCTTTCCAGAATAGATAGTTGTAATATACTACTTATGGCCTCTAAAATACAGATATTTTTTTATTTTATTTTCTCTGTTTGCATATTCTTTACTAAGGTTCTTAGGCCTATTGGATATTTAAGAAAAGAAACAAGTATTGAAATAACTAATTATTGTTAAGTGAGTATTTCAAAAATGATGTAATTGTATGTAGGGTTTTGTTGGAGGGGGAAAAAAACTAGTATTGTTATTTATTAACATATCATTTAGTTGTTATAGGCGAAATATATATATATATATATATATATTCATATTATATCTACTAGTCTGACTCTATTGCTCTCAATACTCACTTGCAAGCGCATGTTTGGTTGACGTGGACTGGATGTACTATTTAACCTCTTACTTTCCTTTTAGTTGACGTGTTTAATCGACAGCTAGAAAATTTTATTTAAGCGGCAGAAAATATGTAATGGTACACTGACAGCTATCAATACCATATCGGGTTTATTTTTATAGTATATGTATTATAATATAGAGTCAATGAACTCATGCTCTGCTTAACAATTTGCTACCTTTTCTTCATCTCGTTTTTATATTCCCAATAGCAAAACACATACATTATATCTAACAACAGTTTGACACTTTCCTTGTTATTTTATCTCTGATACAATGGGTAAGCTTTAAACTTTCTAGAAGGGAAACTTAACATCAGCGATTTGTCAATTTTTTTCTATTTTCTTAATAACTAGATGGCGCCTTTGCGAAGAAAACCTTACAAAAGGTGTTGGATCAAGCCGTACACAGGATTTTTTCAGTGCTGTACAAGGATTCGAGTATAAAAAAGAAGATGGAAAAGAAGAAGAAAAATTAAGAAAGTAGACAACTCAGTAGAAGAGAAGAAAGAAGATGAGATACACGATATTCTTTACTTATCAATGTAAATTTTGAAAATATTAATTAGATAATTAGAAGAGTAGACAAATTAATGACATCCTTTAAACGTTTGCTCAAAGAGATTAAAATACTTCTCTTCTATTTATCATCTATCAAAAAATTCCTAACTTTAATTATAATTCAGAAAGAGATAAGAAGAAGAAGTGAAGAAAAGATAAATGTAGTTTATGAAATAGAGAACAGGAAAAAGGAAAAGAAAGATGTATAGAAAGGAATTTTTGTCTCATTATATATAATAATTAATATAGTATTAATCAATTTTGTCCTTTTCCTTTTCACATTATTCTCAATTCTCATCAACATAAGCAAAATTAATGTAGAAACTACAACGGAACATATGTATATTTCTATATATAGTAATTGGTAAAAATTTCATCTGCAAAGGTATTGGGAAACAGCTTTCCCAATATATTTTTACCCAAAACATCATTTATATTTTGTAAATACGTTCTGTTTTCAATATCTGGCTTAAAAAAAAAAGATAAAAAGTAAGACAGTTTTATCCATGCTAAAAATCATAATAGTATAGGCCTAAATTATATATATATATATATATATGTTTATGATAACTCTCTAAAGAACACAATAATGAAGAAGTTTTTATATTTTTAGAAAAATTTTCTTTTCAATTTTGCTTATTGAAACTGTAAACAACTGCAAAAAAACGTTATTTAATATTTTTTCCAGTTTTATTACTTACTCTCTCTCTCTCTCCACTTCTCTTCTACCTCTCTACCTCCTTCTCCCCCTTGCCCCCTCTCCATTTCTCTCTCTCTTTTTTTTTCTCTTACCATCCACCCAACCTTCAATTCAATTTATTAAAATTTCATTTACTTTTACATTGTTAGTGTCACTTCCTTACAATCAACCAATTAACTATATGTTTAGGTAAAAGAAAAATAAGGCCTAAGTGTTCCATTTATAGTTTCGAAATAAACTTCATTCATAATACTTTGTGATAGTATGGATTTTTAAGATGCTTTGCTGTTTAAACCTTCATAGTATAAAAAGTAGAATCGCTATTTTTGTTGCATTTTAAAGGAAATGAAAGACATTTTTTCTTTCTATTCATAAGGATAAATTATGCTTGTAAAGATATAGATAAATAATATTTGTATATAATAATCGTTGTTGGTACAGAGTATCACCACGTATCAGAATAATAAAAGAAATGAACTATTCACCATTGATAGGACCGGTATCCATAACACTCTTACTTTAAAAGGTCAAACGGGATGTCTTCCTGACCTTATATTGTTTTTTTCTTTAAATGGTAAAGAAGAGACGCTGACTGTGAAATCGTTTGAGACGAGGTCGTTTCGGTTGGGGGAAAAAAGTGGGAATAAAAAAGTAAAAACTGGGTATAGTTCGATGATAAACTGTTGTAACGGCTGTTTTTACTTGAGTCTACGCCACTTTTCATTTCATTTCTGGCGGTCGTTTGCTACGTAAGTGCACATTATTTAGAGAAGCATCAATAATTTTCTTTTACTGGCGGATGTTCACGTTAACCGTCATTCTGCTGCCTTAAATTTAAATGGCAGCAATGGCGGATAGCATGGAGATCCGTTTCAGTAACTTTGCTTTACTAACATTCTTCCTATAACGACTTTGAGAAAAGAAAATACCGGAAATGAAGATATAAAGGGGGTGGATGACTTCTCTTGATCAATATGGCAACAAAATACTTGTTCGTTTGCTGTCATATTTATCAAATACAGTTCCACTTTCCAAGAGCATCTTTATATTTTTTTGTCTTATGAACTGTTTTATTCTCATCTAAAAATATACTTATTGCATATCAGCATATCATTTATAAACCTATATAGATCTGTAAAAAAGCAAATTCTGTGGCGCCACTTCGACGACAACGCCATCTGCATATTTTAACGAATATATCGTCTGCTAAGTATCTGCGATTTATTTGTTCAGAGCTGGCTATTGACTTTATATCGTTTTTGAAAATCGGACAGTTTAGGTTCAATTAAGGTAAAATACTACTTTATTAGTTATTTAACATAAATAATATCTTGAGATAGTATTTTGCTAAAAAGGTAGAATTATGTTAATAGTGAAATGGTGTCACGTGTTTATCAAAAATAGAGAGAAATATGTATAATAGCCAATTGGACGTAGATCGAATCTGGATCTTGTATCGAGTTCTATCCACTATTAATCTTCGAAAAAAAGGCTATTGTCAATTGCACTAGAAATCATTTAAACAACCTATTCAATCCTCTTTCTCAAACAGATATTATAACAACTGTAACTATTGAATAGACCGAATGGAAGAGAATAACAATGAAAACAGAATTAACCTTGATGCCCCAAGATGGGATCAGTCCTCTTTTAGTGGAAGAGCAAAACATTTTTTCTCTATAACTAACCCTTTAAATCTTTTCGCTTCTCACGATGAACTAGAAAAAGCAAAGGAGCTTGTTAAGCTCTACAAGTCCAGAAAAGAACCACCTGGTGTCACTGCAGATCAAGTTTGGAAAGCTAAATGGCTTTACGATTCGGCTTTTCATCCTGACACCGGAGAGAAAATGTTTCTACCAGGAAGAATGTCTGCTCAAGTACCTTTTAATATGGCAATAACTGGATTTATGCTGACTTTCTATAAAACTGCACCAGCTGTCATTTTCTGGCAATGGAGTAATCAGACATTTAACGCAGTTGTTAACTATACTAACTCTAATAAAAGTTCGGGAGAGAATGACTCCGAACAAATGAAACAACTAGGAAAATCTTATATGATTGCCACGGGTTCGGCAACTGTGACCGCCCTGGCTTTAAATCAGATTATACACAAATTTCCAGCAATTTTGGCCAGATTCGTACCTTTGGTGGCCGTAGCAGCGGCCAATTGCTTGAATATCCCATTCATGAGAAGTCAAGAACTTGTTAAAGGAATAACGGTGTTTTCAAAGGATGGTGAAAAGGTCGGAGAATCAAAAAAAGCAGCTAAGAGTGCTATTTCTCAAGTGGTATTTTCGAGAATAGTAATGTCTTGTCCCAGCATGATTTTATCCCCACTCCTAATGGCTCGTTTAGAGAAAGGAAACCTGTTGAAGGTACATTCAATTTAATTCATAATAAGTTGTTTACTCGTAACTTTTTATTGAAAACTTAGAAATATCCTCGCCTGAGTGCTCCTATTCAGATTATTTTCGTAGGATTTTTGTAAGTATTAATAAAGTAATGTTGGATAATCCTTATAAAGAACCTCTTTCTTAACAGATTGTCTTTTGCAACGCCTTTATGTTGTGCCATATTCCCTCAAAAGAGTTCTATGACAGTGTCTAAGATGGAAGGTGATATTAAGGAAAAGGCAGAAAAAATGGGATTGACCAAAGTCTATTTTAACAAAGGATTATAGGAATTAGGTTGTTGTTTTACCATCACCCAAAATTAATAAATTTAGACGTTGATGATGAATAAAGTAGTTAATTGATGATAAATCAAATTAAGTTTGTATTGTATTTATTTAAAAAAAATTAATTGATTTTTTATTGGAATATGCCAATCAAAAAAAAAATACTGATATTTTAACTTGCAATAAGCATTTCATGAGTTTTTTGACCAGTCTTTGACATCTCTGGTTTCGCTGGTTCAAATTTCGGAACTTCAGGCATATCTGCAAAAGTGAGAGCAAAGATATTATTTTGATAAAATTGAAAAGTAAATTTCTAACCAGATATGATATCGCAAACATTTTCATCTGCTAAAATTTTATCCAATTCGTCCTGTAGTTCTTGCTGATCGATCATATCGTTATGTGAAACATTTACAATCGACCTATTTAAATCGTCTTGAACGTCGATTGCATCGTTAATTTCGTCAACGACGTCATCTACTTGATTGACAGATAGCGAATTCTTTTTTAATGCAGAGCTTGCAGACTTCATTGCTTCATAAACTTCAGCATTGTTCCTACTCTGAGCGATTTTCTCCAGCGTTACATGAAAGTTATCTAATTGATTCTCTAATTGGATTTTTGATGCTTCTAATCTCTTTTTACGACGTAGACATTGTTTCGCTGAAGTGTGCTGTTTCTGATTGAGATATATTTTTGCTTGAGTTCGACATTCTTCCATTTGATCTTCTTTCTTTCTTATGGCATTTTCCAATTTATTACACATTTGTTCTAATCTGAACCATATAGTTTTTAAGTAATATTATCTCTTTTTTATGAAGATGCAATATACAGTATATGACAATTAAACTTACCGAAATTTATCTAATTCCTCTGGATTAAAATCAAATAATCTCTCGTTTTCTTCTTTGGCAAATTTAACAAACTAAAATTAAATGTTTTAACATATTAAGAGTATGTATCAAATAGTTACAATTATAACTCTAACCTTGCCAAGTTGTGGATCTTTTATCATAATGGCGTGACCTTGGTATTGAAGAGCTAAGATAACCAGTTCCAATGATTTATCATCACAGACATCTGACATTAGTAAGATGATATCTTGCCATGGAACAATATTACTGCCTTCATTCGGCCGGTTACTATAATATCTAGTTAATAACTCTTTAGAAGAGCTCTGTAAGAGAACCAAAATTCAGGTCAAGTTAGCCATTTGCTAATTAGTCAAACCTCTATCAAATTTAAGTGTACATATTCAGAATCAACTTCAGGCTTTTTTGTACCCCAGACCTTATTAAACGTCCATGCTACAGGCTTATGAACTAACATATTCCAACTCCACTTTATCCATCCTGTTCTCTGACAATTTCTTCTAAAGTCTTGAACAGTTAAAACTTGTTGATTTTCGTACAAATGCTGTATAACATCCTGCAAACACGCAGGTATAAGACTTTTACGCAAGAATTGTCGAGCTAATGTCTTCGGTTGAAATTTAAAATTTTTATGGTGACTTAGATGGCTCTCGATTAATTTTATCCAAAACTTCAATTTAGCATCATATGATTCTGGATTAAGGCTTCTTCGTTTAAAAGGAGCAAAAAGAAAATTCATACGACTCTCATCTTCCCATTCTGGTGGTAAGTAATTAGCCATTGTGTAATTTGAGCAATTAATTGTCTATGATTTTTTAAAAGATAATTTAAAAACTGGCCGTCATGGCGTCCACATATTGAGACTGAAGATTATTTTCGTAAAAAATGAATATATTATTAAAACAAAACTGAATTTACCTGTAATTTAATGTAATTTTATTTTCTTCTTTTATCACATCATTGTTTTGATTAATTTTCTTGATAATTAAGACGTTTTCTCACTGGTTATGCTAATTACTCTCGACCAATGAGCAACAAGCTTTCAACTCATTATTTCCATACGTCAACAACAACCTACTATTTATCTACATCAGTCTGTATTTTCACAGTGCTTTTTAGCGATTAATATAAAACATACTTGATGCAACTATTATAAAATGGATGAATATCGTTTTAGACAAAGTGACAATTATAAACTTGACAGTGAACCGGTGAGTAACGGCTATTTATTTTTCTATATAATATTTTTAGGTCAATGACACATGCTCATTGAAGTAAATAACAATAACAATTAAACAGATCCGTGAAAGCCCAAGAAAGACACCCTCAAAACGAGGGCGAAAACCAGCAAAGGTAGATGTTAAGGCAAAATTGGAAAGGAGCAGACAAAGTGCCAGGGAATGTAGAGCAAGAAAAAAGTTGAGGTAAGGTCAATGAACTTTGTGGAAATGCTCTGTCATACCATATCTTTTCTTTTAGATATCAATACCTCGAAGAATTGGTCAGTAGTAGAGAGAGGGCAATCATTCAATTAAGAGACGAACTTGAAAGGGTAAGTTTCACACAATTCTTATATTCTTACTTTCGCTTGCGCAATGCCAATTACAAAACCTTATTCTATGTTTACAACATTATAATGATGCAATATAAGCCAAATTTAGAAAGACTTATTTAGTACTTATTATTAACAATCATAATTTACTATGATAGTTTACATTTGATATAAAATTCTTTGTTTTATATTTATCTCTTGTGGAACCTTGTATATAATCAAAAGATACCAATGGCGCCACCTTTCATATATACATTGGTTTGATAATTGAAAAAGTCAATAACACTATGAGATTTAACAGATTGCACACAAATTCCTGATTGGTAAAAGTGAAAGTGGATTAAATTTGAAATATATGTACTTATATTTTAACATAAAAAAAACACAATATGTATATATTTAATACGAATATTCCTTCCTTTTCTTTTGACAGTATAAACTATGGGTTAAACAAATGGATAAAGATTGTGTTCCAAAGGAGGTTTTTCAAATGTTGGAGCGACATAATCGAACACAAATAGACAACTCAGACACAGTTTGTCTTTGAATATCATATGAATCTTGATATCTGAATGACTGTACCATATACAAAAATTGGCATTTATTTCTAAATCCTGCATAAATTTGTGTGAAAAACGCAAGCTGTGAACATTGTAAATAACTGTATATACTTTTACATGAAACCTTCACGTAAACAACGCTTTTTTCTTTACTTAACATAATAAAAAGCTGAAGTTTTGGGACAATCGATTAATTATGTTGAATTTGAATATTGTGATTGCCATTCAATCCTTAAATATAAATATATATATATATATAAATTTCTATGTAACATTTTTTTATTGTTGTTTATTTTTCTATTACTAATCAAGAAATGTTTGAATAGTAAAATAAAATATGATGCAATATTTTTTCAGCGAACCATTAACTGACTATAAGTTAATGTGTTTTCATTGATACATTTAGTCTATAACAGAATTTAGACAACAGAAAATACTTTAGTTTTGTTTGTTATCAAAAAGAAAAAGAAAATTTTGAAGTTTTATTAGCCGGTTTGCATGTTCTGAATGTTCAAATCCATCTGATAGGCATTAAAAGTTGATTATAATCACGAAAGGCAGCTAATTGAGTCATAATCGATAAAGTTTTCTGACGATAAGAAGCGATCGCAATTTTTATCTATGAAGCTGTTCGATGAAAACAATGCGTAAGAGTTATTGCCTGATACACGTTAAATTCATAGTTATCTCTATGCTAACAATACCACATAAAAAATAAATGATAATTTTAGATAACAAAAAAAATACTTCTGGTATTTTTCAAATGTAAACAAATCTTTCAAATTCTTTGAGCTTATTTTCAAATAGTTACCTTAACAGATTTCCTAGTATTTCGACGGCACGTTTTTGTTTTTCTTCGCTCATTCTCATTGATGTGAAAACTTGCGGTAGACTTGTAAATATTCTTAGAAAATGGATACAGCCGCATACAGTTGATGGAGCTTTTTTTTTACGTAGTTCTTCCAAATTTTCAGTGGAAATGAAATTGTGACTTTGAATATCATCTGTAGGAGATTTCTGGAAACGTTTCTTTGCTGATCGACGAGTTTCGCTTTTAAGAATACATGTCATTAGTCATTGTTGTTTTTCTTAAATAGAACATTCATGTTGATACAAACCGAACTTCTGAAACCGAAGGTGAAGGATCAACCTGATCAGATATATAGGCTTCCCAATATGGTCTTTCATGCTTATAAAGTAAAGTATTTGAGAAAGTGTTATCGAAAATTATTCGAATTCCATTTAAAGATTCGAGGATAATATCTTCAACCATATTTTTGGAACAGCTTTCCAGAAAAAGTGAAAATATTTGCAAAAGGTTCAGCTTAGCGGGTAGAGAGGCAACCTAAAAGAGAAAAAAGATAATGAAAACTTAACAATTTATAACTCAATATTTCAAATAGACTTACTTTTTTCTTTCGACTTATATTCGCAGAATCCTCTCTTAATTTTAATTTCAATCTGGCAGGCATGTCGAACTTTAAAACTTTTGGAGTGATGGATTCCTTTTTGAAATCTTCAGTTGCTTGTTTTAAAGAAATTTGCTGTAATTAATAAGATGATTTTAGAATTTTTGGTTCAATTATCAATTAATAAAATAACACCTGAGATTCCACAAAAGATCGATATAAATCATCAAAATCAACGGTTTCTTTTGAAGCTTCATTCTCAGAACTTTCACTTCCGCTATCATCTGACTCGAGTTTTGGCTTTTTGCCGAAATAGGTCTTTAAAATTTCATTAATCTTTCTCTTTCGCTTTCTATTGTTTTTTCTAATTAATAAAATAACTATATGATTCAGGCAATTCTAGGTCAAAAAAATTTTATCCATAATTACATTCGTATGGTCAATTCAAGTGTTTTTTTAAGCTTTTTGTTGTCTTCGTTAAATGGCAGAAGATGAGTTTCTGGTACTACACGGTCCCAGCTAAATACAAATGTATCTTTCAGAATTATGAATATTCAAAATAAATTTTTACCTGTTATTCCAGCCTAGGAAGTGTACTTTATAACATTTTTTTTTCATAATGCTTCCAGCTGTGAAACATGAGAGAATCTGAAGAAAGCTCGAAATTAAAGTTTCCATTAAAAATTGAATGATCGTTCTAACCCTGGCTTCATAGAGAACCCTTGCTTTTGTGGGGTCAGGCTCAAAACAAAAAGCTTTTTGACCCTCAGCAAAGTCCATGACAAACTCATATATAGAGTAGATTATATATAAGCAGAAGTTTAGTAATTTCTTTTACAACTAAAAGAAATTATTTGTAAAAAAGAAAAAACGGTATAAATTCGTAACATTTAAGAACTTGATTTATTTTCGTATTATAGTCAATATTTTTAAGCTCATTAAAATGTTTAATATAGCAATTTACAGATTTATTTTTCATTAATATAAAAATATTTCTATATTTATACGAAAAGGCTAAAATGTCTGTCCTGTAGTTGAAGTCTATAAACTTGGTAAAGCTGAACATTCGATTCTAATAAAATACAATGGCTAGCTTAGGAAAAGCCGGAGGTTTAGTGAGAATCCTGACAGGTTAGCGCACTACTTCTATGCACGATATGATTACAAACTGTGACGCTAAAGTAATACTTTGAATACTGTTTTTGACCTTCGAAAACTACGTTTACAACATTGATTGTTTGAAATAATTTTTTGATATAATAGTCTTGCTAAAATCACTTCACAACTGTTTTTCAGGAAGTCTACCAAAATCTTCACCTGTTTTGACTTCTGTTCGATTTAATCAAACCGATGCAAAGAAAGAAAAGGTAAATAATTTTAAATAAATCGGCTAAATAATAGATAATCATAATTGCTTACTATAGACCACCTTCGGCAACCTTAAAGATGAGGATAGAATTTTTACAAATCTTTATGGAAGACATGATTGGAGATTAAAAGGTGCAAAGTCCAGGGTAAGCAAACATTTTAATTAGAATTAACCTTTTTTACTGATAATGATGTATTGTTTAATTTTTCAGGGCGACTGGTACAAAACAAGAGAAATTATGGACAAGGGAATTGAGTGGATCCAAAAAGAAATCACTACGTCTGGCCTAAGAGGAAGAGGAGGTGCCGGTTTCCCAACTGGAATGAAATGGAGTTTTATGAATCGTCCCGACGATGGAAGGTAATTCAGGATTTTCAATAAGAATTTAACTAGGCTTGCTATCAATAATTATTGAACGTGTTTTCTTAGGCCAAAATACTTAGTAGTGAATGCTGATGAAGGAGAACCAGGAACATGTAAAGATAGGGAAATAATGAGACATGATCCACATAAACTTATAGAAGGCTGTCTTATTGCTGGCAAAGCAATGGGAGCTAGAGCAGGTTGGTTAAGGAAATAATGCTTTTACAATCCATAATTGTTTACGCATTCTAGCATATATTTATATTCGTGGCGAGTTCTATTATGAGGCATCGAACATGAATGCCGCAATTAAAGAGGCTTATGACGCTGGTCTCATCGGTAAAAATGCTTGTAATTCGGGCTATGACTTTGATGTTTACATGCATCGTGGAGCTGGAGCTTATATTTGTGGTGAAGAAACCGCCCTCATTGAGTCTTTAGAGGGAAAGCAAGGCAAGCCCCGTCTTAAGCCCCCCTTCCCTGCTGACGTCGGCGTTTTCGGTTGTCCTACCACTGTGAACAACGTTGAAACCATAGCTGTTGCTCCAACTATTTGCAGAAGAGGTGGAGAGTGGTTTGCTCAGTTTGGAAGGGATAGAAATAGGGGAACTAAGCTTTTTAATATATCTGGTCATGTGAATAATCCTTGTACCGTAGAAGAAGAAATGAGCGTACCTTTGAAAGACCTTATTGAAAGGCATGCTGGAGGAGTTAGAGGTGGTTGGGATAATTTGTTAGCTATTATTCCTGGTGGAAGTTCTGTTCCATTGCTTCCAAAGAGTATCTGTGACGATGTCCTTATGGACTTTGATGCTCTTGTTCAGGCTCAATCCGGTTTAGGAACAGCAGCTATAATCGTTATGAATAAGCAAGCGGACGTTGTCAGATGTATATCCCGTTTAATCGATTTCTATAAACATGAAAGTTGCGGCCAATGCACCCCCTGCAGAGAAGGAGTACACTGGATGAAGAAAATGATGACTAGATTCGTTACCGGAAACGCTAAAGTTGAAGAAATCGATATGTTATGGGAAATAAGTAAACAAATTGAGGGACATTCAATCTGCGCTCTTGGAGACGGAGCAGCTTGGCCCGTACAGGTATAGAACTTTTCCTAAAAATTACTATATTTATAATCTGAAATAGTTAATAATCTTTTAAATCACTTGCAGGGACTTATTCGCCATTTCCGCCCCTTGTTAGAACAGCGATTCAAAGACTATGAAAAATCGCAAGAATTACAGCAATCTGCCCAAACTATTTGAAATAAAACGTTTACAAACTGTTTATAGCTAACGAATGTTCTTTGTGAAAAATCTATTTAAATAGAAAACAATTAGTAATTAGACAATTATCTCTTCACTCATTTCAACACCTGGATTAAACGTAATAGAACTTGAAAAATGTAAGCTTTCACTCTCTTCGTATAAATTCTCCACAGCAGCAGTTCTTCTAAAACTTTGAACACTTTCATTTAACGACGTATCCTCTAATAAATCTGGTAAAGAGTTGACATGTCTGACATTCCTGCTAGATACTATTGGTTCAGGCTTGACGAGATTCTCGCAACTATCATAAGACAATTGATTCTTAACAAAATGAGAGCACTCCCTTAATAATTGCTTGCACTGCTGAAGAGTATTTAAAATTCGCTTATCTTGTACTTGCATTTGTTGCTGTAAAATAAGATGTTCCAGAATAACGTATTATTATCCACTTGAAAACTTACCAGTTCGCTTCGAATTTTCTGCATCATTACAGATATCTTTTTAGCGCTTTGGCATAATTTATCTTCGTTACATTCGGCCATAATATTATGAGGCTGTATACACCTTAAAACTGTCCGTAACAAAGTGAGAATAAAACACAATTTTACGCCCGGCTGTTCCCTTATAATGATGGGTTATACACCATTACGTAATCAGTATGAAGACATGCTTTCATTCTTTCAATGTTTGCTATTGTATTGAACTGGTGTCTTAATGGAAAATAATTAATTAAAAAGTTTTAACTCAGATTTGCCATTTAACAACTCTCCTGTCTGATTATATAGTACGAGTGTTCCTCACTATGAGCCACTCTCAAGTCGGACAATCATTCAAAAGGCGACATGTTGAACTATACGAATTCCTTGAATATTTATAGCTGTTAAATATCAAACACCTGTCAGCACGAGCCTTTGTGCCTGGATTTTCTACCAAAATCCCAATAAAGGTTATGAACTTAGACATGATTAGGGATTTAAAATCAACCTTTTCTAACCCTAATTCTTTTTCAAAGTTTAATGAAATAGATCTTAAAGTTTCATTCTTGAGCATAGAAATTCCTGAAAAGTATTTGGTATACGTCAACATATTTTTTAAAGAAAGCTCACGATACCTTCGCCCCCTCCCATCCCTCCAGTCGATTACAGAGACATCTTCAATTAAAAGCTATTGTATCAACTCGTTGGTCAGTCGTTCTAGTCAAAGGAATAAATTAAACGATTTTGTTAAATGACTATTATTCAGTCTTGATTTTTAATTGTTCTAAATTTGTAACTGTAAAATAAATAAATGCGGAACTAAGCAACGCGTGATCATACGAGATTTTGCGTGGCTTTGCTTATGATCAGTGATCAGAGCTGTCTTGTAGCTGAAAGATAATTTTCGCTGCGATCGGACGGTTTTTCCTTAAATTTAAAAATGACGATTTACACTTCAAAACGTGTGGATAAGAAAGCTGATAAAAATGAGCTGGAGGCTGAGGAGATTTTGGACGCTTTAGTAAGTATTATATAATTTAACATATTGCGTTTTAAGAAGTGACTGGTCTCTTGACTTTTTAAGCGTCATTTACAATTGATATATCTTAAACTACATTCAATTCTATTTTATCTCAAAATATGTATGTAAATACAACCAACATACATCACTTATTATTTATTATAGTAAATGAAAGTGTGATGTAACTATGGCAACGATTGTAATCTTTAAAAAATTCCATCCTCGAAAAAGAATAAAAGCTCTTACTTAATTTAAAAATTCATTAATTGAACAAACTTCCTATTGAGTCATGTTTTTTTTCACCATTGTGAATACTCCAGCTTATATATTAGTATATATATAATATGTATTTGTCATGTATTTCTTATTGACTTTAATTCAAATAGGCAGAAAAGCAATTATTGGCTAAACAGAATGAGGATGCTCCAAAAGTTCATGCCCATATTGTACGAATCTCGGACGACCTGATTCGAAGAAGACGAATGGCTTTAAGATTGGTCGTAATTAGCGCGGCAATTGTGTGCTCTGTCGTTGCCGTTTTCGGAGGAGTTTATTTGTATTGGCGCATGTCACACGGGGTAAGTAAACAATGTAATAGCACCTACTATCTCTAGACCATTCACACTTTTACTTTTATTCTTTCGCATCTTATAGACATTTAAAGGATACTACGGCGTGCAATACTATTCTGAAGAATTTAAAGAAAATCAACACATTTCTCATCAGTCGCAGAAAATGTTGTCAGCAAATCAGATGAGAAATCCTCATCGTCTCGAGGAACATATTGAAATTGATAAGGCTACGGGAGCTTTCGAGAAAATTGAAATACCTCATTTTGAAGCTTTTCGACAGGCAACCATTTTACATGATTTTGAAAAGGTATGTATTGATACAATCTTGTTTGTGACACTTTCTCACCCCAAATTGGAAAAGCGTTAGATTTTAAGTACCTCTTCTTCTGTCGGGTCCCATAGCCCTATTCAATCAATTGTTTTCTTTGAATTCCGTTTAACGGAAAATGTCATTTGTGCTTTCACTTTCACTTAAATTTTATAGAGGTTCCAATTAAAGAATAAAAAGGAAATTTTTGTTTTTTTCGACTGCCGTAATCTGTGAAAAGGTCATAGAGATAAATGGACTGTTATCTGTATATACCTCCGCCGAACAGTTCACTTTTATTACTTTTCAAGATAAGACCTCAAGAATCGAATGAGTAAGTGCAGTATATTGATTAAAGTTCTTTTGAAATTGAATAAAAAAAAGGTAGAGCTTGGCCTATGCCAAAGCAAAGTAAGCCTGAGCCTTTTGAACCCTTTTCATTGACTCTCATTGTGGCGATTTTTCAAGATACAAAGTAAAGTGTGAAACTGAATGGCTCTTATGTCGATTAGATTAGTTGGCAGTATTTATTGTGAGACTTTTGAGGAATGTTTGTGTGTTTATTTAAACGATAAATTTATAGTGGAGACATCTGCTTCATATCAATCGATATAGATTGAATATCTGACCCTTTTTCCTCAAATCAACAAGTAATTTAACCGTTAGCCATTTTCCTGTAGAGTTCATTCTCCTCACTTATATTATATTTTTTCATCTGATTTAAGGGCACACAGTGTACTATTATGCGAAATTATGCTTGTTTAAGTTGAACATAAGCCTTATTCAGCTTGCGAATTGTCTGTCGTGTATTGTAAAGGCTTTACTTCAGCATTAACTGGTTCATGCTATATTTATATATTTGAGCCCTTCTACTCTTTGGTCAACAATACTTATTTGATTTATTGCAGAATCTAACGGCGATCGTCGACAAGAAAGTGCACAGATGTTTTATAATGTCACTTGATAGACGAAGCGTGAAACCGCCTAAGGATTTCTGGGACCTACTTCGAAAAGCAAAGGTAATGTTTTCTAAAAGCAAGAGTGGTAATTCGACTAGACCATTGCCTAGAAGCGACCAAAGCAATTTAGAAAAGCAATAAGTTAAAGCATTACAAATAACACCATGTAATCGATAACGTATAACAAGATCCGTTTTCAATTTGTATACACTCATTATTCTTTAACACGAAATTCGATAAACGAACATGAATAAATTCATTTTTACAATACAACCTACTTTTTTCAGCAAGGGTATTACTTGCCCAAAGCCTCTATGGTCAGGAGAAAATTTAGAGTTTCTCAACATCCAATAAAGGATGTTCACAAACTTGGATACTACATTTGGAGAGAATGTAAGGACAATTTTGCGACTTATCGACTGAAACCTTATGGCTTACCCTACGGTAATTTATTTTTATAACCTTTTACAATATTGTACTTAAACATTCTAATAAAAACCTTATTTATTATTTTTCTTTTACAGCTTTGTCGAAGAGATCTGTTTCAAATCGCATGGAATATTTCTCTGGTTCTGCCGGAACAGACGTAGTTATAGCTTTTACTATATTACTTTAATGAGATATATTGGAAACTACTAAGAAACCTACAGTTGACTTATGTGTATAAGTATGCACATATCTATATATATATATATATAATGTAGTACATATGTATGATATATATATATATATATATTTATATATATATATAGTACATATGTATATTTTTAACCTTTAAACAGTGTATATAAAGTATATGGTACATGCCAATGTACTTATACTGTACACAAAAACAGTGTAAAAAAATTTATTTAATATATACTTTATAAAACGCTTTACATTTTTAATTTTCAAAAAAATCAAATCTTAATACTCTGATTTAAGGAGAACAGTTGCTAAATAAGCATATTAAATAGCTATATATATAATATATATATATATATATATAGCTTCATAAAAGAATTTGCTTTTTTCGTCGTTTTTATGGTAACAATTAAAAAACGATGTTAGTTAAAAGCAAGAAAAAAAAATTGCTAATTAAGTTGTATATATACATATACTGTATTCTATAGGAATATGCATAAATATATAGTGTTATATTTAAATATTAAAAATGTATAATTTATATATTTTCGTATATATATATATATTACATATATATGTATATATAAATAGTTTATTGTCTGATATAGCCGTTTTTCATCTTTATTTTGTTTAAATTGACAAGTCGATTCAGAACGTTTTCCACCGCCTGTTATGCACATAAACGTAGTTTTGTCTCTGCGTAATGTAAATTTCAGATTTTGGTGTTATAAAAATAAAATAAAATTAAAAAAATGTGTTTCGCCTTCCTGACATTACCGATTCGGAAGTTTTTATAATGCTTTCAGCCTCATATTGGCATCCTATCCCTAATTAGAATATCTTATAGGTCGATTATACCGTCTGGATGCCTTATTGATTATTCAAATTATCATCTTCTCTTTTTGTTTTCTTACGGTTTTATTTTACTATTTTGATTTTATATTTTAAAAATAAATAAATCGGAAGACAGTACTATATAACAATAAAAATGCGGCCTTATAAGTCTTATAGAAGTTTTAATCTCAATTTGTAATTATTTCTCTTCAAAAATTAGATTCCAACCCATTTGACTCAATAATTTATAACTGAACTTTGACTCTAATATTCTAACTAGTCTCTTCGCAGGAATTCTATTATGTATTATTTCACAGATGATGAAAGATGGTCGATATCCCAAGGTAAGAAATTTTAGTAATATTTTATCACTGGTTCCCTCTGTGTCTACTGAAAGGAGGGCAAATTTTTTGGGTATGTTGTGAGCTTTTACGAAATTTCCAACCGAAATTCCATTAACCACCACGACCTTTTCCCCTCCATGTCTTCTTATTCCAGTATTTATGCGAAAATTCTCCATTTGAACGCTATCTCTTCCCATAGCCATTTCAATATCACCGTCAGTTTCTTCAGTCAAGGCGGCTGGCACATAAATTATTTTTTGACTTCCATCATTATAAGGATCAATTATATTTTCATGGTTAATCTTTGCAATATTTAATTGAGAAGTTATTGGTTCAATTAAAGTTGCATTCCAGCCTAATTCTATGAAATTAAAAGAATTGCTTGACAATATGCCATCATTGGCCCCAACGTCTATAACAAGCTTATTAAAATCTCGCTTTTCCATCATGTTTTTTTGAAGTATTCCTGTTCATTGACAATATAATTCTTATTATTAAAAATACCATGGAAGAACAGTTTAGCACGAAAAAACACTTTAGAATTTATTAATTACTTTAACTATTTTAAACATTTGCTCTCTTGAAACAAATTTGTACTTTAGGGTCTTGTTAGTGTTGTCTAAGATTAATATGACAGTATTTATTGTTTACAAAAAAAGAAATTCACTTTGAAGGTAACTGTAAATTTTTTGCTTACTTTTGTAAATAAATAACATCTCGCCATTCTGTGACACGTCAACGTTAAAAGTTGATAATCCATTCCTTCCGATAGAGAATAATCTACCAACGGTTTCGGATTTTATGCGAACTAGACCTCTATGTTTTAGCGATGATAGCAGCCTGGACACGGTGTGAGTCTCCGATAAAGCTTCAAGCAAGCTTTTACCTGGAGGTGGAGATAGTTGATGTATAACTGAAGATATTTTCCAATAAGATGTGAGGCCAATAAAAGATATTATAGCTAAATTTAAAGCAAAAGTAGTCAATACAATGACTGATAGCTTAGATGCTCGAAATCGTGCCATGGTACTATATTATCGCTCATTCATGGTGACCAATTACCGAAAATATAAATTGTTTCCTTGTTAAAAAGTGAAGTCCATCAAGTATTTGCGAACTAAATATTGTATTGATGGAACCTATATAAACTGTATTTTTAAAAAATCGGGACAAAACAAGTTATTGCTATATGAAATTCTCAGAATGCGCAAATCAGAAGCAAAGGAAGAGTATAACTGAAATATCTAAGATGCAAATAAGAGTTGCACACGCGGATAATTAATTACAAACTTATTTAAAATGTTTTTTTTTTTTTCAAAAAGATTTTTTAAAACTATTTTTGAAAAAAAGCAGGGTTTATTCACTCGGCAGCCTCCTCAGCTTGAGGTTCGGCGTGATTCTCTTCCTCTCCTTCTTTTTCAACGTATTGCGGAAGGCCAGCGTCATCCCAAACAACTGCCCGTTTAGGATTTATGCGTGGGGCGGGATATCCATAAACTGGCCCTGCAAATACGACTTTTCGCGACACATAGTTTCGCTTATCCTTTTGTCTTTCGTATTTGCTGTACATTTCAATTTTGGCGGGACATCCTGCGAAAAGCTCCTGCATTTTATCCGCTTCGTCAGATACTTGTACTTTCTTGCCCTTTCCACCCTTTGTCATTTGACGTGCTTTTTCGGCCAATTCCATCATCTGTTAAAGTTCAAATTATTTATTTAGAAATGAATATATGAATCAAAAACTAAATATACAAACGTCGTATTGTTGGCGTTTGAATCTGACTTCCAGATCATATTTTTCACTTTCTAGACGATAGATCAAATTGTGCAATTCCTTAGCTTTTTCAGATAATTTAGAAGAATCAAAACCAGAAATTTCCAGTTTTTGAATTCTTTGGGCTAATGTATTTCTCTTCTCATTTTCAATTTGTTCCTTTGTCTTTTGTCCAGTTATAGCACCGTCCGTCTGTAGTTTTTATTAAGAATTTAGTATTTTTATTCTAATTACATGTATAATAAGTCTCGTTAGCGTAGGCTAGCTGATCCGGAAAACTCAAATTATGCACAATTATTTCTCATGTATTTACTCTTTACTATATCAATTTATTAAATGAATTGGAAAAATTAGTAGCTATATTTTTCTTTCATTGAAAAAATTGACATAATATTCTAGAAGAGTTATAGTATCATTACCAAAAATGAACATATTTTTATTGGTATTCCATAATAGGCCTATTTTTTTGTTCATTCTTTTTATTATTTTAGCTATTCTGGTTTTCTAGATTTCTTTTTTTTTTAGATAATAGACCTTGACAGCTAGACTGCTCTAACTAGTGCTAATAGAATACGTGCAAGAAAAAACCCAATACTAAAAACTAGCCAGTAATCAACGTGCTCGAAGCTAGCAAATTAGAGAAACATAACGGAAAATAAAAATTAAATAAACAAATTCTCTTAAAATCAATTAATCGATCGCTTATTTAAATAGATAACCAATCGATTCGCGAAACAAGTCGTAGTTTAGTAGCAAAAGATTACTTTAGTGGTAGATATAATTTTTTTTTGCTTGAAAAGGAAAACAAATTATGGATAGAAACTTTTTCGAAGCTTCACCGTTTGTTTTTTTCCCCCATCCGATTATTAATAGGTTAATGTAAAAAAAAAAAGACCTCTTTATCAGCTACCTCCGAAGATCCTCCTCCTTCGCCTGCTTTCTTTGTGATAACGAAATTTGGTTTAGGTGGGTTCTTCCATTTTTGCATCTCAGCCATTTTCTTTTCGCGGGCCTCCCTACGTTCAGCTTCCAAGCTATCCTTCTGTCTTCTCCTCTCCTCTTCCTCAGCTTTTCGTCTAGCTTCTTCCTCAGCTCTTCTCTCAGCCATTCTCCTTTCTTCCTCTTCACGTTCCTTCTTTCGTTGTTCCTATATGTTTGCAGGAAAAAGATTAGATGAGACTAGTTTTATTCTTATTTCATTTTTTATAATTATTATATGTTCAATATTTTGTATTTAAATTTCTTATCCTACGTTTCTCTTCCGTAATTCTTGTATTTCTTCTTCCATTTGTTCTCTTTCTCTCTTATTATCTTCTAACATTGCCTCTGCATCTTCGTCCAATCCAACAGTTTGAATTTGTCTGCGTTTCTGCCGAAAAAAAAGAGAAATTACTTACCCTTCTCCTACGAAGGATTTCAATTTCCTCCTCCTCTTTCTCTCTTTCTAAACGGCTCTGCTCCAAAACTTCCCTGGTAAATTCATCCAAACCTTGACCTTCAAATTCTGATCGCCATTGTTGGCGCCGACGCTGAGATATTATTTTTATTACTTTTAATGTTTATTTACTCTAATAATAAAGTGTGTTTTTTCAAACTTATTCATTATATTTAATAAAAAGAAGGGAACTTTCAATTTTTTCAATGATTTCCTTTTTTTTTTTAAAGAAAAAAAAGATCATTGAAAATAAAATTTATAAAACGAAAAAAAAAGAAAATATCAAGAGAAAAATGTCTAGTTTTCGTATCGTATTCTTTTTATAAAAAGAATCTTTTATCAAAATCTTTTTGTAACTTTGGTCAAACAAAATCATTATTGATATAATAGAATAATATTAGCTTAAGTATATCTTTAGTTAATGATTATTCTTGAATTTTACACAAAAAGTAGTGTAAATAGAATCATCTATCAGTGTAGAATAGAATATTCCATATATGGTAAAGAGAAAAGAACAGCTATATTCTTTTTTTAAGAACGCTACGTCGAAATTTCAATATGGCAACATTCTCGCTAATTGAAACCCGAAATATTACTTATGCTACAATATAAACGAAAATAGTTTTCTAGGCAACAAATAGGTTCAAATTCTGACAGTAAATTGCAAGAAGAAGAATATATGTAAATATATATATTGCTTACGGATTGAAATGAAAAAGGTTACTTTTTCTCTTCCTTAACGCCATCTATAGGCGAAAACAAGTTAAAAAACGTTTGCCGGTCTAATTTTACCTTGAGGGAAGCTGGAAGGTAATGTTGTGTGGGTTAGGTATTTAATGATTAAAGTGTAAAAAAAGATAAACTTTAATCATTAAAAAGACATAACTGTTTCTAGCCATTGAATTATTGAAGCAAAGCCGTTTAGGAGAGTTGTTTTAATGATTAAAACTAAAGTTTTAATCATTTACTAAACTTTGAGAGAAAAGTTATAGATCAAAAACTCTTTGCGAAGAATCTGCATACCTGCATAGCCAATTCCGCCTCGGATGGTCCGCTGTCCTCTACTGGAGCCGATCTAATTTACATGAATTTATAAGTAATGAAAATACTATTTTTGATGTTAGGTTGTCTCTAAAAGAGGTACATACTTTCTAGTTGGACTGCTAGGTGCGCTTTCTTCCCTATTCACCAAACAAAACAATTAGATGGGGTAAGATAAGATACAAAGTAGAAATAGCTAGGTTGTGAGAGATAAATAGAAATGAAAAAATAAATATCACATAATTTTCAATATTGATAAAATTATGTAATATCTGGATCACACAACTGAATTTATACTAATGAAACTAGGTTTATAAAGCTACGAAATTGAAATGAGAAAAGATGGAACGTCAATATCAACTTACTCTTCTTCACTCCTGTTACAATATCAATAATTAAAAAGTTATTAAACAATGCATGAAATGTCATATTTAAACAAGCGTATTCTTTAATGATCATTTTGTATGAAGAGTATATCTTAATATGTTAAATGATGGGGATATATATACGTACATTTCTTCTTCACTTACAACTTCTTCTTCGTCAGACATGGCGGCTACTTTTTACTGTTAAAAAAAGGAGAGATTGTATTTCTCTACGAATTTTTCATTAAGTATTCAAGTTAACAATTAAGTAATATGCAGAAATCTTTTAAATATACTTAACTTATCTTACTTTTAATAAGTTTTAATAAAATATCTAGAGAAAAACTTACTTAAAAAAGAATAAAATGCAGAGAAAAGACGGAAAGAAGCGTTCGAAAGCTTGCGTACTGCGAAACTGCACAGATATTTCAACCGCTAAGCAGAAGCGCCCTTCTAAAAATAGAAAACTGCAAGTAAATATGCAGCTTTTGCTCCAACCTTTCGCTGGTAGCCTATATATTTTTCGCTGTACTTGCGTTTCCCTCTCTATCTCTCTAGCTTTCTAAACCCTCCCCCCTCTCTTTATACGTTTTTCTTATGCCTTATGAAAAAATTCCAAAGGTTTTTTTTTCGTTGCATTGGCCATTCTATAAATTTTTACGATTTATACATAGTTCTTTTTTCTTTCTACACCGCCCCCATTACACAATCTAAGTTTGTTCCCCTAGTTTTATTTTAATCCAATCTCTTATCTATTTATAACAATGAAAATTCAATACAATATAATATTGGTTATTTTAGCATTAAATAAATATATTCAAATATTTTTAAACGCCAATCGCATTCTTCTTTAATGATGTAGGGAAGTAATTAAGATAGGCCTATGAGTTTGAAGGAATCCAGTTTCTTTATATTTTAAGAATTCATTTCACACTATTTATCCTTGAAATATCTTTTAACATTATTGTTTTTATTGTAAGAAAACGAGTTATTTTTCATTTAAAATAAAAATTATATATATATGCAGCAAATACAGAGCATATACACTTTTGCAGTATATAAAAATACTGTATACTGTACAACGTACCTATATATATATATATATATATATATATATATATATATATATATGTAGGTAGATGTTATGCTACTTCGAATAATTATTTGTTGATATTTATTAATAATTTTAAAACAAAATATTCAGCAATCAGTGGTCTCGTTCGTTCGGTGGTAGATATTTTAAACCCAGATGCTTAAACACTGATTCTTCGGTCGGAGTAGGCAAAGGTACGCCTGGATTTAATTTTTCTCCTCTCTGTAGGTAAAAACTATTTGTAGTTTTTTCTATTTTTTTTTCTTATTGGCCTATAGGTAATTATATGTACCTTTCGAACAACACCCTTATTTAGTGAATGTTCGGACAGAGACATACCCATTTTGCCCGCTAGATGCCTCATAGAACGATTGAAATGTGCAGAACCCGTAAAATACATTATGGCGCATGCGTATTCATCTCTGGGCACGGTTATTATATCAATTCGTCTGTGTTTTGCCCCCTCCTCATCTAGCTTGCAAACACCTAAGTACTTGCTCTGCCCTCCTTTCTGCTGCAGAGAAACAAGATGGTCTGTTAAAAAGCTACCTAGCCTCTTTATAATCTTTGGTAGGAGATCATGGTGAGACTTTCCGTCGGGATGAGTTATTAAAAAATCTACATCACCACATGTCTCTTTACCTCTTCTGTACGATCCACAGCAGAGTATCACTAAATCTGCATCAATTCCTAGACATTTCTCCCTGACAAAGTCATCAATTCTACCAGCTTCTTCTCGAGGCATTCTTTCTAGGAGATCGTCGTAATGTTTAAGGCCTATCTGTTGCGGTCTGGTCAATTTGGCTTTATTTCGAACATCTTCAAGAGTTTTAATGCCCTGAGATACCCACTGTCTAGCCGTTGTCTGCCCTACACCCCAGATTCCTGATAAAGTTGAAATTGCCTTTATATCTTCTTGATTTGAAAGTTCCTCAAGCTTCCTTAAACCGCCTGTCTCAACTATTTCCCATATCTTATTCGCTACCCGTTCACCAACCCCAGGTATAGCAAGTGCTTCTTCAAAAGAGGTTATTGGTCTTGGATAGCGTTTGACGGCCGCAGCCGCCTTCCTATAAGAGAATGTGCGCCATCTATCACCAGTTGATTCGTAGGTTGTAGCAAGAGCCTGAAATTAAATATGTAAACAAAGGAATCAAGGAGTTCATTCATTCATATTTTCCTTTAGCGTAAGAGAATAAAAGCAAAATTCATTTGATAAAAGATATTTTCAACAAAACCAAAAAAAATTCAGAACAAATATTCATTGCTAAATGTTTTTTCATTTGCTACTGAACTTTTGTCATATGTGGTGAATATATATATATTAGTATATATGCACAGTAGAGATTATTTTTCTAGGCAATTACATATTTAAGATACATTTGTCAAGACTTTCGGTCAATTTTTTGATAGTGAGACATATGTAAAAGTATAATTAACTACGAAATAAAAATGTCTAAAGAATGTAAAACCAACAAAATAGTGTCTAGAAAAACAGTCCCTTATTTATATACTGTATATACATTTTGTATATGCACACTTTGTGTAAAATGTTGAAATACTGTATCTTTTTCACAATTATTCTTCAGTTGAACATAGTCTAGCGTCCCTAAGTTGTAAAATTCCACCACAAATTTGGACTATACCACACAGGAGAAAGGCTAAAGAAGGATTCGCTGTTTTTTCATATATACTACCAAAAGCTGTTATTGACACCAACGTTGCTAATCCGTGGACCGTTAATATTATTGCCAAACCGTTTGCTATAAATTCTGGTTTTTTTACAATTTCTACAGCTACAGAGAGTGTAAGTGGTATATAAGTCGCTGTAATTGAAAGGAAAATATAAAATTCTCTTTGTGTTTGACTTTTAAATGACGAAAGGTTAAAACAAACCTGATATCATGCCAAATAAACAAGCATAAATAATTAATAGATTATAAGTTCTCATATAAAAAGATGCTGATGTTAAAATTCCTCCTAGAATTGAAAAAATACCGAAAACAAAATTCTTGTCAAACCAAGCTTTATCTCCTAAATAGCCTACAAGCGGGCGCACAGTCGTTGAACATGCGCCCATAATTGCAACTAGAACTGCAGCATTCATTTTAGAAATACCATTGCTTTCAGCTTTAATTGGTAGCATCATAAACGGTACAACATGCCCATACAATAGGGTAAAATTTGAAAAGCAATAAATAATGAATCTTTTATTTTTTAGGATTTCTTTATTGAAACGAGAAGACCTTTTCTTTTCAAGAAGGGATTTTGACAATAGGGGACCCGGTTTAAGTATGGCAGCTATCAAGCAACCATGAAGTTGTAGACCACCAATTATCAAAACAGCTCCCCGCCAAGAATACTTATTGATTAGAAGTCTTGTAATAGGTCCCCAAAGCATAGAACCTACGCTTATTCCAGTCATAATAACACTCAAGGAAAAGGCTTTTTTCTTCTGGAACCAATGAGAAACTGCAACTGGGGCTCCTAGTTGGTAACAGCTATAACCAACCCCAGACACAATACCCATGCTAAAATAATAAACAATTACATTTCTGACGAGAAACGTTGTCAGGCAACATAAAGCTAGTATTAAACTACCACTAAAAACAACAACCCTGCATCCAAATCTGTGCACAATTGGACCCAGCAGCACTCCACTGAGACCTAAAAATGAAGATAACAAAGCTCCTATAAATGCTATGTTACTAGCTCTTTGTTCAGTAGAATCTATTATATCAACCATCATTATTCCAAACGAGGTTAAAGAACAACCTGTTAGCACCTCTAAAAAAAATGCTGAGACCAATATCACCCAGGCATATCCGGAATCTGTTGAATCCTCTGACAAATTTATACATTTTGTATTTTTTTTAGAACCATGCTCTCCGTGCTCTTCGTCATCGCAATAAACACATTTAGTATCCGTTGATACCTGTTTAGTCTCTAATTCTAGATTTTTTATACAATCATTATTTTCTTCTGTCATTGAGTCTTTTGACATCCTTTGTAGTAAAATTAAGAGCTAATAAATTGCGTACAGATGTATTCATGGAACATTAAAATCCAGTTAATGTTGACGTGAAAAAAAATAGTCAATAGTGTTAGAACCGGTGCTTATGAGCAAAAATCGATTAGGAATATAGACTGTATACAGTTATGACGTACGTTTTGATTTGAAATGCTACTAAGAATACCAAGCTGTAGTAAATACCTCTAAAATTGCTTCCGGTTATTATTTACCATGCAATATGGAATCATTCAAACAAGGATTTAGAGATAAGCATTTAATATATCGCAAAACGTAGCTTATTCTTTCGATTTTGCAATTTTTAACAACAAGAATATGACCTTGTTCTGAATTTTTTTCTATAAGAGAGTGGAATATATTTTAATATATTCCTTACAAATTGTGTCAATTGAAATTGTTAATATGACTATAATATATAGTAAAAATCGTTCGATAATACATATCATAATAATTGACAAACCTCTAATTTTTCGGTTATTATGCTGTTTAGATTTGAATGTTTTACTTTAGATGACTTTGCACATATCCATTTTTCAGGCTAAATTGGTTAATTATTATCTTTATTGTTAGAGATCGAGATAAACATTTGATAAGGAAAAAGACAAACTCACCGAAATTTTCCATTTCTTTTCAGGTATATCGTTATCGCTTTCCGATAAGGAAAGGGAACCTTCTCCCGACGAAGCATTAAAATCAGGGGGTAAAAAAGCAGGTTCTACCTGCTTCGAAGTTGATGGCGTCTAAAAATAACGAAAGTTTTTGTTATTTTTAAAAAAGAAACTATCTAGGATGAACAAAGGCCTTTAACGGTAGCAAAACAGGTCGATATTGCGAACATAGGCGTCGCTTCAAGATATTAGCATAGGCCGGCTAATAACCTCTGAATATAAATCAAGTGATCGTAACTATTGAGCACATATTCAATAACAAGTTGAATCAACCAAGAGTTTCATTTTTCATTCTGTGAACGAAACACCTAATAAAGTATTAAGATGTCAGATTTCATACTTCGCCAGGTAAAATTTTTTTTATTTGTATTGTGTATTACATAAGATTGGCAAATAATTAACAAAAACTATTATTGTTGGAAATGACGTTGTATACACAAATCTAATAAAATCAATATCTTTTCAATTTACTCTTTTGTTTTCACGAATACAGCTTTTTGAACCTGAATCTAGCACGTATACGTATCTTTTGGCTGATCCTGAGACTAAGGAAGCCGTTTTAATTGACCCTGTCATCGAAAAAGTTGACAGGGACGTGATGCAAGTGACCGACCTAGGCCTAAAGTTGATATATGCTTTGAACACGCACGTTCATGCTGATCACGTAACCGGCACAGGTTTGCTTAAAAAGAGAATTACTACCTGCAAAAGTGTCATAGCTAGGGTCAGCAAGGCAAGGGCGGACGTATATCTGGACCACGGAGATACAATTAAATTTGGTCGCTTTGAATTGGAAGTAAGAAGTACACCTGGACATACGGATGGATGTCTTACTTATGTTCTTCATGAGAAAAAATTAGCATTTACAGGTGATGCTCTCCTTATAAGAGGATGTGGAAGGACAGATTTTCAACAAGGTAAACTGTTTACTTTGTTCTTTTTCTGAACAACTAAACTGAAATATTTTATTTCAAAATTCAGGAAATTCAGAGTCTCTTTACAATTCGGTTCATTCTCAGATATTATCATTACCAAAGGATTATCAATTATATCCTGCTCATGATTATACTGGACGAAGTGTTACAACAGTTGAGGAAGAAAGTCGTCTTAATCCAAGACTGACTAAATCTCTTGAAGAATTTATACAGATTATGAATAATCTTAATTTACCTTATCCTAAAAAAATTGGTAAGTGTTAAATGTTCTAAATTCTATGAAAAGTAATTAATTTTCAAATTAATAATTTATAGACCGAGCCTTGCCAGCTAATATGATTTGCGGACTACAAGATTGAAGAGGAAATATTGTAGCAACTTCTACTAGAACTTCCAAAGAGTGTTTTCTTTTACTGTTAATAGATTTCTCAAACTAACTATTTCCAAATAGTATGTCCAGAATGATTTATGTGAGTTTGTGAATTTTTGTTAATTGAATACAAATTCAGTCTTTGCACAATAAAAGTATTAAAAGAATATTTGCTTTACTTACATTTAACACTGTTGAAATGTTTTCAACAGTTTTTACTTGGGATGAAGTCGTCACTTTAGTTGATTCCTTTTCGCTATCACTGTCATTATCAATCTCTTTATTTGTATCCTTTGAAAGTAAGTAGGAAAATGTAGGGATTTCAGCTTTCGCTTTAATACATTCAGATAGCCAAGAACTTTTAACTATTGGCTTATTAACTTGTTCTAATTTTGTTATTCTTTTAAATTTTTCAAAATCAAGGGTATCATCAACAATATAATGAGTAATATCTTTATCATTGTATTCATTAACAATCGATCCATCAAATTTAATGATATTCTTCTCGAAAAGGAGCTTTCTGTTTTTACCAATTTTTGTTTGTATTACACAAATAACAAATCCATTCAAAAATGATGCTTTGTCAGCCATATTTAATAAATATATTAAATAATAATTTCACAAAGATAAAATGTCTTTTAAAATGTACCTTTAAAAACAGAGGAAAAATAGATAAAATCACATAGATTGGTTTATATTACAGATTGTTTATAGATATATTTCAGCAGAGGACGGATGTAAACGTTAAAGAATAGTTTCGTATAAATTGATTTTTTTCTAAAACTTTTTATTGAATCTAATAAAATTTTACAAACAGACAAATATTGGAATGTTATTATTGTATAATAATTTGTAACTGATCATTTGAGGCGTTTTCTATGTTTGTTTCATTTATTGTTCTTAAATCAATCCCTTGTCTCGCATTTCCTTGGAAAAAGTTTCAGAGAAATTCTCATAATCGCTCCCTTCGGACTTGAACCAATCAGTTTGTTTGATAAATTTAATAAATCTATCGATGCCTTCATATCTCGAATATTCAACTCCAAATGGTTCTAATGCAGTAAGACTTGCTGCAAATGCAATATCGGCCAATGTTGTCTTTGATCCAGTAAAATAGGTAGAATCCTTTAAATATATTCTTTCAATCTTTTCAAGACAATCGTACAAAGAATTGAATTCATCTTCGGTTGGTTTACGTTTCTTAAAAGCGATTGCTTCCTAAATAAATCATAACAAAGATAAGGTTTTTATTATAAACACTATCATTACTATAATTCTGATAATTTCTACATGCTTACGATAATGGCTAGTACTGCAGGATAAAAAGTAGTAGCATCGAAATAGAGGAGCCTGTCAATAACAGCTCGCTTTTTCAAATCTTTCGGGTAAAAATGTTCAAATTCGGGTCTTGCATATCTATCGAACAAGTAGGTTATTATTGCTCTAGATTCCCAGAGAGCAAAGCCATTATCAACAATTGTAGGAACAAGGCCATGCGGATTTATCTGCAAACGTAAGAGTTTCCAAATAATTTTAACGAGATAACAAATTTCAATTACTTAAAAAATGACTTACCTTTCGAAACTCTTCAGATTTCGTCTCATTACCTAATAAGTCGATAGAATGAACCTCGAAAGGTATATCTAATGCTTTGAACGTAAAAAAGACATTTCTACTAGGTGGGCTTATAAAAGAATGATAAAATTTAATAACAGACATCTTTATAATATAATTATTGTCGAAACTTATAAGCCAAATTACAGTTTGTGCCGACACCGCAGTACAAAGTCAATCCTACTTATTAGGCTTTATCTTATCAGATTTTATATATTTTGGGGCCTATTCGAAAGTAAGTTTGAAATTTTCACCTGATAGCAAAAAAGGCATATCATTTTATGTTGTTTTTTGATTATATTTAAAGACTTATCTCTCAAGAAAAATATACACAATTCTTTCCTTTCTCTTTCTTTAGTTTCACATTAAAGATATTAAATCTAATGATTATAGTTTCTTGGTAATACATTTAATTACTAATATAATTAATTATGCATTTTCATTTATTAGCATTATAGTTAGAAATGTGGACTGATATGTTAGTAAAGTATTTTGTATGCCTAGTGAAAGCATTAAAAGACTAGACCATGGACATCGCACGCTTTCAGAATATATCTTCATAAATGTTTTACACGTTTTAGTATAATATGGCGCATTGATCAATAATATGCGAAATAAAAATTGAACACACAGCATTTATTACATGCACAAATAATAGTTTCTTGACTCCAAATGGGCAATTTCATAATAATATCCAATTTTTGGCAAAAATTATTCTAGTTTTATATTATTTTAGCATAGAAAATGTAAAAATAAATAAACCGGCATCGCGACTATTTAAGTACTAGTCTGATGCAACTTAACGTCATTGGCTTTCTCGGCAGCGTTCGGTTAAGAACTAACAGAGATCTTGCCTTAAGACTTTATTGTTCACTATAGTAAATAGATTTATTTGTATGTAAAATAGAAAATTTACTATTCTTATTTAATTAAATTCATTCCAATTACAAAAATTTCAGAATAATTCTAAAAATGGAAAAACGTGTTGTACTTGCTTATTCTGGAGGTTTGGATACATCTTGTATCTTGGTATGGCTACAGGAAAAAGGATTCGAAGTTATTGCTTATATGGTATAATTAAAATAATCCATTCTTAAATATGTAAAAATTAATTAATTTTATTAAATGATAGGCCAATGTGGGCCAAGACGAAGACTTTGAAGCTGCTAGGGAAAAAGCATTGAAACTAGGCGCTAAGAAGGTTTTATTTTTTATACAAATATCATATAAACCCAATTTAAATATAAATACGTAAAGATTAGAGAAGCATCGAGTCACATGTCATATCAGAAAATCTCCTGACCCTTTAATACTGATAAGCTCTAAAACTTTTAAAACATATGAACATATTATAGTATTTATCTATTGTTATTTGTCTTATATTCTAAAATCATGGAACTCTTAAATTTTTAATGCGTAGATTTTATTAACTGTTAAGCAGAACCATGTGGTTCTCTTTAGGTTCAAGAGTGGTGAAAAAAATTCCTAAAATAGCTCTTAGATTCAATAATTGAAAAACTAAAATCCATAAAATTTTTTCTAAATAGACTGATATACAATTTAAGTAATATTAAAAAACTTAGCATAATAGAAATACTAGTAGGAAAGGTAATGAACCTTAAACATATGGCTGGCACAACGACAGCTTTACTACCAACTTCTATCCATTCTTTCCGTTTCGTAGTGCATTATTTTGGATCTGAAGAAAGAGTTCGTAGAAAATTACATATGGATGGCAGTGAAATCCAATGCTATCTATGAAGATCGTTATTTGATGGGAACAGCTTTCGCAAGACCATGCATTGCCAAAGGTTTAGTAAAGGTAGCTAAAGAAGAAAATGCTGGGTATATATCTCATGGAGCCACTGGAAAGGGAAACGACCAAATCCGCTTCGAATTATCTAGCTATGCTCTTTACCCACAAGTAAAGGTAATGTGAAACTTTTCTTTATTGCTTGAATTATTTTCCATAGTCAATGCCATTTTTCAAACATTTATATAGATTATAGCACCGTGGCGAATGGAGGAATTTTACAATCGATTCAAGGGTCGTTCAGATTTGTTTGAATACGGAAAGGTGACTAATCCATATATCATAAAATATATTTGATATAAAATAAATTCTTTTAGCAACATGGTATCCCTTTTTCCATAACTCCAAAAGCGCCATGGAGTATTGATGCCAACATTATGCATATCAGCTACGAATCTGGCATTCTTGAAAATCCAGGTACGGAAGCCCCTACCGACTTATATCAGATGACAAAAGACCCAAAGGACTCTCCTAATGTTCCCGATAAAATTGAAATCGAATTTGCGGCCGGCGTTCCAGTAAAAGTAACAAACTTAAACGATAAAACAGTTAAATCTGATGCTTTGGACTTGTTCCTCTATTTGAACGAACTTGGGTAAGCTGATAGAAATATTTTCCAATAGCAATTTCTATAAATCATTTATATTATAGAGGGAAACACGGAATAGGCAGGATCGATATTGTTGAGAACCGTTTCATTGGTATGAAATCTAGAGGTATCTACGAAACTCCTGCTGGAAAGATCCTTTATGATGCCCACATCGACATTGAAAACTTTTGTATTGATAGAGAGCTTAGGAAAATTAAGAGCATGCTTACGGTACAACTTTCTGAGCAAGTTTACAGAGGATTTTGGTTTAGTCCAGAATGCGAGTTCACCAGAAGTTGCATAGACCTGAGCCAAAAGAGTGTTAATGGAAAGGTTGTTTTGAACCTTTTCAAAGGAAACGTTTACGTTTTATCTAGAACTTCCCCCAGTTCATTGTACAACGAAGAGTTGGTAAGCATGGATGTTCAAGGAGACTACGATCCTAAGGATGCTGCAGGGTTCATAAAAGTTAATGCTCTAAGGTAATAAATCACGTTCATTGTTAAGCGACATAAAGAATTTTACATCTTTTCAGATTGCAAGAATACAACCGTCTCGGCGGAAACAATTAGCTGAAGACCTATGTTAATCAATCTGTACTTGTATGTTACCCTTATAGAAATGTTTATTAATACAAGAAAAGATTTATTGTGCCCAGAACAGGTGTCTAATTGACTTTCAGTGATTAAAAATTGGCCGTTCTGATAATAAGTCCTGACATAGTTAAATTACACATGTTAACACTTAAGAATATTTTCAAACTTTCAACAGAATATTTAAAAAGAGAGTAAAGATAACATAAGTAGCCATAGATTTGAAATAATTATGCTATCTATCCTATCAAATCTTTGACCTGTTAAAAAAATTGAAATCTGTGAATTTCCTATTGCTATAAAATTGCTCTCAAAAACGAAATGTGAAACCGGTATGTAGAAAACCGGTTCCACTTAACGGAACAAAATAGCATAGTAGTTTTCAAGCTATTGGGCTACGTGACACTTTAAATCACTACTTCTTCCATAGTAGTACGGATCAATTGGTAATATATTTTTTATTCTTATCTTTCTCAGTTTTTTAACATTTTTAAAATACTATTCAATTAAATAATGTATTAGAAATTAACTTACAATTTTGATTGAATTATAGAACAAAAGACTTCAAAATGAGCCATACAGTTCTATTGTCTGTGGACAAGAGCCAAAATACTAAGGACGCTGTTGAATGTAAGAATTGAATACGGAATTAAATTCTCTTAAATTATCTAATATTATCGTTCAATAGACTATTCGAAGAACTTGCACAAAACTGGATATAAAGTTTGTTTACTTCATGTCATAGAAATTCCAACTGATGCACAAGCTGCACGTACGTATTTTTCCTTCGAATCAATTTGATATTCTCGCAATTAAAAATTCATTAAATAAGAAAAATATGTCTAAAGGAAAGAACAATTAATTTATTTTAGTTTATTTATCTTTATAAAATCGTTCTATCACGTTACGTTCAAAGATCTTTCACCTCATTGAATGCACTTCTGTCTTTAATACATGTTTATGAAAAACTCGTGCGACTTTGAAATGACCTTTGCCTCCTGGTTGTTTTCCTTTGTATTAGTATTACGAAGATCTTTATCTATTATTCTCTATTTCTGTACAATTCTAAATATATAGGTTAATGAAGACTTAAATATTTAACATATAACTTTACACGTAATAACTTTGATTATGCAGTACAGATATTATAATGAGTTAGCGATTATCTAATTTATTAGAATTTTATTGTAATATATTAAGCCTATGTAGAATTTTTAAAATGGGCAGCAGCCAACTACTATCAGTTGACTGGCTAAATGTGAATCATTATTTAATGAATTATTTTATTATAGAGACCAGCCTAATGACTACTGAATCCATTGAGCAGCATTACCATAAGGAAAAGAAGAAGACTTTGGATATGGACACCGCTCTTAAAGACTTATTGGTCAGCTATGGAGTACCCGCAGATGATATATTCTTTAAAGATAAATTTGGACTTAAACCAGGAGAAGTTATTGTTCAGGCAGCCGAAGAATTAAAAGCTGTTATGGTCGTTATGGGAACAAGAGGAATGGGTACCATAAGACGTACAATTCTTGGTTCAGTAAGCGACTACGTTGTTCATCATGCCCACTGCCCCGTATTGGTTTGCAGACATGCAAAACATTAAAGAATACTTATAATTTACAACTTAAACTTTAGTCGCTTCAATGTGGAAAGTTTTTGCACATATTCCTTTTTCATTTCTTTAGTCTACAAAGTTCAAAATACTAAGAATTAGTTTTTAGAAAAGTTGATATTATTTGATATTCTTCTTAAACTGCTCTATTTCTTCAAATATCATATTGTAATACGTTTTTTATCAACTTTATAAAGATCTTATACATTTTCTTTGGTTTTTCTTTTTCGAATGAAATATTTTTTTTATACGATAATTAAAAAAAAAAGTTTCTATTTCTCTTTGTAAGCAATACTTTTAATTTCAATAAAATTTGAACTTGTGAAAATGAACTCTACGAATGTGTTTATAAAAATAGTTGAGATTAGATTTATCTTTTCTCTTGTTACTTCTTTCATTGAAGAATGATTATCACTATTTTAGATATTTGAATAAATTTAAAAAATAATTGAAAAGTAGATATAAGTTTGTAGATTATTCTGAAGAAAGAACTAGAAAATAGTACATTTTAAAAATTGTTTAAAATAAAGAACAATACTAATTTGAATGCTTTTTATTATGCTTAATATATTCTTTAATTTGAATAGAACATAAAAGGCATTTTTCAATTAGCTAATGATAATTTCTGATTAGAGAAATATTTTTAAATTTCCATTTATTTTCTTGTACGAAAATAACAATTACTATTTACGGATTAGCTTCCGTTTGATTCAGCGAAAATGGTCTTGGAAAGTACAATGTTATGGTTAGTTTTACAGTTTTTTTCATTAATTACATGAAATTTGTAAGTTAGTTAACCTATTAGTATTCGTAACTAATAGCGACAAAAAATTATATATTCCAGTATTACCTGTAGAAAAATTCTGTAGTTAAAAATATGCTATGTCATCATTCAAGCAGTTCTTTATTTCCGTTGAGCTTTTTAAACAACGTTTCATTATTTTCGGGATCAAGTATAAGCTAAACAATTCTTATTTATGGCGTTAGATCGTATTAATCATAGCTAATGAAATGTAAAAAATACAGATAATATTACAAACTTTATTGTAGTTTTATTATTCATTACAAGCTTTTATTTGACCTATTCATTAAATCTAATAATCATCTTTCTAAGAATGAACTAAATGACTTTCAATCGCAGTGTCGACAACAGTGATTACATGAGAAATGGCGATTTTGTTCCAACCCGTCTTCAGTCACAAATTGATGCCGTGAACCTTGTATGTCATTCTAAGGCTCGATCTAACCCAGAGAATAATGTCGGACTTTTAACAATGGCGAATTTGCAAGTTTTAGTAACACTCACTTCTGAAATTGGTCGAATTCATTCTAAACTCGTGCAAGTTCAACCATCTGGAACTATTAGTATTGTGAAAGCTGTTCTAACCGCTCGTGTAAGTTATGTATATATATCTATGTGTAGTTTTCGAATAACAAAAAAAAATCCTCTTATTTTATGCACATGAGTTAAAACGAGAAAGTGATTTTTTACGATATATTAACATCTGCAGCTGGCTCTTAAACATCGTCAAGGAAAAAATCATAGAATGAGAATTGTCGTTTTCGTTGGAAGTCCTGTTCTTGATGATGAAAAAGAATTAACAAAATTAGCAAAGCGTTTGAAAAAGGAAAACGTCTCAGCAGATATCGTCAATTTTGGAGAAGAAAAAGATAATACAGAAAAGCTTAAAGTTTTTATTAATACCCTAAATGGTAAAGATGGTACTGGAAGCCATTTAGTCACAGTGCCAGCTGGAACAATGCTATCGGATGCTTTGATGTCATCAGCAATAATTGGAGGTGAAGATGGATCAGGTGTTCAAAGTATGGCAGGCTTCGAATTCGGCATTGATCCAAATGAAGATCCTGAGCTTGCTTTGGCCCTTAGGGTGTCAATGGAAGAGCAAAGAGCTCGGCAAGAAGCTGAGGCAAAAAAGATACAGGCCGACAGTTCACCTGCTGATGCAGCTGCTGTGCCTGGTAAGCATATGCTGTTATAATTTGTTATTAAATATTACAACTTTCATCTTTCTTAGATGCAGACGATCAAATGCTACAAAAGGCCTTGGAAATGTCAATGGAAACTGAAGCGGCTGAGAGACCGAAAGAAGAACCAAACGTTGACGCTATGACTGAAGAAGAACAATTAGCTTATGCTCAGCAATTATCTCTTCAACAGCCTGAGGAACCGATGGATGTTGGCGAAAGGAGTAACACTGATGCCACTGAAGCAGCGGGTGATGATTACACCGAGGTTATGAATGATCCGGAATTTCTGCATTCTGTTCTTGGAAATTTACCCGGCGTAGATCCAGAGTCTGAAGCCATCCGTAACGCCATGGATAGCATGACAAAGGACAAGAAAGAAGATAAAGAGAAGAAGAAGTAACCATTTTACGGACAACTTGTAAATTAAAAATAAAATTCATATTTCTTGACTTTTTTATCAGAAATATTGAGAAATCATTAAATGTTTATTAAATTTATTGCTTATGAACATTCAATTAACATTTAGTTATTTAACTACGAGCGTGGATTGACCAGTACTTGTGATAACTTTCACCCTGTTGCAAGTACTCTTGAAATAAATTTCTTCAGATCGAAGAGAGCGGTATCCATCTAAGATAAAAGATAACAAAGTTAATACTTTCTAAAATCATTCATTCAACTACCTAAATCTGAAATCTTTAAACCAATATCTGGTAGTGGAATAAGTCCAGAACTCATTGGTAAACCTTTACAGAGTACGTCGTGATTAATTTTACTGTCGTGCACTTCAAAAATACCTTCAAATGAGGAAAGAATTAGAAAATAAAAGCATTTTTAGCAATGAAAATTCTTACCTGAGGTCTGCCCAGAAAGCATCCAATATTGATTGTTATGTCGATTTAATTCGTAAATAACATTACCGTTGTAAGAAGACGATAAACAAGTTATAATAATAACTAGATCGCACTCCCTACCACAGACAACTTGATGTTCTGTTGAAGCTGTTTTAACTTCCACCTTTTACGAAGAGTAAAAATCAAGAGAATAAAGAGAATTCCTTTCTAATTTATACTTTTACCTCGAAGAGTGCTTCAATAAATTCTAGATTCAAATTTTGTCTACAAATACCTTCGAACGGTTCGTTGGGTATTGAATATTTACACACAAATTCACAAGGTTGGCATTCATATTTTCCGTCAGTTTTACTTACTTCCAGCATAAATTTACCAGTTTTTGCAGGGCAGATATAAACCTTAATAAAGTATAACGCCAAATTAATTATACACCAAATATAACTGAAAAAAAACTGCAATTGTTGAGATTTGATACCTCTGACAATGTTCCTAAATTGACGAATGTTAGATTGGTAGATATTAATTCAGGTGATGATACTAACAGTGCATTATCGTGATTATTTCTTATGGTAATTTGACAAAATGTTCTGTATGAATTGAAAGTGTTTTAAGATAAAGAGAAATTATTATCTTACAATAGCAAGATGATCTCTCTAGTTTATACATAATTTTCTATTATATTTATACAGTATATATTGTACGCATTTGTATATAAATATCTTTAAGTTTTTTCCTTTCTCTGCGGTTTCTAATGATATTAAATGCCAAAAATTTGATTAATAACATTTCTCTCTCCCTTTTATTATATATGACAAGTTTGGAGCATATAATCACGTTCTATTATTTATATACAGCTGCTTATTATTATTAAGTTATTGTCAAAGAATATTAAGAACAGATGCTCACATTCCCTCTACTTACTAATCAACGACAAACACAAATAGAATAAATGAAACTTACTTGTGACCAGACACTTTGAGTCTATGCTCAATTGTTAGAAGTTTCTGCATTTCCACACGAAACTGATGAGAACCTAGACATTCGTTTTCGAATGAGATAGCTATTGTAAAAAATTCTGCTATTGATGGAATTAAATTTGCGAGTATGTCAACTGTTTTTGCAGAAACTTCTTCGCATTTAAAAGGTTGAAGTGTGCAAGAACACTGTGATGTAAGTAAATCAACGAATGAATTATCTCCTTGAAATTGAATTACAAATGGAGTTTGTTCATGTGATTCAACGCTACCAGTATAAATATTGAATTCTAATTGCATAGGTATACCAGCAAAAAACCCTAATAAAAGAAAAAAGTAGAGATAATACACAAATAATAGACAAAATTTAAATAAATTTAAATATTGATTTGTTTTTTAATTACCCCTGGTTTTTGACAAACTTATAGTAGGCTGTTTGTAGTCAACGTTGAAATGTGTAATCAGGTCGGGTATATTTGAATTATTTATTGTTTTTATAAACATTAGACCATCAGTTTCGATATGTAATTGGCTTGATTGATAAAATCCTACTTGATCCATCTAATATTAAATAGAAATTATTAATAGCCATTGTTTAATCATTTCATTAATAATTATATACTTACCAAGCCCGTTAGAGTCAGGATATTCTCTCCCGGATTAATAACGGTTACGTTTTTTATAACTAAACTTTTAATATCTTTTCCGTCTGTGTCCTTAAGATTTTTAGAATTTTGAGGACTTATTTGATCTCTACATGTCACAGATGCTTTTAATATTGTATCATTCTTCTTTTCAACATCCCAAGACATATTTCTCATAACGTCGCTAACCGAATCCTGACTTACAACACTCGGTAAACTACTTCGCCTAGTCAAAGTATTCTTGTATTCTTCACGACAAGTCATTATCTTAATACTTTTGACTGTAACTGGCTCCGATAAATTATTGATAATTTTAATTGTCATTTCACAAACTTCGGTCAAGGAAAAACAATCTTTTTTAGGTATCATACTTGCCAAATCGAATATTGGTCTACATCTTACAATCATAGGTTCTATTTTTTATAATATTTAAATAAAATTAATAATAATAAGTTACTAATCTTAAATCTTAATTAATTACCTGATACTCTTTTGGCAACTTCGAAAAATTCAGATTGATAGTGCTTTCTTTTCGCTATCGGAAGGGATTTACTTGCGGCAACATACATACAAGATCTTGCATATACTGTATCTGAATTTAACTTCTTTTGGCATTCAACTATTTGTAATCTTGTATCATCGGCTAACCAATCCCATTTATCGGCTTTGAATGATTTTAGAGCTTCAGTTAATAGATTTTCAGCTTTCGCATATTCTTTTTTTTCTCTATAATACAGTATCATTTATATGAGAAAACAATTTAAATGAATATTAAATGCTCACATGTAGTATAACGCCATCTCTCTTCCAATCATTCTGGCAGATCGTAATCGTCCAACAGCCTTAAATATACCCATAGATAATTCACATTCTTCCTAAAAAGAGAATAACCAATGTTAAATTACTATAAACTTAAAGAGAATTTTTAATTAATAATAATATCCATACCAAATAGGCTTTCTCTATTTCTTGTCTCGAATCCAGAGCTTTCGCAAAATTACAAACAGCAACCGAATCTATTGCATAACAATGTTTTTTTTATTATAAATATTAAGAGTATTGTTTGTTTTTTATTCTTTTACCGTTTTTTGTTCGGAAGCAAGATTTCAATTTATTTGCAAGATCTACATTATAGCTTTCATTACTTTTATCTGGAGTGGCATTTAAAATTTCACATAAACTCTTCATCTAAACAAAACAGAAATACCGAGAATAAAAATGATTAAATAATGTAAATTAAGAAAGTTTACTAACTTTTCTTCTGCCGTAATCTCTTAATAGAGCTATACTGAGAGCGTAAGATCTTTCTGATTTATCCGGTACATTTGTATTGCAAGTATTGATAATATTAAGGCAAGTTTGAACTGCCCAGCATTCCTCTGCTCCTGGATATTTACTTTGAAGATTTAACATTTTTATCTGAAAAAAAAGATAATGATAAGAACTTTAATTATCAATTTATACTCATATACTTCTAATATAGTGTTATAGATGAATGGTAGTGCCCTTTCTACAACTTGATGAGCTCGATTTAAGACAATCAATAATGTACATTGTCTAGAAAATAAATATACGCGAAAGTCTAAGAGCGATACGCATCTATCCTGTATCTTTTTCCGTCTAAAAGAGAAACAACATAGAAAAATTAAGTACATCTATTTCTATTTGAAGATATTTTCATTTTCCTTACTTTAAAACATCAAATCTTATATTTAGATCAGCTCCTTCATATCTATCAATATCAACGTTAGCCATCTCTGTAATTAACCAATCAGGAGTTTCACCTTGACTATGATTTTGAATAAATTGAGTAAATAATGCATCCAGTTCGTCGTATTGTAATAAAGCATCATCGTAGAGCTTTAACATTTCAAACATGAAAGCTAGTTCTTCCTATAAAAGCGTACTGTTTAGTAAATCCTTGAATAAAATATATATATAATTTATTAAAACCTGCAAAAGGAAATAGTTAAAGAAACTCCATCCCAATTGATTTCTTCCTTCTCTTTCGGCTCTCATATTGTCTTCAAATTTCATTAAACAATTAGTAATACCATCCAAAAGTAGTTGTCGGGTTCTTTTGAAAACTAAAGCCCAACTCTCAGTTGCTTTACCATAACTTTTTAAAGGATCTGTTAAGATGATGCACTTTTCGGGACTTTTATTACAAAAATCAGCTTTTATTTTATCATAGACGGAATTTCGAAGTATTTTGGCTTTGACTCTAGCTTCCTCCGTCATAACGACAATAACTAAAAAGTCTAAGATATTTTTCTCTCTTAAGGAAGCCAGCCAATCAATTAAATCCTTTTTAACTCGGGACTTATACTCATCCATATCCTGGATATAAGCAATTAATATTCAATATTTTTTATATAGTTAATTAATTGATTTACTTACGCAATCAACCCAGAAAATGTGAAAGAATGTTCTACCTAATAGATACCATGCATTATCATTTGGCAAACTATCTGCAGAGTAAGGTATAAAAGTAGCACTTAGGAAGATTTCTCTTGTTGGCCTTCCATGAGGTCTTGATAAAAAATATATTAGATTAATTGTATTTAATATTCTATTTTAAAGTAATTCGTTACCGAATCCAGTCAATAGGTTCCTTCGGCAGGCATGCTGTCATAGTATCCCCTAATTTCCTAAAAATTTCAGGATCTCCGGCCCCTATAGCAAATAGAGGATATTACTAAATAATTCAATTATTGTAATTTATTTATCAACGGCAAGAACAACAGTTTTATAGAGTCATCTTTCTTTACTCTCCCTTTCAATACAAAACACTTTCAAAAAGGTAGGCGTTTTTAATGTTTTATTCGAATTGGTGTATAATTGTATTGCAAGTTTTAGAATAGAAAAATGAGTACAAAATAATATTAGATGTTCCCTATCATTTTATAAGAGTGAAATCATTTATTGCCTATTTGATAGTTGCCGATTTTTAAATAAGTTTTAAAATGCTCAACATTGAACTTACACATGACCATTGGTTTGTTTTCCATGACTGATTCTTTTGGAAAGATCGTCTCTTACACGCTTGATTTGCTGTTGCAGAAAATATTTCACAACATATCTTCCTATATTGCAATCTTTGTTCTTGAATTCATCTTCTCTCAATAATGAATATCCGTTACAGGAAATCTGTATTGCTAAATTCGTCTGTCAGAGTTTTTTAAGCGAATTCTTTTCGAATTGTTTGTAGTCCATGATTTAGCGCCATAATTCTAAACTGAGCTGTTCATCCTATAATTAATAAATCCTCTAATTTCGACATCTAGCTATGCCTGAATGCAAAAACACATCTGCTTACTAAAACTAAACTCTATTTTGAGAAATTTTATCAACATAAATATGAAGCAAGTTTGTTTTGTAATATTTTATGTAAAACTGATAAAAAACAAAGTCAAAATTATTAATACTGGTGATTGGTCCTTAAGAGATTCTGACCGGTTGATGCTAATTATAATAGTGTTATAAAAGTGTTTTTGTTGAAATAATTTAGAAAAATAAACTTCCCTCTAATAGAGAACCATCCTAAAACATTGCCACGGAACCCGATATGTTTTCAAAATTCTTTAAACTCTTTAGTATTTGAGGAATGAAAGCAAGGATATGTACTTTAAATCAATTACTCTCCTACTCTTGACAATATGTGGTGAGTTGAAAAATAGGGTTGAGATAATTATTAAATTTTAAAGTAACTATTAAAAGAAGATAAGACTTCGAGTTGTACTGGAAATCGAACAAATCTGAGGTCTTTTGCGTGAACTGAATGTATTATCGTCCACACAGGGTCAATCTCATTTTCTCTGGAATACTTGGATCCTTTCCTAGAATTCAACCCATTCTCCCCAGTAAGCCTTCCTGATAGCGAAGAAGAGGTTGTTACAACCGAACCTAAAACCGTCTCACAAACGTGCAAAAGAAAAATATTTCCTTGGGATTTCATAGAAAAGAAAATTGTTGATGATAAACTATATTCTCGTAGTTGCAAACGTGTAAAATGCAATCCAAAAAACATAACGGATTTTTTAAATGCTAGAACACAAGTTCTAAATAGCTCTCAATCTATAAATACCTTCTCCATGAACAATAGGTCCGGTGATGTATGTGTGGTGGTAATGTTTTATGCCAATTGGTGCAGATTTTCAGCCAAAGCAGCCCCACATTACAATGCCCTTGGACGACTATTCTACAACTTAGATGTAGTAGCAATCGATGGTGTTCATTTTAATAAGTAAGTTCTATAAATTACTTCAAATACTATAACTAATAATCTATTTTTCTTGCAGTTTAAATCAAAAGTTTGGCACAGTTTCTGTTCCTAATATTGTTATATTACATAATTCCAAACCAATAGCGAGGTTTAATGGGTCAACTAGGAATTTAGAAAGTATGATATACTTTGTAAGAAATGTTACAGGTAATTATATTCTAATGTATTCTATCAGTACCTTTAGAATAAATACTACATTATTTCATAAATAAGTGGAAAAAGCGGTGTGTTACAATCAAGTAACAAGTTACTTAGTTAGAGACAAACGCTTAACAGATGGCTGTAGTTGTTACAATTGTAACTTTTTAAGTGTTTTACTGTATATTTCAATTTAACACTGTAAACTGATTTCTGGTATTGAAATAGGTTTAACAACCAACTATACAAATTGGACGTTGCTACCGGAAGATTACTTAGGACCAGTACCAACCGTGGCTTTGGAAAAAACAGACTATTGTCTCTGGGGATCTTGGGCTTTTATTGTTATTATTTGTTTAAAAAAAATAACTAGTTTTGTTAAAACAAGAGCATTTCAAGGTGAAGTTGAAGTTCACAGACTTGAAAACTGATTACTAGTCTTTAATAATTTTAATTTCTAATTAAATACAACTAAATCTGTAAATATATTTTTCCATGTTTAAATGACATATATGCTAACTAGTTCAATATTTTACTGGATTATCAGTTAAAATCTAATTGTCTTCTTTTGGATTTTTTTGCAATTTGAATATATCTTCCAAATTACCGAAATATTGCAATTTCTTACCAGTTATTTATGCACAATGAAGAGTCAACGTAATTTCGCTCAGCAAAAGAAAACAGCTTTATCTGACGTTGACTTGAGTAGAAAAGGAAATATTGATCAATATATATTAGAACTTTTACAGATAGTCAATGACAGTGAAGATCTTTTTTCAACGAGTTCTTGTTCAGGAAGAATTACTTTATTTGAAGAAGTAAGATCTTGCAACATGTATTTATTAGTATGAAACTAATTATATATCTTTGACAGATATCAGGAAAGAAAAAGGGTTGTTCCTGGTTACACATATCACACGAAAAAGTACAATTTGAAGATATAGTAGGAGATTTTTTAGTTCAATAAAATTACTAATAGTGCACTTTAGTAGTCTCATTAAACATATATTACAGGAAAATGCTTTAAAAGAAAGTGTTGGAAACTCTTATATTAAGTTCGAACCTTTTGTGGCTCATATACAATGCATAGACTTGGATCACGCACGTCGTCTAGTTAGTATAAAATTTTTATATTAATTACACAAAACTCTTTAATACTTAAACAATAGTTATCTGCTGCAAATGCTGCTGGCTACAGAAATTCTGGATTGACCATAGGCAAAAAAGATAGGATTCTTCTCGTAAATCTAAAAATATTAATATTATATACTGTATAATCTATAATAGTTTCTTTTCAGGCTATCAGAAGTACTCATACACTCCAAGTTCCTCTATCTTTAGATGGAAAACTGATAGTATCAAACGACGTAAGCAATCGTTAATTTAAGTGCGTTGAGAAGTGAAAGAATAATATTTATAAGCGTATGTGTATGTTTTATTACTATAGTATATCAAGCACGTTATTCGCTTAGTTAATGAAAAGATGGATGAAAATATGAATTCGATAGATAGGTTTAATATTTATGCATAAATTAAAGAATATATATTAATTGTTAATTAATTTATTAGGTTAACTGGTTTAATTAGAGAAGCCATTAACGAATTTAATATGGCCAAAAGCGAAATTAATAAAGATACTAAAAGGAAGAGAAGACAGAAGATAAATAATGAAAAATCAAATTCATATAAAGAAAACAATATTGTTGACAATCAAGATTTTTCTGAAGAATTGGTAGCAGATTTTTTTACAAGTGATCCTTGAAAGTATTACTTTACTGTTATCGTTTAAACAAATACCTTGTTTAAGTCTTTGTTTTGATAAAATACACTCGTTATTTTTTAAAAGATAACATAACTAAAGTTATATGTTAACCATTAGAAAGTAATTAAAATGTATTGTTTGTCTTCTATGTTTTATACTTATGACCAATAGTTATGACATCACTACTTATAGCCTTCAAAAGACCTTCAAGTGGCATTCTAGGCGGGTTATGACCTTGGGGTAAAAAAAAAGAATATCATAATTAATCAGTAAAAAATTTATTGATCGATATTAAAAAATAAAATCAGCTGGCAGATTCTGAAGAGCAAAAGAGCATTCGATTTGTAAATAAATATTTTCTTGTCAGTGTAGGTTGAAGAACTTTGATATCGTTTAATACTTAGGCTGAACAGTGAACAGTTGAACTATTGGTATGTGGGTCATAGGGAATTTGACTAGTCACGTCGGTTTACGCATTCAATACGTTAAACGCGATATTTCCGTAATTTTTACAAGAATTTTTAAAAATCAGCTGAAAATGGCGACATCTGGGCATTTTAAGCGCCACCTACAAAAAACTTATACTTCCAACTCAATGGCTCGAAATAAATCTAGGGTACTTTTATTCGATGTTGACAATACTCTAACTCCATCGAGAAATGTGAGTTAATTACTTTATTGATTAATTTGAACATAGAACTAATTGTTATAGTAGCGAGATCCTGGTTTTTTACTTCATACTTATTCGTACTGTTCATTTTTTTCGTTTGCAGAAAATAGAACCACATATGGAACAGTTAATGTTAGAATTACGAGAAAAGTTCCTTCTAGGAGTTGTTAGTGGATCGGACTTGCATAAAATTGCCTATCAAATGACGTCTTGCCCAAATAAAAATTCCTTTGATGAATGTAATATTTTAAAATTTTATATTAATCTCTCCTATTTTGAATACTTGAATCAATGTTTATTTACTTAAAACTCAATGACAACAGTATTTAAAAGATACAACTACGTATTCCTTGAAAATGGTCTTGTTGCTTATAGGCAAGCCGAGCTTATTTCAAAGAAAGTACGTATGCTGTTATTAGTAAAAGATACTGCTTATTATTACAATTAAGTTATTAATTTTCTATTTTTTGACTTATTCCTCATTAAAAAAGTGTATAAGAGAATTTTTGGGAGAAACAAAAGTGCAGGAATTTATTAATTTAGCTCTTTCCGAATTAGCAAAAATCACATTACCAGTTAAACGGTAAGTAATTAATATTAATATTTTAAAACATTTAATTAACTAATGAAATTGCTATTTTGCTTTTTTTTTCCCAAGTGGACATTTTATTGAATGTCGAACTGGATTAATAAATGTTTCACCTATTGGTCGGAGCTGTTCACAAGCGGAAAGAGAAGCTTTTGTAGAATATGACAGGGTAAAGTCTCTTATTAATTCAATACATTTAAACTTCTCTAAGCATTCTTTCTTTATCAAAGGAATATAAGATAAGGGAAAAATTAATGACGAAATTTGGTGAAAATTATCCTGATGGCGAACTTTCCTTTGCCATTGGTAGAGATATTTTTTACTCTAGGAACATGTCTCTTTTACTTTACGAAACTTATCTATGTTTTAAATTATTCCAGGTGGTCAAATAAGCATCGACGTTTTCCCTACTGGATGGGATAAGACAATTTGTTTGCAACATCTTGTTGACGATGGCATTGAAGAGATTCATTTCTTTGGTGATAGAATTTATCCCGTAAGCTTTTTCTTATTTCCCTAATCGAAGAGAATAAGATAAATCATTGTTATTATATTATAGGGAGGAAATGATTGGGGAATCTATCACGATCCCCGAACAATAGGTCATATTGTTAAGAATCCTGATGATACGATGAGACAACTATTAGAACTGTTAGAAATTCTAGACTAGGCCTGCAAAAATTAAACCGTCATTTACATAATCTTACAATATTAAAATAATCATATTAAATATAGTATAACTTTGACTTTGGGATTATTTGAAAAATCGCACTGTTTTTCTCTGGATCGAGCTTGAATAAATTTTCAATAAACGTTTAAATTTACTACAATTTTCCTAAGCTTAAAGATTCCTTATAGTATATAACTGTCATTTCGAAAACTATTTGATTCGATGATATCCTTATTATTTGAAAATAGATAATTTCCGATTTTGTTTCGTCTTGCCATGTTATTATCCTTAGTTTGTCACCCATCAAACACTCTCCTAATTGCAGTTTAAATGTATCTTTTATGTGATAGTGGCAAATATCACTATGGAAGAATCTATAGAAATTTTTAGATACCGCTTTAGCAGCGCAATCAAAACATAGCTTGTTATATTCAGAATGATTCAGGTGAAAATACCAGTCTATCTGGGACGATAGTACCATTGACGTGTCTTCAAAGGTATTTTCAGGTGGTGTTATCCTAGGTATTTTAGTGGATTGCTCAGGAACTCTTTCGTTATCGAACCATTCAATCATGTTCTTTGTTAGAATAGCAGGTTTTCTTGTAGCTTTATCAATAAGTACATGATTTGAGTATCCAACAAAGAATGGCTTATTATAAGAGGGATGTGTTAATTCGTATCGAATTACAAATGATCTCTGTCCACGACTATATACGGCACTATTATAAATAAAAACATCACCACTGTACTTTCCATATTGAAACTTCTTGTAAAATGAAACATCAATGTGACATTTTACTGATTGAACAACAAGGATATGTTTGTCGGAGTTAATGTTCAGTGTTTTCTCTTCTTGATACTTTTTAGGTTCAAATATTTTTTTAGTACCACAAACAATTGTTATATTGTCTACAAGCCACGAATGAAAATTACCTATATTTTTTAAATACATATTATATATAAACTAGTAGTTATAATCGCAAATTATTTACAAACCTTTACTATTGAAACAACGTGAATCAAAATCAGGAATTGTAGTTGCAGAAAAGTCAAAAACAAGTCTTGGTGCCGCCATTTTGATAAAAATGTCGTAATTTAGGACATATACTCTTAATATACTGTGTTATAGAATTAAAATTTATTTTACATATATATACATATTATCTTAGCAATTTAATAATGTAGCATTCATTCTTTTATTAAATGTTCTTTAAAATTAATGATTGTTGATATGTAACATATAGCAATCATTTCAAAAAGTAACTTTCTATTAGTAATTTCTTCCATATTTGAAAGTTGAGTATTTACAATTGTATTTGTTCCAGTTGTAACTTTTGAATATTTACTATTTGATAGTTATAAACATGCTTTTGGTAGAATCTGAAGAAATTTTTAGATACTACCATAGTCTATTTTTTATTCAAATTTGACAAATAATAATGTATAATGGCAAGAAAAAGATAGAAAGATGATAATCAATCACAATCAATTCCTATGGATATGAAAATATATTATCTTTGATCTTATTGAAAAACTGTTAAAGACAAATTTTCCTTTTAAAATTAGTTCATAGCTTTGGCAAGGTCATTGAATGCTTATAAAAGATACAAGTAAACTCAAAGATGGCTTGTTTTTCATCATTTTTAAAGATTAAAAAATATATCATTTCAGGTCTTGTTTGCTCTTGCCATGTTATAACTTTTAATAAATCACCCATTTTTGCTTCATCACTATGCAGTCTTAAAGTATCTCTTAGATGATAGTGATCGATATCGTGCTTGAAAAATTTATAAAACCCTTTCTGAACTGCAAAAGAAGCACAATCGAAGCACAATCTGGAATATTCAACGTAATTCATATGCTGATAGATGTCTATAGATGATGATGGTACTTCAACTTTCATTTCGAATACTTTAGATGGAGGTTGTAATCTATGAATTTTGTTGTTTGGAATGGATGGTACTCCAGCTTTATCAAATTTCTCTCTCAGGTGTGCAGGTAAAGGAATAGGTCTTTTATTGACGGTATCGACGACTACTAAGCATCTTTTAGTGTTTACTAGTTCCGTTTTTGTAATAGGGTGCACTAAAGTTAGTTGACTAACGTAAGACGAGTTTCCATAATTAATCGGTTTCAAATAGCAGTCAAAATGATCAAACTTGTATCTTTCATTTTTTGTCACATCGTAAAATTTCTCTTCTACATGTGTTTTAATCCAGAATGTAAAAGACAAATAATCTGGTTTCGTTCTATTTGTTGTTGTCTCAGTTTTTGATCTTTTCTTTAGATGACTATTTATATAACGAGCGATTGGTGCAATACCATCTAATTGCCATGGACAAAAATTTCCTGATGAATAGAGAACAATGCTTTAGATTTACTGCTTTCAGATAATTAAAGATTTATACAGAGAAACTTTGAGAAGACCAAGAGAAAATGCGAAATGATTTTTTTACTTTTTCTCTTGTGAAAAAGATATATAATTCTTTTCTTACCAAATTTATTATAATATCGGTAATCGAAAAAAGGATATTTAACAAAATCGCTTTGCATATCATTCATTTTTAAAGGTTTAATCAATCGGTTAGTCTGACTTTATTACAGGCAAAGTCTACTAATTTTAAATAGAAGCTATGGCGTGACCTGTAAAATAGTGACACCTATTGCTTATTATCTCAATTATTTTTTTCTATTTTTTCGTTCTATTAAAATGTTTATTTTGTCATAAAACAAATTTATTATTATTTTTTTTAATTGTACATTTTCAATGAATTATTTAAAACATAGTCTTTCGTCGTTTAAACGACATTGCAGATTTGATAAAGTCATCATCTGCCAAGTTGGAATATTTATTTAGCTTTTCAACAACTTTTAATTCAACTTTCTTGAACTGTGTGATAAAAGATTGTAAACATAATAAAATGTTTAATTTGTTTATCTATATAATATAAATAGTGCATACTTCTTTCAATTTAACTTTGTTTAATATGCGCTTTCTTAGCGCTTCTTCTCTTTTTAGGAGAGCATTCGCTCGTTTGTTTTTCTCTTCTATATTCCTCATCTTCTGTTCCAAATCTTTCTGCTTAGCTAATTTAATTTGTAAAACTCTTTCTTCTTCTAATTCTCTTTCACGTTTTTCCAGCTCTTCGTGTTGCTTAATTTGCTGAAATTAGCTTTGTCAATTAATAATGAAATATATATATTTATAGCTAAGGGGTAATAAAGTAAACGTATATCCTCTGGGAAAAGGCTCTTTTTTAATACCAGGTGTCGTTATAGTATACTGATGATTTAGAGAGCTTAATTTTTCAAATTTATCAATAGTTAAATATATCCACAAGTACAAATACTCCCCAAAGATTTGAAAGAGCCTCATTATTATCTTCTATTGAATATTTTATTTTAAAGGAAATAGTAAGCTTTTCACTTCGGTTTTCTTTTCCTTTTTCATTTTTTTTAAAAAAAAAATACTTTTCTTTTTCATTTAAAGTAGAGATTGTTTAATTAATTCTTGATGACAAGTTTACTAATTATAAAGGAAAGAATTTTGTTAATTATACCGTTTTTTTGTTGTTAATTGATAAAAAAAACGCTATAGGTAAATGTCTCATTTATCATGTTACTTAATCATTAAATTACATAATCTAAAATGAAATTAACAAGTAATACAAAAAAAAGAGGATAACTAATCTGACCTTGACTCTGTCCAAAAGTTCACCTAAAAGTCGAATTGATTGTAGTTTACGATGAATAAGTAGGTTTCTACGATTTTCCATAGCTAAATTCTCTTCGCTTTGTGGTTGTATCTCGTCTCCCTCTTCTTTCTCTCCAATATCTTCATGAGTAATTGGGTATTCCTGATGAGAACTTATAGAAATGAAATAGAATCATTATTGTTCTCTTATAATTTTATTATTCTTTTTAGTTATCTTATTATTTACTTAAATGGATTAAAATTCTGTTTTTGATGGATTTCATCTTTTAATTGTAATCTCTTCCTTTCGATATTTCTTTTCCTTATATTCTTGTCAGATAAATGTTTTGTCTTGTCAAAATTGACCATGATTAAGGATGTTAATTTCCTTCCCGTGTGTCTGTCTAAATATAACAGTTTTTTTGCTTTTAAACAATTCATAGCTCTAACAAATCCGACGTATTCCTTAAATTGAATGAAAACCTCAAACAAAATAGGATTTTCAAGTAATCTTGCAGTCCTTTTAGCGGACGACGTTTGCATTTTACATCTAATAGAGTTGAATATCATTTGAATAGAATACGAATATGTTGATATTAGATATAAATTATCTACCTATACTTATCTAAAATTGGAATATCAATTACTCTAATTGAACCAAAGCTATTGAAGCATTCCATAACAATTTTTTCACAAGGTTTGCCATCATTTTCACTAATATCAGCAAACCATGATATTGGTAAATTTTTAATGTGTATTGTATCTGGGCGTTCACCAGCTTTCATTTCATTCATATTTTTAGAATCTTTAAAGTATGAATCCCATTCATTCTTTAACGGAAATGATATTTTTGCTTCTGTTACGCGGATAGTTACTGGTTCCATCAGGCTATTTAATTTTAAACAACTTCCATCCATCCTACTAATCAGAATTCTAACAAGACTTTTGTTGTTTACTTCGCCTGCATAATTAAGGAGTTGCATGAAATTTTAATCGTCACGAACAGTATGGAGGATAAGATTATATATATGAAAAAAGTGCATTTTACCTTCAAATTGAATATATTTGAAATCACTCTTGATAACCTTCAAAGCTATAAAATAATCAGGTTTTATCACCTGTTTTAATTTTTCCATTATATCCCAATTGGAAATAGATCGATTTTTCTTTAAGTATGCTGGTAGAATTGCTATAATTGTAATTTTGTTAATTGGTACTAGGAAGAGATTTTTAGGCGGATAAAGTTCAATTGCTTCTGTAATATCATGTACTTCGTTAATGATATTCTCTTCCATTCTTTCAATGTTTCTGCTTTTCTGTAAAATTTTTATACTTCAACGTTAATAAGGTGTAGACTTATTATCTGTAATCTGGTTAGTGTTCAATTTTTTTCCTTTTTTTCTTTTTTTATAATTTCGCTCACCATGGAAACCATGTTGATAATTGAAAAATTGTTATAAAATTGTCATATAGGCTCGATCAAAAGTTGATTTGAATGCTTTAGCTGTTGCAACGATAAGTCCAAACATTTTCTATTCTATATTGCCAACTCTTTGAAGCAATCGAGTACATTTCCAGTTGCATTAGAAATTTTTTGCGTTGGCCTTTTATAAGCCTATTTAGATGTTTATTAAAGAAACTTGGTAACTAACTATACAAAAGACAATAAACAGTAATTATATTTATACATTAAGGGATCATTTAACTTATTATCATAAAATATTCAGATTATAGTAAAGATACTAATATATATTTTAGCTGATAAACAGAGTGATAGGAGCTATTTTTATATCATTTTACTAGTATTGACTCCTGAAAATAGAGTTAGCTTTGTATTCAACGTAATTTCCAACTGGCTGGCTCTCTTTCCAAGGTCTTTCCAGTCACATTTTCTATTATTACAGGTTCCTTCATGTAGTATGATGTTCAATACATAAAATATATTTTTATCTATTTGTTATTGTTAGAAGTACGAAGATTATCCTAATAACTTATTACTCTTGTATCTTCAAAGAGAAATACTATGCTATATATTTCTTTGATTAATAAGTCAATTAGCATTATTACTTCAACATGTTTTATTAATAACCATTAAATATTTACCAATTGTAGTGTACAAAAGAAAATATTTTCTAGGAAATAGTCTTTTAAAAATACTTATATACGATTTATAATAAGCGGGTACAACTACCAGACTGTTTCTCTATTCATTATTTAATATACGTTCGCATGCATTCAAGCATTTGTGTACAATAGTTCCGTCCAAATTTTCCATGTTAGAGTCAAGAGAAAATATCGTATCGTCGCTGTTTATCGTATAAAGCGACGTTGAATCATAGCATGACCTATTTTTATGTTTAATAGGTGTACTGGGAAGCGACCTTGCTCTTATTTGTCCGTTGATTAAACGATGTAACTTACTCCAAAAAGTTGATTTTTTCTCCTGACGGCAATCCCAAATCAGAGTCAGACAAACTTTAGTTCGACGACCATTAACTGTCCATTTTAGATCATTACTATGAGAGGTCAATTGTCTTAGAAGTTCAATAACCGGAGAAGGTAAGTTGATATCGTCCATGCTGCCTTTCATTCCATTTATAAACAGGTAATAGCATTAGCTTCCTCTCCTTCCTAGGACACGAAACAAGATAGTAAATAAACTAAGGGCAGCACTCTAACTCTTGAGATATTTCTTGATATATCCGTCTTTGCGACGCTAGATGACTCTTGCTCGCATTTATTTTAATCACGGACATTTTTTCCCCTAAAAATTCATTTAAATTCATCCTACGCCGTCGTTTTCTAAAACCCTTTAAACGAGCAATGACTCATAGGTTATCGTCTTGAAATCGAATATTATTGTTTGGAAAACAAACTTTATATTTATTATCAGCATATGTATTATTACTGGCCAGAAACGTACATAATGGAAAATAGACATAGCGAAAATGGGAAATTAGTAAGCTGTAAGTCGTAACTCTATTTATGTTATTATGTTTGAAAGATGCTTTCACACAGAAGTTAACGAATAACAAAGTTTAAGGACTCACAAGCTAAATAAATCGCAATACCAAAAAAAGAACCTTATTCCTTAGGGACCGGATCTTCCCATCTTTCATGGCTGACACCCTCAGCTAAATGGGTTATTCTTACGTTAACGGCGCAGTGTTTTTCGTTCTTGGGAGGAATGAGACACTTTTGAAAAGTCACATCATCACCAGGCTTTGGTACCCACTCGCCTTCGATGCTGGAAATAATTCTTGATTAGTTATATTTCGAAAGAGTTTGGCATTCTTACTCAGAAATATGCACAAAGATTAAATGCTTCGGATCATCATTTGGTACAACGAAACCATGCCCCTTGTTTCTACAAAATTCCTTTACTTTACCATTTAGGCGCGGAGTTTGTCTTACTCTCTCAGTTCTAAACGGTTAAAATTGAAAAGTGACACTGATAAATGACAACATGACGTTATTTGAATTTTAATCTTACTGTGAATAAGTTCTCGTTCTTCTAGTGGGGACAGGGCTTGGAACAAGAAAGAGATTGACTTTAGGCGAACCAGGCGACATACTTTTCGCGAGTTCGTCAAGCTCATCTCCGTGATTTCTTTCTCTACGAGTCGGTATTTCCTGCGGTTCACTCATCTAAAAAAGTTTTTAGTTTAGTATAAACCGGAATATTTAGAATAAAGTTTCAATTTAAAAAATTACCACGTGCAATATTTGTGGGAATCAAGCAATCAGCAAAATGATTATTTTGTTTTCAAGTGAAAGCAAAACCGTGTTAAAATGGGTAAGGTCAGCGCAGTTTCGTATTCTTTTATTTTTCAATAAAATGTTAACTAGAATATTATAATTATTAATATTCAATATCATTTAATATTTATACATAGATAACATATAGTAGCGTGGGATTTTATACGAAAATAACTTTTAGGATTGTTTTTATCGTAAAGCGGAAATACAAATGGGCCTATAGTATGCCATGTGCTGATCTAGTATTGAGTGGATAAATTTACAATCTAAGGAAAATGCCGAAGAGACATTTTGCAAAAGGAAGAGTGAAGAAGGAGGTTATAATCGATAAGACGGAACAGAAAAAGGTATTATTTAATATATTGTTTCTCTTGTATTTAAAAGACTTGAAATAGATAAAGTTGGATCCAGAACTACTTGATGATCAAGATTCTGAAGAAAATCCGTTAGTTTTACCTTCTCAGAAACGTAAAACAACAGTTGTTGAAACAGAAAAAGTTCCGAAGAAAAGATTAAGTAAAAAACAAGAGAGAAAATTGAAAAGTGTTTTACAGCGACGAGAGAAAAAATCTAAAAGAAAGCAATTAATTGAAGATTTAGCTAAAGTTCAACTTCCATCTGACAAACTAGACTTAATGACATCTACAACTGATTCTTTCAATCAGACAATAAAAAAGTAATTGTATAATTTTCTGTAGAATTTTGAAACTAATTGCTGATTTTTTAAGAGAAAATAAGAAAATTGAAAAATTAAAAAAACCAAAGAAAGTTAAAGAAATAATTGAGGAGAGCGAAAGTGAAGAAGATAAAGTTGAAGAATTTACGCTAATGCAACCAGAAGAAAATGAAAAAGCCAAAGATGATGATGATAAAGAGGAAACGAACGAGAGCGAGAACGAAGAAGAAATAAAACAAGATGAAAGTGAAGAACTGAAAAAAGAAGAGAAACCTGTAGAGACATCTGAAAAACTAACAGCAGAAAATACTAAAGCGGTTTTTGTTCCTTGCCAAAGAAACGAGGAAATTCAAGTACATATATTTTTCTTTATACATAATCCTTATTTAATAATTTTTTCTAAGATGTTTATAACAATTTTTATGTCTATAGGAAGCTAGATTAAAACTTCCAATTCTTGGTGAAGAACAAGTTGTAATGGAAACTATAAGGGAGAAAGATGTAGTTGTATTGTCCGGAGCAACAGGATCTGGTAAATCTACTCAACTTCCTCAATTTCTTTACGAAGCTGGCTATACTCAGTAAAACTATATAACATGTAAAACGTTTCACCAAGTTATTTTACTATATTTATAGAAATGGAAAAAAGATTGTTGTCACGGAACCTCGTAGAGTAGCAGCAATTAACGTTTCGAGACGTGTTGGAGAAGAAATGAACCTTCCGTCAAGGTGAAATAATTTTTATCCCGTAAGTTTATTAACTAAATAACTTTTTTAACTTTTTCTCTGAGCAGCAAAGTGTCTTATCAGATAAGATACGAAGGGAATGTTACCGATGAAACTGAAATAAAATTTGTGACTGATGGTGTTCTTTTGAAAGAAATGCAAAACGTTGTAGACATAATTCGAATAAGACATCATTATTATTTATGTGTTATAAACAGGATTTAACTTTATCACGTTATAGTGTGGTTATTATTGATGAAGCTCACGAAAGAAGTGTAAATACTGACGTTCTTATTGGATTGCTGAGCAGAATAGTTCTGTTAAGACGCAAAGTACGTATTCTGTAGATGCTGTATATATATAAATAATTGGATAATTTGTTATTAAATATTAACTTTTTTTCTTTAAAGAAAGGAAATGTTTTGAAATTAATAATTATGTCTGCAACTCTAAGAACTGAGGATTTTACTGCAAATACAAGATTATTTAAAATTGAACCACCGTTAATATCTGTTGAATCACGGCAATATAACGTTAAAGTTACTTTTGCTAGGAAAACTCCCGAAGATTATTTAAAAGGAGCTTTGAAAGAAGTCTGTAAAATTCACAAACAACAGCCTCCAGGGGGAATTTTAGTATTTTTAACCGGGCAAAGAGAAGTTAACTGGCTTTGTCATAAATTGAAAACATCTTCAAATACAATGCTGCCATTAGAAGATAAGGAAACTCATCCAAAGAGGTTAGTGCAATATTGTCAAGAAATTTTATTTATATTACCAAATTTCTAAATATGTATTTAGATCAAGAAAGAGAAATAACAAGAAGAAAATGCCAACTATCAAACTAGAAAGTTATTCTGCCCTCCCGGAGGATGAGGAAGAAAGTGATTTGGAAGTTGATGAAATTGAAATGCTAGAATCAGATGATGGTGACGAAGAAATCGATAATGATGGATTAGATCCGATGCATGTTCTACCGTTTTATTCTCTACTTCCACCAGAAAGACAGCAGCAAGTTTTTAATTCAGTTCCAGAGGGAAAACGCCTTTGTGTTGTAGCCACGAACGTTGCTGAAACTTCAATTACTATTCCAAATATTAAGTATGTAGTGGACTCGGGAAAAGTTAAACGGAAAATATATGATAAATCAGGTGGCTCTAGCAAATTTGAAATTGTTTGGACAAGTAAAGCCTCTGCTGATCAAAGATCCGGAAGAGCCGGCAGAATGAGTGACGGAAAGTGTTTTAGACTATTTTCTTCAGCAGTTTTCGAGCACGATATGCCAGAATTCGATGAGCCTGATATTATTGTAAAGCCAGCAGAAGATTTATATCTTCAAATGAAAGTCAGTAATTCTTATATTCATAAATATCATGATAATTTTTTTTGCCAATCAGTCAATGGGTATTGATAATGTTATGAATTTCCCATTTCCAACTCCTCCTAGTGCCTTAACTCTTCAGGTAATCACTTATACAGGCTAATTATAAACTAAGAAAGTTAAAATACTAAATTCATGTTCTTAAATACTAGGTTGCTGAGCGTCATCTTTTAGCATTAAATGCCTTAAAGAGAAAAGGTAAAACTACAAAGTTAACAGAATTAGGTAAAACAATGGCCACATTACCTGTTTCTCCTAAATATGCTAAAATGATAGCAATGGCATATGATACCGACGTATTGCATTATGTCATAATATTAGTAGCTTGTTTGTCGGTTAATCAACTATTTTCCGATTATTTACTTTGTCGGAAGGAACTGACGAATGTTTGGACTGAAGGCGGCTATAAACTCCTTGGTGATTATATGTGCATCCTAACGGCTATTGGAGCTACTGAAGAATTGAATTCAGAGAATGAATTTTGTATGAGATTAGGACTTCGATGGAAGGCGGTTTTGGAAGTGAGAAAATTAAGAAATTTGATTGTCAACACAATCAATTCAGTCTCTGGATCAGAATTTAGTATTTCGAAAGACTTAGAGCCGCCAAGTCTTGCTCAAGCAACAAAATTAAGAAAAATTATGCTTGGAGGATTTGTCGATCAAATAGCCAAGTTTGTAACATTTTTATTAATATTTCAATAAATTTTATTTTTATTTGATGATAATTATTTGTTTTCACAGACTTGAATATAAAATAGACGAAGAAACTAAGAAGAAAATTAGATTTTATCAACCACTATTAATCAACGAACCATCCCAAATCAATAGCAATTCTATAATGAACATAAAGAAAGAAGATCATGAATTTATAATCTACAATGATATGTCAATAACAAATGACGTTCGTAAATTGTCATGTAAGTTCTTTAACAATTATATTTATTATTCCAACTTTTAATGGTATATTTTATATTAGATATTGCGGTAATCGATAAAAGATGGCTACCGTCTTATTGTCCCTTCTACTGTAAGTTTCAACCAAAGTTAAAATACGAAAGAGAAGATCCGCATTCACCGTACTTCGATGAAGAGAGTGGAAAGATAAACTGTTTTAACGAAACATCGTTTGGGGTAAATGAAATTGAATGGAAATTACCTATTCACGAAAAAGAGTTTACAGAGTTTACGGCTTTCTTCTATAAGTTATATGCAAAATTTTTGCTCGATGGGCTTATTCTGAAAGATTTGGCTCAATTTTCAAAAGATCTTTTACATAGCGCTAATATGATCATCATGAGTTTAAGTATTCCACCGTACAGTAAACCATTAGTTCAAAAGTTGATGAACGAAAAAATCACTGATAGACAAAAATTATTAGATTGTTTTGACAATAACGAACAGTTTCTATTAGAAGAATACTTGAAGTGGTTGCCAGAGAATATGCATTATACTGTAAAGAAAATTTGGCCTCCCAGAAAGTAATTTATAGGAAAAATTTGTTATCATTTAGTTGGTATTTGTTCAAATAGTAATGTTGATATAAGTACCAACTGTGTATTGTACACGTATTTATACAAAAAATTAATAAAGAACTTATAAATATCACAAGAGAAATTGGACGGGTTTTGACTATCTATCACAGCAAAAAATAGACATTAACAAAAAACAACCCATTACAAAATGCAATGATTAATACCTTCTGTGAGTTCATTTAGCTGATTTACGAGATTTTTTGGATTTAGGACGGGGTGGTTTTTCATCAGCTTTCAATTGCTTTTCTTCCAAAGCACGTTGGCGTCGTAAAGCGGTGTTTACCTTTCCTAATTTATTCAAAGAGGTGAAGTTAATTGGATACTGTGTAAGAATATTGTATAAAAAAATTATAAAAAAAACAAACTTAAATTAGTTTTTGCTTTCTCCACTTGTTTATATTCGTCTTGCAACCAAACTTTTGGATGGCTTAATAACCTAAAGTAGTTCTCTTTTATTCTCTTTCTACAAAATAAATTAAATGACTCACCCTGCGGAAGATTGAAAAGGAGTGCGCTTCCTAGATCTAGGTCCGTCTACTAAAGTAGTACCATAGCCTCCGTATTCAGTTGGTGGTAAGAGTCCTCTATTAATGTAATTTATTAAAAAAAGAATGTGAAAAGATTTGCTCTAAGTAACCTCTTTAAAGTCTCAAATGATATGGGAACGTTGTTATCTATAAGTTTATCATGCATTTCTTGACACTCGGCAATAGCTTCGCTTTGAACCTCCTGTTATATTATTATCAATAATAATATTGAAATAATCTTATAAATCTTATTAATAAAATCCTTACAAAATCAAATTTTTTAGTCCAAATATCAATAATCTCATCAGTTGAGTATTCAATTCTCTCTTTCTTTACTTTTGGTTTAGGAGGTTCGTATTTGACTCTTTCCTCTATAAACAAAAAAAAAGAATAAGAACTAACAAGCTAAAGTTAAGGAAAAGCAAAATTTTTACTTTTTTTCTCTACCGGAGTTTCTTCTCTCATCTTTTTTGCAGCTTCTGTAGCTCGTTTTGCTTCTATGGCACTATTTAAAGGACATGATATTATATTAATTATATTCTATGCAAATTATATTAAAATTTGTTCAGAAGCGTTTACTAAAATAAGCTAATCGTCTATTAAACAAAAGAAAGAAAAGAGAAACTATGAAACAAAATAAGGAAAATTTTTTTTCTTATGAATTTTTGAAATACTTCTATTCATAAAGGCTTTTAGATTTGTATCTACATTTATATTATTATAAATAATAAGTCATATTTTCTTTTTCTTTCCATTATTTATATAGCATTGAAAAATTTAATTAATCTTTTTAGGAAATGATTTTATATAGAAAGCTATTAAGAAATTAATATAAATAGATGAAATTACCTTAAATTAAATGGAATACTTTTCATACTCGCTGTACTAGCACATCTCATACATGAACACGTCGACTTCTAAAGAATCAATTTCAATCAGATGAAAGCACAAAAAAAATAAAAAATAGAAATAAATAGGCCTACTTCAGCCGCAGCTGGAGATTTAATCCTATCAGCACTCAACGATCTTCTTACCAACTGTTTCATTTTAGGTTTTATCTTTTTTTCGTCTGTAAGTTCACCCTTAAAATTCTGATTCTGCTTAGTTTCTTTCTTGACGTTAACTCTTTCCGGTTTCATTCTCACAGTTGTATCTTTTAAGTTTTCTGCTTGTGCCAGTTTATTAAACTCCATTTTTTGTACATTTTCAACAACAGCACCTGTTTCATCGAATTCTAATGTTTTTACAGATTTTGTTGGATTTTCATTGACGCTCATTCTTGATATCATTGTTTCAATATCATTATTATCAGTTTTTGATGTTCTACTAGATTTTCTACTTTTAAAGACTAGATTCTTTCGCTTTTCATCCTCCTTTACGGATGAATAAGCTACTTGAACAGTGCTTAATTTATTAGACGCTGATTGTGGCCTATTCGATTTCAGCAGATTTTTCTTTTCAGAATTCATTGTATTAGGGTTTTTAGCTGATTGTACCCTTCTAACAGGAGTTTTTGTGTCAGCAAAGTGAACTTTTTTATCTCTAGAGAGCTTCTCCTCTATGTCTTCTTTGTCTTTATCTCCTTTAGACTCTAAGAGTTCTTCTTTAGTGTCTAATTCGTCTAAACCGATTAAACTTTCACCAGAATCAGAAATTAAACCCAAGTCAGACCTCTCCGAGTGCTTTTCCTCTTCCCAATGAGATAAATCGACAAATTCCGCTTCGTTCCAGTCCTCAATACTCCTGTGACCTTTGATAATTTTGTTAATTTCTTTTTCAATTCCAGTTGGTTTATTCTGATTCTTTCTAGCTAAAAGTTTCTTTCTTTGTTGTTCTTTTGCAGCTTTGTAAGCCTCTTCAACAAGCCTACAAAAGAAGTATTTTTAAAGGTATAAGACATAGATAAAAAGCTACCTTGCTGTTTCAATCTCCTCTTCAGAATCGTAATCAACACGAGGTAAAGTTAGACTTATTGGTTCAAAACGACGTTTTATTTGGCTATCATCAACACCTTCAGAATATCTATAATAAAACAGTAGTAAAGTTAACAAAGAGGTGAGTATAAATTAATTTTTTAAATATTTTACTATAAATATATTATATCTTAAATCCTTTTTATGTACAATATATGCTTTAGAGCATTCAGAAAGTATAAAAAGGATGGGCGAAAACTTAATGAATAAATAACTATTAAAACATCTTAAAAATTAACGTATTCTCATAGGTTTTCGAACTTTTACAAAGAAACCACTCTTGAAATATTAATTGACTTTTTTTAATAATGAAAAATGTATGAAATTATACTAGGAAAATTAAAATCAATATTTTTTCAAGTCAGACAAACACTGTAAGAATAATTCTTATGCAATTATTATAATTATTTGATAATAAAATAGTTGAATATACAGTGTATATGTAATGTAATAGTTTTTAGAGTATACCTAGTTTCATCGTTATTAGATATTTCATTTTTCAATTCACCAGTAAGATCGCAAGGTGGTGGGGCTGTTGTATTTATATAAGCTTGGGATAATATCTCTGCATTGGATAAAAATACAATTTTATTTGTCACTTTCATCAGTATTTTTTTTAAATAAATGTTGTACGTATCTATAAATATATACAATTAGATATTCAGTACACTGTTACCTATTTCTACGTTATTTAATTGATGTCCTTCTGATATTCTTTTTAGAATTGCATTTATTTCTTTCCTAGAAATTTCTTCAGCTGTAAAAGGAACTGCTACGTAACCGGTTGCCACATTATAGATCCTTGCACCTTCAGGTGGACGCTCAGCAAGTTCCCTAACTTGCCCCTTAACTAATAAGAAAAGAAAAGAAAAGAATATAAGGTGAAACATATTTAACTTTTTCGTTTTCTTTCTTTTAAATACTTTTTTCTGTCGTTAAAGATAAAGGATTAATAATGATTTGTTTTGTTTCGTATACCTCCCATTATCTTTTCTTTTGGAGGAGGTGCTGTGGAAGCGCTTTGCGGTCTTTTCTTACCACTAGGTGGACGAGATTTTAAAAAAGTTTTTGCACTAAAAGGTCTATCATTTTTCTGCTTCTTTAACAAATCGTTCAGAGTAGACGAAGTGCCCCTAAGATATTTATATAGTGAGTTAATAATCAGAATTAAAGGTATTATTCATTAAGCTCAACAAAAGAAGTGATTATTAATAATAGAATATTTCAGAGTAAAATAAAATAGATTGTTTTTTAAAAGCTTCAAACTGTTAAAAGATGTTTTGTCTTTACCATGCTAGCTTCTTTACTAAACTTTGTCTAGCTTTATCTAGTTCGGAAGCACTTCCTCGTCTTACATTAGTTGCTTTGATTTGGCCAGGATCGACTAAATGAACATTATGAACTTTCATTTCTAGGTTGTCAAGCTTTTTCAAACATACATCAGAATGTTTAAACCAATTCTGTAAGGAACCAAATTAAAGATCAAATTAAAAATTAGAAAATTTCTGCCAAGTGATAGAGTAAGAATAAGTACTCTGTTATGAATAATATCCTCCTCAATTTCATCATCCACATAATTATCGTCTTCGTTTAAGTTGTAAGCCATTTGATTGATACTTATAGAGTTTATCTACTTTATTGACATGTAGTAGTTTTCATAACATCCGAAATTGAAAAATTTGGTTATTGCTAAATACTGAGAGTAAAAGGGAATTCAAGTCTCTTAACGACAGACTTTAGTAAAATCGATAATAATTTTCCAATGTATTTTGATATTTAATTCTTTCCTTTCTAAGATAGTAATTTAAGTAAATATGTTTTTTTTATTCTACTTTTCTATCACTTCTTTTAAAGAAATCTGAGGATTAAAGTTAACTTTCATCCATAGTTAGAAATAGTTAGTTTAGAATTATAAGTAGTTCGATTTAATATGCGACTAAAATGACCATATTGTAAGACTAGTAAAATCATTTGTATAATTATAACGGCAAACTAGGTTTCTCTTATAATTCTCACGAAAGTATATGTTTTAAACCTTTTCATATTATAATGGATACGATATGCTAAAGGATCGACTGTTGTCGATATAGCACAACATATTTCTCAATAGCACTTCTGCTTTTGTAATTTTTATTTTAATGCTAAAAAGTGTAATTTTTCACTGAATAAACATTGAAATTGTTTACTAAAGTTTAAAAAAATCTATAATTATAAAAATCGATCTTTATTCGATTGAACTAATAATATCGATATACTCCAAACGCTTGCTATTCCAAAGGTTTACAGAAGTCGTGTTTATTTTTTGCTTCCGAATAATTTATCTAGAAAACTTATATCATGCATTATGTAGATGTCCTAGATAATATCTAGTAGAGCAATAAAGAAACTTATGCTTTAGATTTTTGAAATGTCCAAGGAGGAAACATCAACTTGGAAGCCATCTTCAGGACTTTACGGTTGGTCGTTCGAATCAGACGTTCTTCGCAATTGCGTCAATATACAAGATTACAATTCAACTAATAGTGGAAAAGAAAATTTCTCTTCAAAACCTACTGGAAATTCTAGGTCATATTCAGAAACTTCAGGAAATTCAGCAGAAGGTGTAGATTCATCGAATTCTACAGGAAATTCCGTTCACTCTGAAACAAAAACCCTGCAATCGGAATCTACAACAGTAAAGGAAAAGTGTAAATCTCAAACACCAGAAGTGGATAATTCTTTTTCACCAGATAAACATCTAACAGATTCAAGAAAAAAAAATAGAACAGGAAAACGTAGTTTAGACAAAAAAATTCACGGAATATCAGCAAATTCTAAAAGTGAAAAGCGTGCTCCTAAATCGTTTAGCAGCCGTGTATTAGACTCACAGATGCCTTTAAATAATTCCAAAATTCCAAAAACTTCTGGGTCTTCGAACCCAGCTGCATTCATTGACAATTTACACACCAAAAGACAAGGTTTAGATTTTAGGACTCAGCAAGAGGAGAGATTTGAAAAAATTAGAGGTATGAATAACAACTAAATAAATCTATTACGAAATTTTGTGAAATATACTTAATTAATTAATTTTAGCAAAAAGAGATTTCAAGAATAGAAATAATAGAAATATTTATGTTTTGGAAAAAGAAAATTATTGGTTTCGTTCCATCAAAATCGTACTGGACGAATTGTCATCAAGACTAAGTATTAAATTATAAATATCCCTTAAATAAAAATTAAAATATACTGACCTATATACATATTTTTTCCCACAGAAATATATTTATCTATTTTGTCTGATTTACTATATTGTGCTACAATTATATGTATATCCTATATATGGAAGGGACTAAAATTATTATTTCGTTTGTTAAGTATTACGTAAGCAACATTTATTATTTATTTACTATGCCTTTATAAATATGAAATGTATTCTCATTTTGAACTTTGACTATCTCCTTACAGAGTAATGATTGGCCTTTACTTTTCACTCAGTTATATCCTTACTTTTATTTCCTTTGTCAAAAGTCGATTTGATAAGTCTAAGCCAGTTATAAATGATGAAATCAATTGGGGTGAAAAAGAGAATATAGAATTACCAACAACCGGTTAGTCACCAGCAACTTTGAATTTTTTTTGCTTAATAATAGTAGTACGGTCGACTTACCGATTTCATTTTTTATTTTATAACTGTATCGGTTACAAAATAATGGAAATCAATGTTTTTGGTTTATTTTTTCGATTTTTTATTCCTTTTTCTTGTCCTATAGGTGACGAAGCAATTGCAAGATTACTTTCGAGTGAGGGCAAAGACGCGTATAGTATTTTAGGATTGAAATGGAATGCGAGCGATGAAGATATTAAGAAATACTACAGGAAGCAAGCAGTCTTAGTTCACCCTGACAAAGTAAGATAGAAAATTTTTTTATGTTGATTAATTACTGTTTTCAATTTTCAGAACGCAAAACCAGGAGCTGAAACAGCTTTTAAGATACTTGGGCAAGCTTTTGAGATGATAGGATCTAGTGTAAATATTATTTTCTTTTATTTTTTTTGAAATTTCAACTTAAAAAATGGATTAGGAGTATAGATTTTTCAATTACAGACGGCTAGAAGAGCTTACGATACTCAAATGAAAGATACAGAACAGCGATTACACGCTCAGCACAATTTGGAAGATCTCCTAGATAAGTTGAAAACAAAACTAGGCGAGGCAGCTAATACAATGAGATGTTCGAATTGTTGTAAGGCTCATAAAAGAATTCCAACTACCAAATCTAAAGACGTAGCTCGCTATTGCTCGGGGTGTAGAGATTATCATTCGGCTACAGATGGTGATGTATGGGCGGAAACACGCTTGGTGTTTATTTGGCACTACTATTGGTGCGTGGATGGCTGTGTTTACGATATCACGGATTATGCTCAGTGTAACGTAAGTCAATTTTACTGGATCGTAAATAGACTTGATATAAAATAGGATTAGTAATTTGTTGTACGTCCTTCAAGCTTTGCCAATCTTTCTAATATACTTTTTATTTTTCATTCACACAGTTTTCATCTATGAAAGCAATTCGACCGAATTCTCATATTGTCCAATTGAAAATGGGATTCAAGCAGAAACGGCCTAATAATAAATTTGATGATTTCTTACGAGATTTATATGAGAGAGCGGGTACTACAAATGATAACAATCAACCGCAACAACCACAGCAGCAGCAACACCAAGATAAGCAGAAGAAAAAGAAGAAAGGAAAACGTCGATAACAAACTATTCTTATTAGTGAATTCATATTCTGTCAAAGTATATTCAAGGATTTGTAACGGATGGAAACCTATTTGAAAAGCTCTAATGATTAAAAATTTCAATAATTGTACACTCTTTGGAAGTAATTTCCTGCTGATATATAACGTAAAACGATTATACTCAAAATTACTCTTGAAAATTGGAAATGAAGGGGTCTAAAACTGTCATGAAAGTTATTTCAAATTGAGAAAGATTTTAAAACTTATGAAACAGTTTTTTCTCATTTTACTTTTTTGTGACTTTTCTTTTTTTTCTTGTGAAATGACTGAAAAAAGTATATGAAAGTAAAAATTATAAAAAGGTTTATATCTTTAAAACGAACAATTCAACAAGAAAACACACGCTTAGTTTTTAAGAGTTTCGTGCTTTAGCTGTTCTAGCAAATGAAACAACAATTGGTTTATCGAAAAGTAATACAGCGTTTGTTAATGACAGGGCTTCACTGGCTAAATTTTCGGAAGAGAAACTAATGAACGCCTGGCCTTTCATTCTTCCACTTTGCATTAATCGAATATCGAATGCATTCTTTTCTATTTCATTGTTCCAATCTACAAAACCTCCATATATCGATCTTAGATCGTCCTCCGTCACCCTTTTTGACAAATTTTTAACGTATAATCGACAAGATGCTTCCCCTTTACTATATTTTTTAAATACTTTTTCTTTAATTATTTCACTCTCTACCAGTTGCTTTTTCTTTAACTCGTCTCTCGTCAAAAATTTAACTTCTACATTTTCTGCAGGAACTTCTACCGGTTCTTCTTCTGGTATAGGGAGTGGTTCTATCTTACCAAAACCCGTTTTGACATTAACGTTACTTTCTGCGCTTCTCTTTTCTCTTGTAGCAATATTAGCAGGTAAGTTCAAAGGTTTAGAAATCTTTTTAAGAGTGACATCGAATAATTCTTCCACAGAATATTTCGCCCTTTTTGCAGAGCCATGCGAAATTTTTTGCAATTTATGCTTTGCTCGCTTTTTATCTTCTTTTATCTTCCTCTTTTTTGTTATGGTGATTAAATGGTCTTCAGAAGATTCGATTTCCGATTCCGATTCTGTTTCCATTTTTACTGGTTCCAAATTTGTATTCTGTGGAAATGGTATAGGGGGACCAGGGTGAATTTCTTCGAAGGGAGGAGGTAAATTCATTTTATTCATAAGATGAAGAACTTGAGTATAAAAGCGAGGAACACCCACTAAAGCCTTGGAGATATTTAATAATGTACAATAGTTTGGACGTGGATACTTGTAATATAACTTTGGATTCAAGGGATATTTGACTTTAAACAGGTCTGATAGACTATGCAAATCTAACCAAAAGTCATCCTTTCCTGTACTAGCATCTTCTTCACATGCAGCTTCTCTATAATTCATTCTGGATGGATGATGGGATCTGTAACATTCGTGTGATAATTCAGCCTTAAGTCTTCTACCCAAAATTTCTAACTGATGTAATCTTTTCACAGCCGAAAGGGCAATTTCTTGTGAAGGGAAGCATCCAAAAGCACAGTGTTTCAATTTCCCAGCAGAACCCATACACTTGACATTTGATGCTCCAAAATGTTCCAATAGGGCAGTTTTTTTATCATTTGATAATTCCGCAGGCAAATTACGGACAATTATTGTGCAATTTGGTTCTGTCATAGTTGCCTTTTTATGTTATTACCATACAGATGAAAATTTTATATTCACATAAGTCATCTGTGCAATAACAACCTTACAGAAACAACAGAGTTTGATGATGATTTACAAATCTTTCAGTATTGGCTTTCATATTCATGCAATTTCGCCCAACAAAAAACCTTGAACTTAAATTTTACGAAAACGTATTTTTGTCAAATTTTTTACGAAATATTTTATTTTTGTTAAAGTACTCAAAATAAATATATTAATTACGAATTCGAAAAAAAATATGTAAAAAATTTCACTTCCGGTGTATAAAATGGAAAACATTTCGAAAATTTTGCCGGGGAAAAAAACTCAAAGCAAAGACTTCAAGGCTTAAATTTCCATAACAACAGTCGTATGTTATAAATTAACACGAAAGCCAAAATTTGACTATTAATATACCCATAACAAACAACAATATGCTGTTAAATCAGATAATATTATGACAGAGGCAAATCATAATCTTTAAGATATTACACAAAATATATCTTTTAATATTTTAAAAAAATTAATGAAAAATTTTTAATTTAAATTATTATATCTAATTGCTTTCACTAGCTAACTTTATTAATTTGAGGTATAAATAAGGTCATTTTTTCAAAAGGCGCGGTCTAAATACCTCAGCATAACATTAACCTAAAAACAGCTTCGACTACGACATCTAGAGGCTGTTTAAACAACGTCACAGGCGGCATCAGATAGCAGTTTCAGAGCGATTCTGAAATCCAGTAACGAACTAGCATGTCTCTTCTAACAATCTTTGAAAATCCTTGGCTGACTGTTTTACTTCCTGTGGCACTATCCGCTACATGGTTAAGATACAAGGGCTTAGAGTACATTTTATATAATTATAGATGGGTATTTGTATGCACTTTCTTAATGCCTGCTTCCTTAATATATAATGTAGTTTGGTATGTGAGAAGTTGGATCATCTTCAAAATGAATAGCGCTCCTCACAAACATGTAGAAAAGGTAAAACATGTTCAAAAACAAGTGAAATCATGGAATGAAAAAGGAAGACAAGGACAAATGTGTACAGCTCGACCAGGCTGGATGGCAGTTTGCTTAAGAGAAGGAAAGTATAAGAAAACTTTACAAAATATCGATGTTAACTTAATGGATGTTATTGAAGTAGATGCCGAAAAACAGGTACATGCCAAGTATGATTGTACTTTCTAATCTAAATCTCATTTGAATTATCAACAGATCGTACGAGTTGAGCCATTGGCTACCATGGGTCAAGTATCAGCAACTTTAATACCTATGGGTTGGACTTTGCCTATAGTACCAGAATTAGACGATTTAACGGTTGGGGGTCTCATCATGGGCGTTGGTATCGAATCTTCTTCACACAAGCACGGGTTAATGCAACATGTTTGCGAGGCTTTAGAAGTTGTATTGGCTGACGGAAACGTTGTAAAGTGCAATAAAGTTAATATTTTTTATTGATATCTCATAAATAGCTATAATATTCACTTTTCTAAATATCTATCTTTCTCTATCACAACAGAAAGACAATCCCGATTTGTTCTATTCGCTATTTTGGTCACATGGTACACTTGGTTTTCTAGTTTCGGCCGATATTCGAATTGTTCCTGCAAAGAAATTTGTCAAATTATCCTACAAACCTGTACATACATTTTCTGAAGTTGTTACAGAATTCGAACAAAGTACATTAAAGAAAACTGGAAATGATTTCGTTGAAGGATTGATGTATTCAAAGAACGAAGCTGTAATTATGACTGGTATCATGACTGACGAAGCTGAACCTGATAAGGTGATAATTTGCATTCTATTAATTTCAAAGAGATTCTCAGTCTTTTCTTTCATTTGTAGGTAAATGTAATAAGTCGACACTACAAACCATGGTTCTTCAAGCATGTAGAGACATTTTTACAACGTGGTGAAGATTACGAATATATACCATTAAGAGATTATTATCACAGACATACAAGAAGTATTTTCTGGCAACTGCAAGATATAGTTCCTTTTGGGAATAACTTTGTTTTTAGGGTATTATTTGGTTGGTTGATGCCACCTAAAATTTCACTTTTAAAGCTCACACAAGGAGAAACTATAAAGAGAATGTATGAAAAACATCAAATAATTCAAGATTTATTGGTTCCACTTTCTAAATTGGATAGTGCATTGTTAAAATTCCACGATGAGATTGAGGTATTAAGGAACAAAATATAATTAATCACTTTGATAAAAGTCTTCTTATAATGCCATGTATACTATTTTCAGCTTTATCCCTTATGGCTTTGCCCTTTAAAGTTGCCAAAGACTCCAGGTTTCTTAAGATGTTCGAAAGAAGATGAAATACTTGTTGACATTGGTGCCTACGGCAGCCCAAAGACAAAGCACTACCATGCATACGATACAACTAGAAGACTTGAAAAGTTTCTTTTGGGTGCAAATGGAATTCAAATGCTTTATGCCGACTCCTATTTAACACGAGAAGAGTTTAGACAAATGTTTGACCACTCTCTCTATGATAAAATGAGAGCAAAACTCAATTGTTCTGACGCTTTTCCTGAAATCTATGACAAGGTTAATAGATCAGCAAGAGATTAGCTTAATCTAGTAATAAATAACACTATAACACTCTAAGAGAAGAAAAGTAGGCAGAATTGCTCAGTTTTCTGCAATATAATAGATAGTTTTATTGATTGAGTCCGTTATTTGTCTATTTATTAAATACAAGTTTGCGTTTTTGCGTTTTTAATTCCATATATATCATTTCTAACTATTATTATTATTGTTGATATGTTCTGAACTGTATACTTCAGTCTTTGGCCAAGTATCACACAGTGAATGATTAATTTATTAATTGATAATAATAAATAATTTAATTATCTTAATATGAGTTGTTCGTAATAAAATAATGATTTATTAATAAGTCAATTTAGAGTAAAATATTTGTTGCCTCCATTGCAATCTCAACACTAGAGATAACTGAATAGAAAAAAAAATGTTTAGCTTAGAATATATACAATATATGACACCAATGAGTCAAGTCATACTTTTTAACTTCGAATATTACGAATACTAGGCAATCTTCGATTAAGATATTTAAGAACAAATAAATAGATCTGATATCGTTTCTGACAATTCTGTTATCAATATATTACTAAATAGATCACTTGAAAGGGCGACAATATCTTTAAATAGAAAAATATCATCATCATTTTTCTACGCGTGGTTCAACTGTCCTCTAATAAATAAGAAAGTCATTTAATCCTACTTTCATTTATCAGTAAGGCTGCAAGTTGTTTTTCATTGATATTCAATAGTTTTCACCCTTTTATTTTAGTTATTGTTACCGTTGATATATTATTAGTTATAATTAGTTGACTAATAAATGAATATTCCTTAGAAAAAGGGCATAATTTTTAAACTGCACATCATTTCAGAAGTCAAATAACAAATCGATTGAAATGTTCTAGATATGTTTTTTTGCGCTAATGATGTAAATTGCTCTAGGTGAACTTCTACACGAAGAAATTGATATAAGAGCGAGAAATATTTGTCAAAAAGCTTTGGACATATTTAATAATGTATAATTAAATGGACATGGACACTTGTAATATAACTTTAGACTCAAGGGATATTTGACTTTAAGCAGATCTTATAGACTATGCAAACATAGCCAATAGTCATACTTTCCTCTATCCTCAATTTTCTTCACATATAACTTCTCTATAATTCATTCTAAATGGATGTTAGGAATTGTGATATTCGTATGATAGATCAGCCCTAAAATCTTCTAATCGAAATTTTTAAATGTAGAAACTTTGGCACAGTTTTTCGTAAAAAGAAGCATTCCAAAGCATGTCATTATATTTTCCCAACACATCTCTTAAGTTTCGCCTTTTATGCTCTAAACTGATTCACTAGAGCAAATTCTTGTCGTTAGTTAGTGAAGAAGGCAAATTATGGGCAATTATTGTGCAATTTGGTTTTGTCATTGTTGGCTTTTATTTTTTGGTTGTATACAGAAAAAACTATAAATTTAATATAAACCGTCCATACAACAAAAAATTTAGAAAAATAATGGAATTTAAAAATTTTTTTATAAACCTTTCAGCATTGCCTTTCAGATCTAGACAAGTTCCCCAATGTGATCGACCTTGACTTTCACTTTTACGAATTTATATAAATGTATTTTTTATACAGATAAACGTTTATTTTCTAAGGAATTTAAAATGACTTTAATAATTACGAATTCGAAAATAATTATATAAAGTTTCCTGTTCCGTTTAAAGTTGGTTAACGATTTCGAAAATTTTGCCGGGAAAAACATTCGAAACAGAGATTGAGTGCATGAATATCATTCTGAATACCATTATCTATCAAACCAATATAGAGGTAACTTTTCGACAATTTATCTTTACTTACAGCGGTTTTTTATCGAAAAGATTTCGTTAAACATATTTAAAAAAAGTGTAGCACGCACATTTCAGAGTGTAATTTTAAGATTAGATATAAATTATGTCAATTTTTTTTTGACAGATCGGAGCCTAAGTGCTCAAGCCTTACATTAATATAAAAAATAACTTCGACTACGACACCTAGGGGCGATATAAATAACGTCACTGGCATTGTCAGAATAACAGTTTCAGACTGATTCTGAAATCCAGTAACGAAATAACATGTCTCTTCTAACAATCTTTGAAAATCCTTGGCTGACTGTTTTACTTCCTGTGGCACTATCCGCTACATGGTTAAGATACAAGGGCTTAGATTACATTTTATATAATTATAGATGGGTATTTGTATGCACTTTCTTAATGCCTGCTTCCTTAATATATAATGTAGTTTGGTATGTGAGAAGTTGGATCATCTTCAAAATGAATAGCGCTCCTCACAAACATGTAGAAAAGGTAAAACATGTTCAAAAACAAGTGAAATCATGGAATGAAAAAGGAAGACAAGGACAAATGTGTACAGCTCGACCAGGCTGGATGGCAGTTTGCTTAAGAGAAGGAAAGTATAAGAAAACTTTACAAAATATCGATGTTAACTTAATGGATGTTATTGAAGTAGATGCCGAAAAACAGGTATGTTCCAAGATGATTGTACTTTCTAATCTAAATCTCATTTGAATTATCAACAGATCGTACGAGTTGAGCCATTGGCTACCATGGGTCAAGTATCAGCAACTTTAATACCTATGGGTTGGACTTTGCCTATAGTACCAGAATTAGACGATTTAACGGTTGGGGGTCTCATCATGGGCGTTGGTATCGAATCTTCTTCACACAAGCACGGGTTAATGCAACATGTTTGCGAGGCTTTAGAAGTTGTATTGGCTGACGGAAGCGTTGTAAAGTGCAATAAAGTTAATATTTTTTATTGATATCTCATAAATAGCTATAATATTCACTTTTCTAAATATCTATCTTTCTCTATCACAACAGAAAGACAATCCCGATTTGTTCTATTCGCTATTTTGGTCACATGGTACACTTGGTTTTCTAGTTTCGGCCGATATTCGAATTGTTCCTGCAAAGAAATTTGTCAAATTATCCTACAAACCTGTACATACATTTTCTGAAGTTGTTACAGAATTCGAACAAAGTACATTAAAGAAAACTGGAAATGATTTCGTTGAAGGATTGATGTATTCAAAGAACGAAGCTGTAATTATGACTGGTATCATGACTGACGAAGCTGAACCTGATAAGGTGATAATTTGCATTCTATTAATTTCAAAGAGATTCTCAGTCTTTTCTTTCATTTGTAGGTAAATGTAATAAGTCGACACTACAAACCATGGTTCTTCAAGCATGTAGAGACATTTTTACAACGTGGTGAAGATTACGAATATATACCATTAAGAGATTATTATCACAGACATACAAGAAGTATTTTCTGGCAACTGCAAGATATAGTTCCTTTTGGGAATAACTTTGTTTTTAGGGTATTATTTGGTTGGTTGATGCCACCTAAAATTTCACTTTTAAAGCTCACACAAGGAGAAACTATAAAGAGAATGTATGAAAAACATCAAATAATTCAAGATTTTGTTGTTCCCCTTGATACACTGAGCAAATCATTATTGAAATTCCACGATGAGCTTGAGGTAACACATAATAAAATATAGTTAATCATTGTGATAAAAGTATGCCTTTGTCATATATATGTATAAATATATATACATTTTTTTCAGATGTATCCAATTTTTTTGTGTCCCTTTAAGTTACCAAAGACTCCTGGTTTCTTAAGATGTTCAAAAGAAGATGAAATATTTGTTGATGTTGGCACCTATGGCAGCCCAAAAGCACAGCACTACCATGCATACGATACAACAAGAAGACTTGAAAAGTTCGTTCTTAGTGTGAAAGGAATACAAATGCTTTATGCAGATTCTTATTTAACACAGGAAGAGTTTAGACAAATGTTTGACCACTCTCTCTATGATAAAATGAGAGCAAAACTCAATTGTTCTGACGCTTTTCCTGAAATCTACGACAAGGTTAATAGATCAGCAAGAGATTGATTAAACCTAATAATGATGTAACATTTTAATAACGGAGACTAAATACATTTCCCATTTTTCTCGTAATATAAATTTTTATTTGATCTCTTTTACGAAAAGTACAGCAAAAAATTTTTATGGACTTTTGTGTTTTCTCATTTTTATTAATAAGAGATAAGTTAAACAGATATCAATATCTGTAAATAGAAAGATAACAGTTGCTTTTTCCCGTATGTAGTTCAATTATGTAATGTTTAGAAAATAGATTCAATTAATAAGTTTATTAGTATTAAAATTAACTAATATCATTATCATTAATTTATTTCAAGTGCAAATTATCCAATCCAAGATATTATAATGTTCATTTGCTGATTGATATATGTTTTAAGTGATTTTTGCAGGTATAGATATTAAGAAACAGAAGAAATGAGTATGTCAATGATACTTGTTTGCACCTATTGGCTTTGTGATTTGTCTGCTAAGAGCATTTTTTTCTTATTTTTAAATAGCTAATTCTGACAAACATCTTTATTAATACAACTGTAATATTTCAGTCCAAAATATAGGATTTTATTAGAGTTAAGCAAAGTGGGCGGTGCCTACATACTTTTGCATAACATTAACCTAAAAACTGCTGTAACAACGATATCCGGGGGCCGTTTTAATAAGGTCACAGGAAAAATCAGAATAACAGTTTCAGACTGATTCTGAAATCCAGTAACGAAATAACATGTCTTTTCTGGCAGTCTTTGAAAATCCTTGGCTAACTGTTTTACTCTCTGTATTGCAATCAACTACTCGGTCAATGATACAAGAACCTAAAATATATTATATTTAATTATAGGTGGATATTTGTATTCACTTTCTCAATACTTTTTTAGTATGTAACGTAATTTGGTATATTGAGAAGTTGAGTCGTCCTTAAGTGAATAATGCTGTTAATAAAGTTTTAACTTAAACTTTTGTTAGGCTTAAGTGTTTTTATTATTATTAATAGGTCACTTGAACAAATGTCAAGACCAAAAAACGAATAATGTCAGCATCTTTGTTATACATTAGTTTGACTGTCCTACACTTATTAACGAAGCCCTTTAAGCTTTTACTTCACTCTACATGTTATATATGAAGTTTTATTCATTTTTACCAAATATTTTTCACATGTTTTTCTGTTTTTCACATTTTTTGATAATTCCTATGAATTTGGTTAATTAATTAATGGATATTCTTTTGAAAAAAAGATTAAATTTAAAAATAGAGGAATAAAAATAAATTTCAAGGAGCAATATATTCAAGTATATCGTTTTAATATTTTTTCTATGCTATTTTTCCATAATTGGCATAAAATCCTGTTGAATAATATAAGCTTTCAGTTATTTCATACTCTATGACTTTGCTATTCAGAATACCTCTAGTCTTATCAGAAACAATTTATTATATTGTTATTATAGTCAAAATGGCCGCTTTTAATAAATCTATGAACCGACATTTTGATTATATACTTTTATATACTCTTTTTTGACGTCTGACGCAAGGATTTCCTTACTAAGTAATTCGTCTGCTATGGCGTTCGCTTTAAGAAATTGTTTATCGCAATTACCAAAAAACTTGGGCTTTGTAAGGTTAGCATGGGTAAACTTTAAGTCAGAATATTAGTTAATAAACGAATAGAATAAAGCATCCATTAAACCGCTTTTCCAGGGATATTTGAATATAATATTCTACTGTTTTTTAATTTGTATTACTTGACCTTGCCTTGAGTAAGCATTTTTTTTCTTGCAGCCAAGTTCGTTTTATGTCCGGAGAATGGGGATCTGGAAGTGGAAGGGTAAACAATTGATTTTTTAATAGTAAGTGATGATCTCATTAATAAATTCTAAAGGGTGGAGGCGGTGGTGGTTCTGTTAGAGATGCCGGTGGATCTTTTGGAAAAATGGAAGCAGCTCATGAAGAGCAATACTTTCGTAAAATGGTACGTTTTTAAAATTTTATAAATGCTCTTTCAAATTTCTAATCCTTATTAAATTTTTCAACATTATAGCAACAAGAACAATTAAAAGCCATTCAAGCTTCACTTCATGAAGAAATTGAATTCAGCGAGAAGCAAATTTCTGAATTACAGGTGCAAAGTTGTTTTGAATTCATAGTATTCTTAAGATAAAACTGTTGAATTGTTCAAATTTGAATTTTTTTTAAATTGATTATTTGCAGGAAGAAATCGCTAGACATAAAAAGAAGTTGTCTAAACTAAAGGATTTGAAGAAAGACCACTAAAAACCCTGGTTTATAAATTCTGTATTTCATTTATAGTGTAGTACGTTTAAAGTAAACGTGTGAACTCGAAAATATGGCTACTTGATAAATGTTTGTCAAAATTCCAATTTTTTCTTTTGGGATACCATATCGGATTCTTCTTTTCCCCTAGAAGCATTTTCTCCTAAATCAGGAGGTAGATGCATACGTTCAACAACAAATTTAGTTCGACGCTGTTTAAATGCCCAATCTGACGTATCAGGTTGGGGAGTGTGCAAAGAATACGGTGAGCGGGATTTTCGAAGTCTTAAGCAACCATGATAGTCTGCAAGGCCAGCAACTTTTTTGTCCTTCCGAACAGCATTTAGTTCTAAAGCAAAATCGACAAAGTTTCGAATAGAGTTGCTGTCATCTTCATATATATGCATAGGAATTGTTAGTAGAATTGATGTTGGTTTTCCTCTGATAGCATTTCTTAATTTCAAAAGAAATTTGCAAATGTCAATTGAACATAAATTACCCCAAAAAGGGCGCGCAAAGCGTCTAATAAGTACTCTTGAGGCATTTTCTGAAGGAGTTTCTATGAGTTTTATTAATCGTTCGATCAGAGTGGTTGCTTTATCATCGTCTATAACATCGGAAAAGTCAACTGCTTCTAAATTTGGCTTTAATTCTCCCGTAATATCCATAGTTTCCGACAAATCATAATAATTTCCAAATCTGGTAGGGCGGTCAACAAATTTACCTCCTCCCTTTTGTGAATTTTCATAACGCCATGCAATCTTTAGGTCGGGTTTTGAGTTTTTGTCTTCTTTTACATCAGCTTCGGTATTTGTTTCAATAATTGATGGTAACTTTGATAAAATCTCCGAAGGTTTTTCTATGGTATCAGCGATTATCACACGGTGCTGGTTAACAACCCCTTCAGCAATAAAGTATCTTTCTATTACATCACCATAGCAGGTAGTTTCATCTTCTTCAACTAATAGAATAGTTCCCAGTGGTAAACCGCCTCCTATTATTGAGTCTATACCGGGAACACCGGTTGATATTAATAAAGAGTCATTGTACAAAGATCTTTTGGCGCCTTTTATTTGACGAACTGGTCCTCGTCGTTGAAAAGACGTGCTCTGCATACTCTTATTATCGCTCTTTTCCTGAAACCTATTCTAAGAATAGCTGATAGTGAACAGTTATAAGAAACTTAGGCGAAACAAGTTTTTCAACTTACTGTGAAATTTGTTGTGCCGTGAGAGTAGATTTTAAAGAGAATTAGACTAATATTTCTCGTCTAATAGTTGATAGAGAAGTAGGCCTAATACTTCAATACCAGTTTTTGGCACGGTTCTAGTGAAATATTCTCTTGATATGTTGCATGAGAATTTCCAAAGATCTATGTTGAATTGAGATAGAATATAAGTAGTACAAGTTGTATACTTTAAGGACAAGTACAAGAATATTAAATAACTTTTCCTGCAGTTGTGAGTATTTATAGTCCTCTGGCTAAAATATTCATAGTTTTAATTGGACTGTAATGTATAACTGATTTCAAAGTCATTGTTCATTATAGGCCATATAAAAGCTTGATTCAAAATGTCCCGTTGGGAGGATTTGTACATTTTGTTACGTAGTATGAGAATGGTAGCAAAGTGTGCATCTGATGAAATTCAAAGGAAAACCTCTCAAAATTGGATGAACTCTTCAATTAGAGTCTCTCTAACAAAAAATTTCTCAAAAGTTGAGGATAATATAAATAGTACGATATTCGAAGATAAATTCAAGGTTAATAAGTTAATAAGCTTTTCATTTCAACTCTCTAAAAGACCGTTTCTCTAAAGAATCCTATAGATGTCATGAATTCGAATCTTGACTATGCTAAGAAGGCAACGGAAAATATTCGCTATAAAATTAAAAGCAGACTCCCTGCTGATATTGCGCCAAGCTTTTTAAAAGAAGAGCTACCAGAGGCAGTAATTGTTCAAAATAGTTTGGGCAAAGAAAAAACTGATAGTTCGAGCGAAACAATACCTGAAGATGCTAAAGCTAATAAGGACGTAAAATTTTCGAGGATGTCTCATAGATATCCACCATCTAAGATTCCTGAGTTTCTAAAGAAAGATCTTCCTTATAGTATACTGGTTGAAACGGGTTTGGTTGACGAAACAGAGGAAGAATACAGAAAGAGAACAGCTCAACCTCCTCCACCGACAAAGTCTAATAAAAATTTAACTCCTAGGCAAAAATATGAAGCTGCACGTGAGAACAAAAAACCCAAAGTTTTACAGGGAGTAAGTATTTAATCAACACTTTTTGTATTTCTCTTTTGTGCATTCGGACACCCATTAAGCATGTTTCGTTAAGTTGCTCTAAAACCATTTAATTTTTTTTAGCTTAGTGATAAATCAAAGGAAAGAAAAGTTCCTGGAACCCGCATAGGTCGGATGGCATCCTTTGGAAGTATGTTCTTTAACATCATTATTAAGCTTAGTTTAATTGATAAATTTATATAAAAAAGTATTTTATGAACTATTTCAGGTTTAGGTGCCGGATTAGCTTTTGGTGCTGCCTCGGAGGTATTTAAAAGAAGCGTTGGTTTAGGTAAAACAAAGAATAGTGGTAAGATTGAATGATTAATATTAGATTAATATTAGAACAATTTAGTAACCTTGAATTACTATAGGCAATGAATCCTTGCTTAAGGAAAATCCTTTCTTATCTGATGCCAATATGGAGAGAATAGTCAATACATTATGTCGTGTTCGTGGAGCCGCCTTAAAACTTGGTCAAATGCTTAGTATTCAAGGTATTAGTTTTAAAAATAAATAATAGATAAATTATAAACTTTTACATTTCTGTAAATATATATTCTTCAGATGCTTCGTTGATGAGTCCACAATTACAGCTTGTCATGGAAAGAGTTCGCCAGAGTGCCGATTTTATGCCAAAATATCAATTAGAAAAAGTTATCAGAGAAGAGCTGGGATCTAACTGGAGAGAAAAATTTCAGTCGTTCGATGATAAACCATTTGCAGCTGCTTCAATTGGCCAAGTTCATAGAGGGACAACTCTAGATGGGAAAGAAGTTGCGGTAAAAATTCAATATCCCGGAGTGTCTTCTTCTATAGACTCTGATATAGAGAATTTGCTAGGAATTTTAAAGTACTGGAAAATATTACCGGATGCCTTATACGTGGACAGAGTTGTTGACGTAGCCAGAAAAGAATTAAAATGGGAATGCGATTATACTAGAGAAGCAGAATGCTCGGAAAGATATAGGAAATTATTAGAGAATGATGATGTTTTCTACGTACCAAAAGTTTTTAAAGACTTGAGTTCAGGAAAAATTCTAACAACTGAACTCGTTGAAGGAGTTTCTGTAGATAAAGTAATAAATGAAAATCAGGATACAAGAAATGCTGTTAGTAGAAATCTTCTGAGATTATGTCTACGAGAGCTATTTGACTGGAATTTTATGCAAACTGATCCGAATTGGTCAAATTTTCTATATGATTCAAAAACTGGCTTGATATCTCTAATAGATTTCGGAGCGACTAGAGAATATAACAAAAAATTTGTAGACATCTATATCAAAATTATTCGAGCAGCAGCGGACAAGGATCGAGAACAAATATTAAAGCATTCTGTAGATTTAGGATTTCTAACTGGACTAGAAAGTAAAGTAATGCAGAAAGCCCATTGCGATGCAGTTTTGATTTTAGGAGAAGCTTTTGCAACTGACAAAGAATTCAACTTTGGAAACCAATCAACCGCCAAGAGAATACATGAAATTATTCCTGTTATGTTAAAACATAGATTAACTCCTCCTCCAGAGGAGACTTACTCTTTACATAGAAAAATGTCAGGCTGTTTTCAGCTCTGTTCAAAGCTTTCCGCAAACATCGAATGCAAATCTTTATTTTTCGACGTATGGGATAAGTACAGATTTGACGAATAAACAAAATACAAATTAATATCTAATCTGTAGAAAAAAAAAGAACAAATGTTTTCTCTTCTCTAATTGGACCAATTAAGCTGTTTAAGCCAAAAACCATCAAACTGTTAAGTATTATAACTATGTGAAAATAATAGAATTAATTTAATACTAGCTGTAAATAATTTGTAAGAATCAGCCCATGCTGTAACTCGAACTTCTCGTTTCAATGCTAACTGAACAACTGATTTCTTTCTGCTCTTTATAAACAAGATCTAGCGATCAATTTCTCTCGAAAAAAGTATATTCAAGATATATAACAATATATTACTGTAGATAAATTTTAAAGGTATGGGCCTATCCCTTACCCCTACGAAAAAAGCTGTTAAAATTTCAGGCTTATATTATTGGGCCTATAGTATCAACAGGTAAAGAGTTTTCACAATATAAGATTGGAATAGCCGTATCAAGCGGCTCACGTTTTTTTACCCTCTTCAGATCATTCGTTATTTTCTCTAAAATATATTTTTTATTATGAGAAAAGGTAAATTCTTAAGCGAAGTTCAACATGAATTAGAAAAACAAAGACAGGCTTGGGGATCCGAAATAAAGAGATTAACAGAAGGTGTGACACCGGATAATCAAGAGTCTTCAAAAACTACGTCGCTTATTGACCAATCCTCCGGTAAGCCTGTTTTTAAAGCATTCTTCGATGTAAGGGAATTTGATAGAAAGGATATTAATGTCAGAATTGATCACCTCATCAATAAAGTTGTTGTAAAAGCAACTAAAAAGATGGGGGTTTTGACAAGAACTTTAACGCAAAAGGCCAATTTACCAAGGTTTTCTGATAATCGAAAATTATCTAAAAAAATTGGTCCTGATGGAATTCTTGAAGTCTCTGTACCTTTATTATATTATTTTCCACCTGAAAATGAACCAAAATCGTACGTTTATCGAGTTGATAAGCAGACAGAAAATGGTAAGAAATGCCTTGAAATTGTTGTCAATACTGGTGAAGGAATAAATCCAGAAGATGTGGACGTTCAAGTTGTCGACGATAATGAGCTAATAATTAGTGGCGAGTCAACAAACGGTGGAAAAAACTTGAGAAAAAAATACTATCTCCCACAAGGCTGTAGTGTTGATGACATTAGCGCCGAAATTATAGATAAGGATCACGTAACTATTTATATACCTATATATGATAAAAGATAGAAGAATACCAATCGATCATTTCCTCTATTGACGATGTAAAACTAAAACTATTTAAAGTCTCGTTCACTTATGTATATGAGATTTTTCTACCTTTTGTGCTCTTATTTGCAAAAGTCAACTTTTACATATTTTATTTGATATTTACTTTTTGTTAATAAGCCTACGTTAAACAACAGCAAAAAAAAACAAGGTCGCTATAACTATAACAACCAGCAAAGATAATAATAATCATAACAATAATAATAATACTAAAGATGACGAAAAGACGTTTATACCGTATTCTTCCTCAGAAAATTTTAAGTTATAGCCGTGGCTTTACTTAATAAAAGAGATAAAAAGGATATCTATTGGTCTTTTACTATTGTTGTTTACATATGTAATTTTTTGAATAAAATACACAAAGAAAGCGTTGCTTAACTTTTAAATTATTTAATATTTTAGTATGTTTCTTCTTTAGTAGTACTTTATTACGTATGTAAATAGTAAGATTAAATGTAAATATTATGAAATCCTCCTCATAAGAAGATAAAAGATCCATATAAAATATATATAATAATAATTGATATTTCTTATATATTTTCATATTAAAAATTGCATTTTTATCAAAAGTATAAAAAGAGTGAAAGTTTATCAAAAATAAAACAGGAAAGAATGTAAAAAGAACTATTCAATAGAACATTGTATAACGATAATAAATCTTTGTTAAATACTATGGAAATCATATTCATACAATATAATTAGAGAGCAACCACCCACATTGGTAAATTATCTTTTAAAACAACACATTCAATCTCTTCGTAATGTATATATAAATACAAGCATAAATTTATATAGATTTTTGAATATATTCAATGATTTCCCGCACGTAGAATTGACTATTAAGTGAAATAATATAGTTTGTTTTTTGTCTTTCATTTTTAAATATGATATCTTTCTAGTTCAGATATCTTTCAGCCAGGAATTTCTTTATAGACCCTCACAGTTGAAAAACGACCTATAAGTAATAAAGGAGAGGCTATTGATATGGTAAAAATAAAATGAATAGAACATTTTTGAAAGTAACTTTTAGAGCAAAACTCTTAAAGAATTTTGTTTATTGCATAAGTAAATAGCTTTTTCCCTTGTTGTACTCGGAGGATTTTGCTTTTTTTTTTCTTTTTAGGAAAAATCAACATTCCTGAGCAAAATAAACAATATACTATTGTATTTATTGTAGTAAATGTAAATAAATAAACAAAGAGTAATACTGTTTAGAAGGAAAAAAATGAATAGTCTATTATAAACGTTATATAGAAATCTATTAGGCCATGTATCAAGTTTTGAACTGCTGTTTAGTATTAAAATTCGTAGCTAGATGTCTTGAACTCGATGTATATTTATTAAACAGTAAAAATATTATTGTTATTACGATTACTTGAGTACGTACAGAGTCATTTTATATTATAGCTTACAAAAGTTAACTAGTATGACGTCATCACGAAGAAAGAAAATTCTGTCATTGTTGCTATTGTATTGGAAGCTGACATAGATTTTTGACTCTTCTTTAAAAGAGTCGTAAACAACATAAATAAAGAATAATTTTCTAAGTTTTTAACTTATAACTGTATCCTTATTGAAACTTTTAGTTTGATTAAATTTAATAGTATCATCTCTCGAATTTTTAGAAGCGGAATATTCTGTCTGCCTATTCTTCCTTCGTCGTCTCCTCTTTATCAATATAAAGCTAACCAAAACCAAGATACCAAATAGAAAAATAATACTTATAGTAAATAAAACAGTTAGTACATTGGATTTTTTATATTCTTTAATGAATCGAGTATCTAAAATTCATGAGAAAAGATCATTTTAAAATGATTGATTATTTATAGGAACAATGATTCTGTATACCATTTTTTACGCAATTCTGTTCTAAAGCATTTCCAATAAATCCTGGAGAGCATAGCTGGCAATGATCTCCAGTAATATTTTCTAAGCAAGATAAACACTTTCCTATTGAAATTAAAAGGAATTTTGATAGTTAAATTAACAGCTTTCTTTCTTAATTGTTAAAGAGCATACCCGAGATCCTATCACATATTGATATTGAGTTATTATTCTCATTTCCGTTGCAGTTACATTGTGTGCAATGATTATTAGAATTTCGATAAAATCCATTTGCACACGTATCGCACCTGGCTGATCCATATCCCAATTTGCAAAAACACGATTTGAAACCATGTTCTGGAGAGAATATATATATATATATATATATACATACATATATATAAGAATAATATATATTTGAATAAGACAACATTCGTATAAAAGCATACTTGTAATAATACAACTTGAATTCTTTGCTCCCATCTCAGAACAACGGCAAGGTTCACACTTATGCCCGTTATAAATGGTACTAGCTATACATTTACTGCAATATTTTCCAGAGGCATACCTCTTACATTTACATTTACCAGTTACTACGTCACATTCATTTCTTACAGATCTTTCCTTATCACATTGGCAGGCTATTTAAGGAAAAATGACATTGTAATTGGGAATTTATCGTATAAAATCGTTAAGATTAAGAAAATCAAAGAAAACAAATATCTAATTTGTTCTGATCGATAGCATATTTCTATTTAAAGTGTGACATTAATAAGTATTTTCATCTTAATACCATTAAATGAGTTTAGAATGTTCAATAGGTAAATTGAATAGAACAAATTAACATATCAAATGCTATAATTCAATTCTTGCATATGATTAAGAGTTATCATTTACTAAAATATAAAAATAATACATACGTTTAACATCACCACCGAAACCTAAAGTATTAAATTTAATACGACCGCTGTTTGTTCTATTCTGATTATCGTAATTAGCGATAATAAAGGCAGCATATTTTAATCCTGGTAGAAGATCTTGTAACGTATAACTGTAGTAATGATTCTTGTTTCTACTATATCTTACAGGGTCAACTATTGACTTGTCAAAGTTCTTATCTGCAAAATCAACATCTCCATTAATTCTTTTGCGACATATTTAAAATTTAATGATTTATTATAAAATAAGTTTTAAATAGAAAATTCGATTCTTTTTACCAGAGCACTGTCTGCCTTTCTCATGACAAAAACATATTGTAAAATTGGAAATATCTTCTGAAATATTTGTATTAAGTTTCCAAGATAAAGTTGTTGTATTGTAACTTGGTGTCGACGATGCAAGTTTTATTACCGGGTTTTCTTGAAATATATAAATTAATGCATTATTTAATATTCAATATGCAATTTAAATCAATAAATAGTTGTAATATTTTACCTTTGTTCAAAGTGAATGAGCAGCTAAACGGGTCGTCTGACGATGCAACTAACAAAAATACGCACATGCAGATAATGAGAAACAAGTCCATTTTGTCAGTTGAGTCTAATAAGATCTTAGCACCATGTATTACTTGATAATACAAAAAAATGTTGTAAATTTAGATCATAGTTTACAATTTTCATTGAATAAACAAAATGCCCAAACGCTCTGTCTTTTAGAGCTGTAAATCACGTGATCACCGCCATTTTTACTTTGAAAACATGTAAAAGAATATTGAAAGAGTATAAAGTTGATAAACTATGATAAAAAAACGAAGAATATTCTGTAATTTATATTATAGACTTAAAAGAAGTTTGTAGCAAACATTTGTTAGTTCAAATAGATATTCTTAAGTATATAGGGAAAGCTTTTAAATATATTTTGAAATTTTCAATAACAAAGAGATACTTAAGTCTGATCTTATTCTAAAACTGTTAATTAAATTTGTCTTTCTATAAAATAAATGGTTCTAAGAATGATATTATTAATCAATTGATTTTAAGTTAAGTAATAAAAAGATAAGAAAAGTTAAGAAATCAATTGTTCATATACAGCATTTATATATATATATATATATATATATATATATTTATATGTATATATTCAATTATACATATATATATAAATTTATATACAAGTATTAACAATGTATAATAAAATTTTCAAAGTAACTTTATAATGAATAAATACATAACTTATAGTATTTATCTTGTTCTTAACAGTTATTATCTCCTTAATAATCATTGTTTTTTTGTTGTTTTTTCATGAGTGATAATAGGCGCTTAGGAATATGTTCTTTTCAAGTTTTACTTACAACAGTTTTTCTAGTTAATTGTATCAGCTAGTAATGTCCAATTTAATATTAAGATTGTACTAGTAATACTATTACTTACAATTATTAATGCTAATAGGAGTTACTTTTAATATTATCTATAACTAAAATAGAGGCTAAGAGAGAACAGGCGCACTTGAAGTTATCGGTTATTTATTAGTTTTTTAAAGGAATTTCCCTTTAGCACATCGCCTGATTCTAAATATGAACTTCAGACTAAACATCTTATTGACACACTTAAAAATAGGGCAATTTCATATACATTTTAAATTACTTGAAATAATATATTCTGCAACTAGACAGAAACTTTTTCCCTTTCATACTTCATTCTCTTTTCTCCAACTGTACAATAATAACATTGATTAATAACAATAGCAATAGCAACAATAAAATAACTGATTAATCATTGATTAGGTGCGAATAGACGAAAAATCTAATTAATGACTTAATCGAACTGTATTTCATAATGATTAATTATGAAAATTAATGACCTAAATGCGATCATTATAATAATTTTAAGAGCTCTTCTATGCATATGTATAAGCCCTATATCCCATGAGTTTAAGTAATTATTCTATATTTCTATGAATAATTTATAGAATCATATTAGTCTACAAAATGATGGATGTATGCAAAAGTTACAAGCCAACATATATAGTTCCATAACTTTAAAAAAAGAACTTTAAATATTACGAAAATATACTAAAGTTTTCATTTCCGGCTCTAAGAGGTGCCAGTATTTGAAACTATTTAATAAATTCTTAGTCATCCTAGTGGCTTAGAAGAAATTAGTTTGATTCCAATATTGTACCGCCTATTTATATACAAACGTGATGATTTTTACTATAATTATAGTAATATAAAGATAATGAATATACTCTACTGTTCATAATCAATTAAAACTTTAATTTCACATGAATGTTTCTCAAGGGTAATTAACTTTCGATTTTTTACGTTCTATCATCTGCAAAGTTACAAGATAATTCTAGAAAGAAACATTTACTGTAACTCGATTAGAAAGGATTATGAAGAATATGATGAAATTTTTCATACTTTTCTATACGTTTTCTTCATCTTTATCGATGATTGTTGGTAAGTGAGAAAGAATTTTGTCTGAAAACTTATTTGTATAAACGATACTATAAATGTAATTATAAAGATTTTATCAAGTTTCCAACTTCTCAACCAATACTACCAGAGACGAATATATATCAACATTGTATTGCGAATGTTAAAGACGCTACGATTATTAGATATAAATGGTTTTTAAACCAAAAACCAATTGAAGAGATTATTTCAAACGCTTCGATATTCGCTAATAACACTCTTTACATACCAAATTTTTATGGAAATTTAAGGATAGGAAGTTATATATGTGCTATTCAAATTTCTTTTGATAATTCCGTTATCAATCGCAACAGTCCAACAGGATTAGTTCATTATGCATGTAAGTTATTCGATAGTTACTTTTTACTATTAATTAAAAGATTCTAATAATTATTTCATGATATAAATATAGATATCAATCAGTTTTCTCAAGATTTAAAACCTTCCAATATTTCAATAAATGTCAATAGTACTTTCACTATAAATTGCATTTCCGGTTATAGTTCGCCTCCTCCTTCTTTATATATTACAAAAAATAATGTATTATTTACGACTAATGTTGAAACGGCAACATTTGGAGATGTTCTACTAGATGGAAGCACAAGACAAATTTTACAATTGGTATTAAAACCTGAAATAATTTATCGGGGTGTTTTTCAATGCGTATCGGAGAATTACTTAACAAAAACTATAATTAAAAGCAACTTAACTTATGTTTCATACGAAGGTAATTAACTTATTCGAGCTGAAAAAAACATAGTCATTTACGCTGTTCATTTTATTATTGCGTATGTTTGTAGTTCCTCCGTTCAAGCCAAAATTCCTTTCTATACTCAAAGTACCGAGTTATATAGAGGAGCATACGTCTCTCACTGTTGTTTGTAACGTTACTGGTTTGCCTCATCCTGATATTGTTTGGCTATACAATAATGAAATTGTTAATTATACTAAATCAAATGTTATAGTTTTGAATAATTCCCTAAAATTTACTCAAATTACAAGAGAAAATACTGGAAATTATAGTTGTAACGCGTCTAATTCCATCGGATCTACTCAGTCTAAAATTGCATACATAAATGTTGCATTTTTTGAGGTTATCTTTCAAGTTATACCTAAATCTCAGTACGCAGTTTTGGGCTCAAAAGTAATGCTCCATTGTCAGTCACCTCCATCTAACCCTGAAGCAAAAATAGAATGGTACAAAGATTTGAAATTCTTAGTCTCAGGAATAAATAAAATGTCTTTTCAACTAGAAAATGTAAATTTATCGTATATAATTAATTATTAGATTACTGTAACGTTTCTTTTTCAATTAGTTAACATATTATGAAGAGGGGAATTATAGGTGTACAGCAACAAATACTTTTCTTGGAATAAGTAGAAGTACACCATCAGTACAAGTAATTATAAAAGGTAATTAATTTTATATTAAATTGAATTTTCGTATTTATATCGTTTTATTCAAAAGGAAAACCTGTGGTAACACATCATCCTCAAAACCAAATAGCTAAACAAGGAAGACTAATTATCTTTAAATGTAGACTTGATTCCAAGCCACTTTCAGATGTATTCTGGTGCAAAACTAAATCGGAGATATTGAAAAGTTGTGATAAAAAATTAAAGGAAAGCTCATTAATTGATATCAAGTAATAATCTATTTGTATATTCATCCTTTGGACAAAAAAAGCTAATCTATTCAAATATTAATTCAGAACTATAACTACAAATGTACAACTATCAACTGGAAGGGAATTGTCTCGAATAAATTCAACGTTAATATTCAAAAGGCTATTAAAAGATGACGAAGGATATTATTTTTGTCAAGCTGAAAATAGATTTGGAACAACAACTTCAAATTTAGCAAATTTGTTTGTCATAGGTTGATAATTCGTTAGTTTAATTTATAATGATGTTTTTAACAAAAAACAATTTTTAATTATAGTTTCGCCTGTTATAACTGGAAATCTAGGTCTGATTAAACCAAGAATAGATAAAGATATTGTTCTTTATTGCTATGCTCAGGGTTCACCAGTGCCAGCTATTTATTGGTACAAAGGTAAATATTCATTGTTATGAATTTCACACAAAAGTTGATAAGAATCATAAAATCAGACAATGTTCTCTTGGAAAAGAATGATAGAATTGAAATGAAAGATAAACAATTAATAATAAAAAACTTAAAAAGTTCAGATTCTGGAAATTATTCTTGTATGGCTTCAAATTTAGGTGGTAATACAACAACTTCCGGTTATTTGGACGTATTATGTAAATCATATATTCATATAAAATTTAATCCCTTTAACTTCAATATCATTAAGAGAGTTTATTTAAAATCTATATAGATCCTCCAATTATAACTAATTCAACAGTAACTCCGCTATTTATAAACTTTTTCGAAGTGGTCAAGTTTAAATGCGATTGGTCAAGCAATCCCCAATCAAATATTTTTTGGTATTTTAATGTAAATTCCCCTAAAATAGCCAAGGAAACTAGATGTCTAATTAGTCTATTTAAATATATTAGGGACAAAAGGTTGGCTATAATAAAACATTAGAGTTTATGGCTAATTCTTTGGATAAAATGGGAAAATATACATGTAAAATATTAAATATAATTGGAGAAAATGAGAAATCTTTCGATTTAATAATTAAAACTCATCCGCAAATAAATTCAATTGATGGTCTTCGAATAATAAAAATTTATTCAACTTTAAGACTTTACTGCAATACATCCGGTTCACCGAATCCTACAGTTACTTGGTATTTTAATAACGATAAGGTGTAACATTTAAGAGTTCTCACTTTTTCAATTTCTCTCATGAAAGTATTGATAATCGTTTTTTCTTTATTCCTTAGCTATTGTCAACTCAAGATAATAAAATTCAAATTAGCGGAAGTAGGGGTGAAAGTTTATCAATTTTAGTATTAACTATAGACTATACTGGAATTTTTAAGTGTAAAGCCGAAAGTATCTCAGGTATTACTGAAGAGAGTATCAATGTGTTAGTTAGAGGTAATTAAATTATTCAATTAGATTTATTCAAAGATTAAAAAAGAGATTAATAATAACTAATCCAAGGACCTCCAAACGATCCTAAATTATTGGAAGTTGTACCAATCTCATCGTCGTCTATACAATTAATATTCAATGGTAAAGACCAAAGAGAATCTGTTGGAAATACTCGACATATTGTATATTTTAAAGAGTAAATTAATAAAATAATTCTATTTCTTTACGCTATTAATTAATTTATTATGACCTAATTAAAGATTATTTGAAGCTAATTTTAAAATATACTATACCGAATACGATTTAAATACAACTTTGGCTGAAATTGAAAATTTAAAACCAGCAAAGAAATATTTATTTAAGATGAGATCTGTAAATGATGTTGGATTTAGTGAATTTTCAGATATTCTATCGGCAACTACCTTTTCAGCAGGTTTATTATGTGTATTTTAATATATATATACAGCATATAGTAATAATATATTATCTCTTTTATTGTAACAAAAATCTTTAGGCCCATCAAAACCAACAGAACTTCAAATTGTGTGCAAAACTAGTTCCTGTTCACTAAACTGGAAACTACCGGCTGAAATGAATGGGAAGATAACTGATTTTGAAATACAATACCGTCGGCAACAATTAGACATTCTTCCAAACTTCCAATCAGGTTGATTGATTCTATTTAAAGGGAGAGTCGTTCAACAGTTTCTTTTTAAACAGTTTATGAAATCATTAGAATACCCTATGAGGGTAGTAAAATAACAGAATTAAATATTAATGATTTATTACCCTATTCCGCCTATGAATTTCGAGTTAGGGCAGCAACAACTTTTAACGATACAAAATTATGGGGAGATTTCTCCAAGATAGAAGTAGATACATCCGAAGGAGGTTTGAAAAATTTTCACCATTTCGCATATGTCTTGTTTGTTTTCATAATAAAACAAAATATAATCTCTTTATAGTGCCAACAAGCCCTCCGGAAAATATTTACAGACAATTCGTTACTAAAAATTCTGTAGGATTAAGCTGGCAAGTAAGAATAGAGTTTTTTTTTAAAAAAAAAATATCATAGAATAGATAAGGAATCTTTAATAATAATTATTAATTATATAGAAAATATTAAAGGAGAAAAGAAATGGTAAAATTGTTGGTTACGCAATAAGGGTGGAGTTAAAAAATCAAACTATACAAGAGAAAGAAGTAACACAAGACATATTTTCAACAATTGTGACTCATTTAAAATCGTTTAGGTTAAATATATTTCTTTTTACGAATGTTTATAATTAATTTTAATGATGAATAATTATCATTCGTTACAGATATTATACAATAAAAATTGGCGGAAAGACTAGCGTTGGTATTGGACCATATGCTTCACTATTAATTCAAACTTTAGAATCGATACCGACTTCTCCACCTGATAAATTTAGACAATTAAATATTACAAAAACTAATTGTACACTTGGTTGGGAGGTACAAAATTAATTGAAATCGCTACGGATATTGAATATATCTTATTAGAAATATTTTTCCCTTCTTTAATATAGACAGTACCGGAAGAGGAGAGAAATTCGGTGATAATTAGATATCAAATATCGTATATTCTTATTAAATCTTCCAATCTATTTGATTTTGAACCAACATGGACTCACGAAAGAGTTTCATCTAAAGAATTTAATATAACATTGCGAAATTTGCTTATTTCTAGTATCTATAATTTTTGTATTGAGGCAATCTCTTCTAAAGGAATAGGACCAAGGGATTGTATAACTTTACAAACTTTAGAAGACGGTATTATTACATTATTTATTCTATTTAAATTTATTTAATCTATATTTATTTTAGAACCCGAGGCTGTTCATAATTTAACTATTCGTAAACTAGGCGATACAAATAATGTTGAAATTGGTTGGAATAGTCCTAAGAATTTGAATTCGTTCAACTTTTATTATGTAGTTAATGTCAGCTCTTGTAAGTTTAAGTTAAAAAAAAAAAACTGATATTTATAAGCCTATAAAATTAGGCTATAACTAGATATTTTTTCGGCCTTTTATAGCTATATACACCCACTATTGATCAATTCTTCACTAATATTTATTAACGGCATAAATAGTCTAACTTATAAAAAAAATTGAATATTTTCCTAAAAAGAATAACAAGAAATACTCTTCTCTTTTCCTTTTACAGCCAATTTAAAAGATGATTGTGATTTAATACGACAAACTGGAAATACATACTTAAAATTATTAAATTTATGCTGGAATACTATTTTTAACGTATCTGTTTTATGCAAAAATCCTATTGGAAGTTCTTCGGCCGTTGTGGTCTCTTTATCCCTCTTTGAAGGTTTGTAGGCCTATAACTGGCTAATAATAACAGAAAAGTGAAAAAAAAACTGCTCAGTACTTTCCTCTTTAGAGGCCAAGTCTTTAGCGATTTTAACGACTCCGATATTCGTTGAGAATAGGACGTTAGACGTATCGTCTCAAGAGATTACTACTGTAAAAAGGGTGTTTTCAACTGAATCGGTGAATGCCACCATCTCTGAAAATTCATTCAATCTGGCTGTTTATTTAGGTATCGGTTTTTGCGTTTTATTCGCCCTCTGTTTCATAATAACACTTATCGCTTGTCTGACGAAAAAGAAGAAGAGGAACTTAAGAAGCAAGTCATACGGTTTATATTATTTTATTGAAATTTTCTCTCTAACTCTGTTATTAAACAAAAAAAAAAATAACTTAAAAAACAGCTAGTCTTTTTTTTAACGAATTCTTTTATTTCACATTTAAATGTTGTTATTCTCTTTTTTTTTATATCCAATTACAGTACTTGATAAGAGTAATATAAAGATCACATCGAGGGTGCCAACATTGTTAGTATTTGATCCGAGATTAAGTATAGTTCTTTTCTGAGAACTTTTATTCTACTAATATATTCTTTAATGACTAATATTATATTTAAATCTCTTTATATTTTTCGTTTATAGGTCAACTACTAATATATTAGAGAATGCTGAAGGCATAGATAATTCCGAAAGACAATACCCTAACAGATCTAAATTGTGTGTTGTTAGTTCGAAAGACAAATTTGCAGTAGGCCTTGATGTAAGTTAAAAAATATCAGTCGTCGTCTTTAATTTCCCGTTGACCTTTTACCTTATTTAGAATCCGTTATATAAATCTGATTGGATGAATAGCAGTACGTTTACATTATCTGGGTCGGCAGAAATGGAGGAGAGAGATAACGGTCTAGTCAATCCAATTTATTCAGCTGTTTCCTATCCTAGCCCAAATGAAATTGAGGAAAAGAATAGATATCCTACTCTTCCCTACAGTACAGTAAAAGATTTATATCTCAATCAGAAAGTTACAAACAGTCGAGCTAAGAAGAGAATGAAAAATGAAAGTGCGGCGGCTATTGCAGCGTCCATAAGTAAGTCGAGCATTCATTTAGGAGATCTAGAAGATGACGATCATTTGGACTCCGTGGTTGTCTTCCAGATGAGAACTGCATTATAAAAGTACGCATTTAAACTCTTTTGTCAGTTCAATTGTGTTTAAATTATTTATCTACAAAAATAAAATGATAAAAAAATTGTAAAATTAATTTACAACTTTTTAAGTAGAATCTCTGCTTAAAGAACAAAAAGAGATTTAAATAACAAAGACCTGACCTATTAAATAAAATATTCTATTAAAAAAAAAAAGAACACTTTGTGATATGTTCGAAATGCAAAATATTACAAAAAAAAAAAATAAGTATAAAAACAAGCCAGAAAAAAAAGAACAGAGTTTAAATAAGGAAGCAGATTTTTCATTTTACAGTTATTCGAAATAATTTTAAGCACAGTCTCCTTTGGAAAATAAATTGCCCTTTTATATTTCGTTGATTACCTGGGCGACGTTACGGATTTTCGAAGTTTAGCAGGAACTGATTGCGCAAATTTCTTAGGGCTTCTTCTCATTGTTGATGTATAGGTAAAATTGTACATGTTATTTGTATCGGAGAGGTCATCGTCATCGTCATCGTCATCGTCGTCGTCGTCATCTGATGAATTGAACACGTTTCGAATAGGGCTATAATTTTCGAATGATAATCTCTTTTTCTCTAACACTTGTGACGGTAAACAAGCTGATAGTGTTTGATTGTTTGTATCCTCATCACTAATGAAAAGAGAATCGAAAGAGTCGTGAGAATTTCTTCTGTTCCTTCTCTCTGGAGTTTCTCGAAGACTTCTACGCTGAGGAACATTCTTTGCTTCTTTAGTTTTCTTCACAGGAGATTTCTTTTTGGGCGTACTTTTCTTTTGCGTTTTAATTTTGGAAACTTTAGGGGTTTTTGAATTTCTTTTATTGACACTTTTTCTAGCTTGCTGTTTTTTTGGTTTGCAAGGTGAACGATCGTCTTCGCTGCTTGGTGGTATAGCAACTCGTCGTTTTTTAACAACGGGTGAATTTTCTTCGTCTGAATGACTTGTAATTCGAGCCTTAACTACTCTAGCAGGAACTGATTTAGTTGACTTCTTCATGGTATCGTCTGTCTTTTTGGTTTTAGGAGTAGTTTTCTTTTCTATACTCAACTTTGACGTTTCAGGTGTCTTCTCTGAGACATTTTTTTTTCTCTTTCGGTCTACTTTACTACTTTCAACCATTTGAAGAGGTGACGATTTTCTTATTGGAGGTTCGACAGCTGTATTATGTAGTATGTTTGCGCTGGTTTTCTTAAATCTTGGCTTCGAAGGTTTCTCTTTTTTAACACTTGCTGGCTTGCGATGATGGCGATCCATTAAGCCTTGCCTCTCAAAATCGTCGTACATTTCGCGCCAGTACTTTTGTCGATAGAGGTCGCATGTTTTGTATTTAATCTTGATATCAACAGTTGATCTAAAATATAATATGAAATTAAGATTAAACGCCAAGTTTTACAGAAATTGATCGCGATTTAAACTATTTTGAAACTTTTCCTGTTGATAGGAGAGATAAAGCTCAGAGTTTAATAAATATTTCAGTCGGCTATCTTTGATTTTATTGTAAACGCCCTCTTAAAGATCGGCAAAAAATAATTGTGTACGAGAAAGCTCACCGTCTCTTACGTCCTCGTTTGCTCATTGTAAGTCTGAATGATCAAAAAGAAATATAAGTTTTGTAACAGGTAAAGAAAGAACCTAAATCTTGCTACTTCCGTTTCCTGTTATTTTGCAAGAAGTAGTCAGGTTTCTTGCTCCGTTACCCTATTGCCCGCCTCAATAGGCGGTTGAATATGATACCCAACTTTCTTGAATTGAATAGGCCCCTTTACCGCGGCAAATTTAAAATACAATAGTATTATTTATGGTTGCTAATTTGACTAATTATGGAATGCAAGGGTGATTGTTTGAGAACAATAGAATTGTGATAAGGCAGTTCGCTCCACATGTTACTATTAACAGTTAAAGTTTTATTGATTTTTAATAATTTTTCATTATAAATAGCAACATTAGCAGCTTTTCAATATTACGATGTTTCATTTCAATAGATTCATTTAGATATTCAAGACACTATTCAATATTCTCTCCTATGGTGAAGAAGTTTTTACAACATATATAATTTTAAAACTCGGTCGATGTAGTTTATGAACACTCGCCTCATCAAAAACAATGGGTATTAGCTTATTCTCAAATCCTTCGCCGTTTAGGCATCAAGTTTACGAAGATTTGAAAGGAGCAGGAAAGATAACAGGGCATCTTTTCGAAGATCCAGAATTTCCTGCTGACTCCAAATCACTTGGAATTCCAAATGAAGACAACGTAATCTGGAGGAGGCCGCCCGTAAGAGAATATTCTTTTAGACTTATAATTCTGAGTTAGTTGTGTTAGTTATTTCATTTAAACAAAAAAACCTAGGAGTTCTGCGACGATCCTCGATTTATCATGGAAGGAGACGATTTCAACGACGCAGTTCAAGGAAAATTCGGAAATTCATGGTTTGTAGGTGCTATAACATGCTTAACTGGAGAGAGAAGGATTTGGAGTTCTGTCGTTCCCGATCCTAAAGATCAAGAATGGGATAAAGATAAACCGATGAACTATGTTGGAATATTTCATTTTAGATTTTGGAGGTAAAGCATGAAATAATAAATAAGTATATCGAGTATTTTATAAATATATCATAAAAGATTTGGAGAATGGAAAGATGTTGTTGTAGACGATCGTTTACCAACAATCGATGGCCAATTGATATTTACATATTCGTGCAAAGAAAACGAGTTTTGGATACCCCTTATTGAAAAGGCGTATGCGAAGTAATACATTTAATATCTAAGAAATACTGTTTATCATACCATAAAATCGAACAATTGTTAGCTAGTTGTATTTTTATTATAGACTGTGCGGAAGTTATGGTTCCCTTGATAAGGGTGAACTAGGCGAAGCTTTGGTTGATTTTACAGGTATAATGAAAATTGAATTTTACTAGCAATTAAGTATCTTATTTAAATTATCTATATCTTTATCAAAAGGCGGAATTACTGAAACTATTAATATGAAAGATGACGGCTATAAGAATAGTGTTATTAAACAGTCTGTATTATTTGAAGATATGAGAATTGCTTTTAATAACAAATCTTTAATGGCAGCCGCAATTCCTGTAAGTTAATTGTGTATAATCTATAGATTAATTTAATGAGATAAGCATTTTAATAAAAAAAATTAGGTGAAAGCATTGGAAGAAGACAATGAGGATGCAAAAGCTATTGGTCTTGTTATTGGACAAGCATATTCCATAACTGATGTCAGAAAAATATCATTCGAGGGTCGGGGATACTTTCAGTTCTTGAATAGCGATGATAAATTACAGATGGTTAGACTACGTAATCCATGGGGTGCCAATAAATGGAAAGGAACATTTAGCGACGAGTAAGTAATTTATTCTATTTAAAATCTAAGTATAAAAATAGAATAAAACTAATAATATAAACAAATTAACCAGTTATTTCAATAATTAAATATCTATATATAACTTTCATCACATTCGCCAGTTACATATCTTATAAATGGCCGCATAGAGTAGTGTTCACGTAAGTACTATTCGAAATTGATTTAGAGGATCTGGGTTTAACTTCTTCAAAAACTTTGTACGAAAATAATCTTTGTCTAAAAATAATTACTAAATAAAAAAAAAGAAGAGATTAATTGACTTGTTTCCAAGTTATAGTTCTGTTTTTTGTTTGTCTAACAGCTCTGAAGAATGGAAGCGTATGGATCAGTCATGGGTAAGAAAAAACATTCGACGAGAAGAATCGAAAAAGGATTTTTGGTTGGAGGATTTCTTAATAATTAAATTAATTGATTAAACAGTTTTTTATGCATCTTAACGTCTTTCTTTCAGGATGACTTTCGAGGATTTTTGCAAACATTTTGTTAATTTGGCTGTTTGCCGAATTATCAATACAAACATTTTATCTTTACAAAAACGATGGCTTCAATATAACTTACACTCGGAATGGAGTAGAAAAAATAATCGAGCAGGAGGTTGCGCCAACAATCCTCAAACATTCCTGAAAAATCCTCAATTTCTTATAAGCGTTAATAGAGCAGAAGAAGAGGTTATGGTCTATCTAACACAAAAGTCAAGAATAGGATACGAAGAAATGAAAAATGAAACTATTGGCTTTACTATAATTAAAGTAGAAGATAACAGACCTTTCAGAATTCATGATCTTAGCCAACAGGTAATAGAAGTAGCATTATCATCATGTAAATTTTAATAAATGAATATTTTCTATAGGAAGTTATAAAATCTTCAGTTTTCCGAAATTCTCGAAGCATATTCATGAGACATATCCTAGTCAAGGGACGCTATATTATTGTCCCGTGTACATTTGAACCGCATGTTGACGGAAACTTTTTACTACGAATATATTCGGGTTCAGAATTGAGAGCAATGTAAGTATTTTCCTAAATCGATCTGTTGAGGAATGTTTTAAATGAATTATATAAACTAGCGAACTAACTGAAGATAAACCTTCGAAGAATGTTTGCAATTGTTTATGTGGATGTTTTCACTTTTGTAAATATCCTATAATGGCTACTCAAGTGGCTGTCTTAAAAGCTGTTGAATTAGATATTCCTGAGAAAATGGGAGGTTCGATTTTAAAATATTTAATTTTATTTTTCTATCATAAAGTATAATTTAGAGAAAAAAACAACAGAACCGTATGTTGTCATAAAGTGCGAAGGTCGAAAAGTGGTAACATTACCATGTAGAAATAGTTTGTACCCTGAATGGGGTACAAAGGCAATCTTTTATAGAAGATCTCCCATAAATCAGCCTATTACCTTTGAGGTATGGAATAGTAATTTGATTATAGACCGTTTCCTTGGTCAGGCTGTGTTTGCTCTTACTGAAGATATGGACCGAAAGGTAATGAATACATACAATTAAAGTATTTTACACAATATTTTTATTTATTACAAATATACAGGAATTTGAATTGTTCTTAAGCAACCATAAGAAGGAGAATGATTCTCTTCAAGGGAAAATTTACATAAAGGCAACTAATGTGCGCCATCTAGCTCATATCTAACAAATTGTATTCAATGACTAAATAAGTATCAGAGAATATATTTTGCGCAGATAAAGATATAAAAAAAGGAGCAAAAAAGACTCGATTTTCTTTATTTTCTTTTAAGTAAATGTAAAAATATATTACAAACTATTATTTAGAATTTTTTAATTGTTCGTCTTTTTTGAGCTGTTCAACTTTGTTTATAAACTTTATTATATCTTTACTTAGTAATTCAGGCTCTTCAAAAGCTCCAAAATGACCACCTCTTTCCATATGTTCAAAATGAATGAGATTTGCAATTTTTGTTTCCACTCCAAGTTTAGTTATGGGAACAAGTTCATTTGGAAAATCAGCATATCCGCTTGGCACTTCAATAGGTACTCTAGTAATGCAAAATACAAAGAGTTTTTTAGATTAGAATGATTATAAAAACTTAATTAATAACTTACAAGCTCCAACGAAATTGTAAATCTTCATTGCAAATATTTTCTTTATAATATCTTACAGATGATGTAATGCTGTTGGTACTCCAATAAATCATTATATTTGTCAATAGTTCATCCAGTGTAAATTTTTTTGTTAGTCCACCGTCGAAAAGGTCCTTATATGAACTATTTGTCCAAGTAGAAAACTTTTCCAAGATATAGCCTGCCAATCCGGCAGGAGAGTCTTGTAGAGCAACACCAACTGTGTCTGGTTTCGTGCCTTGGATATGGAAATAACCAGTTTCCAGTAGTACATTAAAGAACGATCCTATAAATGTTGTTTTGGCACTGTCAATCTCGTCCAAAAAGGAACTAGGAAACAATTGTGACAAGTAGTATTTGATCAGGGCAGACTTTCTTGCATAAGCAGGTATCCCCATGTTTACGTGCATACCTTCGATACTATTCGGATAAGCCGCAGACAGTAAACTGGCAATGAGTGATCCCCAATCGCCGCCTTGCACGTAAAATTTCTCGTATCCAAGTATATGCATTAATTTTCGAAATATGCGAGCAGTTTCAAGAGCATTGAATCCTAATTTATGAATGGAAAACACACGCAAAGTTTATAAATTATTTTTTAGTAAATATAGAATATACAACCTTGTCTGTGAGGAGCTTCTGAAAAACCATATCCTGGTATAGATGGACAAATAATGTCGAAGCTTCCATTTTCCAAAAGTAATGGTATCATTTTGTAAAATTCCCAAATAGATCCAGGCCATCCGTGTATAAGTAAAATAGGCTTCACTGAAAAAAAAGAGATAGCGTTTAGGTTATATATATTTGTGTTATCAATGTTGAACGTTGGATTTGTATCTAAAGTTCTAGACATACCATTAAAAACGGTACAAAGACTATCTACAATCCAGTTTAAAAAAGATCAAAGTAATCCTCTATGTTCAGTATAATGGGAAGAGGTGTTATTCTTTTGTTTAATTGTTAGGACACTCATGTTCATAAAGTAGGTCCTTAAAAGAGTAAAAAGTTTATCTCACCATTTTTAGCTGCAGTTGTTTTTGCTCTTAAAAAGTGAACTTTTATGCCTTCAATTTCAACCTTGTAATGAGAAAATTTGTTCAATTCATTTTCATATTTCTTAAAATCATAGACATTTTGCCAATATAGTAAAATTGATTTCAAATGTTCTATATTTATTCCATAATGAAACTTTGTATCAACCAAGGGTGAAGCAAATTTTGTTTTGCTTAATCTTTCTTTTAGGTCCTTAATCATGTGATCTTCAAACTTAATTTTGAATTCTTCTGGTTGAAATTTAAGAAAGTTTGGGTAATCTTTCGGTTTTTCTTCCAAAGCCCACCAGCCATCTTCTGCAATTTCAGGTTTTACAGCTGGGGAAAAGCACTTTAATAAACCTAAACTTGCAATAACTACAACAATACAAAATATTGGAGTAATTAAGAAATTTCGGAGGCAAGACATTCTACTATCGCTGTAAAATGAATAAGATACGAAATCTAAACGATTCGGAAGTAGGTGACAATACAGCGCTATCTAGCGGTGAACACATTATAGTCTTTTTTGCTTTATTTTGCAAAGGTACATTTTGTCAATTACGGTTCATTTGAAATTTTTGCAAGTATGAAAACAAATATTTATTTGCAGAATAATATTTTTTAATAATAGTCGATATATTATATTGTACCGGTTTTTCTTGATCCTGTATTCACATAGTTCAATAATTTCGTCAATTCGATATTCAACTGGAATACTATTTCTGCGAAACGAGTGTTGCTACTCTACCTTTTTTTTAATTCTTCTAAAACATTAATAAATCTGGTGAGATGTTTCTGATTGAAAATTATTGATTACTTTCAAGAATTTGAAAAAAAATTTACAAAGAATTTTTCCAAGATCAGATAAAATTGAATGAAATGTTTACACTACAAGGAAGCTACGGATTTTGTATGAGTTGATTTCTTTAAACATTTTATATGTATAATAATGACATACCTTTTAAATTAGATAAAGCACCAGTCAGCAAATTTATTTTGGGAACAATATGCATTGGAACAGGAGCAGCTACTTTTCCTTTGAGTAATCATAAAGATTGGTTTACATTCAATGCAACAGATTTAATTACGTCGTTTTCTGCAGTAAACGTTAGTTTTGTAAATTATCATGATAACTTCTAATAAGATATTAATATATATCCTACAGGTATTGAGATATTTTTTGTACAGATTTGTATTTCTTAGTTTGAAGGATGCTTTTTCAGCAAGTATTTTAATTACTCAATTTCGTGTATTTGAGCGTCGTTATTCGTCTCGATATTATACAGTAAGTATGATTACATCTTATTTATTATATACTAATATCTGTTGGTAAATATAGAATCACCTCATAGCGGTTTCTATTCTCTTCTGCGGTTTAGAATTGTTGACTGCAGGAATTCTTAAATATAAATTTGAAACATTCAGCTATAGCCAACTTCCTTCCGGACCGTAAATATTTATTCATCCATTTGCTTTAATCACTAATAAATAATTGAAAATAATTAATAGGTGGCAATTGATTTTTCCTCTGTTTATACCCTTTTTCTGGGAAATACCAAGAGTGCCGATGACAACTTTTATGCACATACCAGTCACAGGCAAAAGTTTTGTTTATATACTTGGTCTACACGTAAGCTAATTCTTTTATATACACAAAAATAACTATACACTAAATTTTAACTATACTTTTTAAAGATGTGCAGTACCGACAGCAAGTCAACGCTACTGGCTTTTCTGGGCCTGGTAACATATTTATCTTTACTCCCGTTTAGCACTAAAATACAGATATATTTCTTTTAGCTTGTTGGTGTTCTTCACAAAAATAACTTTGGTTACATCAGAACTTTTGTAAAAGTTCCAAAAATGCTGTCATCTCTTTCAAAGTGGCTCATTGGCAGTTTAATAGAATCTAAACCGCCTGAAAATTTAGATGCCCAGTTTGGTGCAACTTTAGAAATTCAAGTATTGTTTTGCCATAAATACCAAATAAATGAGATTATTCAACTTTTGTTTTCAGCGGGAAGAGCAAATGGATCGTTTAGAAATGATGTTCAATCGAAATCTTATAGAACGAAACCGTCTCATGGGTGGACAAAGAGCTGAACCATCTCAGGAATTGGTAAATCAGCTTGTTGAAATGGGATTCAGCAGAGACAGAGCTGAAAATGTCCTACGACAAACAGACGGTGATATGAATGCGGCAATGAGTTTACTTCTTGCTCAATAACTCTTTATGTAAAATCAGTCTATTGTTTATGTACAAATATACACAAATTAGAAAAACTTTAACTTCAGTAATTTAATAAGGATCGCTATTGCTTTTCTTCTTCTTTTGAATAAGTTGCTTAAATTGCCCGAGCATTTTCTTTTCTTTCTTCTTCCTTTCTTCATAGTTAAAAGAGGCCAAAGCACGCTTTTCATCGGCACTATAAATTTGAGTTTCCTTACGAAGACGTACAGCTTCCATTCGTCGATGCCTATAAAAATTATATTGTTATTCCTACTCAATGCAATATAGCTTATTTCTGTTTTACCTGCTACCACTCATAACGTAGCCAGTTTCTTCAAAACGAGTGATTTCGTCACTAGTTAATCCAATTTCACCTCTTCTTGGAATTCGCTTTCCTTCAGCAATATATGCTGCCATTGCTGCACCTTCTCCAGGTAGCAAAGCTTTACCATAGTCCATACGCTTTGTTTGTGTCAGTTCCTCTTCATTTTCTGGTAGAGGGCCTATAATATCCTGTTCTTCACTGGTTGAATAATTTCTTTCTTCATCTTCATCTGATGACGATGATTCTCTTTTCTTTTTCTTTTTCTTTTCTTTCTTATGTTTCTTTTTATGCTTTTTTTTAGATTTCTTGCTCTTTTTTGAATGCTTTTTTCTTTTTCTAATATCTTCGTCTTCGTATTGCCTGAAATTAAAAAGGTAGTCTGCTATGTTTAGCCATTAACTTTACTGCATACTTACGAATCGTCTGAAGTTTCATTCGGTGAATCACCCCACACTGAAGCAATTCCATATCTACTAATCTTCTCACGACGAATTAAGCGTCTGTCGAAAGAAAAAAGTTTAAATAGCAGTTGATTTGTAAAAAATAGTAATTTAAAAGTTAACGATAATAGGTAAGATTATATTTAAACAAGCTAAAAAACGCTCAGAAAAACTAACAGCTAACGATCATTTCAAACTAAATAATTATGCATACAAAGAAATATGTGTTTAGAAATATATCCTGATTTATCATTATAAATTCCTTATATTTACAAATCAATTTTTCAAATTACTTACTTGTTCGGTTCGTCCGCCATGTTGTAGAAACGATATTACAACGACAGAAAATTGTGTGGTAATACTCCAATAGCAGAGATTTATTTTTGTTAATTTGTAATTGATAAATTTATGTTTTGCTATAAATTTTATTAAAAATGCCAACGAGCCAAAAATAAAATTTCAAAGATAATAAATTATATTAGTTTAGTAAACAAATTAAACTATAAAGATTATTTACTTTTCACACTGACAACAATAGCTATTTTGTGTTACTTGAAAAGGTTTAACAAAAGTTATTTCAAATAGAGAGTAAAAACGAAAAATGATAAACTTTTAATTTAAAACATTTTAAGTATTATGGTCTAGAGTAATTTGAACTGTTAGAGCTAGTGCCAAAATAGGATAAGTTCATTGAAAAAAAACCACTTATGTTAACTTCGCAGTAATTTTAATTTGCGCATGCGCGAAGATATAACTGTCATAAAACTGGTTGGATTTGTGTATTAGTTGGAGAATGTTTTGCTAGCAAAACAAATATGGCGCTGAGGAGAGGAATAGTAAACTCCGATCAAGAAGTAGAAAGTGACAATCATCGCGAACTATTTGAAGCCTGTAAATCAGGAGATGTAATCAAAGTTAAGCGCTTGTGTACCACTCAGAACGTAAATGCCAAAGATACAGCAGGACGAAAGTCTACTCCTTTGCATTTTGCAGCTGGTATGAAATTTGTTTACAATCAGAAATTTAGTATTTATCTAAGTATTTCTAGGATTTGGTCGAAAGGACGTTGTTGAGCACTTGTTAAATTTTGGAGCAAATGTTCATGCAACTGATGATGGTGGATTAATACCTTTACATAATGCTTGCAGCTTTGGACATGCAGAAGTAAGTTTTTTCTTAAATGCCCAAATTAGTATAAATATTTTTACTGTTTATCTTAAATTTGTAAGGTTGTAACACTACTATTACAACACGGTGCTGATCCAAATGCTCGCGATAATTGGAATTATACGCCATTACAAGAAGCAGCAATAAAAGGAAAAATTGATGTCTGTATAGGTGAGTAATTATTAGGGCAAAATTGCTTTAGCGCAGTCTAATGGGTTCGTTATTTCCAGTTTTATTACAAAATGGGGCCGACCCCAAAATTCAGAATACCGATGGTAAAACTGCATTAGATTCAGCTGATCCCGCTGCCAGAGCTGTTCTATCAGGTGAATATAAAAAGGAAGAATTATTGGAATCTTCAAGAAGTGGTAGCGAAGAAAAAATGCTTCAATTAATAACACCGTTAAACGTAAATTGCCACGCCGCTGATGGTCGAAAGGTAAAGTTTTATTTCAATTTATATTTAAGAAAGAACAAGAAATATTGATTTGATTCGATATTTTATTAGTCAACTCCACTACACTTAGCGGCGGGATACAATAGAACAAGAATTGTACAAATATTATTACAAAATGGGGCTGATGTTCATGCTAAAGACAAGGGTGGATTGGTTCCACTTCACAATGCATGTTCTTATGGACATTTTGAAGTTACAGAATTACTATTGAAGGTTAGAATAGGTCAATTAATCTCAAGGGAAAGTGAATAAACGGTTACATTTAAACAGAAAGGTGCCTGCGTAAACGCTATGGACCTTTGGCAGTTTACACCACTACACGAAGCCGCTGCTAAAAATCGAGTTGAAGTATGTTCTCTATTGTTAGCTCATGGAGCCGATCCCACCTTAGTTAATTGCCATTCAAAATCTGCTTTGGATTTAGCAACCTCCGAATTGAGAGAAAGGATTGCTTGTAAGTCATAAATTTATTTTATAGGCTTTGCTCTGAAATAATTTTGTTTTTTCTTTTTATCATTTCGTATTAAGACGAACATCGAGGCCACATTATTTTAGAAGCTGCCAGACAGGGGGATACCACACGCCTAAAAAAGCATTTATCTATAGAATTTGTTAATTTCAAACATCCATTTACCGGCGATACCCCACTAGTAAGATTTTTATTATTTTTGTATTTGTTATATTGAAATATTTATTATAAAAATTCATTAGCATTGTGCGGCTTCATCTGCGTACCAGAAAAGAAAAGCCATTTCTGAATTACTAATAAGAAAAGGTGCCGACTTGGACGATAAAAATAGGGAGTAAGTTATTATTTGTTTACAATGAATGAAGCACATATTATATCTATTTTTTTTACGACTTTCAGGTTTTTGACGCCTCTACATATCGCCACTGACAAAGGTAATTTAGATGTTTTGGACACACTTCTAAAACACAGTGCCAAGGTCTGTTTTAAATAGGGGTAGCTGCTTTTGAAAAAAGATAAAAAGGATTATTTCTTATACAGGTAAATGCTCTCGATGCCCTTGGCCAGACTGCTTTGCACAGGGCCGCTACTGCAGGAAATGGACAAGCCTGTCGAATCTTACTCTCATTTAGCGCAGATCCTAGTATTGCCTCTCTCCAAGGATTCACTGCTTCACATCTTGCACCTGAGGATATACAGAAAATGTTAAGAGGTATGCAAGATTTCTTTTTTTGTCAATTAAACACTAATGCATTTATTTTTCTGTTTTTCAGAGGACGTTTCAGTTTCTGGTAGTGACGCAGATGTACAATTGCTGGAGGCTGCTAAAACGGGTGATTTAGAAGTAGTTAAGGTAAATTTTTCTTAATGGCAAGCAAAGAAGTAAAATCGATTCAATGTGTAAATTTTCTCTATAGAGATTGATAACTGCTCATCCGCATGCTGTAAACTGCCGAGATGTCGATGGGCGACATTCGACTCCCCTACATTTTGCTGCTGGCTATAATCGAGTTGGTGTTGTTGAATTTTTACTACAGAACGGAGCCGACGTACACGCAAAAGATAAAGGGGGTCTTGTTCCTTTACACAATGCATGCTCTTATGGACACTTCGAAGTAAATATGACGTAATAGTTTTTCAGATAAGGTGATAAATGATATTCCTAATGTAACAGGTTACGCAATTGTTGTTAAATCATGGCGCCTCTGTCAACGTAGCTGATTTATGGAAGTTTACACCATTACACGAAGCAGCAGCTAAAGGAAAATTTGATATTTGTAAATTGTTATTAAAGCATGGCGCTGACCCTAACAAAAAGAACCGGGACAGTCATACGCCTTTAGATCTTGTTAAAGACGGTGACCAGGATGTTGCTGACTTATTAAGAGGTCAATAGAGATTATTTTTTTTCGTATAAAATTAATCAATAACTGTTATGTTTTTTCCAGGCGACGCAGCTTTGTTAGAGGCAGCAAAAAAAGGAAATCTGCCAAGAGTTCAAAAATTATTGACAGCAGATAATATTAACTGCAGGGACAATCAAGGACGAAACTCAACGCCTCTTCATTTGGCTGGTACGTATGAGAATATTTTCTTAAGTGTATTATTAATACGAAGAACAAATTTTCTATTCGTCACAGCTGGCTATAATAATGTAGAAGTAGCTGAATTCTTGTTAGAACGTGGCGCCGACGTTAATGCTCAAGATAAAGGTGGATTAATACCTTTACATAATGCTTCTTCCTATGGAGTAAGTTGCTTAACTATTAAGTCCACTATTAACCTTACTAATTTTCTCTTCCAACAATTTTTATAGCACGTAGACATTGCAGCCGTGTTAATTAAATACAAAGCAAGTGTTAATGCCGTCGACCGATGGGGTTATACACCTCTACACGAAGCCGCTCAAAAAGGTCGAACACAATTATGCGCACTTTTGGTATGTTAAAACTATAAATTAACACTAGTGTCTTTCAATATATATATAAAATATTACTATTTTAATAGTTGAATCATGGAGCTGATCCGATGTTGAAAAATCAAGAAGGACACACATCATTTGACTTATCAGCGGTAATTCAGTAATAATTTTTTTAGTTAAAAACAAAATTAAATGTATTTTTTTTAATTTCTATTAAGGCTGAAGACGTAAGGGCATTGCTAAAAGATGCAATGACACCTGGAAACAATACATCTCGTTTGAACGATAATTCTACACTTCAAGCCAGCTGTCTATCTTCTCCAAGCTGCGATTTAGCACCTAGCGGAGCAGAGTCAAAATTACCGCCTACAATCGCATTGGGCGATACTGGAGATAATAATCTAACAGTTGCAAAATTATTGAAGGCCGCGGGCTTAGAAAGTTTGCAGGAAATGTTCGCAAAAGAGCAGATTACGGTCGACGTCTTAGCCGAAATGGGTCACGATGAGTTGAAAGATATAGGTGTAACAGCTTATGGACACCGGTGAGCTGTTGAATATCATATCATATTTATCACGAATTTAATATTTTTTTTATGTCAAAATTATAGTCATAAACTTCTGAAGGCTGTTGATAAATTTATTCATCACGGTGTACAAGGCTCTACTGTTAGGTTCCCGTCCGCCACTAACGCTTCTGGTTCTTGTCAAACAACTTTAATTACTTTGAGACTTGATGACCCCGAATATAAAGCTGTTGATCATCTAGTAAGTTGGAATTTATCATTGTTTAAGTGTTCATATCATCAAATCACTTTATTACTGTGTAGATGCAATCAACAATAAGAGAGCACAAAGATAACTGTGGAGGAGTATTTAAAGCGTACAAAATTGCTAAGGTAAGTGCTACACTTATGTTTAAATACACGTAAATAATCATTTGACTTTTTGACTAAAATAGATTCAAAGAATTAAAAATAAGAGATTATTGGATCGTTACTATCACCGAAGAGCAGAAGTGGCAGAAGAGAATGAAGGGAACGCAAATGAAGTATCCTTATTTCATGGTTCACCATTTGTTAATTCTATTGTTAAGAAAGGATTCGATGAACGACATTCGTATTTAGGTGGCATGTTTGGTGCCGGTAAGAATTGATCAAACGTACATTTTTTCTTCAAATTATACATTTTTTCAAATTTATTACTAAAGGCCTCTACTTTGCTGAGAACTCTTCAAAAAGTAACCAATACGTTTACGGTATTGGAGGTGGAACTGGATGTCCTTCGCACAAAGACAAATCTTGCTACGAATGTGAAAGACAGATGATCTTATGTAAATTAACCCTAGGCAAAAAGTTTATTCAGTATTCAGCAATGAAAACCGCCCATTCGCCTCCAGGACATCATTCCGTTGTTGGACAACCAACACCGGGTGGTCTAAATTACGCGGAATATGTCGTATATAGGGGCGAACAGGCATATCCCGAATTTCTCATAACATATCTCATTGTGAAACCGGAAGATGATCCGTCCGACAATTGATCAGTTGTGAGAGGATAAAGTATTTTTTATCGACTGTGATTACTAAAACTGTCAGACGGAGAAGAATATCTTCAAAACTACCTTTTTTCACTGTATTTGAGAAGAACTTGTTTTTTTTTTTATTAAGAAAGGCAATTTTATATACTCGTCAAACTCAAAAAAAAATAAAGAGAAACGTCATTAAGGGTCTTTCTTTTGATATATCTGACCTTTTTTTTAAGTCTGTTTTAGACGCTTTTAGAAATAAAGAAAAACAAAATAACAAAAAGCGTCATATTTAATTGTAAACTTCTTACTTTTTATTGAGTTAAAAAATTTAATATATTAATAAATGATGTGTTATTAAAAAAAATGAAAAATTGAAAAATTAATATTACAGATCAGTACTGTTTCTTTCTGAGAAGTTGTCATCTCCATCGTTGTTATTTTGTTCATCGATGGCATCAAGCTTTATGAGATTACCTCTTTTATTTCGTAAAATCTACATATGACAAACGATTAAATGCATATACAGTATATTTATGGCACAGTTATATTTACCTCATTATTCGAACTTTGAGGCTTTAGATTATTACTTGGAAGAGATTTACTTCGCTTCATCTGTTTAAATAATCGAAATTAATCTTCATTTTATATACGAAATGACTAGTTTATCTGTTTTTTTGTCTTTTCACGAACCAGTATTCCTTTTAGTTCAAAGATTGCCTCATCTGGTTTCTTATCCGGTAACGATGGCTGGTGTGTTTTTTTTCAAGAAAAAGAAAAACATAGTTTGATACGAATGTTCTTTATTGTCTTAATGAAGGCAGCTATAATTTATTTATACATACCCTTCTGGTAACTTTTTTCAAGGTTTTTCCACTTCTTATCCTTTCCATCATCTCATTGATAGCATCATTCATATGAAGTTTACTTTCTAATAGAGATGTAAAAGTAGTTTTGACGTTAATAATTCAAAATATAAGTTCATACCTGGTTCATTCGTTTTCAAGGACTTTTTACTCTTGTTACCTTTGATAATATCTACCAACGGCCTATAAACAAAAGAGGAGTGGATTAATTTTTTGTTTTCTCTTCATTTTCAGTAAATTAAACTTACTTAAATATGGCAATAGGAGGTGGCGGAGGCAAAGGTGGAATTGGAATATTTGATTTTAGCCTTTGATTTGCAACTTCTAAATCTTTTTCTAATTGTATAATTTCTTTCTGTAATTTATCTAGATGCTTTTCACTTTCCTTCTTCTTGCTCTCTTCCGCTTTTAATTCATTTTCTAGTTTTGTTAAAGATTGCTTTTGATTTTCGAAGAGTTCAGCAATGATTTTATCTGGATTTTTCTTAATTTTTTAAAAGGGAAGACAAAGATTAATTTTAGAATATTTTATAATTAAATAATAATTACATTTGAGGTTGAAAAGTATACTTCTATTTCTCTAAAATAAGTTTGTATGGAAGTAACAAGCTTTTGTAAAGTGTCAGCTTGATTGTCTGTATGATTATTGATAGTAATATTTGTATCTGGCGAATCTATAATATGAATTTCATTAAGTGAGCTTGTTGATTCTTTTCTAAGTGCCTTGTTATGACTTTGGCTGGCTTGAACTAATTTTTTTAGATAGTTTATTTCTTTTATACATTGATCTTTTTCATTTTCGAGCGATACACAATTTGTTTCAAGACTTTTCAAATCTTTTCTTAATAAGTTATTTTCTTGTTCGCAAGTTTCAATAACCATTTTAAGATCATTAATTTCTTTCCTTTCCCGACTCTTATCCAACTTTTCCATCAATTCACTTATCTATTTAAACAAAAGCTATAGTTGGTTATGGTTTAATGATAATTAAGATAATACTTCTTTCTCTTTTTGTTGTTTTAACTCTTCTAAACGTAGTATTAAATTATCATTTTCAAAAAGGGCTTTTTGTAATTGTTCATCCTTTGACGCTTCAAGGAGAATGTGAGCGCTTTGTCTAACAATAGAGTCTCTTTCGGCTTTAAGCTAGCATTATTAAAAAACAACTGTAGCGTTTTTAGTAATATATTTATTCAAAATGACAACTTACATGAACACTTCTCTTTGCAATTTCTTCTTTCAATTCAGTCTCTCGAAGATATCTCTCTTCCAATTCTTCGTACTGTTTAGCAGCCTTCTTGGACAAGCTCGAAACATGATCTAACGTTTTCTTTAAAGTATCTTCACTTTGTTTTAATTGATCTCTTTCATTAGACATTGCTCGCAATTGTTGATATAAATGAGATCTCTCATTGTCAATAACTCGAAATTCGGCATCTTTTTTTGCTAGCTGGTCTTTTAGATCTATCAAATATACGGTATATATATATAGAAAAAAGCTTCCTACTTTACCTGTTATAAATAATTATATTTACCTTCGATAAGAATATTGAGATGTCGATTATCAGGAACATGGTCTTCAGTTTCATTTTTATCAGTAAGATTTCCTAACTCAACTATCGAGAGTTGACTATTATCAACATGTTGCAGTAATAAAGCACTTTGACGCTTTAATTGTTTATTTTCTTTATAAACCTAAATGTTCCGCGTTTTATTAATAAAAAGTTTTTTCATAAATTATTAATAGAAAGTCTTAACCTGACTGGCGTAATTTTCCGCTTTTCTACGACATTCTTCCTCAATTTCATGCCTAGTTTTTAACTGCATAAATGCTTCGATAGCTGGTTCAGCGACTAGATTACAAGAAAATACACTTAATAATTAATGTTATATTTGAAATGATACACTATTCATAGATTATAGAAATTAAATACATGTCAACTTGTTGTTCATACAATACAGTTCCAAATAGCTAATACATACCAGTTTGTAATTGCTGTAATTTCTTTTCCGTATCCTCCAACCTTGTACAAACTTTTTGATGCTTAAATTACAGCATTTGTTTTAAAACCATATAACTTCTGAATATGTTTATTTATACATACTATTTCATAATTTTCATTATACTTTGCCAAAAGACTCTCATAGTCAGTAACCCCTTGATGAATTATATAGTTCGTTTTGTAAATAAATATAATAGACATATTTACAATAATAACAAACCAGCGTTTGCTAGATCTTTTAATGTATTTAATTTCTTTTCACTTTCTTCATATTTGGTTTTCCAATGTTCTTTGGAATCCATTTTAGTATTTACTTTTCTACGTTTTCGGTTTGTTCTCTCTACGAAAGCATTAAGAGATCTATTATAGTAACTGTATAATTCTTCCGCTTTTTCTTGAATAAAAATGAACCTGAACGAAATAATTTTCAATCTATATTAGTTCTGTTTCGTTTCTAGTGCAAAAATTAATAAAAATGTGTATGTGTACTGTAACAGTTAGAGATTAACGATAAATTAGCCTTTAAAAATATGATAGATTTGCTCCTACCTGAAGATATATTTATACCCCCTTTCTTGTTTACTATATTCCATGTGCCATTTAATTGGCACTTTAGAAAGTTGAATTTCAACACGATTTAAGATAAATAAACTAATTTTATTTTATTTAAAGAAAAAAAAACTTTTAGTAAATTTTTATATGAATAAAAGAGACAAAACACTAGAGAGTGAAGAGCAAACTTATCCTGTTCTATATATATTGAATATTAGGCTTACTTGGTCAATTCGCACAAATATCAACGTCGAGAATGACTCAATTACGGACTATCACAGCTTTTAAAGTTCATTCGTTTTTACCAACAGAGGGCGTTTTCGTTCAAAAATCGTGACGATTCACGCCTATACACTGTATAATACATATTCAAACTTTATCGAATTAAATAATAATATAGTTTTATCAGTGTATCAAATTTATGCTTACGGAATTGAAAAACAGTAGAATACAAAAAATTTGAATGAATCTATTAACTAACATGTTCCTCGATATTCCTTTTTATGTGCCAATTCGAGAAAAACATAACACTTCGCTGTTTGTGATCAACATCAATACATATATATAATATATAACAAATCGTTAATATCAGACAGAGAAGATTCGTAGTGGCATGATAAGTAATGTTCAAAATATAATATAAATTTTAATTAATTTGCAAAATATCTATCAACAATAAAATTCATAATCGTCAGTTTTAATAACACAAGCAGCCTAAAGTTGTTTCATCGTTTATAACTCATCCTTTTTCTGAAATAAAAAATATTGATAAGAATACTATTTTTAGCAGAGTTAAGATTTAATATCAACTTACCGTATCACTATCGGCTGCTTCTTCAACTTTTTCTGCTACTTCAGGTTTCTTTTCATCAGCTTCGTCTTCTACTTCATCTTCGTTGCCTACTTCTTCTTCATCATCTTCTTCTCCAGCTTCTTCAGGTTCATCTTCGACCTTTTCATCAAGAGGGACGTTTAATGACAATCTCAACATATGTTCAATACGCTCTGCAAATCCTGAAGTATCTTGTAAACCATATCCAGATCTAAGGGTAGCTGTTTCCATAAGAACAATAGCTAAATCTTTTGTTGTTTGGTCTTCTTTGTTCGTATCGACTCGCTTTTTAAGTTCTTTAACGAGGGGATGTCTTGGGTTGATTTCTAAAGTTTTCTTTTGAGTGGCATAGTATTGGTTGCTGGTGTCGCCTGCTTTTTGGTAAGCTTGAGCTTTCATGATTCTTTCCATATTTCCGGACCATCCGTAGGAAGAGGCGATTAAAGCACATGGTGAAGTGGTCAATCTTTCAGAAACAACAGCTTTTTCAATTTTGTCCTTAAGAGCATCCTCCTTCAACCAGGTTGTTAGAGATTCAAAATCTTTTTCAATAGCCTCCTTTCGTTCTTTGGCCTTTTCAGAATCATCGATTTTAACTCCTTCTTTGGCGACGTTCTGGAATTTTTTGTTGTCAAATTCAGGTAGGGCTTGGATACAATACTCGTCAACCGGCTCAGTCAAGTACAAAACTTCGTATCCCTTTTTCAATAGTCTTTCAACAAATGGTGATTGTTCAACTTCAGCTCTGTTAGAACCAGCAACAAAGAAGATGGATTCTTGTTTTTCTTTCATGCGTTCGATGTAATCGGCAAGAGAGGTGACACCATCCTTTGAGTTGGAGGATTGGAATCTCAAGAGTTTTGCCAATCTGGTTCTGTTGGAATGATCTTCAATAACTCCGAGTTTGATGTTGGTGCTGAATTCTTTCCAGAAAGTTTCAAAATCTTCTTTGCTCAATTTCTTGATCATGTCCAAAGTCTTACGAACCAATTTCTTCTTAATGACTTTCAAAAGTTTGTGTTGTTGAAGAGTTTCTCTGGAAACGTTCAATGGCAAGTCATCACTGTCGACAACACCCTTCACAAAAGACAAATATTTTGGCATCATATCTTCGAAGTTATCAGTGATGAAAACTCTTCTAACGTACATTTTGATTTGATCGATCTTTTTACCATAATTTTGGAACATATCATGAGGTGAACTCTTAGGGACGAAGAGGATAGATTTGAAGGTAACTTCACCTTCAGCAACAAAGTGAGTAAAAGCCATTGGATTATCGTGATCCTTTGAGAAGGATTTGTAGAATTCGTGATATTCTTTATCTTCAACCTCAGAGGTTTTACGGGTCCAGATAGGTTTGTTGTCGTTCAAAAGTACCCAATCCCAGACGGTTTTCTCAACAGTCTTCTTTTGACTTTCGTCTTTTTCATCTTCAACTTTTCCGTCTTCATCATCAGATGATGGTTTTGCTTCTTCAGAATCAGCTTCCTCAACTTTTTCAGTCTTGGAATCCCAAAGGTAAATATTAAAGTTGATAAATTGAGAGTATTTCTTAACTAAATCTTTAATGGTGTTTTGTTCAAGGAATTCATGAGCTTCTTCTTTCAATAGGAGGGAAATTGTGGTTCCTCTTCCGAGGGTATTTCCTCGTGGATCTTTTGAGATAGTGAAAGAATGAGCATCAGATTCCCAAATGTGTTGTTCATCATCGTTGTGTTTAGATGTAACAATAACTTTGTCAGCAACTAAGAAAGATGAGTAAAAGCCAACGCCAAATTGTCCAATCATATCAGTCATTTCTTGTTGGTTTGAGGCTTCACCCAGTTTCGTCAAAAATTCAGATGTTCCAGATTTCGCAATTGTACCCAAATTATTTATCAAATCGGCTTTGGTCATACCAATACCAGTATCGGTTATATGAAGCATTCGGTTGTCTTTGTCAGCTTTAATTTTAATAGACAGTTCGTCCATATCGCCCATAACACCTTTATCAGTAACAGAGAGGAAACGGATTTTATCTAAGGCGTCAGAGGCATTAGAGATTAATTCTCTAAGGAAAATTTCCTTGTTCTTATAAAGAGAGTTGATGATGAGCTTCATCATTCGATCAACTTCTGCTTGAAACGTGTGTTTTTCCGCCTTTTCGCGCAGTTCTTTCATTTGAGCAACATTCAAACCGTCCAACTTAATAGCTTCCTCTTCACTGAAAGACCGGTCAATAAGTCATAACGTAATTAAATATTTATGAAGATATATACCGTTGAACAACTTCGTCATCAGTTCTGGATCCGTCACGGCTTTTACCAACGCTTTCTTCAACTGTATCAGCTGAATCTGACGATTCGGCGCTTACCAGTCCTGTGAAATTGGGCGTTATGATAAAAAGCGTTTTTTAAAGCTGAAATAAATAGAACATAACTAGAAAATGAGATGATTCTTTACCTGACATAAATAGAAAGCCGAGAACGGCTAGTAGGAGAAATTTTCGTTGCATTTTCAATGCAGAATAGTTATTCGTTGCGAATGAAAACTTCTAATATGCCGGCTACTTCGATGGAGGGATTCTCGGTTAGTAGTAATGCTGACGCGGACCAATCAGCAGCTACCACAAAGTAATCACGTGACGAGTTTTCGACGAATGGGGATCGGCCAAATATAGAAGTCATGAAAGTCACGTGACAAAAGGAGTTTTCCTGACTTGTCTACCGCTGATTGGTCCGTCAGCCTTTTTTTGTCAATACGCCTATCGACCTGGATCAAAGATCTCATTGTAAATGCTTTAATGGTTTTTACATATGTTCTATATGTAACATGCATATTTACATATATATCTGCTATCTATATATCACATTCAATATTTAATAAATAATAATTAAAACTATATGATCCTAACTTTAAAATATTTCTCATCAATAAATTTGAATCAAAAACAAATTGAAATTGAAGAAAGATTATTTAATTGAGCAAGGAGCACAGTACAACTTTTAATTATTCAAATAGGTTAGAATTGAGTCTTTAATTTCAACATGAACTAATAAGTATCCAAATTGTAGATAGTTCAACTTGGAATCGAACAGGGGAACTTTTCTGTGGCCTGTAATATGAAAGTAAAAGAACAATCAGTATCATCTGGGGTTATTCGCCATATTGTAAAAAAAATGGAGAAAGCAAACCTTGTTGTAGGCATCTAAATGGTAGAGTATAGTGAGCTAGATCGGAATCTTTACTCGCTTTCTTCACTCGGAAAGACACGTGAGCCAATTCAGGCAATAAAACTTTAAACGAAAAATGTTCATTCCATTCAGCATATAGTCCTAAAACAAATCAATTATAAATTAAAACATACATCAAAGGGGCGGAGCAGAAGAGGAATGATAAGAAAAGGAAATAAAAAAATTATTAGTCGTTTATTACCATCGCATTTTTGTTGTTTTGTCGATCTTCTGTTTTCTTTCAAGTTTTCATAACCATTTATATGTACTTGAATAAACAACTTTTCGGTTGCGGGTAGCTGATGACCGCTAATAATCTAAAAATATTGTAATAATTACAGATTTTTTTTTAGTGGTTTATAAAAATGAATTAACTGTTTTTACCTTCAAAACAAGAACTTTGTAGTTTTGAATTTTCAGTTCTTGAATATTGGGAGAATATTCAGCTAAAATAAATTCATTTTGAATTAATAAATTTAATAATTGATATATATATATATACTGTATAATACCTTTTTGCATAATATCTGGCTTTAGGATATATCCACATCCTCCATTATCCCTAAATTGTCCCTGGTTTATTTGCATAGCTCTATCAGAGGTCTGATAGTTGAGAGCAACTATTGAATAATAATTGATGTTTAATATATTATAATTGAATTTTGTACTCATTCCAACAATCTTTACCCACCTAATTGAGATCCAGCACACCACAATGGAACTGGATCGTAATTGCTGGAGTTGACCCTCTTTCCAGAGGGGTATATCCTACTAAGTTGTCGTTTATTGTATTTAAGAAATTGTTTTCCTTCATCCTTTAGAATTTTCATAGATCTTCCCTCGGCAAAAGACGACATCTGGTGCGCATTTTCTGAAAGTTAATCTTCTTATAGATTGTGGCTTACTTTTTCATTTCAAAACATGATTGGACAAGAAAAAATTTTGTCCTACTTATACTTATATATAATAGCTATGTTATATTAAGAAACTTGAATTCCTTAATAAACTTATGAATGTTTAGCCTACTTACGAAGTTTTGCTGAATCTTCGAAAGATTTAAAGTGAACAGCCTGACAAATGACAATCAAATCCGAAAGTTCCCGAGCAACTTTAACTTTAACCTTTTTCGAATTAGCACTTGATTTTGATGGAGAAAAAATTGATGCTTTCCTAGAATTACTAGAATTCGAAGAATCGGGTTTAATGGTCGTTTCTTCTGCGGCTGTTGATTCGATTTCTTCTTCTACATTAACTATTTCATCGTCGTCATCGTCACTTTCCGATTCGCTTTCTTCTTCGGTTTCATTTTGTAATTTCTTAGCCTATATTCAGTACATGTTAGTAGTTGCTATAGGCAATCAATACTTTATAAGATAGAATATATATAGATACATATATAGCTATATTTTTCCTTGGAATTAAAAGACACAAACTATAAAAAAAATTAGTCTATCGATCGTAACTTTTCTCCTTTTTTTTTAGTTCTTTTTAAAGTTTGTTGGCGAAATTCAAGTACAAATTAGCTATACACTAGACATAACATATATATGTAGAATAGATATACAGTATATACCAAATACTATATATATATAAGCATAAATTACTATATTGAGATTTTTTGTTTGCATTATTACTTTACTTTGTTCTTTACTAAATCAATACATAAATTAAGGAATGCAATGAATCATCGTATTTTCAGTACTGACCTTAACTATCACTTTACCCCGTAAATCGTATGGACTAGGTAAGGTATCCGAACAACCGCTAGGTAGTTCCGTTAAAAGGTGTTCTATTTTATCAAAGAATAAGAAAATAAACAATCAGGGTTAGATTTCATAGAAAATAAGATATCTAAACATTGGTTTCTTTTCTATACACTATACACTATGTTCATTACGATCTGAATAGTTTTTGAGTTATTAATTCAAGTGAGTCGGCCCAGCGGCAGAAGTATTTCAACTACATATAATAAAAGTATACAGAACATATGCACAATATTCATATATTCTATAGATATATATTAATAGATGTAAGTAAATATTCTGTATTATGTACTGTATACAGTACATGTTTAAAGACAGAGTGCATAAAAAAGACTCTAATATATAAAGTTGTTGTACGTTTGTATGATTGTATACATTATACAGTATGTTATTGCATACAATATAATATGTAAAGTAGATTGTATGAATAGGTGTTAATTAAATATATATAATAGGTTTTACAGACCTCCAAGCTCTTTCTGTAGCATTTCGGCCATAATTTTTTGATTTTCTAAATTACAATGATTCTCAAAGCTGAGTATAACAGGGAAAGGATTACCCATTCTTTCTAATCTTTCCTCCCAGCTATTACCTTCACCCTCTTTCGCTTGTCTCTCTTCAAAAGCATACTGTCTTATAGCTTTTATAACATCTACAAAGGGAATTTTTGAGCATAAGGTATGACCATGAGTTATAATAGGCTCGTTCTTTCCATCCCAAATATCAACTGCATGACAAGATGAAGATTTAATTATGCTCTTTTCTTAAAATTCTTTTGAAAAGTTAAGAAAACTATGATAATGATGAGAAAACGTACGTTCAACACAGCGGCAAGATCTGGTTAGAGCCTTAACGTACATATTGACATCACTTTTACTTTTCAATTGGTCCCCTGTTAAGTAGCTGTGGAAAAAGTTTTTGCATTTATCCCGATTAAGAGAAGTTAAAAAAAATGGCTACAAAATTCAATATAGAATAAAATTCTAACGTATTGTGAGAAGTAGCTATAAAATAATCGGATAAAGGCCTCTTCATGTCTTGATATACGACTGTGAATTCCCTGTTGAAGATATTTTGTTCGTCAGACAGTAGAAATTTGATGAAGCCATCCTGAGAAAAATTTAAAACAGGAGCTATCCTTTCAGTGTTCCTCATCCATGTTTTTAGAAGGCTAATGGAAAATTTTTCTTTTTGCTCCTCTTCGATAAAACTTTTAATTTTATCCGTGCTTAGGATGTAATCGTCACCCAAAAGGCGTTCGTATAGTGAGACTATATATGGTATTTGAGTAATTGTTCTATAGAAATCCGCAAATTTTTGGCAGTCTAAATAATGAAAGTCCTTCCCACGGATGGCTTGTGTCTGTTTTAACGATTGAAAGCTTAAAAGAGATTATACTGAGCTTTAGGTATTTCTAGAGGATTATCAATGTTGAGAAATGAATATGCAACTAAGGAGTGACAATACCTTAAAAAATTCTTTCGCACTGTTAATGTCTACAGGAAATCCCATATCCTTGTTAATAGTACTAACAGCTAATTCTCTATCCATATATTTGGTACCATCTTCTAAGCGGTTCTTTTCAGCAATTCTTTCGAATACTGTTCTCTCAAAATTATTTCTTTTACGCTCGAAATCATAACGAACTAATCTTTCTACACCTAATTTCCAATTATTACATTCTTCTTGATTCTCTCCGCAAATTGTAACATATTTCTGCCGCCATCCCAAAATGATATTGAAACAATTATCTTTATCCGTCAAACTCGGCAGACTTGCCGCTTTGCACGAACCAGGCCCAATTCGCGAAATTTTGCCAATGTTAATTATGCCGAATGTACTAAAATTTTCTCCTTGAATAATATTATTTACTTCGATATAACTCAAGTTAGTTTTCACTCGATATAGGCCATCATTAGAGTTCTGATTCTCGTCATCGAATCGTAGGCCCAACTGTTCTTGTCTTAGTGTTTGGCCGATATCATGGTCTTTATTAAATACATAAATAATATTAGTAGTTATATAAACATAAAGTTAAAAACCTGCCAAAGAGAAAAAAAATCAGTAAAAGACCAAAGCAAAGAATAAAGATCGATTAATAAATGTTAAAAAAAGATTGAATAAAACAAAAATTGATTGATATTTAATTAAAGTCAACCTCTATATAAACATATCAATTTCTTAAGTACTAAGAATTCTGTATTAGATATTTTGTTATCGTTTTTTTTTACATACCTGATTCAAATACAACGTTCCTCCCCTGTCTGACCTTTGGTGCACTCAGATATTCGTAAGAATAGATAAAGGCTGCTGCACAGAGAATGGTCGCTATCTTTTTTTTCGAAAAAAAAAAACAATGGCGTAAGTTTTAAAATGGCTAAACGGAATGGAAGTGAGCAAGAGAAAGAGAGAATACCAGGAGAGACAGGTAGATAGATAAATTGAAAATAAATGATAAATAAACTTATCTATCAATAAATATATATATATATCTATATATAATTATATGGTATATATAGATATTGATGTTTATATATATATATATATATATAAATTTATATATATATTTATTTATAAATATACATCAGCTAATTTCTATTTGAGATAACTCACCGTACTTGGAAGCATGTACCAAGAGATAACAGTTAAACATTCACCGATTATAGCAACTCCAATTAATTCTTTGCCATTCTTCTTAAGTAATTTCATATAAAATATTAGACCAGTTAAAAGAATATGAAGGATTATTAATTTTATAGCAATAAAGCCATACGAGCCATAAAGAAGTTCAAACATTATTTCTTTTCAAATATTATACTATCTTTTTTTCTTCTTTTATCTTTTTTCTCTCTCTCTCTCCCTCACTCTCTCACACACACACTATTTTAAACGTTTCTGTCTCTTCGAGTCCGTCGTCTGAGGTAAAAATTGTTTAAATATTAGTCACTTGGCTAATAGATAAAGTCGCGTTTGTAAACGACAAATATAAACCTTTTTTCACCTGTTGGCCTCGAGACAAAAAGCAGCTATATAATCGCCTTTTAAAAAATGTATATTTAAGGCCGCCTCTATCGTTCTAATCTATTCGATAAAAAAAGAAGAATTCCCAATGATATCAACGATTTTTACAAAATATATAAATAAAAAATATTACTTCTCCTGTATAATTTATTTAATATATGAATATATATTTAAGATATCTATGTATTTATATTAAGTTGTAACGTACTTCTTAAGAAATCTTTTCTATAAAGGACTGTATGAAATATAAAAGGATACATAGTCTCTGATACTATGCCCAGTTGCGCTCTCTTACGAGTTTTGTAAATATTATTTCAATCATTGGTCTTGTTTGGTCGTTTATTGTCGAATAGAAACATTTCAATTATAAACTTCGAGTTGGTCTTAATAGAGATAAAGTATTTTTATAAAATAAAATCTTTTTCTTTCTTTCAAGAGTTGATAATAATAATTAATGGATCCGAACTAAAGTAGGATTTTGTGGGAAGAAAAAAGAGTTAGATGTTTTGCAGACATTACAGAGGTTTTCGCTCTTAACATAACTTTTCGATATATGCATTAGGATCTAATATACACATTTTTTTTTACCTCTCGGTACGTTCAAACAGTAATATAACTCATTTTTACAAGTTTAAATGAAATAAAAGTATTAAATCTGCATCAGTTTCTCGTTAATAATTTTATTACCTATACGAATATACACTACATGTATTTAAAATCAAACACGTAAGCGTACAAAAGCATTTATTTGTATATGTGAATACTGTGTATATAAACTATATATACTATATATACTAATATATTTGCAAGTGTTACACTTTGAAATTGATACAAAGTTTGATTATAGGCCTTCAGAATGTTCATACAATAAATAATAAAAAAAATAAATCAGTTCCGAAAGATAAATTGTCTTATCTTTTAAATAACTTGTTTTATTAGGTTCCTTCAAAATTTTCTTTGATTAACTAACGCATATATATTCTATTCTCCGTTTAGAATTACTCTCTCCCTTTACATTCATTTTCTTTTGAGTAGCTAATTGTTTAAAATTTGAAAATTTAATACTTTCTTTATATTATAAAGTTTTCTAAGGCGTTCATTTAGTTGCTGGTGTTCCTAACATTATTACGCCTGATTCCCTGCCCAGAAATTGAATTGGATTCTTTTTATGAAAGCAAACGAGTTCGGACAATGTTTGAAAGTTCTGCGTTAGAATAGAATAATATTAATATTTGATAAGAGAAAATTATTATCCAATAATAATTACAGGTTCATCCAATTTTTCCTCACCAATTGCGAAGTGACCATCTGATTTACGTCTTATTTTTATATTTAGGACCTTATATTTGCATAGGATCATTAGAGTGAAAGGCTGCTTCTGATTTCCCCCAGTAGATTTTCGGATAAGAAATGATCCGTTCTACAAGATAATCAACGAATTTATACAAATTATTAGGGTCAATCATGTTCAATTTCAACCTGATTGATTTTTAAAAGCTTTTCATTGCCGTCTTTCCTAGAAATATCTCCATGATACCAAGGTTGATCTGCTGGTCGCAAAGATGATACTTTTGGTGGTTGTTTCTTTTTCCTCTCTGACTTTGGAATTTCTGGTAGAGGTCTGTTAGTATTTAGCAAACGGGGCAGTTCTTCTGACGAAATTTTTCTAGGTGATATTCTACCTTCGACTATAGGATTTACTTGAAAGTTGTTTTCATTGCCATTTTGTAAACAAGGAGTTTGCCTTTCAGACAGTTTAGTCGGTTCCAAATAATCCTCCTCACCCAAATTGGGTTTAGTCGGAGCCAAGGGCAGATATTCGAAATTAGGTAAACTTGAACAATGATTATCTATGATAAGTAAAAAAATTGTTTGTTCAGCTCTTTTCTAATCTTAGATGATATTTCGATGATATTAACAGCGAAGTGTATGTATAGTATAAATGATATTAATTATAAACGGTCAATTATTACGAATCATTTATCTCAAGGAGAAGGAAAACATTGATTTTTAATTTAAAACTTGAATAATCTATCCTCAAAATATTTATATCTATGCTATATATTTAATCTCACAATTAGTCATTTAGTCATTGCCATGGGAAATTTCCCTCGATATTTTATTTTTTTTTTACTTGTATATTCTAACAGAAAGTTACAAATTTGTTAAATACTTACAGCCTGTGTTCGGAATATTAAAGCATGGTGATCTATTGTTAGTGGTTTGAAAAGCATGATTGTCATTCGTTTCAGGCGCTAAACAATATCAATCAAATTTCTTTGTATCATAAAGTTACAAAAGAAAAGAAAGCTTACGTTGAAGATGTAAATTTCCAGTAATGTTTCTTCTCGGTATTTTCAAGCATCCCTTTCTATTTATAATCATTCAAAAGACTTATTAAACAAGAAGCACATAAAGAAAAAGTTATATATTATAATCAAGATTATCATAATATTTAATCTATAAATACCCGATTTCTTCTTCTACATTCACGTAGGAAGGCATACTTGTTCTTTAGTGTTTTGCATAAAGCTGTCTAATCTTCAACTTTCTAAACTATCGTCATATATGTTCTGTGCGACGTTTATACTCTGAGTAATAAATCGTTTGAGTCAAATCTAGGTAGTGATATAGGGCTTCTATCACGATTCTTAAGCTCTGGGCCTATATATTCTCTAGGTTTTTCCAATATGTAAATACCAAATACGTTCTTAAGTATACCCCAAAAACATGATAGGCTGATTATTTTTACTATTATATTTAGAGGTAGGCCCAAGAAATACGTTACGGATAAGTTTTGTAAGAATACGTGATATGAATCGCTTGGATTTTAATATTTATTATAAAATATATACAAAAATAGTTAGTTTACCGAGAGATGACTGTAAGATATACATATTTATAAACTTTTACACAATACTCCAAATGTAAATGCTTTTATTCATCGCTAGAATAAAACAATGTATGATTTTATAAGAATTACAAACAAACTCATTTTTATTCTTATATTCAGCTACTAATTCTTTTATGTAGTAATAGAATATATACCATGAATAACGAATAATCTCAATAATTTCTATATTAAACAGGAAATTGTGAAGTGCTTCCTATTTTGTAAAAATTCTGGAAAAGAATGATTTTGTCAATATTTGCTCCTTTCTTCTTTGAACTCCAAACTAACAATCTTCATTTACTACCCAATCTTGTAGTATAACGGACACATCGTTGGATAAAGATAATGGTTCTTGTCGAAATTTTTCAATCATAGTGGCAACGCTTGGAAAGTACTAGAGAAAAAAAAACATAAGAATATAGATTCTATTCTCTTGAAAGCAATATGATCAATTTAACCTCTTCATTCGGTTTTTCCTCACCAATTGCGTATCCCTCCCAGAGTCTGGGATATGGATTACGGATTCTACGAATTCGTAAATTAAATATTTTCGATTTGTCTTTAATCATAATAGTGTAGGGTTGGTTGGCTTTTTGAGAATCGCGAATTAAGAATGTACCATCCTGAAATATAAAGATTAACCTTTGAAATAGCATATAATACTCATCAATAAATCATTTATTACCTTTTCGTTTTCTAATAGACTGTTTCCAAGGGGCCTTGTTATATTACCGTGGTACCATGGACATAGGTCAATGCTATTGCGTTTTTTGCTCTCTGCTTTTGCAATAAATGTAGGTTTATTCTCAATAGGTGGCTTTGGTAGTGGCATTCTCTTTCTACTGGAGTCGGATCCCGTGTCGGATGTATTAGAACTTCGATTTGAGCTTGGGTTCTTGGCTTTTGGTTGTGAAATAATCCTGTTCAGATCCTCTTTGAAAGAATCATCGATACGGTTTCCATTGCTATGATCACTTTGAATCTGATAAAAAGAAGCTGAGTTTTATATCAACGACATGTGAGACAAGCCTAAAATTGTCCATTTAGAATTTACTAACGGAGGTTTGGCTAATATCTTTAGCTACCGACAACTCGGAAGCACGTGGTGTCAACCTTGTATCTGAAAGTCGGGGCTGTCTGCTATGAGTTATTGGAGGTGGTGATGGTGGTCGATTGGGATTGCGAAGCACTGGAAGCTCTTCATATTCAGGACTTGGAACTTCTTTACAGGGCTCAAAATTGTCATTTTCTGGTGACAAATAACCTAAAAATATAATAACAATCATGTTTAAATTAACAGTTTAGAAAGTGATATTAAAGTTGAAGATTTTACCCTCAGATTCTGAAGAGGAGTAGCGAACTCTAGACTGAGGTTGCCTGTTTGGCCGGGGTGGTAGTTGAGGTGGTGAAGAAGGCGGGGAAACGTTCATATTGGCCTTTTTTTCTTTATTCTGATCGATACTAAATGGGAAAGAATTGTTAATAGTATATATATATATTAGCATATAAGAATTTTATAAAATATACAACATATTCTGGACGTGCAAGTAAAGAATTATAGGAAAGAGAAAGACAGTAAAAACAACACAACTACGAACAAAATTTCTTTACCTTTGTAACTCTTTTAAGCTCTTTTTTGAGTGAAATACATAAGAAAATATTCATAAAGTTACCGACTGGTGTCTGACTATTTTTTAAAGGCTCAATTTTCTTCCTTTTTCAGTGTTTAACGAAATGTACAGGCCAAATCTTTATTACACACAAAAAAAGATTTGAATATGTGTAAAATACTCCCCATTCTTCAAAACTTATTTATGTGTACAGAAATTTGCTATGCTATATATATATATATGTTATATATGCTATATATATTTAGCATTCAAATTGAAAAGGTCGAGGTAACGATTAACTTTAACAACAGCACATTTAACTAGCGTTAAAAAGAAAAAATATTTTCATTAATACACAAGACAATTAATATTTTAACACAAGTCTTTGTTGATTAAAAGTCAAATGATATTTATCAATTTTTCTATTTAAAGAGATAATTCTCTAAAATGTTATAGATTTACATAATCACTTCTAAATCTCTTTTATATTAATATTTACCTTAAGAGCTTATTTAAGAACAAATCTCCGAATGTTACACTAATTCTCCTGCCAAGTCTAATGCCAATTTCTGTTAATTTTGATTTCTTTCTCTTTCGCACTTTCTCATTTTCTTTTTCAGATTCTTTTGGCTTTTCTTCTGTTTTTTCTTCTTTTTTTGACCAATTCCAAAGTGTTAAGCCGCTTGTCCGTCTTCTAGTTGGAAATTCTAATGATTCATACTGAACATCTTCAAACGATGAACTCTTACGTATTTCATTTGCAATTTGAATATCATCAAAAATCTTTAATAATCCCTGAACATTTCCAATCGAATTTGAGCGACTTAATTTTTTCTTTAATGTTTTCTTTCTTTCCTCTGTTATTGTTACAACGTGCATTGATTCAGTAGTCTTTGGTAAATCTATTAAAGTTCTTGTTGGTTCTATATGGGATATCCTCTTAACTTCATCGTAGTTATTTTCATATATTTGATTCTCATCCATTAATAAAATTGTTCTTCGGTTCTTCGACTATAAACTATATAGAATAATGAAAAAAAACTTGATTGATAATGTTGAATGCAGAAAATTAGTCCTGTTTCTCTAAATACTAAAGCTCTTATGATTTTGGGTTTTGTTCTAAGAATATACATCTGGGAATTATGAACTTTTACTATCTTTCAACTTTGACAACAATTTTTTTTCATATTAGAGAAAGCATAAATTATCGATTCTATTCTTTAAACAATATAACGGCTACTTTGTTATCGTTTATCTACGCAACGATTCAATATGTTATAATTGAATATTTTATATTGTTTCTAGAAGAATTTCTACTTCTAGAATCTTAATCCTGATAATAACACTAAAAAAGTAATAAGAAGTAGATAATTAATTGGTAAAAAATATATTCAAAAAACACCTTTTCGAACAAAATCTCTAATAGGTATCGAGTTAGTTAGTAGAGCTTGCACATCAGATATAAAATAATAAAAACTAACCGCGTCAATCGTGAGGTAATGATTGATAAGAGTTTAAATATAGCTCATAAAACAAAAATGTCACGAGTCTAAAGTAAAGTTGAGAAACAATTAGATGTTAATTCTGTATATTCAACTTTAATTATCTTCTCTTTTGTTTTTTGACGATAAATATTAAAAGAACGTAGTTTTTGATGCAATTGTAAAATCTATTTTTAAATTTCCCCTCTATTTCTAGCTATAAGTAACGAAACGATTTTTATTCATATTAACATTTAGATTTGCTTTTTCACTTAGTGAAGTTGATGACTACAACGAGCACCGGAAGTTTACTATCTCAACAAACACTCTTATATTACAATCTTAGTTCTATAAATATTTCTACTCTATATACACATTATAGTAATATTTATGTTTTACGGTTTCTTAACCTAAATTGAATAGCAAAATCATATCAAGTTATTCAAAGTCTTTAGCTTCTGAGATGCAAAAAAGATTGTTTTTTAATTCTATTCTTATGTATTTTCCTCTCAAGAAAAGTTATGTAAAAATGTAATGTAAACATAAAGCCATTAAGTTGTTTTCTTCATATCTTTTTCTCTTAAGTTTTTAGCTAATTCCAGTAACTTTTCGGTCGCTGTTAACTCATCTCTTTTCATTTCCAATAATTTTTTGTCAGTGTAATCTGAAATGTTCATTGAAGAATCTTTATTCGTCCAAGGTGTCCATACTCCTTGGATTGAGGGTGAATCTGTATGTTGGCTTTTTCGTAATCGTACAATTTCAATGCCTGATCTCGTTCTCAGATGTTCCAACCATTTCATGATATCATCAGGATTTAGGCAATTAATATTTTTTACAACAGTGTTTCCATTTAAAAATTCGGCCACGACTCTAGCAGTGTGATGTCTTCTCGGTTGTATATAAACTGCTGTACCTGGATTTTCTCTTGAGAAGTCAATAAGATGCTTTTCTATGTAGTCTCTGAGAATAAAAAAGTTATTAAGTTCACATTCTATGTAGAAAACATTTTTCTGGTTTATAAATTTTTCTATATTGACCTTCAGTTTTATGCATTAGCTTAAAACATTCCAAGTGTCAATTTTTTTGCAGTTTATATATTTACTACGAGCACCATGCCTTTGGCAGACAACTTTCAAAAATTTTATATTGATAATCAACGAATCTAAGTTACCTTGTGCCTCTGCTTCCACCTGAAGATTTACAAAATTTAAATGTTAATCTTTGCAGTTGACATACATATCGGCCAGCTCCATTCTGCAGGACGCTTTTTACAAAATCACTTGGTATTGCTCGACCGGACATGCTGCGACCTTCACCTAAATTAGTATTATAATTATTTTCGTATTTTTTTGTAAATAAAAAAAATGCATCAGTTTATTCATGTGTTCTTTATCATTCAAATAATTTTAATTAACTAATGGTAAAATTATGTTTCTGAACGTAAAAAAGAAGAGTAATGTAGCCCCTCTGACATCTGGCGGTAAAAAGTTAAGGAGGTGGGGAGTGAAGTGCTTTTCAACGACAAAAACAAAGTCATAACTTTTTCATTCAACGATGAAATAAGAGAGAAAAAATAAGATACACAGAAACAGTACCATGGGAGGGGTATAGAAGATGCCTGCAGTCAGGCTGAGTGAGTGGAGAAAGGCTATTGAAACATTATAATTAAGGTGAAAAGGCCCCTATAAGATATAATTAGTTCAATTTACGTTAAATAAGTAAACTAACAAGATTTTACTTAATTAAGAAAATGGATGGATAAAAATAAAAAATTTAAAATTACTTTTAAGTAGCTTAATTTTAAAAGTATAGATAAGGAGAATTATAAGAATTTAAATTAATTAGTTTCTAATTTAAACAGCTCTTTATCTAAGAAATTACAAATTAAACTTTATATAAGAAACGAACAAAAACAATTTTCCTTTCTAGTTTCAATGTTGTTTGATTATTTTACTACTATTAGAAAATATATTTTATATAGAGGGCGCTGTTCTATAAAAAATGACTCAGATATTATAGCAAGTTAAAATTCTTATTGAAAAGAGGAATGGCGGCCACTACGGCACTGATCGTACAAAGGATTAATTTGGCTAAAGATACTCAATGCTTAGGTTGAAATTCTTCACATATAGATTTAAATATATTCATTTATAAATATACTAACAAAAATTTACAATTTATACATTATATCTCACTTTATAAGCATAGTATATCAAACTTTTTTTTTCAGATCTGAACAATTGTGATCTTGTTAAAATTCCCGATGCCGTTTATTTTTTATTAAAAGGCACACCCATTTATGAAATTAATCTATCCGATAATCTATTAGAAAAAATACCTGAAAAATTTTATAAAGCATTTAATTTGTTAAAAAAGTTAAAGTTAAAAAATAACAAATTAAAAAGTTTAGGTAAATTAGAGTTCTTGAATAAACTCGAAGAATTAGATATTAGAAATAATGAATTTGATGATGAAACAAAACAATATCTGTCAACAATTTCTGATTATAAAGTTGAATATTGAAAATAATATTTTGTGTTTGTGAGCATGATTATTATTGGTTGGCTTTCTTATGTTTAAAAGAAGGAAATAAACTTAAAAGTATGCCTATGAATAGTAAAGAATATAATAGAATTATAATCAACTTCATATCATAGATGATATCTGGCTTTGTAATAGTAGATCTGGATATTTTCACATACAAAAACAATTATAATTTATATAGCTGAAACTGGCTCTTTGGAAAGAGACATTTTCTAATGGAAACAAGATTATAGGATATGATCATTCGAATTATTTAATAAATCTATAACAAATAATAATGTTGTCAGCTATTGATAAAGTGTACATTTTCGTTTACCATGATGCAACAAAGTTAAAGCAACAAAAAAAACGTCGAACTATTTCTCAATGCTGATTGGCTGTTAAAAATATCAACTTGTAAATAAGAAAGATGGCCGAGCGGAATTTTAAATAGCGACGTGTTTCATCCTTACTGCAGCTGTTTAGTTGGGCAATAAGAAATGAATATAGTGCCACATGCGACAGTAAGTTTTGATTATTTATTAGGAAAATACATCGTAATTTACTAATTACTGTAACATATTTATTTATCATTATCATGGTACTGTCAATATACTATGTATTCACTAAAGATTTTCTTGAGTCAACTAATACTGTGTTTCCAGCAGATGATGTCGCAACCAAAAGCCATGAAATGCGTAGTTGTCGGCGATGGAACAGTGGGAAAAACATGCATGTTAATATCGTATACTACTGATAGTTTTCCGGGAGAGTATGTTCCTACTGTGTGAGTAATATAGCATCACTTGGCTTAATCATACTCCGTATAATAGCTTTGATCCTTTATGACTCTGTTTTATTTATCCAGATTTGATAACTATACAGCATCTCTAATGGTTGATGGAATATCTGTAAATTTAGGTCTTTGGGATACAGCAGGACAAGAAGATTATGACAGATTAAGACCTTTATCATATCCACAAACCGACATCTTCCTTATCTGCTTTAGCGTTGTCAGTCCACCGTCTTTCGATAATGTTACGACCAAATGGTGCAAAGAAATTAGGCACCATTGTCCAGACGCACCAGTCGTTTTGGTTGGTTAGTAAGAAAATATTCATACTTTATCTATCTCATTAAGTCTCTGGTTTATAACGAATCTACATTTTACAGGCACAAAAATAGATTTGAGGGAAGATAAAGGAACATTATCGGAATTATCTTCGCAAAACCTGCAGCCAATAAAAAGGGAACAGGGCGTTAAACTAGCTTCGAAAATTCGGGCTGTAAAGTACATGGAATGTTCAGCATTAACGCAAAGAGGACTGAAACAAGTATTCGAAGAAGCGGTTAGAGCTGTATTATCACCTCAGCCGCAAATTAAACAGCAAAGAAAATGTACATTACTCTAGGAATTATTTAGTTTGGAAATTTTTTTCGTGCTATATACAGTATATGTTGCTAGTCGAGGAGTATTTTCGTTTTTTTTTTCTGCCGATTTTTCGGTAACAAAAAGTTATTTTTTATCAATTTTTGTTTGTTTGTTTATTATTTAGAATTTTGCTTCAAAAGCGTAAATGAGAAATGCTAAAATTAGATCTTTCTTCTTCTTTTTTATACTTAAAGTATACAAAACTATATATATATATAGTATATACAATCTGTTTACCTACAGATGGAGCTGAATATCTCTTTTTAATTAAATTTGTTCTCGATTGTGATACTAGTCTATATATCGTCGTGTTTAATTATCTTGTCACTGTAAGCAAATGCACAAAAATTCGTTTGTAAACGAAAAAATTGGTTAGTAGAATGAAACTTAAAAAAAAATATTCTTTTTTTTTCTCGCTTCAAAACGCAAAGTTTGTATTTTATGCCAGGAGATCACAACTACTTCGTTTTTTTTAAATAAACAGTTGCATTGTTGTTGCAAAAAAAAAATAAAGTAATTTTTCGAGTAACAGTATGAGTTGAATTAGAATAAGAACGAGAGAGAAAGGGAAGAAGTGTTCGTGTCTATCACTCTCTATACATTGACGTCGCAAACGAAGGGAAAATTTTTTCACTCAAGTTATCATATAAACTATGAGTACTAGATGGCAATACACGTATTGGTTCTCCTTCTTAAAGCTTTGCAGAAGAAAATCCATCTAATAAGTAACATATATATACATATAATATATATATATATATGTATATATATATATATATAGTATATATATTTAGATACAAATAACATTTTTCCCATAAATTTTGTGGTAGCACCTCAAAAGGAGAGGAAGCAATTGACTTTTCTTTTATTTAGCAGTTTGTTTATGTAAAAAGAGTATGAGAAACATGGCTGAAAAAGAAAAATTGAGATACTTAGCTGTTATTAAGTTAGGCAGTAAATTTGAAAGCACTTACTTCCTATAAACGTCACAAACACCAACTGGTACTTATTCAGTTTGAATAACACAGGTCCAGATTCCTCGCCTTTCGATGACTCGACGTCGCAAAAAAAGACGATAAAACCTGAGATTAAAGAAGCTACAAGGGCGAAGGCACTAAATAAATCCGTTTGCCCAACTTCTGACCGTTTTTCCACATTAACTAAATGATCAATAAATTGACAAAACGATTTACTTGTTATTTGATGAACATGTATATCAATATGTAAGTTTTGTTTACCTGTCAGGCTATCGCTTTCTTTGGGTTTTGTGGTTTTTTGACTCTTATCAGCATTAGATTCATTATCAGTTGATAAAGAATCTTTATCTTTGTCATAGACAACTCGACATGAAATTTTCTCTTCACCTTTTAAAGAAAAGAGGAAGGATATATTTTAAACAAAAGGGATATGGCAGCAAAGAGTAACAAATTTGTCAGTTCTATTAAATTTTCCAATGTATCAAAAAGCAAACTTACTAAGCTTATTTTGTTTACTATCCACCCGCATGAGTAGTACAGAATCATATTTTCCAATATTATATTCGTTGATTTGCATATGTCGTACTTCTCTATTTAATCGAAAAAACATAGTTTTTTATTATTATTATAATAGATAGGTCATGAAGTTGAAAATAGAAATAGTGTCCAACTTACAATAAAAATGTGTTTCGAGGTGGAACATGAAAAAATTGTCTGGACAACTGCAGCCTTTTTTTAGAACTTACTGAAGCTGTATGAATGTTATAGATTACGTTATTGTTTTCGGTTTGTAGAACGTAAAAACATTTACAGTGTTCTATAAATAAATTATCATATTAATAAACACCTTGAAAGTCAAATCTTGCATTCGACGGATTCATTACACGAATAGTTTGGACGCTGCATGATTCGGACGATTTAACGTAGAATAGAATTTCCTTTGGTAGAGCCACAAATGTTTTGTCTGTCATCGTTCCTTGACCACTCTATTCAACATACGAAAATTTATTATTATTTCATAATCCAATGAAAGTATCTGTCAATTAAATTAGTATCAACCTAAAAATCGTATTACATAATAAAAGTTTGTTGATTATCTTTAGGCTATAAACATTTCAATCGCAATAGCCTAATAAAGACAAAGAACATACTGATTTCTCTACTTACTGAAAATTATAAATCGTAATTTCTCTTGTCTTGCTTGAAACAAGCATTTGTTGATTTGAACGATTCCGTTAACGAGCTAAGCTTCTACTAAATAATGATTGCAAGTTGTTTATTTACATCTGCAGATTTATTTCTTCGTAATGTTCAGCGACCTCGTTGTACAATAATGCAATGGCGGATACAGTATTTTCAAATGGCGTAAGATGTTTTCGTTAATGGCGGCCATTTTTGAATTATTTGTGAAGTCAGCATTAGAAGAAGGAATTTAAAATAATATTTTTCACAGAATATTTTGCCTTTTTTTTTTAAAGTTTACCGCTTACTTTCGATTTGTAAAATATATTTAAATTATATTTACTTCGTACATAGGTTAAAAAACGATCAATACTATTTTATAAATAAATGTATTTACTATAGCGTATATATAAATGTTATAAAATACAATAAGATGTCATAAATTAACAAAAATTCTTAGATGATTATTCCATATTGTACGTATCTAGGTTCTAAAAACAATATGTTGCTCTATTTTTCTGAAACGTAAATTATAATTATCCTTGTCCATCATTGATGGCAAAAATAAAAGAGAGGATAACAAAATTGAAAGAATATTTTTAAAAGTAATATAAAATAAAGAGAATTTTCAATCAAAGACCTGTATGTGACACAAGGCACGCAAATTGAATTTTTCCTAGCCGTTACAATTAATGATCTGGGAAATGCCATGACTTGGACGTGACATTCTGTAAAATTATAATATCTTCATAGGAAAAACTTAATATAATGTAAAAGGCGAAAAAGAGAAAGAGAACAGAAAGATAAAATGAGTTAATGATGAAGAAAATGCATATGAAATTATGCATAGAAAAGACTTTGTTATTAGAAATAAGGATGTTCATTATAACTAAAGAGATTTTTTTTTGAAAAGAAAACGAAATCTCATTAAACGATGAGCGATAAAGAATATACTTTGGAAAGTGGCACTGCGGCGAATCTTTGCAGTTCGCGTGCCTGTCAGCCAGAGGATTTTCATTCGCCCGATGCGCTGCCCTGTGAAAATCGAACATTTTTCTTTTTTTTCTATAGCCACATCTATAGCCCTTTCCATATGGACTATGTGCGAAAAAAGTTGGCTTTTGGGATATAGTACTTCGGATAAAACAGGCTCGGATTTAGTATTTGCTAAATTGTCTCCATGGTACTTGTGCGTAAAAGATTTAACGGAGACCATTTCTTGTTTTCGAATGTATGATTGGTACGATTCAAAACTTGGTAAGAAATCGAAACATATCTTGACTGTAAATCGTTACGTATAGTTTAAAGAATTAATAAATAATATAGGCTTATCTTGATTACAGCTGGCCTTACTGCAAATCAGCATTTGGAATATTGGATAATCGGAGTTCTATTCATTACACTCATTCCTTCTGCCTTAGCGTCGTGCAAGTGCTCGTTTGTTAAACGATTTGACGAAGAGAGCAGAAGATTTTTATTCATTCTTTTAGCATTTTCATGTAAGTCTCTTTTGTACAACTATATTTGCCATTTTTCCACCGTTGTAAGTCGATTTATCAAATTCATGGTTGGTTGATGAAGCGTATTTGATAAAAGAAAGATTCTCCTCCATACGACTCATGCCTTGATATACCATTCAGTTTTCCTACTACTTTTTATACTCTTAAAAAACCATTGTCTTTTCCTTTTAATTCAATATAGACCCTTCCAATCTCCTTCTCCCCTTTCCGTTATTGGAATCTTTCATTAAATCTCTGGACTTAGCTTTCTTTTGGTTAATAGAAGACCTGCTAGCCAAGTTTAATTAGTGTTCGGAATCATTGTCCATCTTTAACGTTATAGGGAGGGAAAAAAACAACGTTTATATAGGCTTAAATAGGAAATTTTTGGACTGATTAAAAAGGCATCATTAAATATTGCAGTCGATTTATACGTTCAATTTTTTTCTCCGTCAAATCGATCTTCGATTTGACGTTTTTTTTCAAACGATTAGAGATGGAAATTGCGTTTTTTCCGATGGACGAAAGAAAAAAGTGAATTCCGTGCGCATCGGTACAATAACGCCCGAAAGCCATAAAGGGAGTAGACGCCGCGGTGGATTAGAGCGGTTTGCTAGTGATAATTTGTGACGCCCGTAGCGCAGGAATGTTGCTGGCGGGAAATTAGACGATGGTCTGGGGCTTTTTCTAGAATCAACATATGGCATATAACGATAGTTTAAAATGTATAATGAGGCTTTCCCTCCCTTTGAAGTCCTGTGGGAAGCGTGATTACAATATAAACTAATTCTTGACTGAAATGACGTCACAATTACAAGAGCCTTTTTCATTTCGTTGTAAACTTTTGAAGTTAGTTGTAAACGCTTTCCTAAGTATCGACGAATTCCATGATCAATATATTTATTCAATTAAGATACGTCCCTGATGATAAGACATACAAGATCCTCTATCCGTATTTCAATTATCCAGGGATATTTTAAATAGTAAGAACTCAGTTAGATCTGTAGGAGATCCTATCAAACAAAAGTCTTTTATCCCTATTGCCAAATAACTGATTACTTGTCCTATTTTTTCCACATAAATAAACAAATTATTTTCACTATCTCTTCAGCTCTCCTTACTTTGGCATCCATTATCGTATTCATCGTGACCTGTCAAAGAGGGGTTCAGGACCTAACAACCGGAAAGAAGTTATCCAAAACCTTTAATTGGCCATTCTACATCCGTATTCTCGCGGGTCTCTTTTCCCTGGCCGCGCTCGTTTCTTGTCTAATCAACGATATCCGATTGAGAAGACGTTCTGCCGATGAGAACGAATGCGACCCGGAAACGGTTACCTTTTTACAGGTAGAAGATGGAATTGACAAAGCGGAGTGTAACGAAACTGTACAATTATAATTTATGTATACAACAATTAGCTGATCACACAGTTTGTGTATAGTTACTTATTAAAGAAGGAACACGATGAAAAATAAGAAAAGTTAAACTTTAATTAAATTTAGTAGAAGCACTATATACGTAAATATGTAATTCCATAACTACAATTGAAAAGTGCAAAGCTGAACAAACAAAAGAAATAAAACAAAAAGTATAATTAAGTGTTTTGTAGTATAGTTCAATTACTCCCAACTATGGTACAGGAAATAGAAAGAAAGATCGGGTAGCTGGTTAACTGAATAGTCTTTCTTTTGTTTTCTTTTTCCAATTCTTTTTAGACGATGACTTTATCATCAAAGTGTCATCGATATTTAATTATAGACGCCTACTTTTCTCAATCTGGTTCTAATTCAGAAAGATATTATGGAAGTTTCTCCCCTTGTTCATTTATATCCTTAAATCAGAGTAACTACTTCTACACAAGTGGGATAGTCTCTTTGAATAGTTCAAAGAAAAGAGGAGGCCATAACGAAAAGGAGTGGGGTTCTAATAAAATTTTTTCGCTTTTTGTCAAAACGCAACCTAGTGGACATAAAGGTAGCTACTTTTGACAACACAACGTCCGCGTATAATAATTTTATGGTTTCTCGTTACACGTGTTTCTAGTAAAAGATTCATCATTTTGTAACAACGCTGAAAAGAGTAGCTGTTTTTTTATAAGTTCAACGAACATTTGATCAATAAATAGCATTCAAACCGTAGTTGGATAGAGAATACAACAACATATCAATACATTTCATATAAATATATATGTATTTATTTCTTTTTTCTGGTTAAAACTACGAAAATCGATTTTCCCAGCATAATCTTTATTAGAAGAAAAAAAAAGGAGATCACTTCGGATTTTAGTGCTGGCTTTGACTGTTGCAATGTACTTTGAAAATTGTTTTTCATATACGTTGAAACTCTGGAGTGAAGGAATTCCAGCAAATGTTTTGTGAGTGCCTTTCTTTATTATTGATTTTTCTCTTTATATAATTTATATAACACTGTATTTCACTCCAAACATTAGAGAGAAGGCCAAAATCCTGTTTGTTTAAAAAAAATACATACTATATATATATATATATATATATATATATATATATACACAATATATATATACAGTATACTTTTATTTATATCAGTTTTTTTATTCTATATAGTAGCAGAAGACACGATAAAAGGATAGAATAAATATGCAGCTATGACCTCTTTTCTGAAAAAGAGTCTTCCTTTCATTACCTCGTTTACTGGAGGATTGATATTCTACAAAATATATAGTTTTATTAAAAATAAACGATTTGTTTCATTTATTGGTAAAGCAGTTTTCATTACGGGATGCGATACAGGGTTTGGTTACTTATTAACCAAACAACTTGCAAAGATGGGCATCTTTGTCTTTGCTTCTTGCTATACGGATGCTGGTAAAAGAAAATTGGAAGAGGAATCTTTACCAGCTGTTATCCCAATTAAGGTGGATGTTAGAAATACTGCAACTATACAAGAGGCCTTTGAGATCGTATTGGCAACTGTCGAAGAAAAAGATTTAAGTAAGTAGTAGGACAGGATATTGTATAAATTATTGTTTAGTTAGGCCTATTCGAACCCTCTTTAAGTCTATTATAGCAATATTTGTAACTTGGTTACTAGGATTTAACGGTAAACAAGTGTCAATCTTTGCCGAGAAATGACAAAGAATGGTGAAGTGTGCTCTTTCTGTGGTCAAGATGATAGAGAGGTAATTAGGATACTCGAATGTGGCCATCGTACTTGTCAGGATTGCTCGAAAACTCTAATAAGTATCGATAAGAGTGATGTTGTTATTTGCAAACTTTGCGTTGAGTCAGAGCAAGCTGAGGATGTAAATATAAATGTCGAATACATTAATCCCTTAAGAGCAAAAAGAGATAGGGAGGAAAAAGAGAAAGAAAAAGAAAATGAAAAAGAAAATGAAAAAGAGAAAGAAAAGAAAAGAGAAGACGAAGAACAAGAAAAAGAAAAGGAAAAAGAAAAAGAAAAGAAGGATAGAAAAGAAACAGAAAAACTGACCGAAAAACAAGAGGAAAAGAAAGAAAGCTTTAAAGAAATCGTCACTAAAGAGCAAGATAAAATTGAGAATAGTCAGGAAAGTCAGAAAGAAAACACTATTGAAATCGATAAAGAAAATCCTAAGAGAAATGAAAGAAAAAAGAGTAGTTCTTCTGAATCAAGTTCAAGTAGTTCATCTTCTGACGATGAAGAGGAAGACAATGATCAAAGAAATTTATGCTCAGAATTAGTAGAAGAAATTGAGTTATCGAAGAATCAAATAATGGGTCTAACCTCTCTTCCGGATGAAGAAGGATTAATCTTAGTAACAGATTCTGATATCGTATTATTGGATCTGACAGGAAAGGAAATTCATAAATTTCATTACCTAATTAATCACTCATACACTGGTGGTTTATGCCTATCTGAAGACGGAAATAGAATTCTTGTGGGTTTATCGAGTCCAAAATATACAGGTGTTGCATTTTACGAAAGAACAGGGAAATTTCGATATTCAGCTTTCATTAAACATCCGGGAGTCATAACAGCCGTTCAAACTTTTGATGACGGCCTAATAATATTAGATAGAGAGAAGAAAAGTATTTATCACCTAAATTCAGAGAAGAGAATCATGGAAGAATTTCCCGGAGATAGGCGCCATCTAGCTGATTTGGTTCACTTAGCAATTGATTACCAATATCGTTTCTTAATCTTAGATCGACGTAATTGCACAATCGAATGTATGAATGAGAAGGGTAAAGTTTTATTTAGCTTCGGTAGCCCTGAAAATCTCAATAATCCAATAAAAATATTAGCGGCTGAAGAAGATTTAATCTTAGTATTGGGGACGAATAAAATAACAGCTTTCAATTACGAAGGTCGATTTATCACCAATATATATCAGACTAAAACTCATGAATTTGTAGATTTTTGTAAATTGGCACCAAAGTTAATTGCCATACTAAGAAAAGATGGAAAAATAATTAAGATACGATATAATATCATGTACCAAAATTTTCGGAATACTGCAATAAAAAGGAAGACAAATGGCAAAAAAGGACAAATAAATTCAACGAATAATCAATTAACTTTTACTCAAAAGAGTACATGCTGTTGTATATCTTAAAAATGAAATAGAAATTTGTATACTAGGCCTAATTTAGTAATAATAAAAAAAATACTTATAGTTATTTGTTCTTTGTATGTGTTTTTTATACAGTTTTCTGGGCTATTGTAAATAACGCTGGCGTTTCCACCGTTAATTCGCCGTTTGAATTCTATACGAGAGATGATTACGAAAATGTTTTCAATATAAACGTTTTCGGTATAGCCGAAGTCTCTAGAATATTCTTGCCTCTTTTGAAAATTTCACAAGGAAGAATAATAAATACAACAAGTGCTTCTGGTTTTCTTCCGCTACCTTCGGCAGCCGTTTACTCAACTAGCAAATACGCTGCCGAAGCTCTATCGGATATTATGAGGTTGAGATTAACAATAATATCGTTATCATCTATAGCAGCTAATTTAAATAATTTGTCTAAATATAGAATAGAGGCAAGAAGATGGGGAATAAAGGTGTCCAAAATTCAACCTGGTCTTTTTAAAACGGATTGCCATAATTATGAACGTATGAAAACACTTCGAAATAGACAATGGTCCCGTTTACCAGAAGCTATTCGATTAGAATACGGAAATAAGTTTTCGTATAGTTGTAAGTACTTTCTAAGATAGATTCCAAACGTATTTGCGGTTTTCTAATACTACATACTTATTTTTAAATTAGCTCTCAATATAGCTGAAAAGCAAATCGATACGAGAGCTTCGACTAATTTACAATTAGTTATTGATGCCTACTTGAACGCTCTCTTCTCTATTCAACCCCATACCTCTTACATTATTGGATCGGATGCAAAATGGGTATTCTATCCTCTCTCATTTGTTCCACATTGCTTAAGGGATGTTATATTGAGTTTCATTAGTGCTCCTTTATTAAATAGGAGAAAATGGAATTTTAAAAAGAGAAAGAACTAAAAACAAAAATCATAAATTTCTTAAAGATATCAAATTTTAGTATAAATTCTATAATAAATAAATATATACATTCAAATAAATGCTGTGAATAAACAGCAAAAAAAAGAAAAGAATACAAAATTTGCAATTCTATACAGAAAAATCTAATTAATAGAAAATTAACCAATAAAAGTAGAATTCGATCATATTAATCACTTTTTATTTCATTTAAAAGTGAATGATTTATGAAAGATCAAAATTAGAAGGCAAAATGTTGAAAAATATTGAACAACAATACGATTAATGAACGAAATCTCTTATGAAAAAAAAAGAAAAAAAAGGAATAAAAACAAAATTTATAATAAATCCTTTAATATATCTTTTTATTCTTTCGTTTCTTTCTTTCTCTCTCTCTCTCTCTCTCTCTCTCTCTTTTTCGGTACTCTAAATCTTTGTATACTATATATATACCATATATATAAAATACTTCTTGTAAATATAAATAGCAATGAAAGAGCTGTTTCAAGTACTCGTGTCTTTCCTTCTCTATTCCTCTTTCTATGTATTTATAGATAATACTAGGAATAGATAAGAAATAGGAAATAAATAAAATATAGTAAGAAAGGAAAACAAAAAACAAAAAAAGTTGAATGGTTTTGTTTTTTTTACATATGTTTTGGGCAAAAATGAAAAAAATATGAAAAAGGACGGAATGAATATATTTATCTAAAAAATTGTTTTGAATAAGCTAGAATATTAATTATCTTTTAATATCCAAGTTACTTGATTCGTTTATATTTTGATTGGATTTTATTGTTTCGCTGTCATTAGATTTGATATCATTGTATAGAGTTGTGTTAATAATGGAAGCTTGCGAAACTCCGGCGGTCGTTGTACACGGACTTACAGATGAGCTGGAGCTTCTATCAAATATATTTTTCTTGAATAGGCAACACCAATTTGACTTTTGTACGTTTTCCATTACATAATTCTCACTTAGTTCTGTTATTACTGATCTCCTCTTATGAAATTTCAATTGGAAATTATCCATAACACCCGCGTCTTTTCTCCTTTGTTGACGCTCTAATAATATATTACGTATTCTCATATAATTATGAAAGTGATTAAAATTCGAAGCAATTATAGGAATGGGTAATCCTGTTGCTAGGATACCACATATAGCACAAAGCGCACCAATTAAGTAACCTTGACTAGTGTTTGGCACAATATCACCATAGCCAACCGTTGTCATGGTTATTATGCACCACCAGAATCCAATTGGTATTGAAGTCACTTCGGATTTATCGTCTTCAAATTCGAAAAAGTATAAAAGAGTAGAAAAGACAAGCATACCCATGAAAATGAGCAAAAATAGTAAAACAAGTTCTTCTGCCGACTTTTTAAGAGCTAATTGCAATAATTTAAGTCCTTTATGATGTCTGGCCATCTTTAGTAATCTGAATACTCGAAGTACACTGGCCACAAATAAGTAAGCTAATAAGGCAACGTAGGTGTTTGTTTTTAGTGAGAAGAATCTCCTCCATACGAACAAGCCCATCATCGGGAATACAGAGAGAATGTCTATAATATTCATAACTGATACGAAGAAACGTTTCTTATTGGGGCAAACAGAAAATCTTATAACTAATTCGAAAAAGAAGAGAATAATACAACTTCCATCTGTATACAACAGAGCTGGATGACTATCCGTTGCAATTAACATTCTCTTTTTTGGGTTTGTTTCATTAGCAACATCTGGAATTGATCCACTTCGTAGGGTTCTAAATTTTGGTACCGTTTCCATACATACAATAGCGATAGAAACTAATATCATTATGAAGTAAAATACAGCCCATAACTGAAAGAAAGAACGTAACATTTAAAATAGAATACTCAAAGTATAAGTTCACCTACATACCATATATATAAATATGGAAGTATATGCTAATCTATATACAGTATATTATATATTGTTCTATAGCTAGTTTATTGGTATCTTATACGTAAAATACCGTTGAACACTCCTTACATATTAAATAAAATAATCTTTGCCACATAAGCAATAAACTTGTTTGAACGAGGGAAGAAAAGGACAGTATATACCGCTGATGAGTAAGAAGAAAGTTCATAAAAAATGTTCTTATATTATTGGAAAGTGGAACACTTAATTTGAATTAATACAATATATGGAATATTGTATTTATACTATTTAAAAATAATATACGGTTGTTCATATTACAAGTTCAGTATTATTTGAAAAGCCGATAAAATTGGAACAAATAGGTTGGTGGAAATATAATCAAATTGCAGTTTATTCATTCATATTTTTCGTATTTATATGATATATTAGGCTTAAAATTAAATTAAGAATATAATTAATTAAGAATCTATGACGTGTATTTTTTAATAATATAGAAGAACTTCTTATGCAAATATTTGAATTGGTGTAAGTTGTACGGGGGTCCTTTAAGGGGCTTGATAATCAAAGAATAGTTAATATTTTAATATCTTGAAAGCTCAATTACCAAATAGGCAAAGATTATTTACATATCTGAATCAGATTTCTTGAATGAATGAAAGTTGTGGATTTTTTTTCAAAGTGAAACGAAGGGCAGGGTAAACTCAAGTAATGAATAAGATTAAAAAGAACTTATTGAGTTACTTACGCGAGCAGCTGCTGATGAATTGGGCTTTTCTAAGAATCTCCATAATCTATGCCTGAAGGAAAACTTTTCTTGTGGTGTATAACTTCCCTTTTCTGAATGAGATAGTGTTTTGTCTAGGATTTTTAAAGTTTCTTGTTCTTTGTCCCAATCTTTATAGGCATTATAGCAGCAACTGGCAATGCAATGTTCTTCAATTTTCCAAAATAATAGTTCGGCTTTTATAGAGGATCCACATAAACAATGACTAAAATGCAATTCACCAGATCTATAATAATCTAGTATAGATGAAAATAAATCTGGATTCCTATCAAAAAAGAATTCGTTTGTATCCTCGTTATAATTTGAATTGTCTTTCTGCAACGAAGACAATAATGAATTAGGAACAGATCTTAAAGTGCTCGCAAAAGTTTGAAATTTTCTCCCACCAACATTCAATTTTACTATTTCCTCCATTGCACTTAAACTAAGATTGAGATTTTAATAATTATGTTCAATATTCCCGAGTGAATCGCGCAATTTATAGCTGTATTAATCCGATTATTTCCTTTCTAAATCTTGAGCATAAGAGTATCATAATACTCACACAAGTCCGCGGCAATTTTTCATTTTCTTTTTCTACTAATTTCTTTTGTCAATCAAGTTTTTTCAAGATTTTTGTTATCTATCTTTACTTTTCATTTATATAAATAAATTGAGATATATAGAAATATATAATAAATGTCTATGAAATAGTATATAACGCTATAATCTATGTCATATATATTTTTAACAACCAAACTAGTAGCAAGGTGAAATCCGTACTTCTTTATGATTCTGTAGTACACAACACTTTACTATTGAATAAAATGGGTAATGGTCGACAACGGAAATTTAAATAACAACTCGTTGGGTTATATGGCAGAATTGTTAGTCCTATAAAACGGCCAATCAATTGAATAATCAATAATTGTAGTAATAGATGAATAGAATGAGACGTTAGGTAAAATATTTTTTTCAGTTTTTAAGCGGTTAATAACCTTTTTGAAAGCTAAAAAAACACTGAAAATAGTATTTCAATCTTTATTTCTTTCTTTTTTTTGTTTTTTATAAAAAAAAATTGCATAAACTTTTAAACAAACTTTGAGAAGTTCGATTTGATATTGAATTAATTTTTCTTATTTTAATATAAATATTCAAAACTACTGAATAAATATTTTATTTAAATATTTGTCCTTTCTAAATTTTTGTCTATGGTTACTTGGCTTTGTATCTAATGCTTGCCTAATTTTGAATAGTATGAACAGTATGTATTCCAATATATATATTTAAAAAGTCGTGTCGCAAATAGGGAATAAAATGTTGCTTATTCACGATAGACAAAGTGAAATAAGTGAAAAGATAAGAATTAAGCTAGCGAGTAATTTATTATTGATTGTTGACGTAATTGCAGACGACTTCATAGTGGACGTTTCCTGAGGCGTTTCCGCTAAATAAAGAAAAAAAGTAAGAGTGAATGGTAATCAATAGTAGAGTTGAACGAAAAGTAAAGAACAACTGTTCTTCAACAGTCGGTAACAGTCATTATTCGAATGAATCATTATGAGACATACCGCAAGTGAATTGTATACTCACTAGCTCTTGCTGTTGTTTCTTGAACTGTTAGAAATATATACAGTGCACGATATTCTTCAAATTTTCTTTTTAATACTCACTATATGAATCGCATGTCGAGGGAATGTCGTCAACGTTATCATTACATAAATCCTCCTTACAGTAGCAAAATTCATCCCTACCTCCTGTTAACGGTTGAGTGGCACATGATACCTTGTGAGCTTGCCAATCTTCAGTAAATGGTGAACATCCTCTATTAATTTCCTGAATGTCGTCTATTTCATAGTTTAATTTGCAACCTCGTTAATTATTCAACCTAATAAATCTATTATATTTATTACCCCCTTTCATAATCCGTCTAATAAAACATGAATCACAATTTTCAATAGCATCTTCAGCCGGAATCGTAAAATTATCACCATAACCACACTTTGGATTGAATGGACCTGAGGTTTGACCTTTTTTCCAAAAGCATTGATAGCATTTTACGGTTGTTGCCTCCTTATTCCGGTTCACTTCCTCAATTTGTAGGTTATTTGTCGTTGTTGTTGTATCGCAGACATTCGCTATATTACTATTATCCTTATTACAATAGTCGTTCTCACAATAGCAAAATTCTCTATGACCACCAACAAGTGGCTCGTGAGAACAATAATTTGCTTCTTTTTCCCATTCCTCATTTCCAAGATCAGTGATGCATCTTCGAACGATTTCATTTACTCTATCTAAAAATAGTATGTCAAATATCTTATACGGTTTAATTTAAAAAGTCTTTTATTTGTTTTTTAAGAGAAGGACTTACCGTCTTTTCTTAGTATACCCAAAGCACATTTTTCGCAGTTTGTCCCTACCGAAACATCACTCTGATTTTGTGGAATTGTAAATTCATTATCCCATCCACATCTCGCATCTCCAGTTGTATAATCGGCGTACCAATCGCAAGCAAAACAATTTATGCATTTAACAATTTCAGCTGAAAAGAATCCAAATATTTTATTTATTAATATTAAAAATTGTAATGCAGACTCTTCAAAACAAATATAAGTAGAAATGTTAAAAATCTAAACATTGCTGGAAAATGGTTGTTGTTCAACAGAGTTCTCATGATTTTGAAGGAGTTGATAAAGTAATCATAAAGATGTCTAGTCTTCAGAGACAATACTATCTAAAAGTGATGGTGCTTAAATTTATTTACCATTACAAAAAGTATAAAATAGATAACATATAAAATTAGGAGTATTATTGCATATAATAAAATAATTCTATTATAAGAATATTAAAAATCATTGTTATAAACGAATTCTAATCAATAAAAGACAATTTTCGAATTTCATTTATTTGAACTTGACGTGACGGATGGCACTTGGTACATAAAACAAGAACACTTAATCCTCTAATCATTCACTTATAATATTTTCCTTTTACATTTTTATTTTTAAATTTAGGAATAGAAAAGTTGCCAACATAAAACAGAAAACAGTAATTAGTAAGCTATTGGTAAGTAGCTCCATCTTGCATATATCCTTCATTTATATAATATTTACAGTCTTAATGCTAGTATTATCGCCTCTAAATTATTATTGTATTTAAAAGGATTATCTAGAGTTATAGAAACAAATAAAACAGAAGAGATACCAAAATGATACAAATGGCCGTCTATGAAAACGTTACATGTTGTAATTGATAAATTTAACGAATTCAGCATTTTAAACTTAAGTACACTCTTAGAAATATGCTTAAAACTGCTGTTGTTATTTTAACAATATCAATTATCAATCACAATGATCTTATTTATTAGTAATCTTTTAATTGTTCATTAGCAATATAATACAAAATAAAACACATTCTATTCGTTGTTTTTTTGATGGAACCTTAAAAAATGATTCTATTTTTTTATGGTATTTTATATAGAATAATAACAAAGCAAGTAGTAAAAACATGATAAATTTGCCTTTTATTTGCATATAGACCAACTCTATTTCGATGTAGAGAGCAAATTAGAGAATAGGATTTTTTATGTGTGTATTTGATTATTTTATTCTAATAGCTTTTTTTCAGCCTCCCCTCTCCTGCCCTCCTCCCCTTCCTACCTCTCTCCGTTAACGTCATCTTTCTATTTTATTATAATTAAGGAAATCAACTACAGTCTTTCAATATGATTTCTCTGTTTCTAGGTTGCTAGACAACATCAACAATCGCAATTGTTATCAAAAGAAATTGTCTATATTAATTGAATAAATTCATAAATTTATATATACTGTATATATATATATATATATAAAGTATATAGTATATGTATTTATAGATACATGTATGTACAACTATAGGTGATTATTGAATTCTTTATATGAAAACTTTATCTATAGAATAAAAGAATATTCATAGAGGCGGTTATTCAACTTGTTAAATTGTTAAATAAAGCTTAATAAATGGATTAAAATGGTCATAACATCCTTTAAAGTAAAAAAAAGGAAAATAAGTATAATGAAAAATTAATATCCTAATTGTTTTTATGATTGTTTAAATATTTTTATGTAAAAAGTTTATAGAGGAAAAATATTGAGAAGTCGTATAAAATCAAAGAAAGAAAAATCACGAATTAATGGACAAGTTTATTATATTAAATAAGGTTAAAAGTCCATATTTCTTTTCATCATACTAAATAAGCCAAAACCATAGAAATGGAAAGGAAAAGAAATGATGCTGATGTAGTAGCTCCGCCCCCTGTATATTTTTAAAGAAAAATTAACATTAAGTCATTTTATAAGAGAGCAAGACGTTAGAAATGTAAATAGGATAAAAAGAATTTGATTTTAACCTGTTGTTGGTACGGTTACTGTTGTTTGTTTTGTTGTTGCTTTTGTTGTTTGTGTTGTTTGTTTTGTTGTTGCTTTTGTTGTTTGTGTTGTTTGTTTTGTTATTGCTTTTGTCGTTTGTGTTGTGTGTTTTGTTGTTGCTTTTGTCATTAAAGACAAATTAACATTAAATCATTTAATAAGAGAGCAAGACGTTAAAAATGTAAATAAGATAAAATGAATATGATTTCAACCTGTTGTTATTGGTATGGTTACTGTTGTTTGTTTTGTTGCTGCTTCTGTCGTTTGTGTTGTTTGTTTTGTTGTTGCTTTTGTTGTTTGTGTTGTTTGTTTTGTTATTGCTTTTGTCGTTTGTGTTGTGTGTTTTGTTGTTGCTTTTGTCATTAAAGACAAATTAACATTAAATCATTTAATAAGAGAGCAAGACGCTAAAAATGTAAATAAGATAAAAAGAATTTGATTTTAACCTGTTGTTGTAGGTACGGTTACTGTTGTTTGTTTTGTTGTTGCTTTTGTTGTTTGTGTCGTTCGTTTTGTTGTTGTTGGTGCTTGTGTTGCAGGAACTTCAGGAATGGAACATGCATTGGGTACATTAGTTATATCTCTGTTACATAGATTGTCTTTGCAATGACAAAATTTCTCATTGCCTTGAGAATAAGTCATGTCAGAACAGGCTGGAACATGGGCTTGCCAAGCACGATTTCCTCTAGGATCCGTTACGCAAGTTCTGTAGATTTGTTCAGGTTCTCCTACAGATTTAAAAAAATTCCATTTTTAAATGAGTAAGGATGAATTTGATACCTACCATTTTTGAAGATAACATTCAAGTGACAAGTATCACAGTTAGAGACTGCATCGCTATCTGGTACTGTAAAGCCAGAACCCCAGCCACATCTTGTGTCGAATGGAGGATTGGATTCTCCTCTTTTCCAGAAGCATTCGAAACAGTTAACGCTCGCTTTTTCTTGTACTATTGATAAAGAATGAAACAAAAGTAGTAACATAGTATTAACTGTTTATGTACTCGAGCATACCAAACGGACTCTGTTGTGGTGTATGAACTGCATCGCAAACGTTTGGAATATCTTCTTCTTTCTCGTTACAAAAGTCGTCTTTGCAATAACAATACTCATGTCTACCTCCTAGCAAAGGATCATACACACATTTAGTATCATACATTTCCCAATCGTCCAATCCTTGTACACAGAAGCGATCAACACTCACCGGCTTATCTTTATTCATAAAAAAGAAGCAATAAAGTATTAGCATTTTAATTCACGGGCGTAATATTGCTCTAGTTTTCTAACTACTCACCATAATGATAGGTAACAAAGTGTGTGCATTGCAAACAATTTTCTACTACAGATCGGTCGTTAACATCCTTAGGTACCGAAAAAGCGCTACCATATCCGCAACGAGAGTCAGTTGTTGTTATACCATCTTCACTCCAAGAACAGTGAAAGCAAGTTTTACCCGATACCACTGGTGGACTAGTTGGCTTAGGTAAGCTACAAACATGCGGTATTCCATCTGTTTTTTCGTTACAAAGGTTACTCTCGCAGAAGCAACTTTTCGAATTTTTTCCTGAAATTACTGGTTGTTCTGAGCAATGTTCAATAGGCTCTCTCCATTCATTAGAGCCCGTAATATCATTCACACAAGTTCTTGAAACAGTTTCAACAGCATCTATTAATATTGGGAAGGTAGATTATTAAAATATTTAATTGATAAATTATTCGAGCAAAACAAACTTCCGACGTAAGTTATAGCAATTTGACATAAACCACAGTTATATTTTATGTTTTCAGGATCTGATTGAAAATCTACGCCATATCCGCATTTAGGATCGTACGGTGGAGATGAAACTCCCCTCTTCCAAAAGCATTGATGACAACTGACACCAGCTTTTGGACTTTCATTCGCTGTATGAATATTCAAATTTTATGAATTTATAATATCACTATTAAAAGAAAAACTAACTAAAATCAATTGATTGGGGAAATTCTCTGGGTGAATCGCAATACTGACGAATATTAGTATTGTTAATGTTACAAAAACTTGAATCACAAAAGCAGTATTCATTTCTTCCACCACTCAAAAGGTCATATGAACATTGAGTATCTAAGTTGCTCCAATCCTCTGATGAATCGGTCAAACATGCTCTATTAATTGAATCAGGTTCATCTGAGATGTGAAAACAATTTATTTATTACAATTATTTATTATATAGCTATTGACTGTCTTATAAACCTCCTTTAAAAGTAATTAGCAGTCCGCATTTTATACAATTTTTCTCTACTGCCGGATGACTATCCAAAGCTGGTATCTTGAAATTTTCACCCCAACCGCAGTCCGGATTGTGGAGGCCATTTCCATCACTAGACCAAGAGCATTGGAAGCAAGAGTATGTAACTGGAGGAGGTTGTGTAGGTGGCTGAACGTCACAGGCGTCGGGTATGCCATCCTTTTTTTCATTACAATGGTCTTGCGTACAATGACAGTTTTCATAGGCTCCTCCATTGGTTGGTTGAACAGAGCAGGATGCAACATTTTCTCTCCATTCATTCAATCCAACGATATCTCTGATACAAGTCCTTCTTATCTCTTCGATTGTGCCTATGAAAAATTGTGAAAATATAACAATTTTCTTTTCTCTTTAAAATAGATTGTTTACCATCACTTCGCTTTGTCATTTCCAAGCGACAAACTCCGCAATTATCCTTTGCGGACGATATATCCATATTAAAATCGGATCCATACCCGCAATTTGGATCATAAGGAGCATTAGTTTGGCCTCTTTTCCAGAAACATTCATAACATTTGATATTTACTTCGCTTTCAACTTAAAAATTGAATTCAAAGTATAGAATGGCATTTTTTTTATTAACTAGGACAAAAAATAACCTACCTAGTAGAGGTACAGGATCGTAGCTAGTCTGACTATCACAAACACTTGAAATATTTTGGTCATTTCTGTTGCAGTAACTTCCTTCGCAGAAACAGAATTCATGCTTTCCACCTTTAAGAGGATCGTGGGAACAGGTATTTTCGTAAACTAGCCAGTCTTCAGCAAACTCAGTAATGCAATATCTTGTTATGTCCACTGCATCCTCTGTTAAAAGGAAATAATGTTTATGATACGTTTAAGTGAGAAAATCATGAAATTTTTATTCTTACGTCCTCTATACGTAATCTGAAATCCACATTTTAAGCAATCCTTCTCAACTGATGCATCATTAATGCTTTCTGGCACTGAAAAATCTCCTCCCCAACCACATCTTGAGTCATGTAGCCCATCAGGTGAGTTACTCCAAGAACAAGCGAAGCAGTTATAAGTCATTTTCGGAGGTATAGTTGGAATTGTAACATTACATGCATCAGGTAGATTAGTAGGCAAGACATTGCAAAAATCTGTATCACAGTAGCAAAATTTATTGACGGCTCCTCTTAACGGTTGCTCCGAGCAAGATGGAATATGTTCTTGCCATTTGTTTTTTTCAGATAGATCGGATAGACAAGTTCTTTGAATTACTTCGGGAAAATCTGAAATATTCATTGCGTTAGATTATGTTAAATCATTAGTGTAATAAATAACGACACTGTTCCTGAGAACAACAGCAACATGGCACATTCCACAATTGTCTTTGGCTTCTGATTCGGTCATATTGAATTCAGGCCCATAACCGCATCTCGGTTCAAAAGGGGCATTAACTTCTCCTCTTTTCCAGAAACATTCATAGCATTTTACAGCAGCTTTAGTAGTAGATCTTAAAACTATTTAGAAGCACGCACTGATTTATGGTTGAATGACTCAAGATATTATTACCTAGTGGAGCTTCGGGTGGACTAAAAGGTGTATCACATACATTTGGAATATAGGCATCATGATGATTGCAGAAATCTCCCTCACAGAAGCAATACTGATGTTTACCTCCTTTTAGAGGATCAAAACCGCAATTATTTTCGTGTCTTTCCCAATCACTTTCCAGTTCTTGAACGCATCCTCTTACTATATCGACAGCTTGGGCTAAAACAGGAAAAATCGATTAAAAGTGAACAAGACCTTTTGATATTTATGATTGCTTACATCCTCTGAATGTAACCATTAGAACGCATTGAAAGCAATTATTAAGAACGGCACCATCAGCAGTGTTATTAGTAATGGTAAAACCTGAGCCGTAGCCACATCTTGGATCAATTAAACTATCTGGATTATCGTTCCACACACATTGAAAACAACTGTAAGTTGGGGGAGGTGGAACAGTAGGCACTTCAACATCGCACATGTCTGGAATATTACCCTTCTCTTTATTACATAAGTTAGAATCACAATAACAAAATTCGTGTCTTCCTCCGTCTATGAGTTGAATAGAGCATCCTGGTAAGTGTTCGCGCCATTCGCTTTCACCATCGATATCCCTTATACATGTTCTGTGAATTTCTTCAATGGTACCTAAAATTTGTTTTAATTTCGAAAATATGTATTAAATTTAACATATTTATTTATCGTTCTTGATAAACTCACTTCCTCTATAAGTTGTAGATAAGTGGCATACTCCACATTCAGTTTTAGCTTCACCATCGGGTACTGTGAAGTCGTTTCCACATCTACCGTCGTAAGGACTTTGATTATTTCCTCTTTTCCAAAAACATTCGAAGCAACTGATAAGATTCTCTTGCGATTTAGATGCTATAAAAATAATACAAAATTAATAATAATCTCCTCAAAACTATTCATTATGTTGAAAACGTTTGTTTTACTTGATATAAGCGGAAAATCGGGTGCAACGAAAGGTGTAGCACAGACACTTGGGATGTTTATGTTGTTTTCATTACAATAGTTTCCTTCACAGAAACAATATTCATCCTTTCCTCCTTTTAAAACATCATATGAACATTTGTTGTGTGGATATTCCCAATTATCTCCTAGATCAGTGGCGCAAAATCTAGTTATATCATAAGCCTCACCTATAAATTCATAGTGAAATATTAAAAACTATATAAATGAGAGATTTTATGCCAAACCTCCTTTAAAAGTAACTGAGAGACCACATTTAAGGCAATCTTTAAATACTGATGGATCGTTTGGGGACTGAGGAACATTAAAACCTGGTCCCCATCCACATCTATCGTCATTCAATCCACCTGGTACTGAACTCCATGAGCAGGAAAAGCAATTATAAGTAACTGGTGGTTCTGGATATAAATTTAAAAAACAGCATTAATATAATTACGATGAAAATTACTGAAACTAACGTATTGGTATGGGATCACAAGCTGATTGAATATCAGTGTTATTTTTATTACATATGTCTGTATTACAATAACAATGCTCTTCTTCTCCACCAAAGAGAGGTTGTTTAGCGCAGGCTGTTGCGTGATTTTGCCATTTATTATAACTTCCTGCCAATCCTAAACAGGCTCTTTGAACTTCCACAACTTGATCTAATTTTCAATAATCAGAATATTATTTAATCAAATGGTCATATTTCTGAGATAGTTTACCTCCTTTTTTGACAATTCCTAAGTAACACGTTCCACAATCAGTTGTTGCTTCGTTATCAGGAACAGCAAAATCATTTCCTAATTTACATCTTACATCCCCGATATCTCCAATTTTCCAATTGCACGAAAAACATTTTGCAAGAGCCTTTGGTTCATTTTTGATTGCTAGAGGAGGAGCTAGAAAAAATAAAAAGTTATTAAAAAGATATCAAAGTAAAAGAATGTTATACTGACATTGAGTCGGATGATCATCACAAACATTTGGCAAAGTTTCTTTTTTCTCATTACAAAAGTTTCCTTCACACACACAAAATTCCCGTTTTCCACCTTGTAGAGGTTCGGCTGAGCACGTATTATTGGGATAAGCCCATTTTTCGTCCCCCAATTCTGCTTTTCCTAAGCATATTCTTACAACTTCAAAAACTTCTTCTGCAAAAAGAAATAATATATCAATGGAGGGAAATCGAAATTAGTAAGTACACGCTTACCGTCTCTATAAGTTAAGGATAGACCGCACTTAAGGCAGCCTCCGGCCACACCACTATCTCCTGTTTTATTAGGAACTGTAAAGTCGTCTCCATAGCGACATCTTTCGTCGCTTGGAATTTCCATGTGCCAGTCGCATCTATAACAATCATAAGTTGGAAGAGGTGGATCAGTAGCTAAAAAATAATTTAAAAATTCTATAAACGAAAATTGAAAATTTAATTTGCGAAGCTCACGTGGAATAGTGGGATTTGTACAAGCATTTGGAAGACTATCACTTTGTTCATCATTACAATTTTCGGTGTTGCAATAACAAAATTTATTATCTCCACCGGCTATTTTTTGTTCTGTACAAGATGGAACATGATTTTGCCAGTAGTTTTTACCGATTAGTGGGCCGTAGCATATCCTGGAGACTGCAACAACTCTGGCTAAAAAGATTCACTTGTTACTTTAAAAGCAAGAGTTGATCCTAGAAAAAACTTACAATCATTGAAAACTCTGTGAATTCCGCAAGATCCACAGCCAGGTGACACATGACTAGCGTTTAATTTGAAATCGGAACCCCATCCGCAATTTGGATCGTAATTAGGTCCAGTCTCACCCTCCTTCCAGTTACAGTTATAACAAGAGATCTCATTGGCTTTGCTAGCATCTTCCTCTGGCCCTTATATCATTATTAAAAGGTAAATATCTAGTTGATGAGGAGACAGTTTATACTACCTGTAAGAGCTAAATTTGGGGGACATTCAAGATCTATATTGTCATCATTTTTATTGCAGTATCCTCCTTCACAAAAACAAAATAGACGTTCTCCACCATAGAGAGGTTCCCTGACACAGTTGTTTTGTGGGTGCTCCCAACTTTCTAATTCATTTATGCACATTCGAATGACTTCTTGAACTTCGCCTATAAGAATTATAATTTTAGGAAAACGGGAAAAGATACAAATAACAAAGAAAGAGGAAAAAATTAAAAGTTTTACCATCTTTTTTAGTGAAGGCAATGCCACATTTCTGGCAATTTTCCTGTACAGAATTATCACTTGGTTCTTCTGGCACGTTAAAATCTGAACCCCAGCCACATCTTGGATCATCGTTTGGAATATCTTTTTGCCATTCACAATGAAAGCATGTGTTCTGACAATTCAAGTCTAACAAAAAGAAAATATAAAGTAGAACAAACTTTATAAATCTTGAAAAACAATTAAAAAATTAAGAATAATTAAAAAAAAACAAAAAACAAACTTTTCAGTAAAACTACGAAAACTACTAGATTAAGTAGTAACTTCATCGCCGCAAAGTCAACCGAAAGTGGCAGTAGTTTTCAGTGAACATCCTTTTTTATTAACTTAACAATTTTTGATAAAAATAATAAATATAAAATGTTATCTCCATTCAAGAATAAAATTTCATTTAAAAAATTAATAAATTTATTATCCTGGTACCGCTTGGCTTTTTTTTTTATCGATATCTATATTCAAAAGAATAATTCCTCTGTTAAGTATTGGTACCACCCATCTATAGTAGTAAAGTGTAATAAATCCAAATATATCTTTACTAAATACTATAGATAGATCAATTATTTCCTTTTTTATCCTATATATTACTCAATAATACTATTGAACTCTTTCTGTTCTCTTTTTTTTTATAATGAATAAATGATTAAAATCATAACGGTTAGGCCTATTGGGGTAATGAATTACCTTAAGAATAAATATTTTATTATATGGCGTGTTTTTTTATTGAAGAAGTAGGCAACTTCATTTGTCGTTGTATTGGTAATTATTAAAATCTTCTTTTCTTTAATAAAAAAGAAACTGTAACTTCTAATAAGATTTAGGCGAATTCATTGTTCAGAATATGATTGTGTAGAATTTGATCAAAATGGTAATAGACACTCAAAGAACATAAAACTAACAATTAAGATCAATAGAATTGTTATTGACTATGAAAAGAGACAATGTACAGAAGAGAGTCATAGGAAGAGAGAGACAGAGAGTGAGACGATAGTAACAGTTGTATTTATTACAGTCAACTCTCTGTTGAAACACATAATTTTTCTCGAAACTATGATATTATCTATAGCTAAACCAGTTGATAATTGGGAAAAAGTCTTGAAATACTGCTTGAAACATAATGAAAATTATCTTCCTGAAAATTCACTGAAATCGTTAATTTTGTGTGCTGAAGGTGTTCAAGTTTTAAAGAGTGTTAATTCAAAACCAATAAGAAGAATATATAATAAACGTTCTGAACTTGAAGGTAAAGTGACCTAAATAAGTCTTTTTTTTTCATATTTTTTCTAATATATTAATAAAATAGTCACTTCATTTGTATATTTTAAATTGTTCGTGATAAATTTAATTCTTTTTTTATAGACTACTTCCGGTACTTAGGTATTAGTTTTAATAGTAACAAAAAATGAAATTGTTGTATGAACACGATTAAAACTTGAACACGTGATGAGAAAATATTTCTTTTTTTTTTTTTACAGCTTTAAACAATAATGGATGTCATATGCTTCGTATTTACTGGAAATATCTGTACAAATATGATTTTAATTCATTTTTATTGACACAATTTAAAAAAAAAGAAAAAATATTAATATTTCTCTTTTCATTATTATTATAATTATTAAATTGACTTATAATAGAGATGGCAAAGAGAGATATATATATATATACCATAGAGAGAGAGAAAAAAGAGGGAATATCATCGATAAATCAATTCCTTTTCTACATAAAATATTAACTAGTACTGAAGATTATACAATTTTTTTCCTAGCTTATTATTCATAAAGAGCATTTCTCTGTCTATTTATATTTGGCCGTTCCTTAAAAATTTTTTTTTCTCTTTTTTTACCTTTCTATTCATCATGAAGTGACTATTTTGTTTAGATTTCGTATAAATATTAATGTATTATAAGAAAATATACCAATGCTAATTAGTTTATTGAATTTGATCATATCTTTACTTTCAAAATACTTTTTTTCTTATAATATACTGTATATAATACTTTAATAAGTTTAACTTGTGGGATTATTATACTTTCTATAGTGCTCACACAAACACATACGCACACGCATTCTTTATTATATAGATATCTATGATTAATATTTAAAAAGAAATGTCTCTGTCTACCTAGTATTATCAAAGGATTAAGCTACCTCCTACGCTAATTCTCTTAATTATAATATTGTATTTAAATAATAATTATTTTCGTAAAACTGTTTAGTTTGTTACGAAAGAAAGAAAACTTTTGTATAAAGATATTGTAGACTAACAGATTTTAATTTCTTAATTATGAAGAAAGGTATGAAAATGAGCTGAAATATAAGTTTCTATATTTCTTTTCAATTGTATCCTTCTTTAATCTAAGATTGTTGATTTTGATAAGAATTGCTTTTCTTAATATATAAGAATGGTCAATTTATTACTGATAAAAAAAATACCTCCCACAGAGAGGGAAACCAGCGATTTCGAACGAAAAGATGGGCAATATTACCAAGAATATTACGACAAAGAAGATGAAAATGAAAAAGTATTGATATCAGTAGACATTACTTTTAAAAATGATAAGAATAAAAGAGATAAAGCTACATCAAATCTAAATGGTAAGAGATGTGAAATTTTTTTTATTAATGCTGTATTATAAATATTAGATCTATTGCAATTTTCGGTTTCAAGTCAAATCCGTCGAAACAAGACAAATAGGAAATCTTGTCTTTCTTATTTTCGCTTATCTTTAGTAATTAAATTGAAAAATTAACAGGCTCAGATTTCCCGGATTCGACAGCCGATCCGTCGTCAGAGTTGCCAGATCCACTAATACTGCTTCCGGACATGGCTTGAGCATACTTTAAAAAATTTTTATATAGATTAAGTGGCCTGTTATATCTAAATATAAAAAAATTTATTCAAAATTGCTTAGAAACAAACTTGATTAGCCAAAATAGATCCCATAACAATAAGATAAAGAGAAACCATTATTCTGAAATAAGTATTCATATTGCTGAAAATATTTTACCAGTGTCGCTTTCTACCTCGATTCACAAAGCAGATGCAGGTGAAAGTAAAAAAGGGTTTCCATCGCTTTATATACATTTTCTTTTTCCAAAAATTAAAGCAGCTGTTGCTCTCAAATAGTTTAAATATACGTTTCGGTTTTATAAGTTTGTATTTATAATTGATTCTACATTATTAATAAGTCAATTAAAACTTTTCAATTGAAAGTGTTTGTTTAAATTGTAAATATGAGATTAAAGAAGAAAAAAATCGGTTGTTAAAATTTTCATGCATCCCCCAATCATCCTATTATTATATTATTATATCAAATATGTAAATTTATATACATATATATATATATATATATATAGAAACTCGTATTTGTTTAAATTCTTTAATAGTAAGAGAAGAATTTTAAATCTATGAATGATATATGCTTGGTATTTATAGCTACAAGGTCTCAAAAAGTTGAACATCGCATATCACAGTATTAGTGACTTTTTTTTCTATTTTTGATCATTCGATAAGGAAGAATTGAACATATTTAATTCATTGATATAGAACTTTTTTTGTATTTTTTCTCTATATATTTCATTTATCTGTTGAAATATGTATAAAATAATTATATATATTTCACAACTATAGGAAGAACGTCAAGGACAAGCAAAAAATCTCTAAATACACATTCTAAGAAAAGGATAATAAGGAACAGGAATAATATAGATTCTTTGACCAAAGGCAATCGATGCAAATTCAAGGGAGAGGACAAAAAAGATAATAAAGGAAAGAGAAAATCGAAAAGAGAAATTGGTTGCGGAGATAATAAAAGTAAAATTGACTCGGAATTAACTGAAAGTGAGGCATTTTGTTTCTTCTCTAACTTCTTCATTTTCATCATTTCATTCTATAGCTCTTCTTCTGTAAGTGATCTGAATTATCTTTTAATATAATTATATTATATAAAGAAATTAAAACATATTTATATACATTTATCATTTTTCTCTCTAATTGAATTTTATATAGGAGTAATAAAAAGGCAATCGAAAACAACTAATGGAGTTTCGACTGTAAGTATTAAAGAAATTAATATATTTATATATAAAAATAGAAAAGAATAGACAAAGCTATTTAAACTATTAATAAATTGCCATCTTGTGATTATAAGCGAAAATATTATCGGTCAAATATAGAATACACGAATGCAATAAATTTTACTACTAAATAAGATCTTGATACAATAAACAAATGACGATACTTCACTAAAACTTTTATAACGGAATTTAGATTGAGGCTAGTTAGTTTTTTAGGCAGCATAAACTCAATAATCATTCATACAGTTGTCTAGGCAACTACGCCATCTATTTAAGCCAAGGCCAGCTCAGTAATTGAGATAAGACTCTGTAGGGAAAAAACTTATTGAATTAAGAATATAAAGAAAAATGCGTTAATCTATTAAATCTCTTTCTTCAAACGTGGACGTTCGAGAAGATATTTTTATTATAATAGACAAGTACCATAAAATAATAGAGAGATGAAATAAAAGAGGAATGGATAGAAGGAAAATGTGAAAAAAAGAGGGAAATGAATGTCCAGTATAAAGAATATTAAGTAACTAAATAAGAGTTAGAAAAAGTAAGGGCAAATATATGGAACATAGCAATTTTAAAAAAAATTTGTATTGCCATTGATCATACTACAAACTACTTACAAATTATAATAGACTCCTTGTCCTATATTCGACCTTTAATCTATTGATTATACCTATATTTATGCAGATAAAATTGACTGAAAACGATGATCGTTTGTCAACGGCTATAAAGTTTGTTTTAATATGTTTCATTGTTTATTAACTGCTTCAATTAATTAATTCGGCTTTTAGCTGTAGTGAACTAAATGACCATGGAGATGACAAACAGCCATATAAAGCTTGTCAAACTGTCACCGGACGGTAATATATCGATTGCACTTATGCAAACATCGTACTTATCACATAAAAATACTGATCGCTCTGTTCTGTTTACAGTTTGTCATCACTGCCACGTTTATCCAGGCGACGAGACAAACACGACACTACGGATAATGTAACGAAGGTATTATTGTTATTTATTGTATGAATTAAAGTTAAAAGTTTTTACCTGTAGTTAAAAGTGCCTTATCAAATACCGAAGAGTGAAGCGATTATGTTTGAAAAGACAAACATCCCTCAGTATTCAAGTTTCAAACATAATTACCAATTATCGCCTAGTGCGGACTGTTGCCGTTTCGAAATTCCAATGGATATTGTTTGTTTATCGACGATGGACCCTCTTAAATATATTAGCGAATATTGCAAAGTTTGCCCAAGAAGGCAAAATCTCTATTGTACACTTTTCAACCGTCATCGCTCATTAAAAACTAACACAATAAATAAGGATCATATCTTATCGGCAGTTTGTCAATTAAGAGGCGTCTCAAAGGCATTTACTGAAAATATTTTAAAATTGTTGGACGTTTGTCGAGACATTCGTATGGATGAATACGTCGCTATTTGTGCATTTATCGAGAGAGTAGTTTGCGTTAACGAAGCGTACGTAATAAATTACTAATAATTTACGTTTTGTAGGTTTAATTTCTTTTTATGACTTGTAGCCACTCGATAGGACAACAGCTTGAAAGGACTGCCCTAGAAGTAGTAGACTTCCAAAATGTAAAATCTCGACTACAAAATGTCGATTTATCAGAAAATATGAGGAAAATTTTATCGATAATACAAGGCAAAATTAATTTGATAAACTAGCGCCATCTAACGATTCGTTTTTTATATTCGAAGAATCATAAATGTATTATTTTACAATAAACAGAATATAAATGAACAAATGAAAATTCTTTTATAGAAATTTTCCCAGGCTATTCTTGTATTGTATGGAGTTGAATTTCGGGTGAAAAATCAGTTTTCACAATGATCTCAGACACATTTAAGTTCTCGAGAGCACAATGAAAACCCACTTAGAAACCCGAAAAAAATTATGCCAGAATATTGTCAACAACCAAAATTACTCCCGACGGGGTTGTTTACATGCAACCTGTAAGGAAAAAATAACACAAAAGCTGTTAACACAAATATATACGATATACGAACAAATAATTAGTTTAGTGATTAATGCACTTGTGACGAGCATCCCCGAAAAACAACGCGATATCAACGCCATCTATTCCTATGTGGAGACTTCCAGTTAAGCTATTTAATAAAAAAAAGAGAAACGGAGGTGGGAACGGTGGCGTTCCTAGTGGACAGACCCTGTGGTCAAAATTATTTGGCGCACCCTGGGGACTATTTATTTACAACCCACAAAGTACAAACTATACAACTTCCTGTTTTATTATTTGGTTACAAAAGGGCATTTAAAAAAAATCAGTTTTCAATCGTTAAACAGATACGGCAAGTCAATCAAGAAGATTCAACAAACCAAACAAAAACTAATACTAAAATACACAAGGCGAATAAATGTAATCTCTATGACAAACATTCTTCAAAATCTACATTGAGCTATTTTATCAAAAATTGAAAACAAAAAAAAGACCACTGACAGATCCTATTCAACACGTGAAATTCTTAATGGCGGAGAGAGAGAGAGCGAAGCAGATTGATAGAAAAGAGCGAAGGAGGGAGACAGCGAAAACGCAAAGGCTAGAGGCAAACGAAGAGGCGAAAATACGGACATAATATGATGCGAAAGCGATTCTATTCTCATGCATATATATCTATGTCGATGCCGGATTGACGTCATTGGATCGTATTTCTGTCACGTTTCCGCCCAGTTTTAAAAAGGTGAAAACGAGGGAAATGTTCGGAAATTCAAACTCTACTCTATTGTCCAACAGACCAGACTATGTTTAGAACGCAAACAAGAGAGTTTTGGGCCGGGGCCCTCTGTATATACTACACACTTTGGTCAAGTTTCTATTCATTCTTTGTCCCATTAATCTTGCCCGTTCTACCGTTCAAATTCGCGTCGGCTTAATTAGATGCTCTTTTTTTGTCCGATTATTCGGGCATCCCTTTCTGATCAATTTTTCCACTTCAATTTCGCCAAAATCTGGATAAAGGTTTATAATTTCTGTCTAATTATATACTCAGCTAGTGAATATCCATTTTGAATGTCCAAAGCCATATCAGAATCTGTGTCATGTTACTTATTCGAGTTTTTTTTTCATTCGTAAAACTATCCCTGTAATTTTTTATTTAGCCAACATAATTACAAGGTTTCCAATAAAGTCGAAAAAAAACGTTAATTCTTTTTGGGAACTAATATTGTAGATAGAATTGAATAGTGAAATAATCAATAGAATTGATGTAGGGGTTGATCAATTACAGAGTCAACTCGGGACTTTCTTAAGGCTTTAGTGCATTCTAAAGGAATTCCTAAAATTCCTTTCGATTCTTCGGCTATTATAGATCCGCCCTCAGCCGAAATTTCGCTTATTTTTACTTGCGTAATTCATTGGTCGCTTCGAATTTCTATATCCTTTAAATCGCAGCAGGATTTTGTCTCCTCAATCAATTTTTTGACTTTAATTTCGCCAAAGCCGGATATAGTTTATAATTTCAGCCTAACGGCGCCTAGAACGAATTCTTTTACTCTCCTAATATTATATTACATTTGCATGTTAAGAGTTGTCGTTCCTAACCGCTAGGCCTCTAATCTAAACCAGTAATTATTCTGGTTAATGAATAGTTTCGTCCTCGTACTATTTAAATACCACAAATTTTTCGATGCTTTCGTTCAATCCGCTCCATTTAATGGAAGGCAAGCGAGAGAATTGATAAATAGTTAGTCAATTCAAGCCAATAGGTCGACTTCATTCACCACTAGAACTCTTTTCAAACAGTATTTCTAAAAGTTTTATTATTTCTTGTATCTTTTTCTTTATTTACTTACCACCCAGTGAGCTAATTTATCTTTAGAAAATATTTTAATGTTACATCCCTCGTTTTCTTATATAAACATAGTAAGCTATTTTATCAATTTAGCCATTAATTTCTCAGGTCAAACAATAGCAGCATATGTCAAACTTGTCTACATTTTCCAAACAATGTTACGACTTGACATACTATTCCATACGTTTTTTTTCATTAGTTATTAGTAGTATCAAATTTTAAACTTACTTAAAAAAATAGTATGCAATTGTTTCTTGTTTCAAGATCCATTTTTATGGTATTAACAAGCTAAAAATAGCAGTCGGTAGGGTTTTCTTTTTCTACAGCATCTAAATTAAGTTTACACGGGTCTTACTTAAATTATAGTCATTAAGCGGAACATAATATTTACTACAGCGTTTAAGCTCAATTTCAACACATAAAATGAGATTTCTAGTGTCATAGCAAATACTATCGAAGTTATTTCCCTAAGGACATTGTAAAATCACAAACATGAATAGAACCTTAACATTCACTCTCTTCTTTTGTAAGATAAGGGTTCACTCAGTTAGATAGTTTCTAAGACAGTTCGTGTCGCCATAAACTAACGAAAGAAATAAAAGATACGATTACGCTACGATATTAAATTCTCAACCTAAACGAATTACAATAATAATTTTTAGCTATTGAAAGCTTTCGCTATAGTTATCAAGTCAGATAAATCACTGAAGGGATGTTATATAAACCCTTCGAGCGCTGATATGTTTTTAACCTGTCTTAGCATGCTCTTAATCAAGAATGGTTCTCATTCAACCGTACGAAAATGGACTCTTTATGTATGAAAAAAGAACTTCTTAACATCGCCAATTATTCAAAGCAAGAAAGCAAGAGCAGCCAATTCCAATAGACTTGGTACTATGTACTATCTCGCTAAAGAAAAAGAAAATCCTTCATCCCAAAAAGCAAAAATTTTCCTAGTTTTATAATACTATATTGGACATATGTTGTGGTGAAGACTGCATTAAATTTAAATATATCAGTAAAAAGAAAAAAATTAATAAAATCTGTTACAGAGAGAGAGAGAGAGAGAGAGAGAGAGAGAGAAAAAAAAAACATCTATAAATACAAGTTGATATCTATTTTTAACAGTTTGTATAACTTTTAAGCCTAATCGTTTTATGCAAGTATTGGAAAAATTCATTTTAATAATTATAGTAAAAATTGATAAAGATGTCATTTCAAACTAAAAATAGTAACATATTAAAACATATTAACTAAAGAACAAGAATGATGCAAAAACTTTAAGCAAACAATATTGTAAATTAGAAAACAATGGAGAATTGTCTAGAATGAGAACGAAATATCGCTAATTCGTGAATAACCATTCGAAAATTAGAAATATAATAAGAAAGGTCGTACGCTAACAAGTATCTTTTTGTCAAAGTTTTGTTAATTATATATGAGCAATGAAGTTGACGGCTTAATGGATCCTATCATTCTCCAACAAGAAATCTTGTTAGACAGTTAATGTTCACGTATACAGTAATTTATAATCCTACTACCTCGCCCCCAAGATCAAATCTTTAAGACTTTTCACTTCAAACGACATAAAATACGCTACTTGAAAAAAAAATAAAGTTGTGTAGGCCCTAAAATCCTAAATATGGGTGTCATTAAAAAGCCGTTTAAAAAGAAGTCATAAAAGGAAATAAAATATTCTTCAGGTCTTTTCGTGTAGAGGAGAAAAGAATAAAAATTCTGGACCCTTAACATATTAACTAAAAATTTTTCCGTATACCTAAATACATCAGCAAATCTTAATTCTAGCTCTCCCGAAAGAAAAGTGTCAAGAGCAGAATATAGTCGGATAATTGCCTACTGTACTCTATCCGACCTCGGACTAAACAGCTATTTCAAACTGCAATTAACTTTATATAGCTGAAAGCGGCGTTGCATACAAAAAAAAGGCCACTACCATCTAAAATTCTCTGTCGGATTTGGTCAGCTCCAACTAGCAATAAATTTATATGCCGACCGGACTCGGGTCGGTTTTGGCTCGTTGCCTATTTGTCACACGATTGTAGCGCCCTTTTATATATTTTAGACTAATATATAACTGTCAGAAAACGTCCGGTGTTCGAAATTGAAATATTTGTCAAACAATTTTCTGGCGGATGTGTCAAAAAAAGAGAAATTTTTATTAGTTACATCTAAAATTTGGATATTTTCGTAAACCTCAGCCACTTTACTTCTTGGCCTATCAATACAACTATTCGATGTAATTAGTTTCCCAGACGAGGAATGAATCATTATTGGCCTTTATACAAATAACAACTTTATGACACTAATCTGTCAAAAACTGACAAAAAAACTGCTAAAAAAGTTTAATCTACCATCCTATATCTCTCTTTAGCACACTTTTCTCTTTATAATTTAATTCCTAGCATTTAAATACAAGCACAATTGGTTGAAAACATCATATCACAAAAATTCAATACATTTCTGTACTCTGATGATAATGGTCAAGCAACCTAAGTTAATATTCACTTAGGAGCCTGAATTCTTTTCGTAACATTGAATAGCCAAGTTAGAGATTTGATATAAGGAAATAAAAATCCTATGACTAGATATACAGTATGTCTAGTAAGAGTTTCTGCAGTATATACAGTATATATATATATATATAGTAACAAAAAAGAATTAACTTGTATTTATTGAAGGTTGGCGGCTATCATTTGAATAAAAAAGTTGTAAAAGGACTCTTGTGTTGTAGGCCTTATCAACTTTCCTTCTATTGATTCCTTGAGGACACATATAAAAATAGTACTCATGCTAAATACTGTAATAAACTAATTTATAAGAAAAACCGTGTAAAAAGT